AGGGATTAACTCTTGATGATGCGAAAATTGAGTCCCTGCGTCATCAGTCCAGTTTGTTGCCTCATCTCCCTCGTCCTCAACTATCATATTGTGTAATATGATGCAAGTATACATTATATCTTTAAACGATGCTCTGTCCCACATCGAGATGGAATATGTAAAATATTCCAACGGGACTGAAGCACTCCAAATGCTCGCTCAACATCTTTTCTTGCTGCTTCTTGCACCTTTTTGAAGAGTTTTCTCTTAGAATCCACCGGAGATGTAAAACTTTTCACAAATGTTACCCACTCCGGATATATACCATCAGCTAAATAATAACCTTGGTTGTATTGAGTACCATTTACAGTAAATTGAATATCAGGAGCATACTCGTGTAACACATCGTTAAACAGAGGAGATTGGTTGAGCACGTTGATGTCGTTGTTAGATCCTGCAATTCCAAAAAATGCATGCCATATCCATAAATGTGCAGATGCGACTACTTCAAGCACTAAGGTGGGAGAACCTTGATAACCGGAAGTAAAACGACCTCTCCATCCAACCGGACAATTTTTCCATTTCCAATGCATGCAATCAATGCTACCAAGCATACCTGGAAAACCATGTCGTTCATCGTGCATTTGAAGTAAACGTTGAACGTCACTATCATTAGGTCTTCTCAAATATTGTGACTCAAAAATTTCAATCACGTTATGACAAAAGTATCGTAAACACTGTAGTGCAGTATTTCCACCCATCCTTAAATATTCGTCAACACAATCTGCTGGTAATCCGTATGCTAATTGACGAAGAGCTGCTGTAGATTTTTGAATGGGGAAAAATCCCATTTTACCCGATGCATCAGGCCTTTGTTGAAAGTATTCAGAGTGATTTTGGAGAGATTGTACAATGCGGAGAAATAATTCTTTCCTCATGCGGAATCTTGTATGGAAAGTAGCTGAAGAGTATACTGGCTTGTCAGAAAAATAATCATTAAATAATCTTTGTTCTCCAATTTCGCGCTCTCGATCGATATGCCTTTGTCTTTGCGAAGAACTTGCACCTCTTCGTTGCTCAATCAACTCATCTAACCTCCTTAAATCCTCTAGACCCGTGTTATCAAAGATTTGTTCCCGCATATAATCATTCATTTCATCGTCAAAAATAGAGCGATCAAAATTGGGAAGAGAATTTTGAGATATGGTCGTGTGTGAAGAGTTGTTGCAAAATATATACATACCAAAGAGTTGAAAAGGCTTGAACAATATTACTAGTCTCATTCCATATTTATAGAGTGTACTTGCAACAAGATCAAAAAAAGATTTGACTATATTATCCAATGTATGGATAAGATAATGAGAGAGATGTGACTACGCTATGGTATGTATAGACAAATAAAGAATGAATGACGTGACTACACTATTAATATATTTAATGGACAAGATAAAAAGAGAGATGTGACTATACTGTGATACGTATGGACAAATGAAAAAAGAATGACGTGACTACACTATCAATATATTTAATGGACAAGATAAAAAGAGAGATATGACTACACTGTGATACGTATGGACAAATGAAAAAAGAATGACGTGACTACACTATCAATGTATTTAATGGACAAGATAAAAAGAGAGATGTGACTACACTGTGGTACGTATGGACAAATGAAAAAATAATGAAGTGACTACATCATCAATGTATTTATTCATTTAAAGTATTTAATACTTAATTTTTTTTTGAGTTTTTTGAGTTTCTCCAGATTGTTTTGAATTTATTATATTTTTTTTACTTTTTTCATGCAATTAATTATAAGTTGTACAATAATAATTATACGATGCGGTAAACATAATAATACTTCATATTTAAAACACAATAATATGATGTAATAAAATTCAAATACAGTGACACAACTCTTACATTTTAGTTTAAATAAAACCAAAAACTCGCAAAAAAAAAATAACTAATTCAAAATAATAACCTAACATGACTATCTATAATTAGACAAGATTTTTTCAACTAAAAGTTCATGTCTTACTCGTTGTTCCGGTGTCATATTCGAGGTGTCCTTCGTCAAAATTTCATATTCTTTGGTAACCGTATGCCTCATGTACACCTGATTGTAAAATTCTTGTTGCTCTTTTTGGCTTCCAAATCCATCATTTTTTGTCGAAGTTCAACAAGTTCATCGTCATCATCCCGTGCCTTGCTCTTTTCTTTTGACTTCCGCTTTTCTTTCTTGGCTGCTTTTTGGCCTATTGGGCGAACCTCCTCTTCGATCTCATTGATTTCAACATTTCGATCAATATTTGATGATGAAGTGTATGATCCGGATTCGTTGATTCTTGATCTCTTTGATGACTCTTCAACGGTAGAAATAGCTGTCCATTTTGGATCATCTTTCACAATTTTCCACACATGCTCATGCACAAAATGTTTTTTCTTAATTTGGTAATATACCTCATGAGCTGCATCCCTTACAGAATCATCACTCCACCCACTACGGTGTTCATTCCATAGTCTATTGTAGTGTTGGTTAAATTCATTGACATACTTTGAAAACCAAAACCAATGAGACTTTAACTTACCTTGTTCTCTTTGTGGTAAAGATCCTTGGTTTGCATTGTAGTAGATAGTAATCTTCTTCCAAAATTCCTTCATATCTTGGTAGTTTCCTGTAACGCTACAGTTAGAAACCGTGAGCCATGCACGAGCCAGAAGTATGTCTTCCTCCTTGCTCCAACCTTGATAATTTGAAGTATTTTCTTTTTCTGGTACTTCCGATAAAGAAATATTATCCAAACCAAATTGAGTTGAAAATTGTGGAAAATAATCTTGGGGAGTTGATTCCCTTGCCGTTGCATTTGGAAAGTCATCGTCTCGAACGTCTCCTCTTGTTGAAACCGGTGTAGGTAGACTTCCGGAAGACGAACCCGTATTTGTAAATCCCATTGGAAAATCATTTCCAATCATTTGAGAAAAATAACCGGGTGGTTGATACATCACCAATGGATTTGGGACATAAGGAGGCAAATTTGGGGTACCCAAATTTTGAGGATATCCAAAATTTTGCATATTAGGATGACAATTTTGGGGACAGGGAGAATTTGGAAAATTGTGAGACAGATTTACATTTTTTGTAGGATGATTTTTGTTATTTTTTCGGCTCATGGTAGTCAAAAATAGAAAAAAAATTGAATAGTTGATGTGTAGTAAAGAAAGAACTATAAGTATAGAAGAGAGGAAAAATAGAGAAAGTGGTATGTTATGAAAATCAATATTAGGGGTATTTATAGGCAAAATCTTAAATTATTCTCTTAAAAAAATTATCAAATTATAGTGTAAACATTTAGAAACGGCTAGTTTTTCAACGTTCAAAAAATTTCTATGGCCACAAATTTGGCAACCAAAATGAAGAAATTTTTTTTGGAGATGCTGTGAAGAAGACAAAAAAAAAAAAGGCTTATAACGGTCACAAACATCAATATATTTTGTTTTTGATGTTGAAAACGAAAAAGGGGCAGATTTAAAAAAAAAATTTAAAAAAGAAATAAAACAAAAAAAAATGAATGGGCATCGGCCATGAGATGGGCCCGCCAGCGCCCACATTTGACAGATTACACCACTTCAAATTTTCTCTACGCCTGACACAATTGAACGGCCTCTAATGGAGCATTGTGTATTTTGTCCTGACATTACACACCAATTTTACCATTGTTGTGAATGCCCTAAATATCAACCCGAACTTTAATTATTTAGGTCAATTTCTTCAACTCTAACTTGATGTTAACCCCAATATTTTCTTCAAATAAAATGAAAAAAATAAATAAGTTAAAAAAATTTACGGGCAATGCTAAATGTAGTTCATATAATATTAGGTGATGTTTCAACTTTATACTATTTTATCCTTATTTCTACATGTATTGCTAATGACAACCTTATCCTCTTGTAAATAAACTAGGGAGCTGTTTGTTCTGTCCGAATCGGATTCAGGATTCATTTGACTGTTTAGTACACAGATATCAGTTTGAATGTTTCGGATTGTATTAAAAGTAAATATTAAAATTGGATAATATACTTCGTAAACAGAAAGAACATTAAGAAATAACGCATTCTCGAAACATAGGATTCTAAGATTACAAACTTCTACCTTATTACCGATACCCAAAGACATGGACTAATTTTTCCAGCAAATTGTAGATGTTGAAATACACCATATACATATATCGCTCCTTCAATTTTTTATCTTTTTTTTTCTCCTTTTTTTTTTCTTTTGGATCACATTATTCATCAAAGGAACAATTGAAGAGTTGGATATTAAAATGGATGAAGAAATGTAGACAAATGTTATGATACACAACCTTAGAACTATGCTTTCATCTTTATTGTATTCTCCTAATTATTAGAAAATAATTTTTAAGATTTTCTTTTTTCATTGGAAAAACATATTAGGTGAAACTTGTTATAAATCAAAATGTCTTATAATAAGGACAGCAAGAGTGCCAATTAGCATGTTTTGGATTAATAATATTCTTTTAGTATATGGAACATACCATTGTGAGGTTAGGATGTTTAATAAGAAGTAAAATGATCATAATATATTTATTTTAGGATAGACAGAATGATAAATTATTTGATCTGTGTAATCTTATAAAGATACAAAGAAATATGTTGAATAGACTATACGTGGTACGTAATTTTAATTTTGGGAGTTCTTTTTGAAGCGTAAAAAGAAAAGGAAAAAAAAAAGTCCTTTGACTGTAGTAATGAAACAACTATAACTGGATTAAAAATAAATAAGAATTATATAACTAATATATAATATAGATAAGACTCCATAAATCGTACTCCATAGTCCATATAGCAAACTAAGCTGATCATAGTCAATACTAACATGAACAGTGCTCTTGGTGAACTAAAAAACAACAACATAAACAATATAGTACTAATAATAAAACTCCATAATCTCTCTAGCTAAGACGCACTATTAATTACTTCCATTCCCGCAAACCGCAAAATTAGATCCCGGCCGGCGTCGTGGCCTTGCAAACCTGTAGGAGGGAGCCCGGAAACTCTGGATTACCGGCGAACATCTTGGGCCAGCAGTCGGCGGCGACGGTGGAAATGGTCTGACAACAAGGTGGGCTTAGAGGGACCCGATTGTTGCCCAAGAAGATCTTGTAAATATCGATCACGCAATCTTGTATACTCACCACAGACGCCCAGCACTTTGCGATATCTTGGCCTAAATTAACACCGGGATTATTACTGTTATTAACTGTACCGTGATCCGTGGACACTAATCCTGTAATGTCAAAAGCAGCAGCATTTGGGCTTGGGCTTGGGGCTTTTGGCTCAATTACCAATTGCAGAAGGCTTCTGGAGGACGAGGACATCACCGATATTGCCATGCACGCGATTGTCAAAACGAAAACTTTCTTCATTGCTGCCATGTTGAATTGTTGATGATGATTTTTTTACCGCTGTAAATCCAGAATTTGGTTAATTTGAAACCAAGGGAATGGTGGAAATGGTGTGATTTATACCACTTGCAAAGAAACCTGATTAAGTATATGTTTTATTATGGCTTAAATTAGCCATATACGTTTACTTAATTTATTAGCATGGTATTGAAATATTCATGCTTGGAGGTTAATTTTTTTTTTTTTTTTTTTTACGTTTCATCAGTTGTTATAGTATTATTAAAACGCGTTTACTTATTTCAGGAGGAGTTTCACTTTTTTCTTCTTTTTTTTTTGCCTGCAACAAAGGTTATACTTATTCTTTTGACCTGTTTAATTCTTCAAAATGCAAATGATCAATTAATAATGTTGACTTTTTGTTGTCAAGAAGATTGAAGGTGGAGTAGGAAGACGACAGCAATTACGGAAGGTGTTCATATGCTAAAGTACCGAGTAATTTCTTTGATTCGAGGTGACCACAAAAACCTTTTTTTTTCTTTTTTTTTTTGGCCCCCTTGTTTCCAAAGTGAAAAAAATTATTCAAGTTAGACTTAAAGTTTCAAAATGCATCCATGGTGGTTGAGTAATTTAAAAATGAAAGATATGGGTTTCATAAGAATCAAACGGAGATTAAATATTAATTGTGAGACATTACGTACGAATTCTTTTGAAAATTTTATAACGTCTTTTCACTAACCTGTTACATCAATGAATGTTGTACGTGCACATACGGAATCAGATGAATGCTAAGGATCATAGTCACACTTGCGATGCATCGAGAGGCTTTTATTTTTGAAGCACAATAGAAGAGGGAAACATGTAAATCATCTAAACAATCACATTACATGAGTATGAGATACCGACAATGTTGTGCTTTAGTCACGGTTTAATACAAACTGATGGATCCATTAATCTTTGATATTGATTATTTAAAATTTTATTGACCTGCAAATATGTGAAAATGGGTAGTCTCTCCATACCCCAAGGAAAAAGGAAAAAGAAAGAAGGGAGAGAAGGGAGAGAAGTTCAATTAATTTAATTTATATGGGATCCAACAATATCTTATCACATTGTGCTTTGAGTTTCGGTGGGAATTCCGGTTGATGGCCTAGATTGGGAAACATGAATGGCCAGCAACTGGGCTTGAAATTTTTCTTGGCACTGATACAAAATGTTGTGGTCAATTTCTCAGTATAACCAAAAAATATGAAATCAAGAATTGGATCAACGCAACCTTCATCCACCAATATCTTACTGCCTTTATGCAAATCATGCTTCCAACAAGCTGGTGGTAGCAGCCCCGGCCCTCTGATCGGAAAATATCGCCAATGTTGTAATAGTGACGGCGGCGGTGGGGCTGATGATGAGCCCAGAATCTGCATCATTATCAACATCATCATCATCATAAGTGCTAAGATCCATGAGTAGTAATAATAGTAGTTTTGAATCATATTTTTGGTGTTTTTGTTAAGAATTACGTATATGATATATGTATATTGATTTTATTAGGCAATGGAGAGAAGAACTAATTAAATCTGCAACTCCTTAAACATTAATTTAATGAAAATGTAACTATCAACCTCATCCTCACCCGTAGTAATTGGTAAATGCAAGTGGCATATTAATGACATTCATTGATCAATGCTGCAAAAATTGTACTCCCTCCGTCCCATAATTATTGTCCTGTTTGAGTTTTCACTTTTAATAAAATTTAAACTAAAAATGAAAACTCAAACAGAACAATAATTATGGGACAGAGGGAGTAACTGTAAAGATGGACTTCATACTGAAAGTTAATGACTATGGCCTATGTATATATAGCGTAAGTTGGCAAATACAATGTTTCGGATTTATTTTTTATTTTTTATTTTCTGTATCAAAATCTGCAACAAATTCCCTCCGGTCATTAATATAAAACATTTTGATTTATCATGAATTTCACATATTATGCATTGTTAATTGAGAAAAAAAAAACCTTAAGATATATTTTCACATTCGTTTTATTCTCCTAATTATTAGAAAATATTTTTAAAATTTTTTTGTCAATTAAAAATAGGTACTAGGTGAAACCTATGACAAATCAAAATGTCTTATACAATAAAACGTCGGTAAATTAATAATCAATAAATTAATAATTTCTAACAATTAATAATTTTTTCCGATTTCAACTTGGGACCAGTATAAAAATTGACAAAAATCGATAAAATGATAAGATAATAATAATTCAGAAAATCCCTCATATATCTATAAGTCACAACTAGGGGTGTTCACAATCCGGATTTGTCCGGATTGATAGCAATCCGTAACCAAACCGTTCATTACGGTTTGAAAAATTTTCAATCCATAACCAAACCAGATTGGTGTATAATCCAGACCAATCCAATCCGCTGGGCGGATTGGCGGTTTGGGCTTTTGATTGGACTTTTTCATTTTAGGCAAAAAATTAAAAAATTTTTTGTTGTTGGACCTGTGTTGGGGCTTTTCTTGAAATTTTTTGGGCCTTTTTCAGCCTTTTTTTAGAGGCTTTTCTTGAAAAAAAAAAGAAGAAATAATCCATTGGGGATTTGAACACATGACCTTCAGCAAGGTCTAATGTAGAGGGAACAACAACAATACCAATGGGACAACTTAGTACTTTCAATAAAAATCTCTATCCGACACTATACACAAAACCAATATATTATTATTTTATAATATATATACGGTCCGGTCCGGATTGACAGACGGTTTGACAGTGTCAAACTATAATCCGGACTGGATTGACCGGTTTTCAATTTTTCGATCCGCCGGTTTAAAAATATAGTTATAATCCGCCCGTTAATCTGAACTGATGACCGGATTGAGCGGTTCCACCGGTTTGAGCTAAACCGTGAACACCCCTAGTCACAACAATACTGTAAATTAATAAATACCTTAAATGTCAAAAAAAAAATACTAATATCTAAGGAAGATTTAGTAAAATATGAGTTTATTGATAATTGTTCTTTTTTAAATTTAAATCCAATCAAATTTCATCCTTGTCCCATTGCCTTTGAGAGCTCTGATGTTGAATTCTCAAATTACAATAAGAAATTCTGAAAAGTTATTGCTGATTTGAGTGCTTCTTTTCGCGTGACTAGTGTCAAAGGCCGGGAATCATCATTACCTTTATCGCCAATTGAATTATCTTGAAGGACACTTGTTACAATATTCTCAAATGATTTGAACTTCGTAGAGTCATCATTTTCACTTGAATAATCCACCAACTGATTGACACTCATCTTATTAGTTTGAGTTTATTATTAAAAAGAGTTACATTCCTTACTTGTTTAGGATCGTAAAGAAACTATGGAAAATTACATAGTATAGGAAGGTTTTTAACGAAAAAATTCTTTAAATTAATAATTTATTAATTTATTGATTATTTAATAATTCGCTAAATTAATAAAATTTGGTGATCCCAACACTATTAATTTATAAAAAGTTCTACTATATCTAGAATCGAAGGGAGCATTTGTTAATAAGATTACAACATACTTGTTACTCCCTCCATCCAACAAAAATAGTCGAATTTTGAGTTTTATACTGTTCTTAGAATAAATTTAAAAATTTAATATAGACTATTTTTTTTGGGACGGAGGTAGTAAAATTTTGCATATATGACTATTGCAAGGCTCAAAACCTGTTAAAACAGTATGAACTAGAAAAGTTGATTGGAAACATTTTTTTTATTTTTTATTTTTTTATGATGATGTATATAGTATAGTATGCATAGACTAATATCACAATATTTAGTACTTTTTCTATTCTTATTATTGTTCAATTTGAGTTTTTACTTGTAGTATTGTAAATAATATCGGGATGGAAGGAGTATTACTTTTTATTCGCGTGGCTAAATCCATCATATAAATTCATAAAAGTTCTAATTTTTTTGGTGTATTTTTAAACTGGGCTCAGGCCGAGAGTCGTAAGATTCTTAAACATTTTTGCTTTTCTAGTGTGTAGGCCCAAATTTTTACAGCCCACTTGAAATGCCGTATAAAACATGAGGCTCAGAAAGGAACAGCCTGAAACTAAGCAGCGGAAAAATGCTAAGGAGGAAACCCAGCCAGATCGAAGTCAAGCTTGAAGACAAAGACGAAATTGAGGAAGCTCGCAGACGCGCCGCCGCCGCCGCCGTAGCGTCGAATTCCTCCGCCGCAGCTGCGTCTGCCTCCAAGACCACCGGGGCCTCATCTCTCCTCCAGCGCTTGGACCGCGCCTCCTTCAATCCCACTTCCAAATCCCAGCGTATCGGCCTCGCTCCTCCTTGATGTCATTTCAAATTCCGACCACTAACGGCTCCCCGATGGAAGTCGAAGTGAAGCTCAGATTGCCCAATTCATCCGAACATCAAAAGGTCCTTTCTTTGCTCTCCCCATTCCATTCCCAAAAGCACAACCAACGCAACACCTTCTACGACGGCGCCGCCGGTGAGCTGAATTCTCGTCGGGCAGTCCTTCGGCTCCGTTTTTACGAGAATTCTCAGCCACCTAAATGTATGATCTGCCTCAAAGCGAAAGCGGTGATCACCGATGGGGTGAGCCGGGTCGAGGAAGACGAGGAAGAGCTGGACCACGATGTCGGGTTGCAGTGCTTGGAAGATCCGACAAGGTTAGGGGAAGCGGATTCTCGGGTGGCGAGAAGGGCAAAAGAGGAATTCGGTGTAGAGAGGTTTGTGAGTTTAGGAGGGTTTCAAAATGTGAGGCAAGTGTATGAATGGAAAGGGGTGACACTTGAAGTGGACGAGACTGTGTATGATTTTGGGACTTGTTATGAGATTGAATGTGAGAGCACAGAGCCTGAAAAAGTGAAGGGGATGATTGAAGGTTTCTTGAAGGAAAATGGGATCGGATATTCCTACTCAGAGAAATCAAAGTTTGCCATTTTTCGGTCTGGAAAGTTGCCTCAATAATAATTGTAAGTGAACTTAAGAGTTTTGAATTTCATTTCTTTCTGGAAAAGATGATAGAGTGTTGGTTTCTCATTCTTGTATTTTAAAGGTATAGTTCTCTGCATTTTAGCAATCTTAATGTACCAAGGTGATCTGTGGTAGCATACAAAAAATTTATACCATTTGGCTCGATTGTCCAACTGACTGATACGAAGCTTATGTTTGGGACTTTTTACTATTAGAAAGCAGTTTGTTGCTACTTTTAGTTTTCTTGAATGGTCAGGTGACGTTGAGTTCTATTACAAAGTGTCAAATACGGCAATCCTGTGTACTAAGCACAAACAGAAAAGTGGTTAGGTAATTGCTTCAAACAGGAAAGTGTTTGGGTTGTACTTGTGTGTTCTTTCTTTGATGAACATGATCTGAATTTTGTCTTTCTTGTGCTGTCTATGGTTTAAAGACATTGGACTTGACGATGACTACAGTAGTCTAAATAGCTTTTCTACAACTTGTGATCGTTTCTCTTACGTTTTGGAGTAGGCACATTTAAGCGTTGCTCATGTGTAAGTTGTATTATTCAAATTGTCTTCTTTTGTTCTTTTACATGTTTAAAGTTGTGAGTTTTACCAATACTGTGAGTTTCCTAGGTCTATGTTTGAACAATGTCTTTGCAGTCAGATGAAAGATTATGGTTTACCAAGTAAGAAAGTTGGAATGAACTGAGAATTTATGCAGATGGTGTGTGGTAAAGGAGTCATTTTTGTGGAATGGAAAGCCAAAATTCACAGCTTTGAGTCCTGAATTTCTTTGCATTTAACCCCATCACTTTCCAAGGTGTGCAATATGTTTCTCGATTTTAAGGTTTTATGGTTTTACTTAAAATTTGGTGTTTGATACACTCCTTTGTTGATGGAGCTTTCTTTATTTCCCAACATTGAGTTATTGGACGACCATGTGTGGTATTCTGCGGTTGATTTTCTTGCAAGTCATTGTTTATTCTGCTGATGTCTTTTTTTCAACCTTCTTATTATAATTGAGTAGTTGCCACAAAAGATCCTTGCATGAAATAATTAATCAGCGAATATTTAATTGCTGTAACCTACCTAGTGACCCTGGTCCCTCAGGATACGAACTCATTCATATGTATTTTTGGACAAAGTTTGGATAAAAACTGGTTATGCGTGCCTTAACTGCACAACGCGTATATCATGTTGCCACTTTGGCATCAGCTTTCACTTGGTCAACATTTGAATCTTACAATTTGTTATCTGGATGTAGAAGAAACTATGTTCCAAACTTTGAAATGTTGTTTTGATTTGTTTTTTTTGCAGTTCCATGAATAAAAGGAAGAAAAAGAGTATCAGAAGTAGTTCATCACTTCATTGCTACAAGTTAGCAGAGCCTCGTATCTTTAACCCACACTGTCTCTATTGACATGAAAATGTTTGTACCATTTTGGTATTTTGATTGGCCAAACTTTTTGGAAAACTTCTTAATCTGTGATGGGTTACTTCAATTGCCATCTTAAGTTTCTAGAGTCATATGTGGAAACAATCTAAACATGCAACAATCGAGTCTGATAATTTGAATTTTTTTCCTGTGACCTCAAAGTAGTAGTCATGATTTTCCCCCCTCTTTTTTTCAGGATTCATAATTGGTATCTCAGGTGTCATAAATCTACTACTCTTATTATTATCATTATGCGTTGTGATAAGGTCTAAAGACTTTTGATGTTCATGGAAGTGATGAAAATGCTGACAATGGTAGGATTTGATTCCACTGTAATTGTAACTCATCTGGGCTAAAAGAATCCAGCTCAATTACCAAACAAACACAAGTACAGAATCCAGCTTTTCTGGTACTAAAACTTCAACATCAGCAACATAGAAGCAGACAAACGAAAAGACATTACATTAAGTGCAACTAGTAACTTTAGTAGGAAGGACGAGATGCGCCAAGCCATCCTCCACAGTGGATGTGTATTGTTTTGCAGCAACGATTCGAGAATCCAAGCATGCTGGGGTAACATTTCGAGCATGTTGGAATTCTATAAAGCCTCGGACACATTTATGTAATAAGCTGAGTGTTTCATAAAAAAGCACGTTCACATGGTATTGCAAAGGTATACCAACTAACAAGTGACCAGTAAACCAATGTAAGGTAGCCTTGAAGCCTCTCATAGTAACATACCTACAAAAGAAAAACATGAGGGAAAAAAAGAGCCTCTGGTTGGAAGGAGGTTTGATTTCGGTTCAGCAACACACAAGTTCCTTCGACACACAAGTTCCTACCATCTTTGTTCTTCCCTCTCCTAGTGTATGAGTGAATATGCTACAGCCTACAAGCAACATTTACACATAAGGGTCAAGTTTTGTGGCAGTCTTTGAACGTAAACTATCACAGGGAAGTTGAGAGACTGGGTGACCGGCAGAGTATGTCCTACCATGGCTAAATCATCATCATCACATCTTAGGGGTGATTTATCCCCATAATATACCTGTGAAGTTACTGTAATACTTCTGCACTCGAAAGAAGAAAGAAAAAACACGCTGCTATAACAGATATTTGTGTCATCACTCAGTGATCAAAAAAGGTACATATAAGGTCTGCAAGCATCCCGATTATACTCCCTGGAAGGTTGACATTGAAGAAAGATAAGCAAAAATAAACTTCCCTAGGTATCCTAAGTCATATTCAACGCTGCATGGAAGGAAGATGAAGTCATATGAGAGAATGCTTGAAAGGCATGGAAGGAAAATTAGGGGAAAAGGTGAAAGTACCAACATATCACAATGTGAAGATATGCGGTCAGTATAGAGAAAAAGAAACCTACATTTCAAGCATCAATTGACTGAAATCCCACCAATTCCACATTGTCACAACATTTAAGAAGTCGTCTAAAAGTACCCAATCCGCGCCACAAGAAATATCCGCTAAAAACATCTATAACATTATAGAAACAGTTCCATCCAGTAATGGACGGCCTCTCTAAATCTACGGCGAAAATGCAGGCTAAACTTCCTATTCCTAATACACATAACCAGCCAAAAGAGCAAGCAGAATAAACACCTAGCAACTTATTTACTTTCTCTTCTTAGCAGGGGGTTGATCTTCTTCCTCGTCGTCTTCCTCCTCTTCATCATCATCGTCATCCTCCTCTTCATCATCCTCGTCACCGTCATCATCCTCATCATCATCATCGTCACTGCCTCCATTTCCATTGGCCTCAGGATCGTCTTCGGGATCCCCATCTTCATCATCATCTCCACCCTCATCACCAGAGAAATCCTCATCGCCAGCATCATCATCATCTTGGTCATCATCGTCTTCTTCCTCATCATCATCTTCGGTGTCACTGCCATCCACACATTCAGGCTCTGGCTTCTTCTTTTTGTGAAGTTCTTCCATAGGAAACCTGCAATGAAAAATTTAAATTTCAGTTTCTTGGTTAACCATACTCCTCCAGAAAAATGGGTACTTTTGATCCAAGAAACAAATCATTACCCTTTCAATTGTGGAGGTAAATTGTCACCATCCCTCAGCAGAGATCCAGCCTGGCCACATAAGAAAACATATAGCGATCATGTCCATGCTCTAAAATAATGAAAACATCTACGCAAGTAAACAGGAGCAGTAAGCAGAGCTAATGGAATGGTTAAAGGCACTAAGATATATCAAGCACAAGGAGTTCCATTTGCGGATACAAATGATGCTGTGAGGGCAAAAGAACTTTAAAATGTTTCCAGAGCTAAAGTTTCAGACAAATGCGACAGGTAAATAGAATTACTTTCGGATAAAGCAATGGTTGATAAAAGGTTTCTTCCCAAACAAACAAATGAAAGAAGGGAAAAAAAAAAGAGAAAAAGATTGAACAGGACCACTCACATAATCATGTAAGCACCATTATGAACACTAAATACATCAGTTAATGTGGATGTATCCCAAATTACCAAATCCTCTGATGTTAAATATTCTCTAGTAAGTTGTGGGGGAATGACAGTAAATAATTTAGAGAAACAGGAAGACAGAATAAGAGCACAAAATCAAATACATTAATTGATTTCAAAGCTATGGGGAAACACATTCAATGTTCCATTGCAAGTCCAACTGAGACAGCCCTCCAATAGAATTGTACCCAATTCATTATAAAAAATTACCAATACCCTCAAAAACCTTGCAGCAAACAGGTAACTTCGTGGAAGAGAAATCACATCAATTTATAATATCTCCCTTCCGGGCTTGCATCAAAGATAGGGTCAACAGGGGGGGAAATCCAAACAAAAAGAGCACTAGTAAGCGACTAAAGACTAAGGCTTTCAACCACAAGAAAACACATTGAGCCAAAAACAATTTAGTTAACTACCATTCATCCACCGAACAAACTAATAAACCACAGTAAAACAAGAATGGACACAACACCAGACAACCAACCAACCAGTAAACCCTCATAGAGACACAGAGAAAGAACCAAGAACAAAGGGAACAGGACCAAAATACTGAAAACCCCACAAAAAACAGAGGAAAAAAAGAGTAACAGGCATCATAAAAAATCAAACTTGGTAACAAAAAGGGGGGAATGGAGCAAAAAAAATTAAAACAGTTCATACCAAAAGCAGAAGGCAAACGAGAGATCTCTGAGCGGAAAGAAGGGTCTCGGCCACAACAGCTTTCACCATGGAGGCCACCATTGTTTTCTGCATAACGTCAGAGCTGAAGTTGCTGACCTCCATTGAAAAAACCCCTCTCAAAAGCAGCAGATTAACAGCACCAGAAGGGTAAGGACAGAGAGAGAGAATTGTTGGGATAGAAAAGAAAATACAAGAAAGAGAAAAATAAAAACGGCTTAAATAAGAACAACTTCCGCAAATTCTAGAGAGAGAGAAAGAGAGAGATGGGAGCGGGCTGTGGACTGAGGCGGAAGTAGGGTTGTACTAAATTGTAGTAATAAGATTGTCCAAATCTGAAAAAAACTTAAAAAAAAAAAAAAAGACTAAAATAATAATTTAACTAGGGTTTTTCAATGGGTGAAAACTGGAAAGGGTTTTGTGGCTACAGTAATTTCAATTTCACCGTTGCTGATCTTTTTACCTTAGCAGTAACTCACAGTAAATCAACTTGGAATCAAAGTAGTAGGTCCCACATTCTTTCCTCCTTCCCCACTTCATTCACTTTCTTTTTCTTTTCTCAAAGTGAAATTCTCACTAAAACACCAAAGAGATGAAAAAGAACCTTTTTTTGCTGTCGTCTATGCAAAACAACACAATTCTTCTTCAATTTTCCGGTGAAGAAAGAAAATGGAAAGCTCACATTCCAATTCAAACAATCTTCACCATAGCCAGAATAACGGTGGCAATAATAACACTAACAATAACAATAGTAAGCCGCCGAGGAGGTTTTTCAAAAGTAACAGTAACGTGAGCAATAGATCGATGTCATTGTCGGACACTGAATCTCAATTTGAGTCTTTCCATTCTCCTCTCCGATCGGAATCTCCCCTCCGATCCGATGATCCGATTTTCAAGTCTTCCCCTCCTTCTTCCAATTCCAAACAAATTGTTTCTGTTCCGGTTGATAAGTACTACTCCCCACTCCGGTCACCGAAAAAGCCAACTTCCGGCAATTCCAGCTTTGCCACGACGCCCATGACTGAACCGCCGACGCCTTCTCCATCTGGGTTGGTGATGTTTAATCGGTCCGTGAAGGATGGTGTGCCGCCGGGGGTGGAGAAGGTTGAGATGGGGCTGGGTGGCGGTGGTGGCGGTGGTGTTGCCGGCCAGAAGCCTCACCGGCAAAAAAAGGATTTATTGGTGAAGAAGGCAGCGTTAGGGTTCAGGCTTTGCCAAGTGATTTTGTGCGTGATTGCTTTCTCTGTTATGGCTGCTGATAAAACTCAGGGTTGGAGTGGCGATTCATTTGATCGCTACAAAGAATACAGGTTTTGCTTCTTTATTTAATTCTATTGTAATGCCAAATTCAGTTGCTTGATTGGTGTATGTTGATCTTGCGTTCTTTTTTATTATGAAATTCAGTTGCTTGATTTGTGTATGTTGATCTTGTAGGTATTTGGTGGCTGTGAATGTTATTGGATTTGTCTATGCAGCATTTCAAGCTTGTGATTTAGCGTGTTATTTGCCCACTGGGAATCAGATCATTGCAATCCCGCTACGCAATCACTTTGACTTCTCAATTGATCAGGCAAGTGAATGAAGTTATTTTTTATGCATTTACATACACCACAGTTCCCTTGTTTCTGTTTTTGTTGAATGGAAAGAAGTAGGGCATCTTTCTCATTGTTTTGTGCCTTTATCAGTTATGACGTTTAGTACCCTCTGGTTGGTTTCTGAATATTTTCAAGTTGGGTTCTCATTCTGCTGAAAGTAGTTTGATACGATTGTGGAGTTTATTTTTGGTTCGATTTTTGCTCAACTACCTTGTATTCTTCGGAGGAGCCCTTAATGTGGGGTGCATAGTGCAGATAAATGGTAACATGATCTTCTTCTGTTCTTCTCTGTAGCTTAGGTGTAAGATTTGATTGGAGTATCAGGTTTTTCATAGTGAATGATTACTAGGAGTATTTATCAAGGATGATGGAGTTCAGCCTGAATGTTACTTTTGTTTTATTGTAGCTTTCTCTTCCAGTGCAGTTGTGCCTCTATGCTGTTCTCAATGATTATGTTCATCAAGTAGCAATTTCGAGGTCTAGTTTTGAATCTTTTTGAATTTCTTAATTCCCTTCCTAGATTTAGTGAAGAAAAAATTAGTTACTAGCTGAACCAAAATTCTTAACACCGTCTGGCTGTACACCTTCCAATACGAATGTGTTGCATCATGTTGAGTTTGTTCTAAGTATCCATTTTATGCTTTGCATGCATTCACCAAGTTGCAGTGAGTCATTGTATAATTTTTACGTTATTGGAAGAGATGGAGCAGACACATCTCTGCTATATCTCGTTGCATGCTTTGATTTTTCCTTCTGAAAGTGATTACCGTTCTGACTGCGACAGGTACTTGCATATCTTCTTATGTCGGCATCTTCATCGGCAGCAACCAGGGTTGATGATTGGGTTTCTAATTGGGGTAAAGATGAGTTCACTGAGATGGCCAGCGCAGCCATCAGCATGTCATTCCTGGCGTTTTTTGCATTTGCCCTGAGCTCTCTCATGTCTGGTTATTTCCTTTGCAGTCAGGACACTACTTGATCTCTATTTATATACACATACCATAGTTTTCCTATAAATAACATTGAAGCTGTACAGGCCTACTGGTGTAGTAGAAAGGTTGGAGCTGCATTTAGTCAATTAACTAGTAGTTCTGTCTTTTGTATTTAAAAAGATGTACCGTGTTTGACTCAATGGTAACTTTATCTAGGATCATTTTTACCTACACACGAACAAGGTCAAAGTATATGGGTTTAGTTTGTATAGCTCAATTTGTTGACTCTAGTAGACTTGAGAGTCAACAATCTACTTTATTTTTATATCATTATTCATTGTCTCTAATGAAACCAATGAATCAAAAGCACATGGCGATTTGATATTGGTTTCACATAATCAAAAGTTTTCAAGTGCAAAATTGCTCTGAACATAACAGAGAGAATAAACTCGAGGCTCATCATTTCTCAAATCAAAACATAGTCCACTATACCCCTCAAATCTGACTCAGGCATGAGGCATCTAAGTAAATTCTAGTAACTGCAGCCAACAAACACTAAAATTTGTGCGGCCATAGCTCCTATGCAAAACCACCAGGCATCTAAGTAGTAAAATCTAGTAAATGCAGCCAACCAGCACTAAAATTTGTGTGGCTCGAAGGTAAAGATTACTTCAAACTGCTAGACAAAAAAAACAGCAGAATGTCCGAAAATCGCCTCTACTGATGATATTCCTCCAAGGGAGGGTGCTGGATTATCTCCGAACTGCAATGCATTGCAGAGATAACAAGAATCAGTTTTACGTAATCATTAATACTATACAACATTTAGATAAAGTTATGAAAGAAAAAAAGAAAAGGACTAATCAAAGTACTCTAAATACCTCTCCAATTAAGGCTTGGATTTCTTCATCCGGGAGACAATAGTTCTCAATTTCTTTGTTTGCAGGGTTTTGAACAATTCCTGGACCCACAATCTGCAAAAGTTCGGAGGTGGCTGTTTGATATTGATCACTGTTCACCATTGGAGAAATAGTAGTTGAAGCACTACTTGAAAGACTATCTGAACTTCCATGGTAAGAAGTATTGACTATGGACAAGTTTTCCCTTTCGTGCAATGCTGAACAAACACAATGATTGGTGTTTATGACAAATCAAGGTTTTCAATAAGCAATTAATTAATCCTAAAGAGAACTTTTTTTTTTTTTTAATTAGGAAAAACGACAATAAACTCACCTGGCAGTGAGCAAGTTGGGCGTGAATAAAATGGTCCATCTATGCAACTAGGCTGATGATGACCAGATGGTAAGGTTGACTTTTGATGTGAGAAATCTTCAAGGAGGACTGGGTAGCCACATGGTTGTTGTGGTAAAATATTTCTGGCTGGTTGACTTTGACTTGGAAACACGTCTTGGATGGGTTGAACTGGATTAAGGTTTTGGTGGGGAAGGTGGCTACTGAACAAACTGCTGCTTGAAGTATTTTGGAACAAATTGTTGCAGCCATCGTATCCAGCAAATGCAACATTGCTCCGCTGAAGTGATGCTTCTTTTTCCGCAGTTTGCCTGTGTTTCTGCCATGTTAAGTTGGTGCAAAATGTGTTAGCAAACTGCCAAGTACTTTTACTAATAAACGACTCAGTATGAACGTTGTACTTCTTTTGTCCAAAAAAAAATTAAAATTAAAAAAATAATAGTCCATATTGTGTAACAGGTCGTAGTAATGTTCATTGTGGAACTCACTTGAAGATGACTCGCTATATGTTTTCGAGCCAACCCTGGCTCATTCATGAGTCTGAGAATGGACTTTGGACTTGCTTCTGCAAAATCATGAAACCATAATGTCAATGTACAAAGGGAATCAAAGTGTTCTACCATACAACTGATTATTATAAACTAATTAAGAATGCAAATAATCCCTCCTATTGTCACAAACTCACAATTTTGAATTAAATAGAAGTACTATAGCGAGAAGGTACTAATAAGTTCACTAGTTCGTACACCATGACACAGTTAGGCAACAGTCTCCCTTTAGTTTTTGAAGTCAAAATCAAACTTCATAACTTACACTCTCTCTCCACTTCTGAGGGAATTGTTAAATTTGAGTTTCCATTTTAATATAAACTGAATCAAAATGAAATTTTAAATCGAATAATTATTTTGCTGACATAAAGAATAATAACTAAGATCCATGCATTAGGTATGTTACAGGCTTACAGCGATTGTCAAATTCAATTTCTTAATGCATGCATATATATATATATATATGTATATGAAGGGTTTGTATTTCACCAATACACAAGTTTCACGACACAAAAAGAAACTAATTAATAAATAAATCAATCAAAACTTAGAAAATAAGATCATAAAACAAATTGAAAGATGCATTAATCACAAAGGTGGGGATAAAACGGTACTAACTTTCTCCTGATCTTGCTAGGCGCTGAATAGCATCCTCGAAACTTGCGTGCCGTTCACGTGTCCACTCCATTCTCTGAGGTTTCCCAAACTTATTAGTAGTTGAACTTGAACATACTTTAGTGCTGTTGTGGGCGGATTGAGCTGCAACATAATGATATTGAGCTTCCTTCACAATAACATTAGGGTTTGGTTGATGATGATTAGAATCAATCTGCAGTTGGGGCATAGGTTTCGGACAATTTTTTGCATTTCTGATGACATGTTGCCAGATGTTTTTAAGGATCTCTATGCGAACGGGCTTTACAAGGTAGTCACTTGCACCACTTAAAACTCCCTTATTCACCATCTCAAAGTCGTCATTTGCCGATATCACTGCAGCAAATGAGGGGGAAAAAAAAAGAATTAACTCTTCTTTCTGTTTCAGAAAAAATAATTTTTTTTTTTTTTGGTTAAACAGGACTTACGTATCACGGGCATGCCGATTTCGCGACCTATGAATTCCACAAGTTGGAAGCCATCAATGTCGGACCTTAGGACATCGGTCATCACAATGTCGTATCCATTCCTGTTCCTTCTCAACATCTCAATTGCTTCGGATGCGTGCATGGTCTTACTCACTGCAATATTAATTGTACCATGAAAATACTCATTAATTGTAGTATTATTATTCTTGTAATATTATACCATATCCAGAAAGAAAATAAAAATTCAGCATATAAGATACCAGATCCCCACATTATAAACAACTTTTTATTGTATTTAAAAAAAAATCCGAGAAGGAAACCACTAAATTCATGTTGTAATTTCGACATTAAAGTAATTAGATTCATATAATCCTAACACACAATAAATATAACTAAAAAGGAACTTCCATGAGATTGATGAGAAATAACTAATATTTCTTTTGTCTTGAAAGGAAAATACAAATTTTAATGTGGACTATTTATAACCGAGTTTTTTTTTTTTTTTTTTTGCAACAATCAAGTATATACTAATTATTAAGATGAATTGAAGAATTTAAAGATATACAAAATCTAAAACACACACATATATTACTCACATCCACATTGCTTCGATCGGGAAATATAAATAAACACAAACAAATCAAACCATGTTAATTAATTGCTTGATAAATATTTTATGGACCGTAACGTATTATACTCTAGAAAAGAAGAATAGAGTGAGATGTACTCCCTCTGTCCCAAAATTATTGTCCAGTTTGAGATTTCACTTTTAGTTTAATTTGTACTAAAAATGAAAACTCAAACTGGACAATAATTTTGGGACGGGAGAGTATATACCTTGATATCCACACTTCTCCAAATTAGTAGCCATCACTTTGAGACAAACAACATTGTCATCTATGAGCAGCACCCTTAATCCTTGCCAGAAATTACCCTCTTTCTCCTCCATCATGTGAAATTTAGTACTTCCACTACTACAACTTTGAAATTTGTTTATCTCCATCGATCAATCTCAATTGCTTATAAGAACTGAAAATAGGGAGAAAAAACTAGTTTGAACGGCGGCCACAAAATAAAAACTACCGGAACAGAAATTTAGGACATCAACCAATCTTATTATATAGAACTTGGGACGGTCTATTTTTGGTAAGAATGGTTATAATGTCAAAGTCGTATCTTCATTTTTACTATCCTTCTCTTTCTTTCCTTTTCTTTTGTCGGTTTATTAATAATTCACCATAAAATCTTTTTCTTTTTTTGTTATACGTTTGCTATTAATTACTATAGTTCTCATGATGCTAATGGAGGAAAAAAAAGACGTCAAACGTAACTGCAAAATTATTCAAATGTTGATTCCATAACAAAACAAGGCTCTATCGTGTCAGCTTGACGGTCATTTCTAGGAGTACATGGAGTAAAATTTACTGTATGAAGTAAAAAAATTTTATTCAAGGTGATGCTTTTTACTCCATCCACAATTTTTGTAAAACGGCAAAGTTAAATTACAAATTTACATTGAAACAAATCAAAAAAACTCATGGTAACTTTTTGCAGTTCTTCAATTCAAGAGAAAATATATGAAACCGATCTTAAATCAATAATAATAAAAGTTCCAAGATTGAGGAGTGATGTAGGAATTTAGAATTGGCAAATCGCACATCGTCTCCGATTGAACAATAAACATGATTATTATTATTTTTACTGGTATTAGATGGATAATAAATAAATAACTTTACGAAAGACATTTTTACACCATCATGTTTCAATAAAGCCGACATATGATTGTTTTGACAAATAAATCTTTGTACTAGGTTTGGATGATACAAGGAAGGCCATTTAGGGTTACAATTTTGGCGAATACAAAATTGACGGTGGACATACTATGACATGTATATTTTCAGAAAATAAATCTCATGGGATGCTATTAATGAGAAGCTAAAAGCTAGAGAAAATATGTGGAGATGGAGATTTTTTCCTTCTTGTTTCTTGTTTTTTTTTTCCAATAGCAAAATATCTCTTGATTGCTTGTGTCCTCTCCCAAATTTAGAGTCCTGGTTATTGAACTGAATAATGCAACCGAGGAAATTGTAAACATTTAACAATACATAGTCTGATTACTTTCTCTCTCTAAGTATTGGGCTCTGTCTTCTCTCTAAGTACTTTCTATAAGGTTAAACTATGGAGAATGACCCGATCAAGGGTCCTCCTGATAAGATTAATGACAGAATGGAGACCACTGAAGCCGACAATATGACTCAATATCTTGAAGGAATGAAGGAAACCGAGGGCTGTGGGAACAACAACAGACCATGTCGTTCAAGGAAAGGTTGCTTGGGATAAGAAGAAGGAGAGCGTCAATGAAGGTTCAAATTGAACCCGGGAACGTTATCATGGAGAAGGTCCTAATGGGGGAGAAACTCAAATTCTCCGATAGGGTGAAAGCAATCTTTAGGGAGGATTGGGAGCATATAGTCGTGGTGTCTCTAGTTGGGGTTACACACACTTATCGGGGAATTAGCAACGCTGTGAAAAGGATGTGGTGTCCCGAAGGTGAATTTGAGATTCTTGACTTCACTAATGGCTTTTTTGGAGTTCTGTTCCCTAGTGCCGAAGAGGAAGATAAAGCCCTTAATGGAGGCCCGTGGTTTGTAGGACCTCAATGTTTGTCAGTTCAACGATGGATCCCGGTATTTAGAGGTTCAACGGCCACAGTTAATACGGTGGTAACTTGGATTAGATTACCAAATTTGCCAGTTGAGTACTACCACGAAATTGCTCTGTTCTCAATTGGGAATTTCGTCAGTAGAACTTTGAAAATAGACGAAAAGACATTGAATGCCGACAGAGGAAAATTCGTAAGGGTCGCCGTTGAATTAAATTTAAACGAACCATTGACTCCTAGCTTTCAGATTGAAGACCGATGGCAGGTGGTGGATTACGAAGGCCTCCCAGTCATCTGCTACAACTGCGGGTGTGTGGGTCATGGTAGTATCTTGTGTACATCGGAATCTAGGAACCAACCGGAGACGGAAGCGCAGGCGGGAAAGACAGATGAATAGGGGAAGGAGCAACCAATTTCTGGTGACTCGAGGTGGGCGAATTCCAAGTCTTATTCGGGATCTGGGGAGCAGGGCCGTGTGGGATTAGGGCCATGGATGGTGGTGCAGTGTCGTCAAAACAGATCGGCTCGGTTGTAGGATCCGACAGGGGAAAGTAGCCGCCGCAGGGAAAACATGGGGTGCAAATGGGCTCGAGGTTCAATGCCTTCGCAACGGATACTGACAGTCCGATTGTAAAAGGAACAACGACTATTACTCAAAAGGCTACCAAGGACTTTTCTTTTTCGAGCCCAAAAGAGATAACGACCCAAAGGAAAATGACAAAGAGGAACAATAAGGCCCACAAGAAGAATACAAGCAATAAGGGTGGCCTAACTTACAAAGATAGTCCAATAGAGGGGAGCACATCGGGTGGGTTAGGGTTGCAACCAGACCCGAATAGACACCACGATTTGTCTAAGTTTAACAAGCTTATTTTGAGAAATCGTGGGCTAAGCTCTGAGTATAACCTTGGTTCAGATATGGGGGAAAACGACATCGTGGGGAAGGGTAAAGGGAGAAGTTCAAGAGGGAGTGGAAAAGGGAAACTAAGGGTCTCTTCGGCTCAAAATCAGGCGACAAACGATTATCCACTATTGGGATAGGATTCGGACTACTCAATTATGATTAAAGGGGGGAAACAGAGGGGTAGACTATCACCGGTCTTGAAGGTGGCGCCGCTGATGTCGAATTGTTCAGCCATGGGGGTGAGTCGGGAGCATAGTCAACCTAAGCCTCCCGATCCAAAACCGATTGCCCTTTTGGCTGTTCAAGCTGACTTATCAGAGGGGGTAGTTTCGGAGCTACATCCAGCCAAGCCGCCGGACCTGAGTGGAGAAGTCCATGCAGAATTACCACCAGATACTGTACTGCAGGAAGTGTGTGCAAAGGCCCCCCAATAGGAGAGCTAAGTTTGAATTATGTCTTTGTCTTTCCTCTTCTTACTTAATAAGATGAATATTATCGCTTGGAATGTTAGAGGGGCAGGTTCACCGAAATCCGGGCCTGCTATAAAATACCTAGTAAGTGATTTTGAACCGGATACTTTTGTTATTTTGAAACCCCTATCAGTGGGGTAGATGCTGAGCGGGTGATAAGGAAGTTGGGGTTTGATTGCTGGTTTTTTGAAGAAGCGAATGAATTTTCGGGTGGTATTTGGATTCTCTGGAATAGTGCTTGCATTACTTTTAATATTTTATTTTCAACTAGATAATTGGTACATTTTAAATGGATGAAAGGAAACGACAGGGGGCTATGCACAGCAGTGTATGCGTCGCCGGCCTTACAGGTCAGAAAGGAACTATGGCAAGCTCTTTTGGCTCTTAAAAATAAAATTTCGGAGGCATGAGTTGTGTTGGGAGATTTTAATGTATATATAAGTGCATACGAGAAATCGGGGGAGGCCCAACTAATTTATCTAAATGTAGGGATCTTCATGAAAGTGGGCTGGCGGACATGGGATTCGTAGGCCCGAAGTTCACTTGGAGAAAAGGTAGAAATAGTAGTTTGCAGGAAAGACTTGATAGGGGCCTGTGCAACCCGGAGTGGAGGCTGAAGTTCCCTGAGAGTAAGATTACAAATCTATACAAGGTTAAATCAGACCACCGTCCAATTCTTTTAAGCCTGAGACAGGACTTGGCTCCTCCATTGGAGGAAAAACCATTTCGGTTTCAAGCCTGCTGGCTAACACACTCGATTTTCGAAAAGCTTTATTAGGGGTGCTTGGAGGGGGATGGGAGCTATAGTGAGGCAGAGGAGGAATTGAGGGGTCAATTAATTAGTTGGAACAAACGAGTGTTCAGAAACATTTTTGCAAGAAAAAAGAAACTTACAAAGAGGTTGGAGGACTTGGACAAGAGGCTAGAACTGAGTCCATCCAACTGGTTGGCTGATCAAAGAGAAAAAAATACAAGAGGAATTGGAGGAAACTTTGATGCAGGAGGAAATATTGTGGTTTCAGAAATCGAGAACCAACTGACTATAGTTCGGTGACAGGAATACTAGGTATTTTCATCTGAGCACCTTGACAAAGAAAAGGCGTGGGAGAATTGAGAAACTGCAAGATGATGGAGGTGAATGGGTGGTGGATCAAAGTAGACTTAAGAGTATGGCTGTGGAGTTTTAGAAAAACCTATTCTCAAGGAAAAAGGATTGGGGTGAGTCTTTGAACTTCTTCACTAATTTTCCTGCATTGAGTGAGGTTAAAAAAAGAAATCTTCTAAGGTCGGTTCTAGCAGCAGAAGTCAAAAGTGCAGTCTTTGGAATGGGGGCATATAAGGTCCCAGGACCTGATGGGTGGAGTCCGATTTTCTTTCAATCTCAGTGGGATACGGTTGGATAGAGTGACTGATTTCGTAATAAGAAGCTTCCAGGAGGGTAGAATACCGGTAAAAATCAATGAAAATTTACTCGTACTCATCCCTAAGGTCAAGCAGCCGACGTTGTTGACGCATTTCCGTCCGATAAGCCTTTGTAACGTTATTTGCAAGGTTATAACTAAGTTGGTGGCTAATAGGTTGAAGCCGTTAATGAGAAAAATTGTTAGCCGAACCCAGACAAGTTTTGTCCCGGGACAAAAGCTGGTAGATAATATTCTGATTGTACAGGAAGTGGTACATTCCATGAGGTTGAAGAAAGGAAAAAAAATGTTGGATGGCGATAAAAATTAATTTAGAAAAAGAGTATGATAGGTTGGATTGAGATTTTATTAAAAGGACACTACTAGCGAGATCTCTTCCTCCCAAGTTAGTCCAGTTAATCAGACAATGTATTAGAGAGTTTTAATCCCACTAGAGGAATCAGACAAGGAGACTCAATCTCTTTGTACATCTTCGTATTGTGCATGGAAATTTAGCGCAGAATATCTCAGTTTTAGTCGACAGGAATGAGTGGCGGAGGATTCAGATTGGAAACGGTCCCATAATTTCACATTTATTTTTTGCGGATGATTTGTTTCTTTTTTCAGAAGTTTCTGTTGAACATACATGTAATGCAAAGGGTTTTGTCTAGTTTTTGCAGTCAAGGGAGAGAGTCAATCTGCAGTAGACAAGGATTTTCTTTCCTGGAAACACCCTGTCAAATCTAAGAAGGACAATCAGGGAGGAGTTCAGATTTGGCAAAACGGCGGACCTTGGAAATTAATTGGGCGCACTAGTCATACATGGTAGGGTTAAAAAATGTACCTATAATGAGCTGTTGGAGAAAATCAACGCGTAGCTCTCTAGCTGGAAGGTAAACCAGTTGTCCCTAGCAGGAAGAGTCATGCTGGCACAAGCCTGTTTACAGTTAGTTCCCATGTTCCTCACGCAGTCGACTAAGCTCCCATTACACATTTGTGACGAAGTGGACAAGTTGATAAGAAACTTTGTGTGGGGGTCAACAGTTGATAAAAGGAAATTACACTTGGTTAATTGGGATACTATTTGTAGCCCAAAAGAGAAGGGGGGGCTAGGGCTGCGTAAAGCCAAAGAGAGTAATGTAGTTTTTTTTTGATGAAAATAGGCTGGGAATTAGTCAGCAAAGAGGTCGAGTTGTGGGTGAAGGTCCTAAGAGCCAAGTATCGCAAGGAGGTGCAAGGGAGTGTGTATTTGCAAAGAAAGAAGAATGCTTCTGACACTTGGAGAGCGTTTTTTATGTGTTTCATCTGGTTCAAAAGGGGGATTAACATGGAATATGGGGAATGGAAAAAGGATCCGTTTTTAGGAGGATAATTGGATAGAAGGTATGGGCAGACTAGACCACCAAATTGTGTGTCAGCTGCCTGAGGAATGGAAATCGAACCATGTGAGGGAGTTTGTTGATGCAAATGGGCGTCGGGATGCTGACAAAATGAACCTGTTCCTGAGTTCAGAGTTGGTGGAAAGAATATGCAAATTGCCACCACCTATGAAGGCTCTGGGGAATGACAGCCCAAATTGTTTTTTCAGCAAATCATGTAAGTTTAGTATCAAATCGGCATATAATATGGTATCTGATGATTCTATTTTGCCGGGTAGCAGGGACTGGAAAAGGGTATGGCAGTGGAAAGGTCCTCAGAGGATACGAACTTTTCTATGGTTAGCTCTACATGGGAGACTACCGACGAAAGACCTTTACAAGAGAATGGGGGTTTTGCTGACTGAGGTGTGCCCCTGCTGAAATCAGAAGGTGGAATCAAGCTTATACGTTCTGCGTAACTATCAATTTACGAGGGAAGTCTGGTTGCAGTTGATCCCAAGCACCAGGAGATAAATATTTTTTCAGCAGGATTTGAATGGGTGGCTGAGAAGTAATTTAGACACGGGAGACTTGAAGTGGCGTACAAATTTTAGGGCCACTTGGTGGTTGCTATGGAAATCTAGGAATGATAGAGTCTTTAATGGGAACATGACAAATGCGGGTGGGATTGTGAGAGCTGCTGTGCACAAATCAAATGAGATTGCCAAAAGCCAAAAGTTAATTAGTTGGCATGGAAGGCCAGCTTGAGGCAAGGAAGTAAAAGGTTGGAGGAGACCACCACAAGACTGGAATAAACTGAACTCTGATGGCGTTGCTTGCACTGTCTCCGGGACGGCAGCAACAGGGGAGATAATCAGAGATCACGCAGGTCATTTTGTACTCGCGTTTAATAGTAATGAGGGCAATTGTAGCATCGAGACGACCGAAGTACGTGTTATCCATCAAGGCTTACATGTAGCACGACAGTTGGGATATGTACGCCTTGTGGTTGAATCGGATTCCATTATGACGATTGAGACAGTAAATCGCCTTAGGAATAACTCAATCACGCCTCTTGATCATGACCTGCGGGCCATTTTCACTCTTTTGCAAGCAAACTGGGAGGTGCAATTCGTCCACACGGGTAGAGATAATAACATGTGTGCGGATGCCTCGCCAAGAATGCTTTGAATGTAAATAGGGGGTTGTATTTTTTTGAATCCCCCCCTCCCCCCAAGATTTTATTTCTTTATTGGTAGATGTAGAATTAGAGGGTGACTCTGTTTTGTAACTGTTAGGGTACTTAACTGCTATGCTAAGGTTGTTTTTAACCAAAAAAAAGAAAAGAAAAGATATTTTCCTTCAAAACTGAGTGTTTATTTGTCAATTGATTATTAGAACAACTATAAATTAATAGTATTTATAAATTATTAAATTAATTATTTTGTTTTCAAATTGTTTTTATTGTAAATATACGTCTCATCAAAATCATAACAATAATAAAAAGAAGTAAACTATAAACTAGTAAAATTAGTAATATTTGTTTTTTTTTTGAAATTTACATATGAAGAGATTTTATATTTGATTTTCCCGTTGCATTCGAAACCTTTAGTTTAGTTTTTCCAAACTACAATAACGAATTTCTATAAGTAATTAACATGTTAAATTCTTTTTTTTGTGTGTGATCTGTATCTAAGGGACTGAATCCTCATCATCTTTATGATCATTTAAATTTCTAATTACACTAACTAGAATATGCTCCAAAATTTATTTAACTAATTTTTAATTAATCAACTTATAATCATTAATTTTTGTTGGGTTTTAACCGTATTAATTTGTAGATTATAGATATTTTACAACCTAACCTTTTCTATCATATTTTCTTAAATTACCATTATTATTAGAAAAAGAGAGAGCATAAAACAAAGAAATCTGTCTATATCTATCTATCTATCTATCTGTCTATATATCTATATCTATAAATATTACTATAGAGAAACCGGAGAGGGAAACTAAATTTCATTTTTAGAGTGACAACTAGGATAAAATCTTATGTGTAATTATTTCACGTATTCTCTAAAAAATAAGTATGGAAATTGTGTTAATACCGTTGAATTTTATGTTAAATTAAACACTAAATTAGGTTCATCTTATATGATAATAGTTTAAATAAATCCCTAAAAATATAACTTTTTTTTTTAAAAAACGAAGAATTAGGAACCAATTTTAACACAATAATTTTGATAACATTTTTATAATTAGGGCGGATATACAGAGTTTTACGCTATGACATATTTCCATGATCGATTGCCTTTGAGTATAATAGTCCAATTTGCATTTAGGATCACTCTAAAACAAGGTGACCAATAACGTTTAGACAAAATTAATGGAATAAAACAACAATGTCCATAAATTAACCTTAATCCCAAAGTAAATCAGAGAGAAAACAAAGTTACATATATAATAAATAAAATTATTTATCCAAATACGTCTCTTTTATTCAAATTATGATCAACTTTGCCTTTACCTTTACTATTTGATAAATTTTATTTTTGCATTCTACATATTTGTATTAGATCCACGTGAATTATTTAATATGTCACATAGTGTTTCCTCAATTAACATCGAAATTAAACATTTAAGATCATTCATTATATTTGTTTTTTTCTTAAAAATATTTTTAGTAAAAAAATAAATTTAAAATTTATTAACCACGCATCTAGTATTATTAGTAAAAAAAAAAAAAAAAAAGAAAGCAAGTTGTCTGTCGGGGGGGAAATATCTGTAAGAGGTTTGGGCAAAATTGATTGGATCTTCGGGGAGTTGAATCAAAGTCCCAAACGTTTGCAAAACTTTGCCAATATCCTCGAACCCAGTCAACTTCCGTCCCCGCTGTCTCACCTTCCTAGAAAAACCCTAGACATTTTTCCCCCAATTTTTTTGAAAATGATTCTCAGATTTTTTATTTGTATATGTACACTTTCAGACTAATTTTTTTTTTTTTTTGAAACGCGTCTAATTTGTTGATCCTCTTCTCCCCCGGTGTATTATTATTGATTCTTTAGTATTTTCGCCGGCTGACAATTGTTAATATGTCGTCGGAGATCGAGGTGGTGGAGGAGGTTGAATCCAGAGATCATGATTCATCATCCTCCGCCGTTGCCGCCACCGCCGCCAACGGTGGCGGTGAGATAGAGGAGGAGAGCTTGAGGAACGATGTGTATACCGCCGCGGCTTATGGGGATATGGAGAAGCTGCAGAGATTGGTGGAGAGCGAGGGCTGCTCCGTCTCCGAACCCGATTCTCTCGGTTACTATGCCCTCCAATGGGCTGCTCTCAATAACCGCACTGCTGCCGCCCAATACATTATCGAGGTTCCAAACTGATCTTCTTCATTTCTTCTTTTATTTTTGCGGTTATTTTTCAGTTATTGACTCAGGTTTATGGCGTTTTTCATTAATCAGCTCGTAGCTAACGTAGCTTTGTTTTAGTCAATTCAAAGTCAATGATGGCTGTTAATATGCCCTTCCTGTTTATGTGTCTTGTGAATTCCGCCTGTTGTGTTGGCTTTAGATTTCGTAGTTTTGCGCTTCGTAAATTCTTCCTTTTCATTTATGTAGTCTCGTCTATCAGTGTTGAAACAGGGGGAGTAAATCAAGAGAATTTGATTTTGACTGATTGTTATTGGTGGTTGGCTTGTGTTTTGCAGCATGGGGGTGATGTGAATGCTGCAGATCATACAGGGCAAACAGCGTTACATTGGAGTGCAGTTCGTGGTGCAATGCAAGTTGCCGAAGTTTTACTTCAGGAGGGTGCTCGGGTCAATGCTGCCGATATGTATGGGTACCAGGTTTGTTTTCATTACACAGTTTCTCCTCTGTGAATTTCTCTGCTAGTTAGTGGTGAGAGTTTCACTTGTCTATTATGAAGGCACATTATAATTTCATTATATGGTAGTTGAACTTGAATTCTTAGAGCTGATTATTTATCTGCTCTTCAATTTTCTGATACCGTACCAACAATCTCTATGCAGACAACTCATGTAGCTGCACAATATGGCCAGACAGCCTTCCTTTATTATATAGTAACAAAATGGAATGCTGATCCTGATATCCCTGATAATGATGGAAGGAGTCCTTTACACTGGTACTTACAAAATGTAATTATTATTTTTTTATATCTGAAAGAAAATGTGCTTCAGTTTCTTTGGTGTTAGGTTTTAAATGATTTTTTGATTTATATGTTATTGTGAAGATTTTGAAGTCTATTTGGGACCTTCGAACTCTATTAGTGCGCCCTCTCATGAAACAGTAATGGCTGTGGATTTTTTCATCACATAATTGGTTGTCTTGGTTGCTCTCTTAATATATTGAATTTACATTGGGAATTTTTTTTAAGTATTATCAGTGTCCTTCAATTAGTTGTCTGCATTGCCTTGCTGGGATGGCTTTTTTTTTTTGGGGTTGGGGGATATGTTAAATTTGCAATGGTGCAAATGTTAAATCCTTGTGCCCCCCTAAGATATTCCTTTTCTTTTGGTTGTAGGATAATTATTATTTTCATATAAGCAGCAGAGCTTTACATATTTACATTTTTATCAAAATGGTAAATGCAGGGCTGCATACAAGGGTTTTGCCGACTGCATACGGCTTCTACTATTTCTAGATGCATACAGGGGAAGACAGGATAAAGAGGGTAATATATGTTCCTCGTTGTTTCTATGCGCTTGGTTAATTTGCTTCTGATTCAGTAATATATAAGATTATTGATGGCATTCTGGGATTAAAAGTTGTATGTCTTATTGCTCGTAGGTTGTACTCCTCTACACTGGGCTGCTATCAGAGGAAACTTAGAAGCTTGTACAGTGTTGGTACAGGCAGGGAAGAAAGAAGATCTTATGCTGACGGATAACACTGGCTTCACACCTGCACAGCTTGCTGCTGATAAGAATCATCGACAAGTTGCCTTTTTCCTTGTAAGTAACTGTGCATCTCCAACTACTTATTTTTAGTAGGTTATTCTTCTTAAGATCTTATGCCGAAGCATAAAATTATACTTCTGAACATGCTTTAAACTGTTTCAGTTGATTGTAGTTTTCGTCAGAATTTTTTAATAACTATTCCTGAAGACTCTACTTGTGATTCTCAGGGTAATGCTAGAAAGCTTCTAGATAAAAAATGTGATGGAAACAGCCGACTTGGGAAACTATCAAAATTGGGACTTGCTCCAGCTCTTTGGTCCATTATTTTTCTGCTGCTAGTTACCTATGTTCATTCAGTAATTATGTGTATGTATCGGGATCTTTCTGTTTCCTTCTTGGCTACTTCATGTGCACCATTTAGCGATCTCTAATCTATTCTGTTACTAAACTTGATGCAGCTCCTACTCTACCAAAATTAACAGCTGGATTTGCTCTTCTGGCTTGGTTGGGTGTTTTCCTGGCAACTTCCGGTTTAGTTTTGTTTTATAGGTGTAGCAGGTACTGTTATTTTTATTTCTGTAGCGTGAGATCTGGTTGAAATTTTTTATTCTCAGAACCTCCTCATTCTTGCTTTCTGGCTAAATAGTGTAATGACAGCACTTGTCCAAACACTATAGTGTTGAATAATAAGTGAAAAATGAAAATATATTAGCCATTATGCTGCTACAACTACATGCTCTGTCTTAAAACTATGTGCTTACATATTTCCATTTCGCCAATTTGTGATTTTTTCTTCCAATAATCTGACACGGATATTCTCAACCCCGATTGTCTTACCATGAATTATGTGAAGCAAAGAACAAATGACTATGGTACTTCCTGTCCCTATAAGTTGATAACCTTTGAGGTACCTTTGTTCAAGTTGGTTATTTTCGCCTGAGATGATTCAAAATTTGAAAGCATGCTAAAGTGAACTGTCCCAGTTTCTACTCTTCAATAATTTTGTTTAGTGACTGGAGTAAAAAATACGATAAAATTTCTTTATGCTTGCCATGGTCTGAAAGTTACATCTACTTTCCTTTGCAGCAAAGATCCAGGTTACATCAAAATGAATATGCATGATTCTCAAAATACAAGAGATGATGTAAGTTCATTTCTTACCCTTTCTTGTTCTTTTGCTTCCTATGTATATGATCCATAGCCTTATGCAATGTGATGTAACTGAAATTTTTTATCTTGCTCTTGCTAAATGCTTCTTTGCTTCTGCTGGAAGTCTATTTCTTACATCTGGCTTAAGTATTTTCCGTTTTTATTGTTTGGTATATAGGAACCCTTGTTAAAGATGGAATATAATCATCCTGCATTGCTTGCTGGGAATTGGGCTCAGCTTTGCTCCACTTGCAAGGTTCTATCAGCTTCTAATGCTTCATAAATCAACTTTTGTTTTAGCTTGATGCGGCTTTTAGTATTATCTAATGTGATTATTCTTATCAGATTGTTAGGCCACTTCGCGCAAAACACTGTTCCACATGTGATCGTTGTGTTGAACAGTTTGACCATCATTGCCCTTGGGTATCGAATTGCATTGGCAAGGTTCTGCTTTTACCTACTTGTTTTGAATTGATGGATAAAGTTATGTTGAATTTGACATGTGCTGTCATAGAAATATAGCATGAGTAGTTTACTCTGTATAGTGGAGGGTGGTAGGTAATTCTTGTTTCCTGCATAGTTCATTCCATACCCAGCTGAATTCTGCTAGGTGATTCGAGTTATACGTCAATGTTGGATAGTGAGCAAAAAAAAGTCAGTTTACCTGGAAGAATCAATCTATTGAAGAACCTGAAAGTTTGACTACTAGTTAACCTGCCTTCATTAATGAAATAGGGCAGAACATCTAACTTTTTTGTGAACGAAATGGAATATGGTTTTGCTTTTGCTGGTATAGTTAGAAACATGGGGCTCTTGTTTCCTTATTATATTATTTAGGGGATTGTTGAAGGGGTTGGGCGGGGGCGATTGGGGGAGAGGGAGGTTGGGGTTGGGTTTACATGGTTAATTTTACAATGTTCTTTTTATACGCAACTTGGATGTGATTGTCATATTTGTTGAAAATCAAGATGCATCTCTGGTTCACATTTTGTCTGACCTGTTATTAACTTTTGGTTCAGAAGAACAAATGGGACTTCTTCTTGTTTCTTGTTTTGGAAGTGTTGGCTATGTTGATTACTGGTGGAGTTGCTTTAATAAGTAAGCATTTTGTCTTTGTTGCTGTAAATTGTTTCTTATACCTACCAGTTCGGTATATCATCAGACATTCTGGGGGGTTGGCAATTTTAAGTTAATCTGCTTTTTTGGTGTGACAGGAGTCGTGACTGATCCATTAGCTCCATCTTCTCTTGGAGGCTGGTTAAGCCATGCTGCCAACGAGCATGTTGGTGCAATTGGATTCATAATCTCTGATTTTTTCCTGTTATCAGGAGTTGCAGTGCTGACTGCTGTTCAAGCTTCTCAGGTATATTTTTAGTTCAAAATGTCTTGTATCTGGAAAAAGTTTCTCGCCTTTGTCATAGAGTCTGGTTTCCTCAAACCTTACTTCATTGTAATGGGATTTTTTTTTTTTTTGGCTTTTTGCATCAGATCTCACGTAATATCACAACAAATGAGGTAGCAAATTTAATGCGGTACTCTTATCTAAGAGGACCCGGTGGTCGATTCAGGAACCCATATGATTATGGGTGCAAGAGAAACTGTTCGGATTTCTTGATCAATGGTTACAATGAAGATATCGAGATACTTGATGAGGAAGCAGGTCAGACTGAAGGAGGTATCAGGATGATGCAGATGTCAAGAGCATCAAACCTTCAACAAAATGGGGTCTCCTCCCATTCACATCATCAAACCAATGCCAATGGAAATGGCAACGGCCATGTAGTAGTAAACGTGAATAACCACCACCATTCTCATGTTCATTCTTCTTCTTGTAATCATAAAAACAACGCGAAAAATGATTCGTCGGTTCCTATAGGATTAGGAGTTGGTCTTGGCGGTCGCAACACCGCCCGCGCTGTTATATCTTCATGATTAATAGTTTCCGCGCCTTTTTGGCCTGGTTTAATATAGGTTTTTTTAGGTTCTGAAAACTATTTTGTAAGCGATTGCTGCTATGGAATTACTTTAGGTGATTCCATTGATTTTTTGTTGTTTATACTAGCATACACACAGTTTCTTATTTAGTTTTCCATTTGTTTCTTCAATTCAATTGTTTAGAATGCGTGTGAAGGGCAAGTGCTACTCTTCTTTGTTTTGTTTCAATTTTATCGGAAGTTCCCGAAGGGACGACCGCCTAATTTCCTTACTCTTTGATGGCCATAAGTTGCTTTGGAAGAAGAATCTGTAGACTGTAGGTCATCATCGCCCATGGTTTTGATGATGACGACAAGGAAAAATCTCTGGAGGCAGGCTCCTCTTTCTCTCTTGGTCCACAAATCACTCAGGTATACATTTTTCATTATTGGGAAATACTTCTGTTTTACTTTTAAAACAGAATTACCATTATGGTTTTACTTTTTAGCTTCGTATTATCTCTGTGATTTGGTGTTGTTAAGAATCTTATCTCAAGCATCTTCTTTAACATGTGTACATGTACTATCTTTTTCCTTCCAAAATGATTTGTCCTGTTCCTTCCTTGTACTCTAGTAATATAGACTCTGTTTTTTTTTTTTTTTGTGGAACTCGCTAGGTTTGCAGTATATTCAATAGAATAAATGGAATTTTGGGACAGAATAAATATTTCTGAATATATTTTTATTATAATCTAGGGGAAGCTATTTCTAATATTCTGGTAACTAGGATAATTCCTTTTCCCTTTCCAGAGTTCCCTCCCAACTGCACTGAAATCACAATCGTAAAAGTGGCATCCCATAGCCAAAAGGGGTCGGTCCTCAACGCCAATGGATTTGTAAAGCTGGAAATGATGGGAACAATTTTTTGATTCCATGCATGATGCATCATGCCATGGATTTTATAGCAATTTTTTTTAAAAAAAAATACAGATAACTATTGAGTTATTGGCCTAAATATTAGTAGTAATAATTTCTTTGAAGGCAAAAGTTTCACTCCCCCGCATTTTGTGAAAAAGTTTCATAAAAATAATTAATATTAATTTATTAGTTCGTATACAATTTTTCCCCAACTTTTCACGTTCCCAACAACTTGTAACACTTTCAACAGAGAACTAAAATCACAACTAATACAGAAACCACTAAAATTATCACAAAATTCGAAGTTGCTGATAAATGAATGGTGTAGATGTAGTAGTAGTCATCAATGATGCATTTGGTTGATGCGCATATGCTGTGATGGTAAAAAAAAAATAAAAAATACTTTGAAACAAAGGGAAAACAACTCAGGACTAAGGAAAGTATTATACTCCTTCCGTTCCATAATTATTGTCCACTTTGCCCAAAAAATTTTGTCTCAAAATTATTGTCTAATTTGACTTTTTATGGATCAAGTTACACATTTATCCTTAGTAAAAAACATTATCCATTAAAATTTTTGTGGTTAAACAATTACTTATATAGGGGTATATCCAGTTATTTAAGGTAAATATAATTAAGTTTGACTAAAAATAAAATCTTTCATTTTAGTAAAACTGGACAATAATTATGGGACGGGGAGAGTATAAAGAAAAAAAAAAAGAAGGATAAAAGGAATCTGGAAGAAGAAGATACAGTTTACACACAGTTTTAATGCATCTATATCTCTCTCTCTATTTAAAAGTAGTTTTCAGTTTTCACAAACTGGCAAGAATCCAAAAAGAGACTTTGTTACTATGATGATGAAGTGGTGGTATTTGGTCATATTTTGATAATGTCAGAAAATGGCCACTATGGTTTTTCACAAAGCCAAAAGCTTCGACAAAATCCATGATGAATATAGTATACATTATATATATATTTTTTTTTAATAGGAGATGCTGATGATGAGTTTTCTTCTTGCCCAGGAAAGCTTAAAAAAAAAAAACTATTTTAGAGGATAAGGTCTCTTTCTTTTTGTTTGATTACAACGTTGTAGAAAGAAGCATCCATCCATTCATTCGTGCTGATCGCAATATCCTTTTACTTGCCTTCTGAAAAAAAAACATAAAATCCTTAGAAAAACTGATCGTAATGTAAATCACACAATCGATGATTTCTTTTTTCTTTTTTTTTTTTTTCAAATGATCATACCGTGATCATTGTATAATTTGCATTCCAGATATGATACACAGAAAGGAATAGTACTCCCTCGTCTCATAATTATTGTTCAATTTTGATTTTCATTTCTAGTTCAAATTGTACTAAAAGTGAAATATCAATCGGGACAATAATTTTGGAATAGAGGGAGTACATTTTTTGGTGTATTAAGCATCTGATGTCCGAAGTGATTGTTTCGACTAAATTGAGAAGGGAAACATAGTTTTTATTTACATATAGGTAACATGAATGTATATTCCTACATAATAAAATTATCATTATCATGCTTTTGTCTAGAAATGATGATTGCTGAGTATGGAGTTTTAATTTATAACTCCAGTCATTTTTACTCCAAACTGTAAAATCAATTTTTTTCCCCCTTATTATCTGATTGTTTTATGAATTATGGGATCAATCAAACAAAAACGCCACGCAAAAAAGATAAATATAGAGAGACACGTTACACTCAGCAAATGCCTTGGGTCCCACAACCGTTTTTCGGCTTTTGTTCTTTTCCAATCTTTTGCATTTCACCGCTATTTTCTAAGCCTTTATGTACTACTTGTTTTCTCTGGGATGATGACTCTGTCTCTATATGATCCCCCTCTTCCTCTTCCTCCTCCTCCTCCTACGATTCTCACTATTATGCCACCACTTCAACTTTAACCAGAGTTTCAGTTACAACCCAAAACCCCATAATTGCTCCTGGTCTTCTTTGTTTTTTTATTTATTCATTTTTGGACTGGATATTCTACTGGAAAGGAAAAGAACCCTCCAAAGATTTTAGCCTTTTCTGGTAAGTTTACGTAATTTGATCAAACATACGTTATGGTCTGTTATTATCGTCCCTTTTGACATTTCACGTGACTCCTTACGTTGGATAAAGTTGGAGTCTTTCTTCCTTATTTTACACATATAGTGAAATGATGAGGCGGGATTTTTGGCATTTGGATTTGCCCGAGTCATGTGGATTACTGTGTAACTAGTAATGTTTCATTCGTTTGAACGTTTAAACAAAAATTGTTTCCTTTTTCATTGATGGTGAACTGTATTCTTTGTTGATTAAAGACACTGCTTAATGTTCATTTTCTCCATACGTAAATGTTTGATTGTAAATTACTCTGTTTGCTATTTGGTTGAGGTTAATCTTATTGTTGATTAAAGAGTCTGCTTAATTCTATTTTTGGCGCTTTTTAAATGTTTGCTCCAGTAGAAACAAAAACTTCCCATTTTGAGAGATTGCATACAGAGCACAATTTTTTTGTTTTTTTTGTTTTTGCCTTCTGTGTTCTGTTCTTTTTTTGGTTGTGTGAATTCTTCTTTCTGCTGTATGGCATTTTGTTCTGGTTCTTTTATGCTTTCCATGGCATTAAAAGATTAGAATGCTCTTCTTTTTTTTTTAATGTTGTTATAGCTCGCGTCTCTAATGTTAAACGAGAAATAGCTATAATCTGAGGACTAATTAATGTCCAATATGGTTCTACAGAGCTGCTTGGATTACTTATCAGGCTCTGTGTTGGAGGTTACTTTTCACGAGGATGGGGGGTGTTTGTTCTTGGAAGAGAGATTACAGTGCAGAAGAATATGGAATTCGCAGAGGTATATCTGGAACATACTTCAGAAGTAGAAGTTGGAAAAGGCAAGGAACCCCTTTTCAGCCACTTACCGGTTATCGCCCAAGAGGAGCTTCTTGCCCATCACTTCTGGAACTCTGCATTTACAAGATACGGGAGGTATATAATTTTGTCGGGTGGATGAGTTTTTTTCTGTGAATGGTTTCATCATGTGTTATAATGTATCAGGACGTCATTAAATACAAGTCGTTCTCCTTGCTGCCAAGAGATATAAGCCAGTTGATCTTTAATGACCTTGTCTCTTGCCACATCCTTTCTGATAGTTCAATTCAAGCTTTCAGAGACTGTGCTCTGCAGGTGATTTTGTAAAAATTCAAAAACCTTGTTCAGTTCAAAATCATTTGACTATGGGTTGTCTCATCTATTTGAGTTCATGTTCACATTTGGCAGGATATATGCCTCGGGAACTATCCAGGAGTCAAAGACAGTTGGATGGATGTTCTCGCTTCGCAAGGAATAGCTTTACTTTCTGTTCATCTGTCTTGTTCTGATCTTACAGACTTGGGATTGGCTCAAATTAGGAACTGTTCAAACATCCAAGCATTACTTCTTGATCATTATGATCACATGTCTGAACATATCTTAAAGCAACTTGAAGGTTACCATATATGTCTTATAGCACCAGTAAATACTGAAATTTATTTTTCTCTCAGAGTTGGGGGTAGATGAATACTTTTGTTCCGTTGGGTATATTCCTTCCATTCTTCATTCTTAGTAGTTAATATTCATGTCACTATGCTTTTATCAAGTTGTTGCATGTAGAATCAAGTAGTTGAGAATTCTTAAGGTTTCCACTTTTACTTCAGGTCTTTCAAACTTGGAGTATTTAGGTTTCATGAAGAGTGATGCACTAACTGGAGAAGGCATGCGTGCTTTATCCAGCTTATGTAATTTAGCTGCATTGGAGTTTGATAGATGTCCTCGTATTCATGGCGGGCTGGTCCATGTTAAAGGTTAGCGTTCAGTTCTGTCTCATCTGGTTGTGATATGGTTTCCTTCTGACATAATGTCTCAAGGTCTTTTACATTCATGACATCCTGAACTTCCTTTGCAATTTCTGAATATTTGTAATGAAATGTCTCATTCCAATACAACATGTTCACAATTAAGAAAGGGCAGCAATAGATCTTCACATTTGTCTGACAGACCCTGATAATAATTGTATAAATTATGTTTCTTCATTTATTGCTCCTTACGAAGTCATTAAGTGGCCTGAAATAAAGTAGAAGATGGTAGCTGCAAGCATGCTTATTAGTTCTGATTTTAATCATCGCTCGCTTAATGATTCTGTTGTCATATAATCAGTCATACTTTTGATCTTTGATGGAATATTATTCTCTCTACAGGTTTATCAAAGCTTATGTCTCTGAAGATCAGGTGTTGCAAATGTATTACGGATTCCGATGTGGAGTCTTTTGCAGGTAGCCTGAGGAAAATTCGATGGATAGTATATCAGCTTCAAGTAAAAACTGGTTTTCTTGGTGTCATACTTCACAAGTTTTCATTGCTTCAGGGCTTGAAAATTTGAAGGAATTGCAGCTTTCATCTGTCAGCATTACCAATATTGGAGTTTCTTATCTGAAGGGTATGGCTTAGCACTTATGATGCCGTTCCCTTTTACTAATAATCTTGTATGGGTACTTGGGACTCCTTTTATGAATTAACATCAATCAAACTGGCTTTGCTTGAACTGCAAGTACGGGAGCATGAGTAATAAATACGAACTTGAATGAGTGGAATACCAACAAGTAGTATCTACCTGATAACCGAAATGGATAAGATTAAACTTGTTAAATTACGTGAATGTGATGCTGTTATTGTCTCATTTCCTCATTTTAATCCCTTATTCAATAAAATTAACCCTTCAGGAAAAGTAATAAATAGCTGCTAGCGGGTATTTTAATATGATCTTGTTGTGGTTGAGTTCATTGTTCAGATGGATTTTGCGTGTATTTCTCGCACTCCTTTTCCTGGTGATCTAGATTTGTTTCTTGATAAATTATACTTATTACAGATTTGACGAACCTTGTGTCATTGACTGTGGAGGGATGCAATGTTAATGCTTTGTGCTTGGATTCGATTTCAGGTTTGGTTTTCTTTTCTCCCTTTTTTTTAAGGCTCAAGAATTCTGCTGCCGTAGAACTGAAATCCATTTGGCATCTGATTAGAATGTGATGTGTGAGTAGAGACTCTTCTTGGAGGTTTTTCGTTGGTCATGATCCGTAGGATAGAAAACGTAATTGGAGAACCTTTCCTTTAAGTTGAAACTGTCACATCATGTTGTTGAGTCCGCCTCAGCCCATGTATTTAGAGTAAACCGTGTGGTCACATTGATATGAACATGATTAGGGTACTTCATGGTGATTTTGGAGATTACTGCATTGCAGCCTGAATGGCTACCATTGTCTACTTAAATTTCATGTAAATGGTCTTACTGAAACCAGCAGGGGGAGGGGAAGGAGAGGGAGGAGGGGGGTGGGGGGTGGGGTTGGGGATTTCCAGATATAAGTAAACTACATTTTCCCTTCTTTTTTGTCATCTTTGCGCTTATTGATATTGGTGCCTTTTTTCCGCAGCTCTTGTTTCGCTTGAATATCTGGATTTGAACAGATGCTCGCTTTCTGATGAAGGATGTGATAACCTCTCGGGTTAGCTTTTTTTTATAGATTTTGTGCTCCTGTTACTTTTGGATCATCCATGACGGCTTTCTGGAATTAAGCTGATGTTACCTGGCAATCGTGCAGCCTTTAGAAATTTGAAAGTGTTGAACTTGGGGTTCAACGATATTACAGATTCATGCTTGGTTCATCTGAAAGGTTTTATTTGCTTCGCCACCTCAATTTCTGTTCTGAATGTTTCTCCTTTAGATATGTATCTATAAGAATCCTAGGTGCTTCGTTTTGTTTTCATACCTGAACTTGGACTAACATGAACATGTCTTCTAAACCTTTGTCCTTGTCAGATTTAACAAAATTGGAAACACTGAACTTGGACTCTTGTGGAATTGGTGATGGAGGGCTTGCCAATTTAGTTGGTAGTTTCTTTTCTAAAAAGCATACATGTTCTTTGATCCGTTTTACGTGATTTTCGGGCTATCATGTTTTGTCATTGTGCTGTTATTTTGGGAGCCATCAACTGTGTTTAATGTCAACAGCCTATGGATCAGTCTGAGTTGTAGTTAACAAAGCTTAAGATGTTTTCGTGGTTACAGTACTTTGGTTCTGTGATGATGAGATTAGATGTTACGTAGACATGTTTTTTCCATGCTAATGGTGCATAATTTCAAATATTCAGATATGCGGGCCTTGCGGAACTTGCAGCTGTCTGATACTGAAGTCACTAGCAAAGGACTTGGCCATCTTTCTGGTAAGAATTGTTGCGTGTATGCTATGTGATGATTTTTCTTTAAGTGTGGTTTGATTATACCTGATTCAGTTTTCAGTTTTGGTTTTTGTGGCTAGCTACTGTATTCAAGAGATAGTAGTAAAGAAATATTAGATCTATGCCATTATTTTTACTACTTTGTTGAGTCCAATATTTTTGTATATCGCCTTCCAACTCTTTTGGGATTCAGTTGACCTATCGTTCTTGTTGTCTTTCAGGCTTAACTAATTTGGAGGAAATCAACCTGTCTTTTACGTCAGTTACCGACTCTGGATTGGAGAAATTATCTGGACTCAAAAATCTCAAATCGCTGAATTTGGATACTCCTAGAATTACAGATGAGGGTCTTGCAAAGCTCACGGGTAGGAATTAGATCATTTGTTCTTTCTAACTGGTTTTACGGGAATGCTTTTTCCAGTCAATAGGAATTAGGATCACTTTAAGTTTTTCGCCCTCTGTTTGAGAGCAGAGCCAGTTGCTTTGTGTTCTTTGACATGTTAGTTTTATGTTATGACCTTGGTTTTTTGCATTGCTCTTCATATGCATGTAAAGACTTTTTCCACCTCTTGATCCTTTTTCCTTAATTGAGGTGGTTGCAATAATATGTTTAAGAAGTAGTGTATGTATTAGAGAGGAATTTTGACTCGAGGACATCGTAGGACCTTGCTTTGTGTTTCTTCAAGACTTCAAGTGTCTAATTGGACTCCTTTATTTTTGTCGTGTGTTGCCTTATAGGCCCCCAGGCTTCATTAATTGAGTTCTATTAACTGCAGGCTTGACCGGAATTACTCACTTGGACCTCTTTGGAGCTCATATTTCTGACTCTGGAATAAGCTACTTGACATGTAATCCATCTTTTCCCTTTCCTTGCACTTAGCTTTATTGTCGTACGACCTTGCAGGCAGTCATGTTTTAAACCAGCGGTCTGAGTTTCTAATTGTAATGGTAAGAGTTTCTCGTTAAGTCGCACGAAAAACTTTTCAGAGGAGGCAAGCTTCTTTTTTTTGGGGGGGGGGGGTGGAAGCTGCATGTCTAGAGCAAGCTTAACTGAAGTGTTTTCTGTTGATCTTTCCATTTATGTGTGTTGTAACTCTCGGTAGGGTGGTTTTGCTGTAAACACAACATGGTGCAGCTGATTGCACGAAAAAAAATAAACAAAATGTAGTTGTGCTGAAGAGTGAATTATGATACAAGACCTGGTGGGATGTGGAAAAGCTTGCTTGATGACAGTGTCTCTGAAAAGGGAAATGTTGTTTCCTGTGTATTATTGTTTCATTCTTGAACCTAAGCTATTTCCAACTCAATGGAAGTAGAAAAGGCTTGTCTAATTGGACATTTCTAACAGTCTCTTGTCCCTATCTTGTGGTGTAGTAAGAGGTGTAAATAACGAAAAGGGAGGGGAAAGGGTAAAACATGTATGTCTGATTTTGGGTTAAGACATTAATGTCCACCGTTTCTGGTGGATTATTAAACTTGAGACTTCATATTGTTGAATTAGATTTTAAGAGTCTGCAATCACTCGACTTATGTGGCGGAAGATTGACCGACAACGGGGTGAAGAATATCGAGCATCTCTCTTCCTTGATGGTTTTGAACCTCTCGCAAAATCTGTACCTCACAGACACAGCCTTGAAGTTTCTTTCTGGTATTTCTGCTCTTTCGGCATTCATTATTGTTGCCGATTAAGCATTTCATCTGCTGAACCATCTCATTTTCTGTTTTGCAACAAAAAGTGAACTTTTTGGAAGTTTGAACGCTGCAGAATTTGACCATGTGGAGTGGTCTTTGACACTGTTAATTCTTGGTTTTTGAATGTCCCAGGTCTAATTGGTCTGGTATCTTTGAACGTCTCAAATTCTCGGGTGACAAATGAAGGGCTGGAGTTTTTGAAGCCTTTGAAGAATTTGAGTTCATTGTATTTGGACTTCTGCGATGTTACTGCCTCGGAGATTAAGAAGCTTCAGTCAAAGTACCTTCCGAACCTTGTCACGTTCCGGCCTGAGACCTGAACAAAAATGTTGGTAATCCCGGTCTTGGATACACTTAACAAAACCGTAAAATACTGAGTTTACAGTCCAGGTGCTGTTCTGATTTGTCTATTATGTAGGGAGAAGCTAATAATAATGTCTCGGGATTGACTTGGTGGTTGTAAATGTGGATGTTGTTCTGTTAATTCTGACGCTATGGTCTGATCTGGTTTTGGTTGCAATAAAGTTTACCTTTTACAAGTTTCTTCATTTCAGCTACAAGCTGACAGGACGCAGACATAAGTCCCATGTCTTGGCCTAAAGAAATAGACCTATTTGCTGCTAAACAAAACGAGAAACATTATTTTGGAATGGTGAAATTAATTTCTACCATCCGGAATGAATTTCTGGTTTTGAAAGGCAGGAAGGGTAAGTTTAGATAAAAATCGTAATGTACTGCTAATGGAGTTCCATACTTTCATCACCTAATGTACTGCTATGGATTAAGAGAAGAGTTATAGAATAAATTGAGAAATGATTTCACTTGAATGGTCTGCCAGAAAACAATGGAGTCTTGCACATTGGGACACGTATATCCCGTGGTTGAATTAAGATTAAATCAAAGATTATGGCTCCTAGAGCAAGAAAATCAGTACAACACTCGCCCATCTGCTTCTTAATGGCTTTTTTAAGTATTGTTTATTTTTTCTGCAGTGATTATGATCTCACAAGATAGCCAAAAAATCAGAAGATTGAGAAAGCTCGTCAAGCTAAGCTAGTACTTATACTATTAACTTTTTACTGTGAAGGAAAATGACATATTTAGTGAAAATATATGGTGAATTTCTCGCGAAAATTATACTTTTGTCTTTACTTATTATATATACATCCGTCACTATACACTTTCGCTGTATATGTATCACTGTCTTTATTATTGCTATTACTGCAAAATAGAACATGCAAAAGTAAAAAGACGGAGACATGGCCAAAAAGGAGAAAAAAAAAATCCAGACTCAATCAATGAGAGTGAAAATAAATAGTGACTGAATTGGCTACCCATTTTGTAGTCACTTTCCCGTAGAAATTATATCTTTTCCTTAAAAAATTACACTTCTATTCTATCCTTCATTAGTAAGACACATCAATAACTACTAGTTTTTACTATATTTTTTTACTAACTGTATCATTGCTGATAATTAAAAAAATTGCGAAGAGTAAGTGATGTGAAAGAAGGAGACATAGAAAAATGAGGAAGACTTGGGAGTTACATTTGATTGGATATGGAAAGTTTTGGGAGTAAATCTACTATATAACGGCTGTACCGCACAAAATTGTGCAGTTAGAGACAAAAAAATGGGTAAAGATTATACTGGTCCCGAGTTGGAACCGGAGAAAAATATTAAATTTAATAGAGATTATTAATTTATAAAGGATTAATTTATGGAGGTTTTACTGTATTTAGTTGCAACGAATAATTTTTAAGAAGTGGCACAATCAGATGTAATGGTACACATGAACTATAAGATAGAGATACATACTAGCTCTATGTCAATTCTATTGCGAAATCTGCGAAAACGAGATTCATCCGAACTTGCAATGATAAAAGGGTCTTTGAATGTGCTAGTTGCCGATTCTATATATGTCTGGATTATAGTTAAAAGCTACTAAGTCAGGCAAAATTGTCGGTCCCAATAAAATATTCAAGATGGAAATTTTTTAGTGATTGATGTGTATTAATTAATTAAGAGCAAAAGTGTTGGGACAATATTGCGTTTGAGCCACAAGAAAGTTTTCTTAGGTGAGTATAGGAGTTGTTTAATTCATCCTCTAGCTAGTATTTTGAAGCGAACACAATATGAATGTCAGAAATCTCGATCGAATGAGGTAATTAAAACCAGGAAAACTGATTGAAGTGAGAAGTGATTACTCTGTTCACAAAATATTCCATCAATTTGCGAATGCAATTGGAGAAGTTACCATCAAAATATACCATCAATTTCAATTAAAATTGGAATTAAAGGTTTATATTAAGTTGCAAAAAGTTATGATTCACAGGCATGAAAAGAGATGCAAAAAGTTCATATTATTCCGGTAAAAATTGAAATTCTAACAAAATTATTTGATGTATATCTTTGAAATTCATGTCATGTTAAAATGAAGCATTAATTAATTAACATCTGGTGCGAAGTAGAGTGATCTTACTTTTTTAACTTCTTTTTTTTTTTTAATATATTACGGAACTAGTATCCTAAATTATTGTTTCGATTGATCTGTATCCGAGACAGAAGAAATATTTCCAACAAGCATTTTTAATCATGGTTGCATGTTCATGTGAATTTTAGTTTTATTACAATCTCTGTCTCATTAACAAAAAAAAAATACTACTCTTTTCGTCCTGAAATTATTGTCCAGTTTAGATTTTCAACTTTTTTTTTTAAAAAAAATTCAAATTGTACTAAAAGCGAAAATCCAAATTGTACTGAGTACTACGAGTACTACGTACAAGTTCGAATTTTTGAGATTTGTATTGAGGAGAAAGGAAGTATTTATATTTAGAAGCCTAAAAATTAACTTGTTATTACAATGGCTGAATAATCAAAAGGGTTAGTTTGAAAACTAGATATTTTGATTCATTAAGTTTTTCGGAAAGCATGCCTATTTTGGATTAGGAACTGTATTTGTAGCCGACTTAGTTTATAAGTATCCTTTAAAATCTATATAAAGACCAAGAAAAAGTCCAGGCTTTATGTATTCTTTGTTTGCCAGTGCCAGCAAAAACCGTAACAGGATTAATAAAAATCCATTAATCAAACGGGGATGGCGAGGAGGAAAAGAGTTAGCTTGTTCGACTTGGCTGATGATTCTTCGTCGTCGTCGGGGAAATCTGTTCCGGAAAACCGTAACGGCGGCGTAAATTCCACGATCAACAAGTGGAACGGCCGGCCGTACTCAGCGAGGTATTATGAGATCCTGGAGAAGCGGGCCAGCCTGCCTGTTTGGCAGCAGAAAGATGAGTTCTTGAAGATGTTGAGGGAAAACCAGACTATAATCCTCGTCGGCGAAACCGGGAGCGGAAAGACCACTCAGATTCCTCAGTTTGTATTGGAAACACTGGATTCCAGGGCCCCGGGGAAATCATCAATGGTTGCCTGTACCCAGCCCCGCAGGGTTGCCGCGATGTCGGTTTCGCGGCGAGTTGCCGACGAGATGGATGTCATCATCGGCGAGGAAGTTGGATACAGCATCCGTTTTGAGGATTGCAGCAGTGGAAGAACTGTGTTGAAGTATTTAACAGACGGGATGTTGTTAAGAGAAGCTATGAACGACCCGCTTCTGGAAAAATACAGAGTGATTATACTTGATGAAGCTCATGAACGAACTCTGCCAACTGATGTTCTTTGTGGGTTACTCAAAGAAGTGCTGAAGAATAGACCTGATTTGAAGCTGGTTGTTATGAGTGCTACTCTTGAAGCTGAGAAGTTTCAGGCCTATTTCGATGGGGCTCCCCTAATGAAAGTCCCTGGTAGACTTCACCCTGTTGAGATTTTTTACACTCAGGAGCCTGAGAAGGATTACCTTGAGGCCGCGATTCGGACTGTTTTGCAGATTCATATATGTGAATCCCCTGGTGATATACTTGTTTTTCTCACCGGGGAAGAAGAGATTGAGGAAGCCTGTAGAAAGATTTCCAGGGAGATAGGCAATTTAGGAGATGAAGTCGGTCCTGTTAAGGTTGTGCCTTTATATTCCTCACTGCCTCCGGCAATGCAGCAGAAGATTTTTGAGCCTGCTCCGGGTCCGTTGGTGGAAGGTGGTCCAGCTGGGCGGAAGATTGTTGTGTCGACAAATATTGCAGAAACTTCTCTGACCATTGATGGAATAGTTTATGTTATAGACCCTGGTTTTGCAAAGCAAAAAGTGTACAATCCGCGAACCAGGGAGGAGTCTTTGTTGGTTTCTCCAATATCAAAGGCTAGCGCGCACCAGCGTTCGGGTCGCGCTGGAAGGACGAGGCCTGGTAAATGTTTTAGGCTCTATACCGAGAAGAGTTTCAACACTCATCTCCAGGAACAAACATACCCCGAAGTACTGCGCTCGAATCTGGCAAACACGATTCTTACTTTGAAGAAACTCGGTATAGATGACCTGGTTCATTTCGATTTCATGGATCCTCCAGCTCCAGAGACATTAATGAGAGCCTTGGAGTTGTTGAATTACTTGGGTGCCCTAGATGATGAGGGAAACCTCACAGAGTTGGGTAAAACTATGAGTGAGTTTCCCTTGGACCCTCAGCTGTCGAAAATGCTTGTGGTCAGCCCAGGATTCAACTGCTCCAACGAAATTCTTTCAATGTGTGCAATGCTTTCATCACCCAATTGCTTTCTCCGGCCTAGGGAGGCCGCGATTGCTGCAGATGAAGCAAAGGCTCGTTTCGCTCACATTGATGGGGATCATCTCACCCTGTTGAATGTATACCATGCATATAAGCAGCACAACGATGATCCACAATGGTGTTATGAAAATTTCGTCAGTCACAGAGCACTTAAGTCCGCGGATAATGTGAGACAACAGCTAGCTCGGATCATGGCCAGGTTCAACCTCAAGCTGTGCAGTACAGACTTCAGCAACCGTGACTACTATGTCAATATCAGAAAGGCCTTGTTGGCGGGTTATTTCATGCAGGTGGCTCACTTGGAGCGCGCCGGGCATTACTTGACCGTGAAAGATAATCAAGTGGTGCATTTGCATCCTTCCAACTGCCTTGATCACAAACCAGAATGGGTTATTTTCAATGAATGTTTGATCACTAGCAGGACATTCATCCGAACAGTCACTGATGTTCGCGGAGAATGGTTGGTGGACATAGCTCCTCACTATTACGACATGACCAACTTCCCGAATTGTGAAGCCAAGCGTGTCCTCGACAGACTGTACAAGAAACTGGAGAAGGAAAAGGTAGAAAACAAAAGGAGGAAGTAGTTCTTTCTAGGAATCTTTTGGAGGTTTTATCAGAGATTCCCGCAAAGTTTTGGAATGCGAGAGAGGCAATGTGTTTGATATGATCCATCTTCTTTCTTTGGCACTTTTTTTTCCAGAGACAAAATGGCCTTAGATGTTCTTTTTCATTTTCTATATCTTTTGGCATGAATGAAATTAGATTTACAGAGAATCAAAGCAACAAATGGCATGAATGTTGTCTTAAGATCAATATAAAAAAGAAAACCCTAAACTTAGTATTATACACAGTACGAATTTGTACGAATTGCATAAATTGGCCTCTCCAACAAAGATAATGATGAAAACTTGGCAAGGGTATAGGTATACATGTAGTATGACACCTGACAACAATGAATAAACATGATCTAAAATGAAAAACCATGAACATGTATTGTTAACAAGACACTAGGACTCTATACCTATTCAAAACTCATAATAATTTTACAACACGGCAAGATCGAATCATCAAGCAGAAACTAACAAAAAAGAAATCCCTGCCACTTCTTCTTGCCCCATACAACTGGTTGGATTTAAGACAATGCTATCACACAACTGAAGATGGAAAAAGCATCTTCCAAATTTATGAAGAGGAAAATGACGACCGCATGCCACAGCTGTTATGTAGCATGAAATACCTGCAGCACGACGATGATAAAATCCTCGTATCAGCAAAATCAACCAACGCAACAAAATAACCATTTGCTTCTGATCTTGTGTGATTATAAACTACTACACAATAACTTTTACCTAGTTCCTGACACTTCTGAAACTAAGGTATGGACTTGATATCAATTTGGTGTCAAACATACAGAGTGTTTCTTCTAGTCCATTTTCTATGGTTGGCTAACAAACGAATTAAACATTTTGGTATTTCCAAATCATATTCTGAAAAAAAGAACAGTAGAGGAACATCCAAGAGCACACAGACATTTCACTTGCCAAGCAAGCAAGCACTATGATCAAATGGAAATCTGGACTGATTTTAGAAAGATGAGAATATTGTGCTATTCGAACTTTTGAGCTCTTTTAGATTTTGAATGTTAGAAGCAATACAACAATCACTTTCACACACACGAGCAAAGATATCATAAAAGATTGTATTTTGACAAGAAGAAGTAATCGTATTCAGTTTCAATGAATGACACTTAAGTGAGAAGAGTTGCCTTCTAGAACAGCGGAAACCGAAATTTTGCTCCCAAAGATTGAAGAGTTCTGAACAATCGGATTTAACAATCATGAGCCACTAAGTGGATTGATTTGGGACATTTAAATAAATAAAAGAAAGAAAAAAAGCCAGAGAGTTCATGTAACAAATAACGACAATTAAAAGCTTGAGACTTGATAATGTATAACATAAGAGAGCCACAGTGTGACAGTTAGCAAAGACACACACTCTCGGATTTGTTTAAGTATAAAAACAACATAAACAGTGCCAATCTTACTTACACAGTACGCAGCACAAGAGAGCAACGGTGATGAGCAGCTCAGCAAATCTTTTCTGGCTTCTCGGCATGCACGATCAGTAACAAGTGCTCATGCAAGTTCGAGGGCATAATAGAGCTTAGAGACTCGTCGCCGGAGCAGCGGCTCTAGTCGAAAAGAAGGAATTCCACTCTGCCACCTTTTTGCTTCATACATCTCATTCCAGGCCTGTACTATCTCATCAATGTTGAATCCCAATCCTGAAAAGGAATTCGAATTGTCAGAAACACATGCAAGCACAAAAATGTTTTAAATAACTCTTATCTAGATATTCATGCTCATTATATAGCATCAATTCTACCTTCAGCGGCAGTATCATTGCAACAGTGGTTCTTCATCATGACAGCAATGTCTGTTGGAGAAGCTCCAGCAAGTTCAAACTTTTCTACAGCAACTTCCAGACATTCATGCCAAACTGGAAGCCCTAGTTTGAATTCCATCATTGATCTTTCATATAGCATTGTCCCCCACAAAACGTTTATTTGAGATCTCATACTTGCAGCTTGCTCTGCTGATTCATCATCGGATATGTCCTTAACCATGTCAACCAAGTTCATTTTCTGTAACAAGCCTTTAACTTTATTTGGAGTTTGAAGTTTATGTAAACGAAGTTCTTCTGCATCCTCCCACATCTGCATACCCCTTTCCATGTTTTCCTCGGCTCTGTTGTAAAGTTCAAGAACTGGTGTCGAAGGCCACAATTCTAAGTCGGCATTGGTCCCAATCGCATAATACCACGAAAGTTTTGCCTGCTCAAACTGTTGCTGCCCAAGAGCAAGAACTGCTTCATAGAAATTTGGCATAATATGAAGTGCTTCTTCATATTTCTTGCCAGCCTCCGAGTATTCATTTTGTGCCCACTCATATGCAATTTTTACCTGCTCAAGCACAGATTCCCTTGACGCGTCTTCAGTGAGGTAAACTTTCTTCCTGGCCCTAGACATATGAACATTTCCCCAGTTGAACAGAGCCAATGCAGCCATCTCCTGGAATTTATCACTTGCCATCGTCAAATAGTCTTGAGCCTCCTCACTAGTGACTGCTTCTTCCAAACCCTCAGAGTAAAGTTTCATCCCTAGCTCATTCAGATCCAAGTAAGAATCAGGATCAAACCCAACATAGTTCTTAAATAGATAAGCAAACTGGATGATCCAATCCTCGATACAAACTGGTTGATTCAGAAGCTCCATATGCCCATTTTCCATCTTTTTGTTCTTTTTCATTCCAAGTTCATAAACATCATCTTTGTTGTTTAGCTTCTTATAAAATGGATCTTGTTCTGGATTAACTTCCACGAGATACAACCTCAAAGAACCATGATCAGCAGCTGCTTCAGCCCACCTCAGTTCCTCTGTAGTCGTGATTGTCACCAAATCACTTTCATGGTCTCTATATTTGATAAGAACAGCCCTCAGGCCTGGAAATCTATCACCTATAGCCTCCCTTAGTTTCAGAATACTGCAATTAACAGGAATCTGTGCCCACCTTATATCTTCTCCAAACACTAGTTTCACTGTTCGCTGAGGCTCTTTTTCAGCAGTAGTAGTAATTTGTTCTTCAACTACCAACTTATCTTCAGCTTTCTTGTCATCGATTTTGGCCTCAGTTTCCTCCTCAAACTTCTTCTCACTCCTAGCTACATCAACTTTTGGCTCGGGTTTTTCCTCAATTTGAATGGCACCTTTACTTCCCTCATCCCTGACACTCGCTTTCTTCTCTTGTTCTCTGTTCATTTTCTTCTTCCGAACTTTCTCTTTGAGCGCCTTGGTTGGATCCGAAGATAACGATGGTTCCATATATTCAGGTACTGGCACCAAATCCACCGGAATTTCATTTTCTGCGGTACCTCTTTGCTGAATAGTTGTTTTCACCCTTTCAGAGATCTCAAGTGCCATGAGATTATTCGGTTCCATGTTCAGTACAGTAGTAACATCTCTCAAGGCCAAATCCAACCTATTTAGAGCCTCATAACACCTAGACCTCTTCAAGAGTGCCTTACTGTACTTAGGGGTGACTTCAAGCGCCAGATTGCACTCATGGATAGCCCTTGGATACTCACTGAGGCCCATCTGCATAAAACACGCAGCCATATTACTGCGTAAATAGGATACATCTATATGATTTCTGGGAAGCAATTTTATGGCCTTCTCATACTTCAAAATTGCTCCTTCGTAGTCCTTCTTCTGGAATAACTTATTCCCCTCATCCTTCAACTCATGCGACATGGCAATAAACACTGCAGTGTCCTTGTCATAGGCTCTCGGGCTATTTTCGCTTCCTTTACTTTGCCTTAAATTGGATCCACTAGGTTTACTTCCTAGCTGTTTGGTCTTTGTACCTTGCTTCCCCATTAAATTATTTCAAAACTCAACCAAAACTTACAGGCCAAACAATCTTAGAAGCTATAGCTCAGATACAAAACCTTACAAACCAAACCAATCAAACGAACTAAAGACAGCAAAATCCCTGTATCCAGAAACTGCAATTCACAACTTGGCTCCAAATGAGGAGGACAAACAAAATGAATAAGGTAAACACCAACCTGAGCCAAGCTCGCACAGACAAAAACCCAACAAAACCCGCACACAATATCACTCACAACCTCTGATAGCTATCAAAACCACGAGTAATTAACTCCAAGAACACAACTTTTTCACCCTTCAATAAATTAAAACAAGGAAAGAACAAAAACCCAAAAAAAAAACCAATAAAATTCTGTTTATCCCCCTCCGAATCAGGATTTACTACAGGAATTGAAGATTAGAAATGGAAACCCCAATTCAGAGGGATAACAGAAACAACAGATAAACCAAGAGAAACTTTATTGGGAGGAATGAGATGACAAAAAGATTCGGGCTTTATGATGATTCTTGAAGGAGTCTAACACAAGTAAGGAATATGAAATGATGGAGAAGAAAACTTAGCTGAAAGAGTTTGCTTCTTGAAGAACCCTTTGATAAAAATTGTGTCCCAAAAGAGAGGCTTTTGCACCAAAACTTGTGAGAAAAATTTGGGATTATTCGCTGAAGAAAAACCAACCACTAAATGTCTGTTATGTTCGGTTTCTTTCAACTTGTTTCTATGTGTAAAGAGAGAATACGCAATCTTGAAATCAAAGCCACAAAAAAAGGGAATGGGAAAAAAGAAAAGAAAAAAAGGAAAAGCAGGGGAAGGCCAACACTTCTGATTAATCTATTAAGCACTACAATGCATTTTTCCCATTCCATCTGTCCACTCTGCATATTTTATTGTAATTGGGTATATTTCCTAATTTCAGACAAGAGGTATGGACCCACATTTCCGTGTACTCCAAGGTTGTGGGGGTGTTTTTTGTGTAAGAAAAGCCGAAAGGGCAACTTTTCTTTGTTGTCTTGATTTGACTTTTGACTCAACCTTGAACAAAACCAATCTTACTAACTAAAAGATTTGTGTAAGTTAATAATTGACACGGAAAAAAATTACAGAATATCAAAAACGATGATGATAGAACACATTGGTTGTCAACCTAATAGAAGTATCATTGGTACAAGCAACCCAGAATTGAAGTAAAAGTTGGACAGCAGGGAGCTAATATCTTGTTTGATTTCCTTGTTTTTGTGGGTCTCAAAAGAGCCAAATAAGCCATATAGCCTGGAAAACGGGAGCTTTACGCTAAAGACAGGGTGGAACCATGGAAGAAGATTGTTGCCACATACAAGTGATACTATCACAGACTGGATTTGATGTTTTAAGCTCTGGATTTATCTTTGTTAATTCCAGCATGAACCTCGATGACTGAGATGCGAATTTGGTTGACCACTAAACTAAATCAATCAGAAAGAAGATCATGTCAGGCTGCTGGCGTTTGGTAAAAACTAATGAGAATATAATTAAAAGAGTGAACTTTGTCAGGCTGGGGCAGAGCAATTAGCCCACCATGTTTTATGCCAGAACAGGAGCCACAAGCACTGCATGTGAACATTTTATAGTGGGACTCCAACCAACCCCAAGCTTTATTGTACAGAGGAACTGGGTAAAAAAGAGGCCCAAACGGTGATGATGGAATCTGAAATTTGCGGGGTTTCTTCCATTGTAGGGCAAGTGTTTCTTCTAACTTTTGTGTATTTACATTGGCCAGTTCTCTTCAAGAATACAACTTTTCAACTCTCTCTCTGTAACTCCATTTTGTTACATTCATACAAAAAATGAGACTGATGACATCCCATTTTGCAGGTGTGTTCTTGGCAGGAAACCCCTGATGTGACTACATGTTGGCAGCAGAAAATTGCCTTCTTTTCCTACTGGTACCATAATTTGCTGTGCTCCTATGTTGCTGACTCCTCAGAATCAAAAGCAGAAGGATATCCAAAATCTGTCACCATAGAAATCGCCTCGTCCTGAAAGTTGGAGCCCTCAACCTTAGATTCCTTGTAATCTTTTGGGAGTACATTGCAGTTAATGGTATGCCATACAGGCCTTTCTTCCTGGAAAAATCTGCAAAGGGTAGAAAGCCGTTAGGGCAACAGAGAAACACTTTCCAACAACCTTACATCATTGTGAATGTAGGCAGAAGCAGAAGACACAAGAAAAGTGATAACACAATCTGCCCCGAGGAAAATTAAAAGTGTAAAACTAGTTTCAAACCATGATTGTTTATTGAGCAGGCAGCAGAATCTAAAGCTATTCACTACTTCTCATCTCAGCAAACATTTCAGGACTGCCCTTTTCATTTTGTGGTGGTGGTGGGGTGTGTGTGTGTGTGTGTGTGTGGGGGGGGGGGGGGGGGGTGGCGGCCGGTTAACTACTATTATCACGAACTGAAGATGAAGCCAAATATGGTACAAACATCACAGTGTAAAGATGAAAAGATATAGTAACACAGAATAATTAAAGAGGAAAGATAGATTTTACTAACTACACAACTTTTTAGCAGGTAAAACATATTGCAATCAGTAAGGGCTGGAGACAGGAACTGAATAAGCATACTTCTAGAACCTCTTAAGAAGTCAGACAACATAGGAATGTCGATAGTGGAAGGTTAATAAAACTTTCTTTGAATAATGAAATTACAGCAGAGAACCAGTCAAAGTCAAAATATTAGAAACATTCTGTGAATGGAAATTTGGCCAAACACTTCCAGGCCTATAAAGAAGTAACCAGGCAAAACCTGATCGGTTTGAACAGCCCAATTCTTTGGGCAATATTGCATACAAAATAATTTTAGAAAAATCCACCAAAAACAATGTTTTATCCTATCTCCACAACCACTACATGCAAAAACAGGCGAAGAATTTGCATAACAGAATGTACAGATATAGGATTTCACTTTTTTTTTTTTATCACTATAGAGCTGCAAAGGCTAGAATGAGAATGGAGATGACTTACGGATGCTTGCAAAGGGTTGGGCACTGAATTGTTAAAGCATACTTGCAAGTTGATAATTCTGTGATAGAACTTATCATAGCTCTCGGCTCCGAGCAGACAAACCTCACCTGAAATCAGAAGCAATGTTAGATAACTACAAATTAAAAGGAAAATAATGAGGTCGGAGACCCGGGGTAGGAAGACTTAATATGTTTCTACCTCTGTTTCTCGAGGTTTATTTGTTAAATCACACGCAGTTCCGTTTGTAAATTGATGCGCATGATACCTGCATAAATAATGAAGAATATTAGGCAGTACGAACAATAATTCAATATTGACAATATCTGAATAAGGGTGATAGAGTTTTTGTGATGTCAGCATTATTCTACTAGTAGAAATTTTAAAATCAAACCTTTGTGATGCATCTTTTGAGCGAGGATCTTTCAGAGTTGAGATATCAGATCGGTTTTGGTGGTATGCTTCAGTAGCTTCAGCATCATATACTCCCAAAATATATTCTTGCACCACCTAAAGTATGGAAATTATGAAACAATAATTAGCTTCTTTTTCATAAGTAAAAGCCAAAACAAACCAAAGAAACAAAATACACTATCAATAAGACGCAGATTAACACCCTAACTTGAGTTTGCAGTATCACAAGACATTCAAACAATAACATAAATAATTTCACAAACTCAAACCATGGGAGAAAAAAAAAAAAGAAAAAAGAAAAAAGAAAAAAGAGCACTGCAAAATAGACTCCCCCAAGCGAATCAAAAGCCAAACCTTATCATCCTCCACATGAATTTGTCGAAGCTTCTTCTGATAACAGAATTCATATGACCACCACCCCTCTTGCTGCAGATGAGAAATTATCAATAGTAAACATGTGAGTCCATCAGGGCATGACTATGAAGGAGGTACTCCATTACTCTTGGGAAAAAAGTGAAAGAAATAAATTAGGGTAGCATATAGGCTGACCCTGAGAAAGCAACGATCTTTCAATACTTCGAGCAGCTCATCTGGTGTCTTCAATTTGATGCGTCTTTCAGACTCCAAGATCAAACTGCTGGTATTCTGTTGATTAACCGGTTTTCCGCTCTTAGCTTTCTCCACTCGAGGTAGAAAGCAGAGAAATTTCTCCCCATTTTTGTTTGGCATAATCATAGATTCTTGATCCTCATCCTACACGGCAAATTAAAATGACTACCCTCAGGAATGCAACCAATTATATTACATAATAGGCAACAATTTCAGTCAGTCAGTGCCAAATCACAGTCAATCGAGACAATTAGCTCTAGATGAACATGTACAACATACAAACACGATAATAAACTTTTCTTCCTTTTCTCTAATGAGACCAAATAAAAGACAGTTGAGAAGCAAATTTAAAATTGCACATCCAAAGCAGGAGACAAGCAAGTGATGGAAAACTGTCAAATCAAATCACTTACAGGGTGAAAAGGTGCATCTTCTGGATGGAATTCAATTTTATACTTTGGTTCTCGAGAACTTCGACTGAAAGATGCCCCTGAAAGAATGGAGGAATAAACATACAATCAAAGAACAAGGGTACATGGACACATCAGAAATAACACAATAGCATTAGCAAACACCAGAAACATCAACAACTATGTAAATGCACAACTTACACAATGCGAAAAATGCAACAATTAGTTTGTTATTCAACCACCACCTAAATCAAAATTTCAGCCACAGAGAGAAGAACCTATGATTAGCTTTCTTCCCGGCATGTCTACTTTTTTTAGCTTACAACGGAAAGGGCATAGATAAATGCTATTAGACGGGAATAACTTAAAAGCTTCATCCTCAGGCTTACCCCTCTCCCTATTTCATAGCATTCACAGATCCCGTAGCATTGTCAGTCCTTGGCAAGGAATCTCCAAACTTTGGGTTTCTGGTTGATCATATTCGGCTTATCCCCAACCTCAATACTCAAACTTTTCCGTCATAATCTTGGAATGCAACATTTTACGGTCCTTGGTATTACCATAAAAGAAACTAAGCCAGCCATTGTAACAAATTCACTCTTTTCCCAGATGGCCAGTATTTATTTTGTTTATAGGCTAATTTGAATTACGTATAAGGCTGCGTCTTTCCAGTTGGAAGGATGTTCATATTAAAAATATTACAGATTTCCGTTTTACCCATCCCTAAATCCTAATCAACACAGCAGACCCAATAACATACAAGAGTATCGCCAGGTAAAGCAGAAACTCCATGATAAAACCTACCAGTAAACCTTCAGCTATGATTGGACTCAAACACACTGCTATACCATTTGCTGCTAACTAGTATCCACAATTGTACACAATAAAAATAAATAAAACGATTATTGACCTAATTGAAACTCCACAATAGAAGTTGAAAAAAATTATAGCGGCACTACAAGAATTTAATCTTTCTTCAATTTGAATGCAAGTTGTTCATCCTTTTTTCACGATTTGGATAAATTTCGCAGAAAGAAAAGAGAGGAGCTTTGGACAGTACCGGTATGAGCTGGAATAATTTGATCGGCGAAGGCGAGATTGAGGAATAAAAGTGCGATGGAGAAGCATTCCAATCTACCACTCATCTTCTTCTGATTCTTCGTTTGATGTCTTCTCTATTGATTAATCCCTAGATTCTCCTATTTGGGGGAAGAAGAAGAAGAAGAAGAAGAAGAAGAAAGATTGTTAATTTAATAAATTTCCTCTTGATCTGCTTCTTTTTCTCAGTAGCTAAAGTAAGCGGGTAATTCTGCAAAATTCCACGCTGACGTTTATTACCCAATAAAAGCATGACACGTCAATAATATGCCAGCAAGGACAAGTAGTAACATGAAGTGTATCTATAGTACTTAATTAAAGCAGCAAACAAAAAGGACATGTGTCAGTATTAGAATGAAAATTTTCCTGCCAAAAGTCATTTCAGTATAAAATCATTTTTGACAAGTGGCACTCTAACTAATCAGAAAAAAAAGATGGAATAGATAAATACATAAATCCCTTAATTATAACGACATAAAAATCTCTTAATTATAGGTATATACTAATCTTTTAAAACAACAATATTTAATTAATAAAATCAAATGTAAGGAAATCCCCTTAAATCAAGTGAAACACAATAATGTCTTCTCAATCCCCAATTTCAAAGAATCTCTTCCATTCCGCTCCTCTCTCACACCCGGGCCTTTAAATCAATTACTTAAAATCAGACATCAATTATCAATTCATCTCTTTCTACAACAGGGACAAAATAAGCTGTCATGAAAGAAATTTGATTTTTTAAGGATGATTTTTTTTTAATTCTTCTGTTGTAGATATTGGTTTATGATTTATGTAAATCCGGGCATAAGTTAACTGTTGTAAATTAAATGTTATAAATCTGAGCATAGATTTATGTATAATAACTCACTTTCTGTCCTTTCAATCGATTTTATTCTTCTATTTTTTTTTATTCTTTTAAGAATGATTCGTATTTTTTATTTAATCGATTTAAAAATACAGATGGTACCCTGGGTATTTGTACGGGATAAGCATCTAGTTCTCTCTTATAAAAGAATGAAATTTGTTGAATTTGTACTTGCCACATTATGTCAAACTTAATCAAAACAAAACTTAATTAAAGTAATACTCCTTCTGTCCCAAAATTATTGTTCACTTTAATATTTCATTTTTAGTATAATTTGAACTAGAAATAAAAATCTAAACGGGACAATAATTATGGAACGAAGGGAGTAATAACCTTCATATATTCCTTAATAAAGTGAAATAGTTGTAGTATATATAATAATACGAACAGTGCAGATTGGGAACAGAGTAAAAAAAATTGAGTAAAGAATGAAAAAGATTTCCTAAGATATGTTCTATACAACTGCTCCTCGAGCCCTGTTACATTGAATTGAAATATAATGTTAACTCATCAATGCAGATTTCTCAAAGTTTCTAGTCCCTTCTTCAGCTCTTCAAAATTTCGGGTAGCTGTTTCTCGTTCCTTCACCAGTTCTTCAATCTTTCTGTTTGCTTCCAACAGCTGAGTCTCTAAGGACTTGGATTTGTTCTTTTCTGCTTCCAACTCTTTCACCGGATCCTCACCCAATATCTCTCCATCTTCCATCTTCAATCTTCCCTTCAAATCCCCTACCTCTTCTCTTAACTTCCAGTTCTCTTCTCTCAAATTCCGCACCCCTGCTCTCAACTTCTTTATTTCATCCAACAAGGATACCCTTTGTGGTGCAGCAGCTCCAGTATTCTCCGCGCCTATGTTTGTTTTGTTCTCGGTAGGCTTTTGAACGTTGTTATTCTCTTTCGCCATCGGCCTTGCAGGTGGAACTTGATTGCTGTTTTTCCAAAGCTGAAACTTTGGCGGTAATGGTGTATTTAAATGTGCAGGTCTCCCATGATGATTGGACATAATACCAGTCAGGCTCAGTCTATGATCGTCAATCCTGGGCACGCTGTCTTCTTGCTTCACTGTCTTTGTGGGAAGTGGATTCTGGCAATGTGATCCAGGATCATTCACAACATTATTCGCCATCATCCTGGTTCCAACATTCAAATTCCCTGTGTTTCCATTCTGGCTAATAGGAGGAACTGCATTTGAAGTCGAAGTAATCATTCTTCCAGAAACAGGGGCTGAAACATTCAAATCATTATTATTAGCAGGCTCATCTTCTGGCTCATCTCTCTCACTAGCAGATCCCTTGTTTCTCCGTGGAGCATAGCCAATTTCCTGACAGCGTGATTTCCAGTAATTCCTCTGTATTTCCTTCAACTTTAACACAAGTCTGTTAAGAACTTCTGTGCGCTCGAATCCTTGCTTATCATGAGCTGGTTCAATGAAATCGGCTTCCAATACCCCAATAACACCTCGTCCATCACTTCCAGCAGGATTCCATACTCTCCAGAATGGTTTGATCAGTCTGTTCTTATGATAAACGTTGAATCCCTGAACATCAATATGGTATTTTGCATCCTTTACGAAACCAACAGCAACATCAGCAACCAATCTATAATCTTTGAATGCAGCATTACTATCTTGATTTTGCTGCGGGCGATAAGTACTCCGTTGGATCATCATCATATCTTCCACTATGTTGTGGTGATCAACTTCCTTTCCACGCAAAATCATCCGAAAGTTCTTTGGAAGTTTGAGATATAGAATGGATGCGTAACTCCTCAATGAATATTGGTAAGTCAGAAAGTGTTTGGAATTTGGATACTGCTGCGCCATTTGTATGTTGCTCTCCTTCTCCTCCCTGCCTCTTGTTTGAATATCATAGGGATCAGAATCAAAGTCAAGTTCCAATACTCCCTCATCACAATCCCACAAATTATAGATAAAGATTCTGGTGCCATGACCTTTTATATCATTGAACTGTTCAAGAAGATCTGCTTCGCTTGAAAAGGGAGACCATTGTACTACAGTATCAATCTTGTTATTCCAATCCTGATCAGGGGAAGATGTTGCCCTCACAATCCTCGTCCAAGATTGGCCCTTTCTTTCATAATCAAGCATTGGAACTTCAATATCTTCCTTCTTGGTGCATCTCAAGAATGTGTATGAAAGTAATCCAACACTTTGGGTTGCATTGTTTCCATCTTTGCCAGGAAATCTGGAAAAAACAATCACATCTGCTCCAAGCCGCATTGTGCTTGTCTTGAATCCATTTCCATACTGCCCAATTGTATTAGCCATTTTGCTCTTTGATGAATATCCCAGAGACATACATTCACGCATCCTTTGGGGATTCATACCGCCGCCATCGTCTTCAATAACTAGCATTCTATCCCCACTTTTCTTGTTCTTGATCACATCAATGTTAACAAAGGTTGCTCCATTGCGGGCTTCATCGATTGAATTGTCCATAAGTTCAGCGAATGCTCCCAAAACCCATTTATGACTGGTGGCATTCGAATGCAAGAATCTTGGATGAACCCTAATATGATCGGACCCGGCTAAGGCTTCCCAATTCAAATTAACAGATGGTGCACCCTCGTAGTCCCCGGCCTTCCAGAACCGCTTTTCGCTAATACACTCCGCTCCTGTTTTGGAGGCAGGTTTAGGTGGTGGCAGTGGCCTCGCTGTGCCGGTGGCAGAGGCATTGTTATTACACTCTGTTCCTGGAGTGGTTGTGTTCGGTTGTGGATGCACCACCCTAAGGGCGGGACGAAACCGTCGAACTCCAAGATTGGGCTCCGAATTCACTGTGGCTGCATTCATCATTTGTACTGGTGTGTTCTTATCAGCTGGAGGAATCGTTGGTGCGCTCTGGAACGGTTGGACTCTCGGCACCGGCGGTCCTGCTGACCATGGAGAAGATAACTGTTGGTTCCTGTAAACAAAAGGGTTATAGGACGACACTGGGATCGCCGGAATTGGCAGCTCTGGCATCTCCACCTTGGGTTTCTTGGGTGGCATCGAGTTAACATCTCCGGTCATGCCATGTTTTCTGTGCAAACTGGCAACCGGCGCCGGAACTTGGTGTTGTTCAAAAGCCATTAGAGTAAAATCAATAATAGAAATTGAAAAACAAAAGAAAATTGGTGACAACAAACTAGAAAAAAGGATTTATATAGGCTTTGCCTCTTTCTTTGTTAAAAAAAGGAACAAATCAAAGAAGACAAGAAGAAGAAGAATAACTTTGTATAGGCTTTTGGCCCTTTCTTTGTAAGCAAGAAAAGGAGAGACAGAAAGAAAGAAGAAGGAGAATTGCTCTGTAGATTTTAAGACACATTGGCTTTGTATTTATAGGCAAACTTAGGGCCCTGATCTAAGAAACCTAAACCAATTTGAATTTGGAGGTTTATTTATTAATATAATATTAGAGTTTCCTAATTCTTTCATGTAACCCTATTCATATAAAATTAAATAAGTCTCAGTTAATTTTATAGCAATAATAATTAAAATTTCCTAATTTTATATTAATAACAATGTCTATTAATTTCCAAAAAAGTATTTCCAAAAGAAAAACTAAGGGTTTCATAATATTCCACATCATGATCACAGTCAAAGCTGGATTTGAACAATATATAAGGAGGTTGAAGGTTGTTTCCTAAACATCCTGATCATATTCGTCTTTGGATTCAAAGATTACACTTTTTGGAAAAACCATGTCATCTTTGGATTAAAAAAAAAAACAATTTTTGTAAAAACCATGTCTTTGAGATCATATTCATCTTTGGATTCAAAGATTACACTTTTTGTAAAAACCATATGTCTTTGGACTCCAAAATTATCTGTAAACAGAATTAGGAAGAACTTAATATGTTCATTTATGAAACACCCTAGTTAAATATGTTTCTACCTCTATTTCTCGAGGTGTATTTGTTAAATCACACGCAGTTCCATTTGTAAATTGATGAGCATGGTACTTGCAAGATTAATGAAAAATATTAGGCTGTACAAACAATAATTCTGTCTTGAAAATATGTGAATAAGGGTGATAGAGTTTCTGTGGTGTTGACATTATCCTACAAGTAGAAAGTTTAAAATCACACCTTTGTGATGCATCATTTGAGCAAGGATCTTCTAGAGTTGAGATGTCCGATCGGTTTTGGTCGTAAGCTTCAGTAGCTTCAGCATCATATACTCCCAAAATATAATCTTGCACCACCTAAAATATAATAAGTATGAAAGAATAATTAGCTTCATTAGTAACAGCCAAAACAAACCAAAGAAACAAGATACACTGTCAATAAGATGCAGTTTAACGCCCTAATTTGAGTTTGCCGTATCACAAGACACCCAAATGATAATAACATAAACCATTTCATAAATACAAAACCACTTATCCAACAGCACGAAAAAATAAACAAAATGAGCTCAACAAGATAGACACCAACAAGGGAATCAAAATCCAAACCTTATCATCCTCCACATGAATTTGACGAAGCTTCTTCTGATGACAGGAATTCATATAACCACCACCCCTCTTGCTGCAGATGAGAAATTATCAATGTTAAACAGTTGAGTACCATCAGGGAAATGACTATGAAGTAGGCACTCCAGTACTCTTGGGGAAAAAAACATGAAAGAAATAGATTAGGATAGTATATAGGCTGACCCTGAGAAAGCAACGATCTTTCAAAACTTCGAGCAGCTCATCTGGTGTCTTCAATTTGATGCGTCTTTCAGACTCCAAGATCAAACTGCTGGTATTCTGTTGATAAACCAGCTTTCTGCGCTCGAGGTAGAAAGCAGATAAATTTCTCCCCATTTTTGTTTGGCATAATCATAGATTCTTGATCCTCATCCTACTCAGGAATGCAACCAATTATAGGGCGAAAAGGTGCGTCTTCTGGATGGAATTCAATCTTATACTTCGGTTCTGGAGAAGTTCGACTGAAACATGCCCCTGAGAGAATGAAGGGTTAAACATGCAATCAAAGAACAGGATTACATAGATACATCAACATAGCTTTCTGCTATCGCCTTTCTCATCACGAATCAACATAGCTTACCAAGCAGACCCAATATAAAGATACAAGAGTATCGCCAGGTAAAGCACAAATTCCATGATAAAAACCTACCAGTAAAACCTTCAGCTATGATTGGACTCAAACACACTCTATACTATTAGCTGCTAAGTAAGAATCCACTATCTTACACAATAAAACGATACACATTAAAGGTTGAAAAAAAATTAATGGCGGAACTACAAACATTTAAAATTTTCAATCCGCATGCACACTGTTCATCCCTTTTTCAAGATTCTGATAAATTTTCTCTATAGAAAAGAAAGGAGCTTTCGTTAGTACCAGGATGAGCTGGAATAATTTGATCGGCAAAGGCGAGACTGATGAAGAGATGAAGGAGTCCAGTGTACTAGTCATCTTCTGATTCTTCTGATTTCTTCTCCATTGATTAACCCCTAGATTCTGATATTTGGGGAAGAAGAACTGAAGAAGATGGTATTTTCCTTTTTCTTTTTTTTTTTCTTTCAATACCTAAAGTAAGCGGGTAATTGTGTAATTCCACGCCGATTTTAATTTACTAATTCTTGTTTAAATTGACGGAATTCTGTTAATTTTAATTATTAAAATATCTTAATAGTTTTAAAAATTATAAATTGACCCCAATAATTTTCAATTTTATTTTAATTTTTTCTATTTTTTATTTCTTTTTATTATTTCCGTAACTATAAAAATATATTATATGATCTTTAAAAAAATATTTATTTTTTGACTCTAATGTACAAATTTATAATTATATATTTGTAAGTCATGTTTGATTTACATAAACATATTAATCTTTTAATAATATGGTTTAACAGTAATGACTTATTTTTTAATACATTTTTTTCAATCTAAAAAATAAGAGTATTTAACTAAAACTAATTTTGCACAAAAAAAAATAAAACATTTAGCATAGATTAAATTTTTTTTATTTTTATATTAATATATTACAATTTAATTCAACAGAATTTAGATTGTATTGTAAAATTAAAAGAATAATTAAACTAAAATAATTCAACAGAATCGAGGCATCGAACACAGTAATAATCATCTCTTATCTTAAATCACCTGATCATCCAACTCAACCCTCTTACCTTTAGTGGACTATGCTTACATGTGGATAAAATCACTCTCCTGGTTAAAAATCTTTGGTTGAGAATTAATTTCATATCTACTCTCATGAAGCTCAACACTCTAAATACTAGATTGTACCCTATATTTTAGTATTTTTTTTTTAAATTGGATAATACAATCTATAGTCTGTTTAGTTAATTTGTAATAAATTAAAATGTACAAATATATTAAATTTTAATCTCTGCTAAATGTTCTAATTTTTTATAAAAAATTAGTTTTTAGTTAAAAAATCTTATTCTTTAAATTGAAAAAAAAAGATTAAAAAATAATATCATTATTGTCAAGCTATATTATTAAAAAAATTAATATGTTTATGTAAATCAACCATGAGTTACAAATATGCATATCTATAAATTTGAACAATAGTGTTTAAAAATAAATAATTTTTTTTAAAAAAAGATCATATAATATATTTTTATAGTTATGAGAAATAGTACAAAGAAATAGAAAATAGAAAAAATTAAATAAAAAGTGAAAAAAAAGACTGTTTGGTCATTTTTATAATTTTCAAAATTATTAGGGTTTTTTTTATAATTAAAACTAACAGAATTCCGAAAAAGAATAGGATAGAATTGACAACGCGTGTCAACGTTCGGGTAGATCGGCCAATTTTTCCCGTTGTTTCCTAAATATTATTATGCTTATTAAAGTTTCCTAATTCTTTCAAGTAACCTATTTATAAAACTAAATTATTCTTAGTTAAAATCCTATTTAACAATATTTATTAATTTATTGCAAAAAGAAAACAAAAATCCTAATTTTAAAAAGAAGAACTACGGGTTTCGTATTGTTTCACATTATGATCACACTCAAAATTTGGATTTGAACAATATAAGTAGGTTGAAGGTTGTTTCCTAAACATGCACATGTGATCATACTCATTTTTGGGTTCACAGATTACACTTTTTTTTTTTCTTTTTTTTATTTTTTTGAACCATATGCCTTTGGATTCAAAAACTTGTGCGATTTGTAGAAAACATATGTAGTAGTATTATTATTAACAGAGAGGTTCCCTAATTTCTCACATACGATTGCACTCCTATTTGGAATTAGATTATTCATTGTCTCAAAATAAGAGTTAGTTTAGACTAAAGCATAGTAAAATTTGGATAAAGTTTTAGACTAATACATGAGTGGATTCAGAACAACCTCGAAATCAGGAGTCAGACAACAAATTTTTTCACCACTAACCATTAGATTAACAGTTGATCTAAGAAAAGTTGTATTCGAAACGACGTTCGGGAACATGTAAAATGACTCTGTACACGGTGATCTAAGGGGTGAGCTAACCATATTGCCTAATGCACCACTGCTACTACCCATCTCTCAACATTGCACACTGCTTAGCAAAGTCAAGTACTCACTGATTGCTTCACCTTCTTTGGTAACATCAATTTCATAATCTGAAAATGCATCTCTACCCTGTAATTCTGCCTTGATCTCATCTTCCATTTCAAAATCCCTCTGTTCCTCTTCCTTTTTAGTATTTTCTTCACCTCCATCATCAGCTTCTTCCTCATCTGGTCCTACTGCATGTCCTGCACCGGTTCCAGCACTTGAAGATGCCGCATTATTTTCTGAACTCCCTGAACCAACCGCAACATCGGAAGCAAGGCTCCCAGCACCAGCCGGTGCTTCATTTTGATTACGTCCAAGTAAATAGTTTAGGGCTCTCTCTTTTGTGCCAAACCTGCGAATTGCTTCAGCAACTAGCACACACAAACCAAGAGGCACAAATAAATTAGCAACAAAATAGGCAATATGTTCAGTCGTAAGATAATTTTAAACACATGGGGTATTGGTTGTACAAAAGGATAGTTAACTGTTACGACATGTGGGAGGGATTTAATGCTTGAAGCCTCATCAAATTACATTATAGAAACAAAAGAAGTTGTTCCTAAAGCATACACACTCAAAAGATCTAAAAGGCAGCAAAAAGAGCAGATAAACTAGTTACCAGCAGTTCTAGGGAATCCCATGCTGGCAAGAGCCTGAATTGCCACTTCTTCTGCTTGACGTAACCTTTTACTTTTCCTAAGTTGAAGCTCAGCCTGCAAATCAAATGTCGCTTTATATCTGCCTATCTGGCTTTATACCACATTGGACAAAACAGGAACCAAAAAAAAGACCATACCTGTATGGCAGCATTAGTTGTTGGATTTGTCAGGTCATCCAAAGCCTTCTGGGTGTCGTTTTCGTTTCTTCGTAGTGCTTCTGCAGCAAGTGTTTTCTCAAATCTGCAAAAATTTGAGTACAAAACTGACGTCAGGATACTTTCCACTTGATGTCATTAGCTCAGGCAAAGAGGAAGGCACCAATTGGAAAACAATCATGCAAATAACAATGGGAAAAAAAAATTATAGAAAAAAGTGACCACCAAAAAGAAAAAAGGGTTCCCAGTAATGACAATGTTTCTTACCCAACAAAGACCAACTCCTTCAATTTCTGAAGATCAACAGCTTTTTTGAGAGGCGTGATGCCATATCGCTTTTGCTCCCTAGAAATAATTTCCATTTGTAAGAAATAAGAAACAGATAAAGCTATCAACATCAAATGCACTGTATGGGAGCAAAACCTACAGAATCTCCTTTTGGCGCTGTAGGTTCTTCTGCCGTTCAATCGCCTTCTTTGACTTTTCCTCAACAAGAAAATCAACAGCACTTTCCACATCCTGGTTGTTCATGCGAAGGGCTCTCTTTGCATCAGATTCTTTATAGCCCATGCCCATGAGTAATGATAGAGCCTCATCAGGTACTTGAAGCTGTTCAAGAAAGAACACCCAAGTAACACCCGACAAGATGACTATTGAAGAAGGCTATCTCTCATGCGGTTCTTTCAATTTATCAACTTTTCAGAATAAAGAAATTTGATAAAGGTAAAAAATATATCAAGCAAACTTACCTTGGAGTACTTCATTTGTGCAGCAGATAAGGCATCCCTTGACTTTTCGAATTGACCACTGTGATATGCCACTACTGCTTCTAAAAGCTCCAGTCTCAGGTATCTACACATGAAGAATTACATCACTTATGATAATTACAGGCACAAAAAGCATAGAGGATAATCCCCATTTGGAAGGTGATAACTCACAAGGCAAGCTCAGGAAAACGTTGTCCTTGGATGAGTCTCATACGAATTGCCTCCTTCCCATATGCTCGCTCAAGCCCCTCCCTAGCTTTAGCAAGACGCACACCAGCCTCAGTGAGCCAGCTAATATCATGAAGCATGAAATAGCACCACACCATGTCTATTTGAAGGATGGATACATTGTCAACCATTTCAATTACTCTTGGATCACAAAGAGAGAAAGCCTCCTCTCCCATGGTGAGCACTTCCAAGGCATCTCTATATTTATGCTTTTTAATTAAATGCTTAGCATTTGTATGCAGCATGAGACCCATCATTATTGATCTGGCAAAAATCAAAGACATTTTAAAAGCACAAACAAAGACTCAATAACCTCTGTGGAAAGCATAATAATTGCTTGTGTTGTGAAATCTGAAATATACAATTGAATTCAGAATATGAATTAGATACTACAAACCTCTGGTCAGTCTCAGAGCCCAGCTTCACTGTCTCCCCGCTCTGGTTCTCCAATTCAAGGTTAAAGTCTTCAATAGGAAAGGAACCGTCAGCATGTCTTTGGGCTAGCAAAGTTGTGGCAGACCTGTCATAAGTATCAAGCAAGAGATGAGACCAGGTACTGATAAACATGTAAAAAAACCAAGCGAATTTGCAGAAACTAATCTTTAATCTAAGGTTATACATCCTACAGGCCTAGGCTATAAAACAACAAAACCAACTGTGCTTCACACTGTGAACCGTTAACTAGAAGGCAATTTAGGGAAGAAACAGTCACAGAGAGCAAAAAATGAATCAACCCTGGTGAACACAAAACTCGAATAGAACCAAATATCACCAGAAACACGCTAAAGACTTCGATCATAGGCATCCTACCAGTTTCCAAAAAACACCAACAAGAGAATAGCCATCAATTTAAACGCCAACACTAATACATGCAAAATGTCCGAGGTTTACTGAAACCTAATTTCCGAACAGTCAGTTTCATCAACCAAGTCAATCGTCAATCCAATCTATCATCAATCATAACAAGATCAAATACTTCGAATACCCAAACAGCCCCAACATTCTGTCATGCCCGAAATTCAAAGAATCCCCCAAAGGTAAAACCCTCAGGTAATTGAGAAGCACCCGCATATGAACTTTTGACGATCACAAAAATACAGGTTTAGGGGCAAGATAACGTAATCAAGATGACTGGAGAAGATGCTAACTTGAGCCTGGAGAGTCGCTTACAGCGCTCTTCCTCAGCGAGGAATTCTTGCTTCAATTTGCCTTGATCAGCGGAGACCCTAGTGGCCATAACCTTAGAATTGTTTCTAAGACCCAATTGAGATAGCTTTTCAGCGCCATCGCCATCTTTCAAAACCTTGCCGGAGGATATCAAGTTGATCGCCTGTGGACCGTCAGAGCAGCCGGATCGTTTAGCAACTTCTTCTCTCAACATGGGCACCGTCCATTCTTCAAAGTTTAATTCCAAGACCCCGTTCCACGCCCCTCCTACCCTCAATTTCTCCGAACCCATAGCGTCTTGTGGGGAAAGAAACAGAAAGTGTACAGATGAAACTTTTGAGAGTGAGTCTCCAAGAAGAAGAAGACCCAAAGACTTCGTACCCTATTTATGTATTCTGATTTTGATTTCGGATTATATTTTCTTTTTCTCTCTGTCTCGTTTATAATTTCAGCACTTGTCATCTTATTATCATTATTATCATTATTATTAAAATACTCTTCCTATTCAGTAAAAAATAATAATTGTAATAATTTTGATTTGTGTAAATTCCAAAACTTATGTAAAATAATTTTCTCAGGACAGAAGTAATACGTGTTACAATCTATAGTACTTAATTAAAGCAGCAAACAGAAAGGATATGTGTCAGCACTAGAATGAAAATTTTCCCGTCAAAAGCCATTTTCAGTACAAAATCATTTTTGACAAGTGGCACTCTAACTAATCAGAAAAAAAAAGATAGAATAAATAAATACATAAATCCTTTAATTATAGCTGCATAAAAATCTCTTAATTATAGGTATATATTAATCTTTTAAAACAACAATATTTAATTAATAAAATCAAATGTAAGGAAATCCTCTTAAATCAAGTGAAACACAAAATGTCTTCTCAATCCCCAATTTCAAAGAATCTCTTCCATTCCACTCCTCTCTCATACCCGGGGCCTTTAAATCAATTACCTAAAATCTGACATCAATTATCAATTCATCTCTTTCTACAACAGAGAAAAAATAAGCTGTCATGAAAAAAATTTGATTTTTTAAGGATGATTTTTTTATTCTTCTGTTGTAGATATTGGTTTATGATTTATATAAATCCGAGCATAAGTTAACTGTTGTAAATTAAATGTTATAAATTTAGGCATAGATTTATGTATAACAACTCACTTTCTGTCCTTTCAATCGATTTTTTATTCTTCTATTTTTTTTTATTCTTTTAAGAATGATTCGTATTTTTTATTTAATCGATTTAAAAATACAGGTGGCACCCGGGACATTCCCCCGGGGCAAGCATCTAGTCTTGTATTAATGCATATCTTTCTATTATCAAATCGTAAAATGTAAATAATTGGACATGTGTTAAATATTTCAATTGTCAAGATACGAAAAGTGTAATTTGATAGTAAAATGTTACATAACATTTTTTTGTTTTGGTTATATAATGTTTACATGCACAGGAAACACAACAATATACACATTTATGAATACTTGAAAAATTTGAGGAGGGCTGAAGTTTCATCCATGTGTGTGGTTATGACTAATTAATCAACAAAGTGAGTTTAATTTTTAAAAAGAAAAAAAAACCGCGAACTATAACTCTCCAAGTTTATAATCCAAATTAAGCATAATGCACATTTACCAATTATTTAAGATATTTTCGCAGTTTTTTTTTCTTCTTTGATGAATTTATCGTGAAACTTAAATTGTTCATAAGGTTATTTAAAATTAAAAATATATTGCTTTGAATATTAAGTTTAAAAATTTAACAAACAATATACTAACTTTTTTTTTTTTTTTTTGAACGCCGAGAAGCTCACTAGAGATAGGTAAACCCACACCCACTGTAATAGCCTACAAACAACAGTCGGAGGCAATCCACCCTAGGCATGTCCGGGATGACAAGTCCGGGTGCGAAATCGGGGATTCATTAGTGGGTTATCCATAATAGTATACTAACTATTATTATTATTATTATTATTATTATTATTATTATTATTATTATTATTATTATTATTTGATGAACTCTGTAAAGAACTAAAATTATATATATTTTTTTTATAAAAAAAAATCCACCCCAGTGAACCTCACTTAAATTTGGATAAAACTTCTATTACAACCCCTGGTGAAAATCAAACCATGGTCTATTACCAGGAAAGACATCAACCTAATCACTAGACTGTCATTCAATTCCCAAACTAAAATTAAATACTCCCTCTGTCCCAAAATTATTGTCCACTTTTGTTAAGATGTAAGATTTTATTTTTAATCAAACTTAACCAAACTTTGCAATAACCTTTCAAATTTACCGTTACATACACAATTAGTTTCACAAGCGTGTGAAAATTGGGAAAAAACTTTTTCCTTTACTCCTTTTTCAGTTCCTAATCTGAAAGTCATCCATTTCAAAACGCAAAACAGAGCATCCCTCCTCCTTCAGTAAAAAAACTTAGCTATAATTGAATCAAATTTCAATTAAAAAACTTCGGTCCTCTAAATTTCAATTTGGTCATCATGAAGATATTTCACTGAAAAGTTCTCGTTCTCCTTAGCATAGATCGTAAAGAACTTCACCGGTAAGATCATCACTTGTGTTAATAGAATAAAATTTTCATGTAAATTCACTTGAATTTAGAGAAAGTTCTTCCTAGGAGCTTCAAATTTGGTGCTTCTCCATTGATTATTCTATTTCTTTGGGATGTCCTTTGAATTGATCCAATGCAACTTTAGTCAGTTTTTTGCCCGAATTTCTTCTCTATAATCCGTTCCGATAATCACCTAACAACCTCATCCTCACCATCGCTTGGGCCCCGCAACCTCATCCTCACCTCCGCTTGGGCCGTCGGTGTATAGTCTTTGTTTTCCGTGTTGTACGCTACTGCAAATGTATTCTGTCGTCGGGGAGTAGTGGACTAGAACGGTTGGAGTTAAATTGTTGTTTTTGTTGAAAGGGTATATGTGTAACTTATTTCATAAAAAGTCAAATCGAACAATAATTTTGGGACAAAATTTTTTTGACCGAGTGGAGAATAATTTTAGGACGGAGGGAATATATGTACCGATCATCTCATAAAATCTCAAAAGCTTACATGCGATCAAATATATATCCTTTCCTTTGTCCCTGAAAAAAAAACATTTAACTTTTAGTTTTGAGATTTAATAATAATATGGATTATAACAAGTAATTGGTCCAAGTGGTAAAGTATTGAGCCAGTTTAATTATGACCCGTGTTCCAACTCGAACATGGACATGCAGTAATGATTAAGATACTTGTTAGGAGAGTTTTGTCTTCCGAAAGGAACTTAACCAGCTCGAATCCGGATTAGTCAAATAATGACTTTGGACACGAGTGCATGATATATCAAACAAATAATAATATGGACTATTTTGTTTAAGAACGGAGGGAATATGAATTAGGATGGAAAAGATTTTAATAATAGCATGAAGGCCCATAAAGGCAACTGGCCCAAAGAACAACAGATCCACTCTTGCTTACTAGCAACTCGCAGATCCGATTAATGGCCGCCGGCGGCGGAGCCACAACGGGCACCACCACCCGGAGAAAGAGAAGAAAGAACGCTAAAACCAAGTACAAATCCAAGAAAATAAACATTTGTTCAGTGAAATTGGAACCGGAAGAACCTCATTTCCAGATCCACCATCCCGATTCCGGCGAAGACGTATCCAACCTCGTCCCTCAGCTCATCACCGCCGCGCACGGCGCACTGTCATTCCTCCGCCGCCACGACCTCCACCTCCTACCTTCCCAATCTCTTTCCCTCGAGAATCTCTTAGCTTCCACTTCAACATCTTTCCCTAAACTCCTCTCTCTTCTCTCTTTCTCCCCCCAATCAATACCTCCGCCACCGCCGGTTGCTCCTCCGCCGCCGCAACCGTGTTGGTTCGATCGGTTCCTTTCTTCCGCCGACGATGACCATGACTCCAGGTGGGCCCATTTCTTCAACCTCTCCAAACCTTCTTTCACTCTCCTCCTCCGCCTCCTCACTCCATCTCTCACTTCCCTCTCTCCTCTTCTTCCTCTGAACTTTGCTCTGGCTGCTACCCTTCTCCGGCTAGCTCACGCCGCCTCTTTCTCCGCCGTCTCCCGCCGATTTAACATCGACCCCGCCACAGCTTGCCGCGCGTTCTACACGGTCTGCAAAGCCATTAACGAGAGGCTCGGGCATCTGTTCGAATTGAAGTCGGATATTAATCGAATTGTGGTGGGATTTGGGTGGATTTCTCTGCCCAATTGCTGTGGTGTTCTGGGGTTCGAGAAGTTCCGACTGGACGGTTCTCTATTAGGTAAAGAAGAGTTCTTGATAGCTCAAGCTCTTGTGGATTCTGAAGGTAGATTTTTGGACGTTTCAGCTGGCTGGCCGAGTAATGTGAGCCCGGAAAATATCCTTCGGAAATCGAAGCTTTTCGCGGGTATAGAGGAATCCAAAGAGTACTTGAATGGACCATCGTTTGAAATCAGTGATAGAAATTCAATCCCACAATACATTCTAGGAGAGTCCTGTTTCCCAATCATGCCTTGGCTTTTAACTCCTTACAGAGACTTTGATGAACATCAGGAGTTGAATTCTTCCAAGACAGCATTTAACAAGGTGCATGAGGTCGGAGTTCAGCTGGTGAGGAAGGCGTTTTGGAAGCTGAGAAAAAGATGGAAACTTGTGACGGAGAAATGGAATGAAGAGTGCATTGAGGCTTTTCCTTTTATCATAGTAGCTTGTTGTCTGCTGCAGAATTTCCTGATCAAATGCAGCGAGCCAGTGCAAGTGCAAGTCGAGGATGTGGATTTTTCAAGAGATGAAGAGTTTCCAGTATTTGATGGAGATGGAGATGAGACTGGACAGAAGATCAGGGATGCTCTTGCATCCCATCTCAATAGAGTTAATCAGAGACGATGATGACTTGAGTGTCTTCCTGTATTGAAGTTTTTCCTAATTTGTTGTAATTTAATTGCCACCTGTTTTTTTTTTTTTTTCCTAATATGAGCATTCTTCTTTGTATTTTATCAGTAGAAAATTATGGTATTTTGTTGTCCTGTCCTGACTGACTTGGGTGTGTTATTAGTGTTTGATTTTATCTATGGACTTCCCTAGAAAAGAAGAAGCACCAATGGCTATAAGTAGCTTTGGGTGTAATTACTTGATAAAATTTAACAAAACAAAAGAAAAAAGAAAAAGCAGAGATGATATCTAGTCTTTTTGTTTGGGCAAAGAGATCATATCTAGTCATAAGAATGGTATGATTCAGTTTTGCAGCCGCCATATCCAGGTGATTCTTTTCGCATATATAGAAAGAGAGGCCAAATTCTGCCATTAACTAAAGCATGATTTCTCTGCTACCATGAAAGCATATCTAATGATAAATCCAAGGAACAAAACCAGGTTTACTTTGTACAATTTTTTGTTTCCTATTCAACATATTCAGTTGCTCAAGTCAGTAGTCCGGCGGCCCCGGTTGCATAAAGCCAAAAGGAGCATCATAGAACAAAGTTGGAAGAAGGGCCTTTCTTGGTGCAATCCAACCAACAAGAAATCAGACCTTTCATACTCCCATCCCTCTGCTGTAAGTTGTCCATCTCTCTTCTTTGTAATACCCTTAGGAACTCATCTGAGCTAAGATTTCCATCATGATTTGTATCAAATATGTAAAAAACCATCTCCACAACATTGTCACTCAGTGGAATCCCACACACCTGTTTTACCAAACACAAAGTATCAACGCCAACTTTTCAAATTGAACCAGAAATGAGTGTTATGTAAAGGAAAGGTTTAGATGAGATAATCATACTTGACTGGCAGCTCTCTGGAAATCTTGCTTGGTTAATAGTCCATTTACTTTACCATAACTGAAGACAGCCAGTGAAAATGGACGGAGACGTTTGCGTAGTTCTGCAAAATTCTTGAACTCCTCAAATGTGATGCGGATGTCTCTGAGGTTTGGTTCATTGTTCAGCTCATCAACACGATCAAGAAACTTGTTGATTTGGCTAATGTCAGCAGAGGCCACCATTGACAATGCAAAATCTATAGCAGAAATGGTTCCCTGTGATTTGCAGTCATAATGTGCGAACTCCAGCCGCAATATCTGCCAATAAAACATGAAATGTTGCACCATGTGAGGATTGTGGGAATATTTGTGCTTAAATTATGATGAAAAGCAGTGTGATATCTCCACTGGTTTAATTACAGAAACTGTGATTTGCTGGTTAGGACATGCATACTTCATCATGCAGATCCCTCAAGAACTGGACAAAGTTTTCGTGTTCAAGACGCCCTTTGCCGTCTTTGCCAAAGAAGTACTCTAGTAGCCCCCCATCCTCAACAGAACCCGAAACGTTCAATCCAATTCTCAGTCCATCTCTATGGCGAGCACCTTGCCTGTTATGTGTCCTCATCAGAGCCATCACTTTCTGGAACTCCTGCCGGTCAATTCCTCTGTTTAAGAGCAGTGAAAGTTCTCATTGTCCCAAGATTCAGTGACAGATAGAGTGCAGCTCATTAATCATCAGATTCCACAGGACTAAATCTACTGATTGTATGGGAACTTTCATAAGTTACTATTCAAGGACTCAAACAATTATGGTTGCTATGACTAATAAACACATTACTATATACACGTCATTGAGCTTAGATTATAGACTATGCAAATATGCAATTCAGCATTTATGTTATATTTGACATACCCATCATTGTCAAGGTCAAACATCTTAAATGCCACAGCGAAACTTGATTCTGGAATGCTGAGTAATGTCACAAAAAAGATGTACCTGCCAGGACTCAGAGATCATTCAAATCCGCAACCATAGTTTAGAAATGTGTATACATACATATACTACTCTGAATTTAAGATGTATATATATGTGGAAAGTAGAGGTATTAACTCTGGAAATGATACAAGTCCATCATTATCGGTGTCGAAAAGCATGAAAAACTCGGAAGGAGCACAACATAATTCCCCTGGAATATTCTTCTCCCCTTTTAGATACCCTCCTCTAACAGAAGCTGCTTCTGATGGAGGAAATACAGGAACAACTGCTCGCATCAAGTCTGTTGGTGTCATGAAAACCTCCCCAGAAGGTGATCGGAATGATGCAAAGTACTCAAACACCTAGGCACCAAATACATAAAAGAAACATTATTGGGAGCATTTATATACAATCAATTCTCAATCTAGTTACCAAATCCAGCTATTTGATTGTAGAAGGCCTTACCTTCTCAGGGGGACTCTGCAACCTCAGGCGTTTCTCATACTTGAAGAAAACCTTTCTTCTATAAGTATCTGAGGCATCAGACAAACACATTCGCATAAAAAATTGAACCTTAGTAAGTAACAACGTAACATAACAAAAAAACCTTTGATCTTAATGAGTAAACTTCATGGAATCAAGGACTAAAGGAAAAATTTCTCTGTTAACCTTTGAATATGAACTTAGGCTGATCTTCAGCATTTTCTACTGCCCTGGCTCCAGAATCAGCAAAACACACAAGCGAATCTCTGCCAGAGATACCATACCCGTAATAAAGGCCTAAACTTGAACCAACCACAACCAACCCAGGAAAGAGTGACCTCAATAGCGACTCAAGAACAGAAATTCCAGCTTTCTTTCCACTCCCATTACCATTGTAACGGAACCCTTTCTTTGATAAATCTCCTGATGTTGAATAGGGACGAGGGTTGTTTGATTTTGTGAAGATCAATCGCTGGTTAAGATTTTGAGCTGAAGAGACTGCGATAATCCGCTTGGGCCTTGTCAGCAACACCCAAGAACTCATTTAATTACGGTTAAAAATTTGGAGGAATGCGAACAAGATTTTGCAATAAAGCTAGGATCTTTGTTGTCTTGATTGCTTAATAAAGTTAGTAAGTATCTATTTTCATGATTTCATCAATGATGCATGAAACAAAGCAAAGAATCCGGGGTAAAAGGCACAGAATACACTAAAAATCAGAGCAAGAAAAGGGCATAAACTTGGAATTGTTTTGACCGAGAAAGCTGGTAATATTGCATGGATTGGCGGAGATTTTTACTTGGGAGTTTGGGGACCTTCTTGGAAGCCACCACCGGTGGGCTTTGAACCGTACTACTTGTTTCATTTGTTTCGAAGAAGCTTTAATTTGGGCAAGAAGTGCTGAACTATATGGGCCTAAGGAAAATGAAAAGCTGTTATTAGCCCATCATTTTGAGATGGACCAAATAAAGGTCGATGAGCAAGCAATAGATGTATTCTTGCTCTTAACTGGCAAGTTTCGATAGGGCATACCCGACGCCCCAATAATATCGTGGCGGATCCATTAAATCGGGCCTTTCTTCGCCACATGGGCTGTATATTCTGTCGACTTCTCCGTCTGTAATGACAGAGAGTGTCGGACTAGATAGGGCTATCTCATCTCACCTATCTTATGGTTGTTTTGCAATCAAGCTACATTTTCGGGGGAAAAAAAAAAAAAGAAAATCCGAAGGAAGAAAAAATCATTGGACAAAGCTCCATCCCTTTCATACGATGTTTGAGGTTTGTAGAGAAACTTCAGAGTCGATCCCGTTAGTATATGCATAATTTTGTGATACGAAATGAAATATCAGTTGATACTAATTTAAGAACATTAACGGTTATTTTGCAAGTAGTAGTAGGAAGTCAAACGAAAATTGAGAATCATAAAGAAAACGTATAAGATGTTTTCTAGTTGTTGAAACAATTATAGTACCCCAACAGTTTATGATTGTTGGACCAACACCAGTTGGCACTTGCCACCCTCATAGGAGTGATTAGCAACTTTAATGCTGAATTAAAAGAGCAACAACATCCCAGTGGCCGCAAGTTAATAGAGGAGGACTTGTAAAAACAAAATGGTGAGTTTCAGGAACCTTGCTCAGGTTGTCGTATGAAAATGTCAATTTGTAACAGCTAATTAAGTTGAGAAGGACCCGGAAATTTGCATGTTATGTATGACCAGGTCAATTGCATTCAATGGACATATATTCATAGAGAGGCTTTTTTTTCCTTTGCTGAAAGCTGAAAATGCACTTCTCAATAAAAGGGACGTGAAGGGGAGAGGTTTACCTCGCAAAAAAGGACCTAATTTGTTCGAGCACAGATTATTTTTGGATACTGAGTGCCTAATATAACAAACAAGAAAAAAGAGGTGAAAAATGGTTTTAAAACCTACCATTATATCCAAAGATGTACTGTGCAGTAGTTAAACCAACCAACCATTTACTCACAACAATTTCATCTATGGGAAGATATATAGTACCAAGCCAAAATCTGAAATCTGAATTTGATGGCCTCAAGTAATGTAGCTTCAGCTTTTGCCGTAATTTGATACTGAGCTACTGAAAGCAGAGTAAATGAGGACTGCTGCCTTGTGGTCATACACCATATTTTTTCAGTAAAGCTTCTCTAGGCTCTCTGGCTCTTTGGCCAGTGGCCATAACCGAACAGAAAGCAACTTCTGCAATAAAAAATTACACCTAACTGGTTTTACTCAAATTTAAAGTCTTTCTTTGAAGTGGATAGAATGCTCCATTTTGGGTGCTTTTTCTCAACCACCATTTTGAAAATTTCCGTAAACACAATAAATTGGAAAACAATTCAGGCAACTATATAGAGAGCTATTATTATTATTATTATTATTATTATTATTATTATTATTGTTTTAACCAACAGGGCCACCACAGTCCACTCCACATGCATGTGTGCTGCACATATACCTTTCAAGCAAAAACTCTTCTATCCATCCTCTCTTTGGCCATAATATCTTTTTGTTCTTTTTTCCTTTTTCTTTTTTGGCCCCATTTTATGTCCTTTTTCACCAAATTTCATAGACTCTAATCACTCAATTTGCATATATACCTCCCAATAAGTCCATATCACTCACTAAGAACTATTAAAGCATAGAAACACAGACATAAGCGATTGATCAGTAGCAAGCCAGCTACCATGGATTGGTACTCTTGGTTATCAAAATGTAATCTTGAGCCATCCATTAGTTATGAGTATGGTTTAGCTTTCACCAGGAATGAGCTAGAGAAAGATGATCTGGTCTACTTTAACCATGAATTCCTCAAGAGTTTGGGCATCAATGTAGCTAAACATCGGTTGGAGATATTGAAGCTTGTTAGGAAGGAACTTGGAGGGAGCCAAAATGGGTTGTCTAAGCTTGTGTTGGCATTCAACAAAACCAAAAAACTCTTCACAAGGAAAGTTGGCCGATGGGCTTTTCATCAGAGCAAGAATTCAACTCAGTCCGAAATGATTTCGACAACAGACTTGTGTGCTTACCCGAGTCACTGGAGTGGAGCACTCAGAAGGCTCAGTAGCTCAAAGGAAGATTACAAGCCTGCAGTGATCACAACAAGCAACAAGAATGTGATGATGAAGTCAGGGCCTTTAGACAGAAGAGTAATGCAACAGGAGAGGATGCTGATGAACAATAGATGTTTGAGCATATCAGGGCCTCTGGATGGGAAGCTACAAGACAAGTGGATGCTTGCAAATTTGAGCCCAATGAGGACAAGTACTAACGGAATACCTGATGGAAAAGGAAGAGAAAGGTTTGGTTTCGCAACCAGGAGTCCTACCCTAACAACAACAACAACTCCATGGGATGGAAGAGGTTTGAGCCCAATTCTTAATCACTATTATGAGAGAAAGGTGGGGTGTGTTGATGATGGTCCTTCACTATGGTCCTTAATGTTTCAGGATCTGAAACCCACTTGATCAGAAGTTTTCTGCTTCTTATTGATCCACTGTGGGAAAAGACAGTATTTTGTTTTGCAGATTTTCTGTCTTTTTAGTTATTATCTACAGTCACTAGAAAATCTAGCTTGCATCTAGGCAGAGGCTTATGTTTCTGCCCATAATCGTGACTATGTTAACTAAGAAACAATCGTGAGTTTTCTATAGTCATCTGGATTATTTCATATATGCTTGCCTGCTTGGGCTTGGTTGTTTCTCTTTACCCTGTCACTCTGCATAATATCAGATTTCTTCGCAAAGAAGTGCAGATCTTTTAGCATTATTTTAGTGCTTTAACTTGTTTAAGAGTTAAGACAACTGCAACCCTGCAAGTAATAACCAACACAGATGATGCAAATGATGAATGTTCTGTGATAAATTCGTGCCTAAATTCACAAGTGTAGATAAGATTGGAAGTTCTAATCCTTGAACTTTCTGTTCTAAAAGATTGGAGTCCAATGGTTTCATATGGCAGAAGGGCCGTCCTATGCAGCCTTACCCTTATGCTAAGAGGCTGTTTTCAGATTCAAACCTGTCTGATCACAGTGAAGCAATCCTACCATTGTGCTAAGGTTTGTCTAACAGAGTTAGACATCTAAACACATTCATTAAACAAGCTCACGAACTTAAAATCTATAGACCTTGAAAGTTTACCTTTGGCTTTCCAAAGTAAAGAGGTTACGTAAAAATGCAACAGCAATCTGCAGCACTACCATTGAAAAGCCTTAGGACCGGACCTACAGCAAGGTACTGGAAACTTTCTCTGCCTAGTAGCATATGCCTCTTACCTTTTTCCAGTTTCAACAAAAAAGGCAATTCCTGTCTTAAATTTGGTTCAGATGCATATGACTGGTCTCTCTCTTATTATTGCAAGTAATACAGAACATGTGTATCATCAAAGCATAATTAGACTGGCTCCACTGAAGTTGCCAAAATATTCAAAGTTAGTTGGTGCTGATGCTGACACAGCCTCTTGAAGCTACCGCAGTATCTAAAGTTAGTTGGTGCTGACTTTATGAGAGTTAGCACAAACATGAATGGTGAACAACTTAATATTCTCAGGTTCTCTTGTTAATTGAATAGTTATGATATAAAAAAAAAAGAGTTTTTATTAGTCCTATCCTATCTATAACATCTTGTAATACATGCCAATACTGTTTCATTAATGATCAATATAATCTTAGTAATTACAGTACAAATGTACACAACTTACAGTTCTGTTACTCAAATACTAAGGACAGTGCTCCTGTTCTCTCATTTATTTGAATTTTGAGGCATCCGGAATGAGCCTCCTGAATATAGCATTTGGTAGACAGGCTTTATCCTTTTTGTTAGAACTATACTGAGCATGACTCCCACACTAGAAACTCCAGCCAGAACCATGAAGGTAATTCTAAAGCAATGAGGTCCTATGCAAGACTTCCGATGCTGTTTTGCTGCCTCATAATCATATAGAATGCCGGCAAGAAGAACTGAGAAGAGAGAAGCACCCAAAGGGTTTCCTAGTGACATGAAATTGATTATCATACCAAAATGTTTCAGGCCAAAAAGCTCAGATGCTGTTGGAATCATGACAGAAAATTGAACCCCATAGCATACTCCCAGCAATGCAGTTGCGGCATAAAGGGTACCAGTCATAGCCGATGCAAAGAGAAGATACACGATGCTCATCACCACTTGTGTACATGTTATCCAAATTGTCCTAGGCATTGTTCTTGATCTGCTAGGAAAACTTACGATCAGATACACAACTAGTTCAAGAAATCGATTGATATCCCTATCAGAATTTTCTGAGTGTACAACTAGAATCATTTCTTGATTTTGCGTAAACTTAGCCCTTCTGATTAGTACGACATTGTGCAATATTTGATTAGTCCGACGTTGTGCAATATTTTCAACTTGTCACAGTCAACATTTGAAACATGCTTAGAGAAATGACAGGACCATTCTATTTCAGTAGAAAAGAAGTGAACTAACCTCACGAAAATTTCAGAAAGAATGCCTCCACCAAGACGACCAACAAAATTACAGAAGCTGAAGATGCAGAGCAGCAAAGTTGTATTTTCAACACCTTGAGCTATTCCTATCTGTGCTAAGTTATTGAGAACAGTAACACCAGAACCAACTCCGACAAAGTACACAAGAAACAGAAGCCAGAAATCAGCCTTGACCAGTGCCTCAGCAAATGTAAAGTCTTCACCTCTTCTTGGTCTCCTTCTCTTTCTTATAGTTCCATGTCCTTCAGCAAGAAGCACGTCAACCTCTGACACACTGTCACTTCCATTTAAACTACCCGATGATGATGATGGTGCTAAAAGTGGTTCCGTCTTAAACTGCCATTCATAGTTTCTAACGACAAGATTCTCAGGTTCACTAGAAGAAGCAGATTCACCACTATTTGAAGGGTACAATGTCATCTTTAGAGGAATCACGAGCGGAGTTATGAGGAGTAAAACCATTATTGCAACAAACATTAAGGAGACCGGAGCAATCAAAGGAAGCACGCTGTTTAATATGGAAGCTGCAAGAAGACAAATACCAAGCACAACACTTGCAGCCTGAATGAAGAGAAAATAAGAAGACACTGAAGCATCATCCCCTGAAGCTGGGATACAAGGCCTGACATAACACATTAGTACCAAACAAAGTGAAGGGATGCCAATTGCGAGGAATAATAGCAGCATGGAAGAAGATTGATGCAGCAGTGCACTGTAAATTTCCGTAAATACTGCGGCACTCAAGCCTATATAACCTTTAAGGATGCCAGCAACTGTGCCCCGACTCAAAGGGAAGTTTCTCAAGTTTGTTACTACCACAGCTGTGCTCAACCAAGTACTGCTATTTGTAGCAATACAGAGCGCTACCCATAACTGAAAGTCATCAAGACGAAAGTATAAGAGAAGAAGATCAAAAAAACAAGAAAAAAGAATGCAATCAGTGAAGTTGTAAAACTGGAATATGACAAAAGGCCTACAGTAAGTATGCTTTGTATTGTGCCAAATTATTCTCCTACATTTTTCTCTCTTTACAAACTCGACGATTTGACAAAGGGATTATTCTCATCAAAGAATCAAGATCAAATGGAATATTAAAGAGGAGCTAACTGCTGTTTTGAGCATCACATGCACCAATTTACAGCCCTGACTCATTCAATTTCCATGCATAATTAAAAACATTTCGAGAAATTTTGAGGTGATGCAAATTGCATACCATCCTGACAAAACAACTATTCAAATCACCTAAACATGCAAACGGGAGAAATACCACCAGAAGGAAGTATTCTTACATGGAGCAGAGTTTATCCTAAACTCCTGACAACCGAATAAGCGCATCGACATACAACTGAGCATCATGTAACACCCAAAAATAGGAGAGCATTTAACTGTTTCCATCAAAAAGATAACAACAATACTGGAATTACTAAGAAGAAACAGTAGAAAGATATCAACTTTACCATCCAATAAGGCAATGTAGGAACAGTGCGAGTAAGAGCAAGCCAGAGGACCCCATAACCAAAACAGCATGAAAAAGCACCAACGGAGATGATAACCCAAGGTGGAAACTTGTTGCATACAATACCCGGAACAAGGCCCATGTTTTCCCCTATATCACAGGCAACTCCAAGCAGGGTAAGTTGATGCTGATTAAAACCCAGGATTGATTTGAGGGAATGAGAATAGAGTGGAAAAGTGGCAGCATTCCCAGATGCTATCAGCAACCAAGCTGAAACCCCAAGCCCAACCCACGGCGGCCTAGTTCCTACTTTCAAGGTCACCATTCCGGAGTCTCAAAAGATCAGAACTTTTTAACTCCAAAGAAGCTGGTAGAAAAGAAGAGAAGGAAAACAGACGAAAGCCGTTTGGGCATTGATCAAGGATCAAAAGATCCGGTTGAGGGAAGGAAAAAAAAAACGCCAAAAGGAGTACAAAAGGCCGGTTTGTAAATGCGGAAAGTGTTGGAAAAAGCAATAAAAGGGGGAGAAAGGGGGGAGTTTTGGCAGTGTGTGACTGTGTGTCAACAAGATGAAGACAAAGCAGGGAGAATTGGAGTAATCAGATTTTGATTTCATATTTTATTAGTAGTACCATCGAACTCTAGAAGTTTTGTTTTGTTTTTCCCCCCCACAAAATAATACCCTCCGGGGAACCTTTTGTCCCCAGAAATCACCGTTTCTTTTTCTTTCCGTCGGTTGTTCCAGATGCATGATGACTGGTACGCCGCTTTGGAGGCTCTCTTAGTCACCGCCTGACAAATGTTTGGTTCTTTGTTTATGAGTTTATCCTTAGACATCACAGTTAGGCACAAAAGTCCAAAATTTCTAACACCCAAAACGGCTTGAATTTTGACATAAGAAAAATCAAATGGCATGAAATTTGAAGTTTGAAGCCCGACTCAGTGGAATTGATTCGCCAATTCAAACCAAACTCAACAGAGAGGGAAAGGAAAGTATTTCTTTCTTCTTTGATAAAGGCGTAATTTTCATTACTTGTCACTTCTGAGTTCAATATTCTTGAAAAACAAATCAATACTTTCATTTGGTTTTGCTTCGGCTAAAATAAACTATATTATGAAGCCTGACCTTTCAATCTATTGGTGTGTGAACAAGCCCAAGTGTTGAGATACCAGGCCAACCCAACCTAATGATAACCAAAACTGGGAGGCTAACTTCCAAGTTGATGGGCTAATTATGGCTAAAGTTAGAAGGCGCCCACTCTCTCCGTTCTAAAATAAGTGTCGTTTTAGCAAAATGAAGAAATTTCAAAATAAGTATCGTTATTAAATTTTAATGCACTTTTTATCCAAAATTTTTAAAATTACTATAATTAATATTATTGGTGGACATTTTTTCAATTTGGGTTGGTTGAGTATATTTAAGTAATTTTACGGCCCTATTTAAGAGTTCCTAAAACTATATGCAATTTGTAGGATAACACTTATTTTGGAATGAAGGGAGTATATCAAATATTTTGTGCCTTGTTCACTTGCTCACTACAACAATTAACAATTATAGTTATGGGAAAATTTTATAGTGATTGCCATGGCAATTTCACTTGTTCAGCATTCCCCATAACAATTATAGTTATGGTAAAATTTTATGAGGATCATCGTGACAATTAAATTTTAATTCAAATTATCAGAGATGTGGTTTGTTATTCGTTGTTGCAATGGTATGCCAAGTAAATGGTCAGTAAATCCTTTACTGACCCTATCACTACTCTATTGTTATTTTTAAAAAAAAGAGGTAATAGAATGTTGGTTGATCTTGGAAAAGAAGGCTTGATTATAAGGGAAAAGAAGATAATCTGTATATTGTGTAAGAACGAGGTGAGAATCATATGACAATTTTTTATTTTTTATTTTCCAAATTATGGGCAGTGTATGAGAATCATACGACATTCATTTGCATGTTTTGACCATGAAATTAAAAGTGATTGCGAGAATCATGTCAAAAGCCTAATCATTGGAATAATCCTCGTCAGTACCACCTTTGCTGAATCAGAATGTAAGCGTATATATATTTATAAGTTAGAAACTCAGTAATGAAGAGTATTTTTTGAATCCTATATTTCTTATGAATGTAATACCATAGCATCGCATGTGGAGTGCGATTATAATTAGGAACGATGACGTTGTTTGTTTGTATGGCTGAAAAGACTTTTGGTTTTTTTTTTTTCCTTCTTCTTTTGAATATAAAAACTCCAAAATAGGGGCGGGTGTGGTTCGGTGATTGAGGTTTTCAGTCCGAATAAATCGAATTTTTATGTTTTTCAAGAAAAATTTAACCACCCGAAATCCGAACCGAATAAAACGGTTGACCAAAACTGAATGACCAAAGTAGTTTCGGTGACCATTTTAACCGAATTTTTTTTCAATTACACTAGTTAAATTTTTTAGTTAAAATCTTCTACGACTAAGTCAATATGTAAATTATAATGTAACTGTAAATATTTGTAAATTTTTTTATCAAGTTAACTATGGTTCAAATCACGTATGTTCACAAGACATTAAATAAAAAATTATTGATCTACATCTAATTGATAAAGTGAGAGCTAATACAATATGTTTTGATCTAATTTCATACGATATCAGATTCAGTTATAGATGGCATGCCGAGTGGTTTATTATTTATGATATTCAACAAATTATATATTGACAATATCAAATGTGTGAAATTAAATTATGAATTTATTTATGTCCAAACTATTACTATATATATATATATATTATGGGCGGTTATTCGGTTAACCGTACCGAACCGAACCAAACCATAGATTTCGATCCGGTTAACCGAAATAAAAGTATAAGAGTCTGTATCCAGTATATCCGGGGGCACCGTGTACCCCTTCCTATTTTTTGTATTTATAGTTCTTATTGTACATTTTTTATCAATCTTTCTATATTTTCCAAAAAAAACATCTCTAATTTTTCAACGAGCATATCTCCCAATCCGTGAAGAATTTGTGAACGAATTATATATGAAATTTATAGTACTCGTCGAGATCTATCCAACAAGATCCATAGTGAATATTTTTCCGGGCTTAAAAATGACGTAATTCTGATAGGCAGAATAAGGTGGATATCCAGTTTTACAAAATGGATAACCAACTTGTTCTAAATTGGTTATCCATTGTGTTCATGCTGATTATCCAATCAGTTTGAAGTGGTTATCCATTTTGTTTGTACTGCTTATCCATTTGGTTTGTATGTCTATCCAACTTGTTTGTAATAGATATCCCACTTGTTTGAAATGGATATCCAACTCACTTGTACTGGATATCCATCCATTTGGTTTATATACTTATCCAACTTGTTTTGTAGTTGTAATCCAACGGGTTTGTATGCATATCCAACTTGTTTGTGCTGGATATCCAACTCGCTTGTACTGGATATCCATCTACTTCATATTGATTATCCAACTTCTTAATTCAAAATAAGTTGGTTATCCATCTTCTTAAACTGGATATCCAATGTGTTCATATTGATTATCCAACTTCTTTGTGGTGGTTATCCAATATTTTTTTTCCTTGCTCTTTTATGAAAATAATTGTCAAACTTTTTTGTACTGATTATCCAATTATTTTCTATTAATTATCCAAATTATTTGCAATGCTTATCCAATCATTTTTTTTTGAAGAGTGAATGTCAAAAATATGATTGAATAACAAGTACAAACAGAATGGATAATCAGTCCAAACCGGTTGGATAATCAGTAGTAACACAATGGATAACCATTTTTCAAAGAAAAACGAAAAACACATTTCTTCATTTCTGCCCGTAAAATTTAAAGGCATTTAAAGTTCAAAAAAAAAATATTCAACATGGATCTTATCGGATAGATTTCATCGAGCACTATAAATTTCATGTATAATTCGTATTCTAATTATTTATAGATCAAGAGATATATGGAATACAAGAATCTTAATCCAAACTAAACTGGTTATCCATCTTTCTAAACTAGATATCCATCTTATTCTGCCTATCGAAATTTAGTCATTTTTAAACTCGGAAAAAATATTCGACATGGATCTTGTTGGATAGATCTCGACGAGTACTATAATTTTATGTATAACACGTTCTCTAATTTATTACGGATCATGAGATATGGTCGTTTAAAGATTAGAGATGTGTTTTAAAAGAGAGAAAAAAAAAATCAAAGGGACTAAACCTGTAAATTATAGGATGTTATTTAGAAAAGTGGAAAAAAGTGTAGTAAAGACTAGTAGTGTAAAAAATAGGAGGGGGAGTATGCTGCTCCCGGGTATATTGGATAAATTGCCAAAGTATAAATTCGATAACCGAACCACTAACCTCCTTCTAAGAGGGGTTCGGTTAAAATTCCGAATCGAAAACTATTTTGAACCGAACCAAATAGTTCGGATGTGATTTGGTTCGGACGGTTCTCACGGTTCGATTAAACCGTGCCCACCCCTACTCCAAAATAGAGTTATGCACATTGCTAATTTTTTAGTTTACTAAATTAGACTTTTTTATAATACGGAAGAGAATACTACTCTTTATTTTTGTAGACTAAGATAGAACCTTACAAACTATGAAATCAAATTTTCTTCAAGTAAACACTAGTTAACCAGAATTTTAGAGGTTTATTTATTTATTTAAGAAGAAAATAGTACGTCTCCTATGTAAAAGGTTTATATATATATATATATATATATATATATGTTTGTTGTACTAATGAAAATAGTATAATTGAATAATTATTCTTGGATAGAAAGAGTACTTAATAACGCAAAAGTTAAAATGTAGCTTTGAAGTCACATTGTCAACTATATATTGCTATAGACTTTCAAATATAGGTGGCAAAAACATATGATTTTTTTTATAAAAAAAAAGAAAAAGAAAAACACGGCTATCATAATCAGGATTGCTTTCGATATGCTTTCCAGCATTGCATTTGCGATGCACAGACCATCAATATAGTGGTTTAAGGCAATTGGGTACCAAACTCCAAAATTAAATCCCCACTTCTTATTTATCTCTTTGTTCTCTGCACCACATTATCCACGTCATCATAATCGCCACGACAAACAAATAAATATTTCCTCTTTGTGGTCGTGTGCCCTAACTCCTTATTTTGTTTTGAAATGAAGACATGGCCAAATCGGAGACTTACAAATTAAACCTTGATTAGCCGAATCTGCCATCATCTGTCCTGTCCCTTGTATACAAATCTTAATGATTTGAGAATGAAAGTTGAAATGGATTCGCGATGTCTAGAGAGGTAGATCATAATTAATCTTTCATACTACTTGTTAGTAATTATTATTAGTCTATGAGAGAGTCGACATAAAATAATTACTCACATGATTTGTTTTCCTTCTTTGTTGTTTTTAATAAATAAACCGAGATGTTCAAACCCCTCCTAATGATAGTGATTAATGTTTTGTATAAATTTAACTCTGTCCCGAAAGAGTATTTCACATTGAATTTCCACAAATTGGCAGAACTGATATTATTCTAAGATCATCATTCTAACACGGACAAGACATCACCAAGAGAATAAATAATGTTCAAAATACCAAATGAAATGTAAATTCAATTGCAAATTCACTAATTTGTTATTTATTGCTGTAAATAAACCAAATGTAAGTCTGGAGAGACACCCAAGTTTGTTGCAAACTTTTATGTACTCTCTCATTTCCAATCTGATTGTATCAAAGAAAAAGGTTCAATTCACCTTCTGTCCTTCAATCTTTAAAGTTTTGAAATTTATTTTTAATATATAATATTTATTTTTAATATACTCCCTCCGTCCCATAATTATTGTCCACTTTTACTAAAATGAAAAATTTTATTTTTGGTCAAACTTAACTATATTTTACCTTAAACAACCGGATATACCCCTACATAAGTAATTGTTTAACCACTAAGATTTTATGGATAATGTTTTTTATTAAGAACAAATGTGTAACTTGATCCATAAAAAGTCAAATTGGACAATAATTTTGGGATAAAATTTTTTGGGTAAAGTGGCAATAATTATGAGATGGAGGGAGTATAATAATTTCAAAACAGTAGACATCTCAATATTATGAAACAGTTAGGAAAATATTGAAAATTGGAGAGACATATGAATGTAGAGAGAGTGAAGACCTGATCAAAACACAAACAGCTGGACAAAATGAACACATAAAATGGGCTGACCGCATATAAAACCAAGAATAGCACATGGCTTGTCCATCGGACTCACCAAAACATTGAATTCACCAAGCTTATGAGGCCCACCAGTGCCCGCTCCCTCTTCACGTGGAACCCATCTGAATTCCTATGTTCTCTTCTCTTAGGTCCCTTTTCTTTTCTTAGATGTTATTGTCCCTACTACACTTAACCCCCTTAACGCTTAACTTGGATGAAAACTCCCCCAAATTACGTGAATATGCATATGTTTTGTAAATTGTACTAATAACAAAAATTGGATTCAACATTTTGAAAAGGAGCACATCATCGTGTTCTTGTCACTGTTGGTTGAATCGATGTCTCTGTTTGCCATGGGGCTACCGTCAATTTGTACAACCCCAGAGAGTACTAGTTTATAATTATACCACGATGTTATAGGTATTTCCTATCGTAAAATGATAGTTACGTAATTATAAGACCAAAGCCTTCATATTGATTTAAAAAAAAATAAATAAACGTTTCTGTTGTACTCTCACTCTTGATATGGCAATCTATTTTAGACGGGTTGTGACTTGTAAGTTTTGATTTCATTTTTGTTTCCTCAACTAATATGTTTTTTTTATTCTTTTCAACCCTTAAAATGCTTAAACCTATCTGCACCATTACACAGAATTAGTGGTACATAGTCTGATCCGCACTTAAGTGTATCCCACGGATAGCTTATTTTTTGGTCCATATTACGTCGTTATGTTGGAACGTCGGAGGTTTTTTTTTTAACTCAGGGTAAATTACTATTATTTACCAACTCTTCTTATAACTCAGGGGTAGTGAAGGTCAATACAGATTGAGAAAGTGCAGTTATGAAATTAGAAGTTAAAATTTAGAATTTTAATCATCTTGAAAAAATCTGTGAAAAGAAATGTATTATCGTGATAGGACAAACCACGAACGAGCTCACTGCAAGCTGGATTTCTCAAGTGTATCAGCAGCATTGAAACTGTATGATCATTTTACGGTGGAAAAAATATTAAAAATAAAAGTCATGGAGATTCTCGGAGATGTTCGATTCTTGGTATCACAATTTGATTCTGTATGTATAGATTTTTCTTTTAATCTAATTGGACCACGAATGCAATAGCATATCTTTTACACAATGCTCCATACGTACTCCACATGCCTTGGAGATTCATTAGTGCTTATGTCGGCTTATTCATTTTAACAAAAATCAACCAGTTAGCTATAGATAGATATCGGCGCCTCATCGTCAGTTCATGAAAAAATGTTTCGTGTCTTTGAATTAAAGTATATGAAATTCAATTATTTTTTTTAGAGACAAATAGAATATATCATTCATTAACATACGAGAGTCGTGTTACATAGTAAGGTCGAACGTTGAGTTAGTAAACAAATTTGTGGGATGACATGTTGTTGAGGATGGCTAAATTATTAAAAAAATGAGTTGGCATTATACAGACGTGAATATTGGCTTCCAAAGCATTCAAAGTACAGAAATACTAATGCGATGTGGAGTAAGTGTGTATATATACCTCGTGTGTATATATACCTCGTGCTAAATTGACTGGGATTGAGCAGCCTCTGATATCTTAACCTTCTACGCCGTCGTATAATCATATGCATGCATCTCCTTTATTTTAATAGCTCAACCTGCGACCCTTTTCTCGTTGATCTAATCAGCTCATTTGACTATAATATTATACACAAAAGATATTTAACAATACTCCATCTGTCATATACAACTTGTACACTGTTTTAAGTTGTTTATACAATTATTTTTATCAAATTAACTGATAAATTAACTTTTGTTGAGACGACAGTGACGATGATTGAAATTTGGAAAACAAGGGCAATTGGAGTCGGTGCCCCACAAAACTTAATAAAGTATGGAGATCAGATCGTCGTCAATTCTCCAATGTGCGGGGGGCCAATGGGCCGCTTTCAATCCGGAGTGATTGTGCCCCTTGTTTCCTCTATCAATGGGATGGTTGCACAGATCCTGGTTTTCAATAATGCTAAAAAGTACAAACTACTTTAAATTCTCATTTTCAGTTCAAATTATACTAAACGTGATGATTCAAAAACATCATGGATTCGGAGCTGGCAGAACTGGTTGCGGTGAAGGAAGCTCTTAGAACGGCAGATAACCCGAACCTGCATGATTTCCAGATTGTTGGGGACTCTAATAACGCCATCCTGACTGCCAGAGGAGATCTTCATGGTCCGCAAAATGCCCTCCCAATCATTCAAGAAATTAAAAACCTTTTAGATGGTTTTCCGAATTTGAATGTTTGTTGAATTAGTCGTGTAGAGAATTCTATTGCTCATGCAATAGCAAATTATGATAAGTCTTGTAAACTGAGGGACATCTTTTGGTCGTTTCCTCTGAATCGGCTCTCATCCAGCTAATAATTGAAGTGTTTCTTTTTCAAAAAAAAAAAAATAACATAACATGATAATCTAAATTGGACAATAATTTGTGCGACAAAGAGAGTACCATTTTCTTAGTCCTCAAATAAGTGTCAAACTTTTAGTTTTAATGTAAGAATCTTTAATTGATCAATTATTTTGGTATCAAAGAAAGACTAAAACGCTTAATTTGAGAGCTATGAAGCTCAGGAATGTCAATCCAATGTTGTGTTCTCCTTACATTAGTTTAATGGAACATGGGGTTTACAATGTAATCTAGACATGAACAAACTCTAAGATAAGCTAACCAAATCAGCGGGGTACAGTCCTCATGACCGTTTAATAGTGATCAGGTCGACCTTCATCGATCAGGGATAAGGTTGTTTAACTCAAAAAAACAGTTTTTTTCCCTCTCCTTAGCCAAACAACTAAAAGTGGAGTAGCAAATGGGCAGACCCCCTCAGAGGATAAAGAACAAATTAACTATTCTGCTCAAAGGTTTCCATTGGGAGAGCTATCACTTTCGGGTTTCAATACCTTATCCGAACTACATGATAAAGTAACTCGTGAGGGCCTATCTGAAAAGGATAGATGATGAGACCTTTAGGCTACTTTTTCTTCATCAAGTTGTATGGCATTGTAGCCATCCCGGTCTCGATCAAGCATCTTACTTGAGTGAAAGCCATTGTCCATTTGAAATTTCGGTGGACTACACTTTCATACATTAGCAATTTCGGTGCCAAACTGAATTTACTTTAATCCAGTAGTAACACTAGTGGTAACCTAGAGTTACGGTGATCTCGTTTACTGAAACAGGTGAAGAGAAGTTAGAACATCCCAAAACCTGGGAAACTTATGAATCCTGTGGGTTGGTTGGATTGATTGGCTAACAAAGGTGCTTATTGTTAGAACTACTAAACTGTGTGTTTGACTAAGAAGTTATTGGTAGTGAATCAGCTACCACCAAATCTATACTAGCCATGGCGTGGACTAAAAAACAGGTCATGAACGCCTCAATTACTTCTGAAATCACCTCTAATTTTCAAATCTCCGATTCTCTTTTTACATCACCTAACGTTAGGATTCTCATGGCCTGCTTTTTCTCATGGTCAACACAATTTTCATGCCAGTTAAAGGAATGGAACCAGATCATTGATCAACTAGTCTTAGTCTTATGGGGGTTTCTTTTTGACTTCACTTATTGGTTTTGATGATTCTGGTTGTAACCTTAGTGTGCAAGGGTATCGAATGAAAATGTCAGTCAAACATGGTCCGATATTCCAGAATTCCCTCCCACGCAAATCGTGTTTCCTTGGGTCAAATCCACGCATATTCACAACCCAACTTCTTTGAAACAAAAGATTACCTGTAAAAACACCAACACAGAAGAATCGTTCCATCAGTAACAAACACATGATGAATTTTATGAATAAAAAAAAAAAAGAACACAGATTCAATTAACCAATTAACAGGAAGAAGAGTAATTCCAGTTCAATCACAACCATCTCAATGAACCCAATGACTATACCCAACACCACGGCGGCCAGAAATAATCAGAAACAGAGGACAAATGTTTCAGACCCCCAAAAAAATAAAAATAAAAAGGAATACAAAATGGTAGACGGACAAAGATAACGTTTTTTGTAAGGAGGATTGGAAATTGGAAGGCCAGTTTGAACTTTGAAGGGGATTAAACTAAAGAGGACGCAAATATATGTATCTAGAAAAAAAATCGAATTCTAACTGGAAATGAAAATCGAATAAAGAAAGGGACGATCAATGAATGATAATTTAGCTAAAAACTTTTAGACGCTAATAATCATTAATGAATTTTAAAGTCCGGAATTCATTTGTAATAATATCAAGTCCCCGACTCCCGCCCATCTTATCCACAGTTTCAGGTAAAAAGAAATTAAGTAGTATTAAAAACGGCAAAGTCTCTGGTGGCCGGAATTTCGAGGGTTTCGGTCACCGGAGACAACAAAAAACAAGTCCCGCTCCGAATTGCTCCTCCACAGCACACCTCCTCCTATACAGACTCAATCCGACGTCACCTCCACTCCTGCTGACGTCATCACCGCCGCACTTTTCTCTGGTTTTCTGCATTCAATCTTCACATTCCGGAAAGGGTCCTTCACAATCGACCCAATTAGGCTTTTTTCCCCGCAAGAATCTGGATCCAAGCTTCAGCAAATCTTTCACTCTTTAGACATGACGGAAAGGCGACTGGGCCGTGGTTTGAAATCATCACGGCGGCGCTGTTGATGAGACGAAGGTCGAATTAAAGAAGCAAGGGCTCTTTTCACCCAATCGCCGCCCTCCACGGTTCCGATTCTCACCAGCGAATTCTTCATCGCCGAGCGCCTCATATTCAACCGGTTCGAATTAGAGCTGTACGACGCCGTATGCCCGTGACTATTCCCAGCACTGCCCTTATGCAAACTGCAGCGAAATGAACCGGGATGGTTCGTCGGAGAGCACATACAGGTCCGCTTCTGACTCTGAGGCCTTTGAACCACCGGGCTGCTCCGGTTCGACACTGAAACCGAACGGTTCGGTGAACTGGGCCTGTCCAGCAACGAAAACCGCACGGACGGAGCCGGGTTGTAGAGGCTGACCCGAGTCGGCGAGGTGGGTCTCCGGAGCAAAGCACCGCCGGGTGAGGATGTGCGTGCGGAAAATGCGGCGGCGGAGGAAGATGCAAAAGCAGACGAGGGGTTTCTATGGGAATAGAACCTTCCAGAAGGAGAAGGCGAGGCTGAACGGAGAACCGGTCCGCTTGTCCGACGAGTTGCTGCCGCCATTGTAAGATTTGTTTCAGTAGTTGAAATGTTGAATTTGGTAGAAGGGAAAGAAAGAAAGAGAGAGAGAGAGAGAAGAAATACTTTTTCAAAACCGTTTTTTCAAAGAAGAATGTGTTTGAGAGAGTAATTTGGCAAACCTAGACTTGACTCCTACTCTCTATTTATAGCTGATTTCCGGGGAAGGCAATTTTACAGCTGTCACTGAAAAAAAAAAACCAGTGGCGGTTTCCATTTCGTTTCCCTTTTTTTTAATATTCTGATTTTTCGTTCATTTTCCCATTTCTCATTTCTTCTGGAATTTACATAAACACCTTGATATTTCTTGGAATTAGACGTCGGCCCCTCCTCCCTGAAATGTTAACCTTTTCTGAAAAGAATAAAATTACGGTAATCTTGTCAACATCAGGGTATTTAAGTTGGCAGTGGAAATACATAAAAGTTAGGTACAAAAGGCCAGTCAAAATTCAAGTCCGATAGCAACTACTACAAATCAGCGTTGCAATTTCGGAACATTAGCATTTCAGTTATGAATTAGAAAATCATATATAAATTTATGGGGAGGAAAATAGGCTAATAGAAGAGAGCCACATATAAAAATACATAATTATTTAGCTATAATTTTTCATTTCAAAAAGGACCAAGATATTAGACAAACTATCTTCAAGAAAAACCATTGCAAAAAGCGTAATTGTAATTTATGCCTGTCATAAATTTTGTTTAACACATCTCGTCATAATATTTAACAACTTAACGTTTTTTTTAATATCATTTAATATTTAACTAAGACCTTAACCTACAATCAAATGAATGTTTACGGTCAAAAATAAAAAATTTCGAAAATCTTAGGAGTTGTATACGTATTAGGAAATGTGAAAGAGTTGTTTCACCTTATAAATAGGATCTCGTCTTTGGTCCTTTTATAAGTAGGTTTTATTTTTATGATTTTTTCTATTGATTTTTTTTTTAAAAAAAAGAAGGCTGTAAATATCATTATTGATTATTTCTATTGATTTTGATGAGATACTATCTCCGGAGGCTTGATTGTATGATTATTCCAGTCATAAGGATCATTAATCATACATATAAGCTGTACTAATTGGTAGGACAAAATCTTTCGTAATAAATGTAAAGGAGGCAGGGGAGGAATCTGCAAATGTTCGGGAATGTGAGTGGTAAATTCGACTACACATTTTCCGTGAGGAATGAAAAATGAAATATTAGTGCAAGTGGGACACGTGGAAATCAAAGGCCAGCAGTAAGCAAGGAATATGCCAGAAGGAAATGAAAACAACATTAATTAAATTGAATTAATAGTAATAATAAACAACCATACATTATTGGTACCACGAATCAGGTGATGTTAACATACTTAACCGTGGTGAAAACGTTAAGCCATTGGAAACTGGAATCCCGTGGGCATATAATATTCCTTTTATTTTGCATAAAAGGACAAAATAGAGAGGCGTTTAGATCAACGGATTTGTCAAAAAATAAATAAAGATGGAATGAGAAATTCAGGCGCGCAGAGGAAATACTAGTGTACAACCACGTAAGTGAGTTTGCAAAATGACTCACCATACGGTTGATTCCACGTATCGTGTCTTCAACTGCTGGGTCAGCAAATTCACGGAGGCCCAGCCAGCCAGCCTCATGGGTTTCGGAGGATTATGGGTCTATCTATTGGATTCGTCTCTATGGGCGGCGCACATGTGGGGTTCGGTTTTCCATTCAACATCGGTCCCACTTTCTCCACACAAAGCGTGACACAACGACACTCTCACTTTGTTTGTGTGCCATTCACGTACATATATGTATGGGGTCTTTTGGTCTTTTGTTGGATTCCTTGATTAAATTAGGTCTCTTTTGTCCAACACTTATTTTACCTTTTTGTCTTATTGTACCTCTTAAAATATCTTCTAAATGCAAATTTCAATACTATCCAAACAACTTTTTAATTTATCTTTTAAAAAATATTCTAAAAATTATTTTTACACAATTTTCGTCCACCATCACGTATCGTCCGATGATAGTCTAAAAATATTAATATTTTTATTTAAAATATTACTCAAACAACTTTTTAAATTTCATCTCAAACCACATTTTAAATTACTTCTCAAATCCAAATAAAAAAATAAAACAAAAATTAAAACAGAATGTTGACCAAACAAACCCTTAGTAGTTTGGAATTTGGAGGAAATTAGGAATGGCGCTCTAGTTAGGATGTCCTAACTTCATCATCAGCCTAATAAAAACTGGTAGTGTAATAATTTTGTGGATCCTAATGGTTTATGGGTGGTTATGGGGTCGTTGTTTTTGTCTCGGTTTGTAGCCATGTTTAATTAATTAAGCACCATCATATATTTAGTTTTAGGAAGTATTGATCGTGACTTAGTAATCAAAACATATTTTGAAATCAAACGACGGAAACGTTCTTCATCAAACAGTATTTAGTTTTAGGAAAACTGATATTGACTCGTTTACGATCGAGCATTTTTAAATCAAAACTGTGTCTCCTTTAATAAAACCACCATGTATTAGCGCTATCAAAGACTCAATTTTTAGAAAAATTTGATCATGACTCAATTACTGATGAGCATTTTGAAATCAAGCTGTGTAGTCGAAAACGTGTAATTGATGATTACAACCTACATTAAGAAATTTTAGGCTATATGATTAGGCAAGTGTCCAAGTATGTTTTACTTAATTAGGTTTTAAATATAAGGTGGGATTTGAGTAGTATCCAAATGTGAAGATGATGACTGATGATTTACCCCTTGATGGTGATCGTTGAAATAACAATGACACATGAAGTTGAGATCCCCATCCATCGAGTTAAAAATAAAATCAAGTACCAAGGGGGTGAATCATCCGAAACGTTGATGGTAAATGTAGTAGGAGTAAAATCACGTACCAAAAGGGTTGAATCATCGGAAACGTTCTTTTTATTATAAAAAGAAATGGGAGATGGGAAATTAAGAAAAGGCAACAAGAGGAAAAGAGATCAAAAGCTAAAAAGAAATTAAAAGAAGACAATAATGGGGTGATACAGTCATAGTTAGGCATGCTTTTAGTTGATGTTTAAAACACTCAATTACGACAGATTATGATATTATATTTTTGGCTATTGATATTCTTCGGTTTCGAAATAATTATATCATTTTCATTATAACAAAATAATAATCATTATGTTTAAGAAAAATCGGTTCACCTTAATGTACAGTTTTAGTTATAGGAAAATGACTATTTTTCTTTTTTAAATGGACAGAGCACAATAAATCTGCCAATCATTTTGTAATAGATCAAGAGAGTATTTTATAGTGGGTTAATTCATTAAAATCCCCTTGTGATATTCAAAAGTACATGATAATCCCTTTGTGTTATAATATTATCTAATGAATCTCATTGTGCTTTGTCCAACATTTGTAAATGGACGGAAAGAGTTAGAAACAACCGTGATCACATCTCACGCACGAAACTTGCAAGTTAACTTTGTAAATATAATTTTAGTTATAATTTTAATACCCAAAGAACCCTTCTTCCTATAGGTATCTCCCTCTTTTTTCTCTTTTATCTTTATAGCCGCCAGATTCTAACTACGCAACTTGTCAGAGCTTCACTCTTGGGCTCCCCCATCTATCATTCTTCTTTTATTCTCTTTTTTTTCATCTCTCTTTCTCGCATCAATTTTAAGAAGAAAAAAAAACCTTCTTAGTTCTTGTTTAATTGTAATTGGATTGTTGCTAATTGATTTTATTGCGGCCATGAGTATTCATAGTTTTATGGATACATCTGGAGATCATTATCTTGAATTTGTGATTTTGATGATTGTAATTGTAGTAAAATTTGAAAATTTGGTTAAAGAGAATAAAAAATAATGAGTAAAAACTTAATATGGAGAAATTATCAAGTTTGGAAAAAATGCAATATATGTTCTGAGCATAAAGATAAAACAGGAAACTAATGATGAATATCCTCTGGATCATGTTTCTGGCCTTCTGGGGAAGAAGGAAAAAAAAGAGCCGAAGGATTAAACATTAAAGAAAATGAAAATATGAAAAAAAAATAATTATAAAAGGAAAAGGGGAAAAGAAGCCAAAATAAAAGGGGTAAAACGGGAAACACAATTAATAATGTTAATTTTAGTAAGTGACATCCGTATTACAAATCTCGAATTAAGCACAAGAGGGTTTATCAGATAAAATTTATACCACAAGAGGGTTGTCTTGTAATTTCAGATACCACAGGGGGTTTTTATGAATAAACTCTTTTATATTCATGTATTTTTTGTTTTTAGGTCATGAAATGCATATAATGATTGAATACTAACTCTTCAAAATATCAACAAAATACGGAATCTAATATCATGATCATTATCACGAAGGAAACACAAATAATACTGTAACATCATTATCAATTTGTTGAGAACATCATAATCTTTAAATTAATTGTAATATAAAATTGTTAATAAGATCCAATTATGGGTAGCATCTGTAGGTGGATGGAATCTGAAACATCAATCGATTTTTATTACACTATATTATATAAAGTAATAAGTAAAGGGCTCTAGAGATTGATAATGTAGACAAATTACTTAATTACAAACATGTAAGATGGATCAGTTGATTAACAGTATTCTCGTCATTTTGTCGTCTGTACTTTTGTCCAGGACTGGGGGAGGTAAATAAGAAATGTCCGGTGTAGTGGTGGCAACTTTGAATATATTACTCTTTTACTAACATTTGGTTGGGTAATTTAATTAACAGCGTAACAGGGGTAAATTATCTACACACATTGTTTACTTCTACTACTACTACACGGCATGTGCTTTTTTCCGGGATTAGATCAAACAATAAGGCAGGTCACTTTATAAATACTCTCTCCCTCCCATAATTATTGTCCACTTTGGCCAAAAAATTTTGTCCCAAAATTATTGTCCAATTTGACTTTTTATGGATCAAGTTACACATTTGTCCTTAGTAAAAACATTATCTATAAAATCTTAGTGGTTAAACAATTACTTATGTAGGGGTATATCCGGTCGTTTAAAGTAAAATATAGTTAAGTTTGACCAAAAATAAAATATTTCATTTTAGTAAAATTGGACAATAATTATGGGACAGAGGGAGTACGTTTTTTAAAAATTGGAAAAGTTTACAGCAAAATTTGTGTTCCAACGCTATGAATACTCCGATCATACATTTCGTTTTTTTTTTTTTTTCTTTGTTAATTACGTGGTGCTAAGCTTCGAATCAAAGCTCTCACGCGATCTGCAGGGGTTAAATCGTTCACTTTTTCTGTCAATATTATTTTTAGTTAGTTTAATTTTTTTTTATAACATAATCTTAAGTAGTTTCTGTTAGTAATTAGTACTACATTCATTTTGAAATATATATCGTTTTAGAGTTTGGTGAATTTTTTTTAAATATAAGTCGTTTTCACAAATCGAGGTATATTTGACCATTTTTACCGAAATTATCCTTGCATTGGAAATGAAACAATATTTATAATCAATTTCTATTGATTTGTGATAAGTTGTATAAAAAATTAATAAGGATATTTCTGTATTTAAACTATATTAATTAATGTGTTTTTAGTTTTGATGAATTTTCTAGAAAGACATATAAAAAGAAAATGGTGAGAGTATTAAAAGAACAATCCAGATCGATGACTTTTGCTGTCAAATTAACATTGCCTTCCTTTACAATACCAAAAAAAAAAAAAAAAACCTTGCCTTGATAATCAAGTTTGTGTCATTGAGGAATTCCACATGTCCATCTTTTTTAGACAAAATGCAATTCAAAAAAATTCACATCAACATCGTGGATTATTTAAACCCCGCGGAATCAAAAGTCTTAAGAAAACGTCTCTTCGAGTCCCCCACTAATCAGTATGAATCGGTCTGATACTCTTGATTTTTTCCCGTTTAGAAGAAGAAGAAGAAGAATCTCGGCGCCACACCGCCGAACTAGTCTAAACTCTTTAAAGCTAATACTAGTACTTATATGGCACACATGCAATTATTAACCAAATTAAAGGACCAATATTATTATATTTATTATGCATTCAATGGTGTGGCTGATTGGCTTGACCGTTGACAAAGTCCTTTTAGAAAGGAGTTGTAGTTTAATACCCACAAACAATGTCAACAAAGTAATGAAGAATTTAATTTTGAAAAGTCCAACTTGAGTTGTAGGAAGGAATAAATATGATTATTTATTTCTTGTAAGCCTCTCATTGATCTTTTGTATTGTTTGATATAAAAGCAATAATCTAAAAATCTTAATGATGAGATGGATTATATAATAATACTCTCTCCGTTCCAAAATAAGTGTTATTCTAGAATTTGCATACAGTTTAAGAAAATCTTAAATAGGGTAACTAAATTACTAGAATATCCTCAACCAACCCCATTAAAATAAATACTCACCAATAATATTATTTCTTTTGAGGGTATGTTTAGAAAATTTTGACAAAAAAATCACTGGAATCTGAAAACGACACTTATTTTGGAATGGAGGGAGTAATAACATAGTAATAGTATAATGTATCTAGCTAGCTAGAAAGGTTTCTTTTAATTGTATCTTCCATTCCATCCCCCTTCTAGCTAGCTGCAATCATATAAGTATAACTTCCAACTGATCATGTCTTTATATGATTTTTTTTCTTTTTTAATAACTGCATGAAATTCGAGAATCTTGCCAAACCCAGCAAAATAATTGGGTTGCACGTTTCGATTCCCTTTTAAGATTCATTATTAATTAATTTATATGATATCTTGATATGGTTCATTGAACTGAATATTTTGGTTACACACTAACAAAACATATTAATAGTGTGTCTCTTGTAGTTTGTTTTCATGATGTTTTTTTTTTCCCGAACAAGTTTTTATGATGTTCACTTCCTCTATTCCTTCCAAATGGGGTGAAATATACATTTTGATTAGAACTAATACAACTTGGTTACAAAAATGTCTCTTCATCTATCCCTTATTAATTGCAACACCCCACTCTCCCCCGGCGGGGTGGTCAAGTGGGAGAGAACCTTTAAATTGGTAAACCACTTCGATTCAACGGAGTCATAATTGATGGGGGCATAGACCAAACTGACTTCTATTGCAAGTCAACACAACAAATCAGCTGAAGGATTAGTGTGCAGGTTCCATGTACTATAAAGCAAAAGTCGCACTGCACTAATTTATACGCCACCTGCAGTGAATGCGTAAACGGATGCTGCATGCATTCACGACTGATAAATCCGAATTTTTAAATCACAATCCAAGTCCATCGCTGATTTTTCTGGTGATTAAGTGTTCCGGGGGGTTATTCATATTACTTTGATTCATCACTCATAAGAAAAATACTACTATATATGTATAGGAAAATGATATGTGTACATGGTAAAAGAATATGTGTATCTCTATTTTGTTGTCACTATGTCGTCGAAATTTTATCTTTTTTTTTTTTAAATTTACTCTTTTCATCCCTAATTATCATGTACGCATGAGGCATTATGTTTTTTCAATGTCTCTGTCATTTATGTATATATATTGTATATAGTATACCCAAAAATCATTCATGATGTATTTTGTATAGCACTTTAAGTTTTATACTAACCGGGTTTTATTTTCAACACGAACCAGAGCGTAGATTATTTAATTTTTTAGTAGTTAAATGTTTTAGCCGGATCGGACATTGCCCGGGCTGAGACACTAGTAAATTTTTAAATAATGTCTTATCAAAATTTCACTCTGGAATCGCTTTTAGAAATTATGTTACAAACATAAGTTGAACATAAGAAGGTACAATTAATTTAGGTAATTTTGGCTGGGTACACTAGTATACTATACAAAAATGCTGGGACCAATTAAATTGGTTTTTGCCTTTTTCGCAGCTCTCTCAATCACTTGGAAAAAGATCTGACCACGGAGTTGACGCCGGCTAACACTATATATACCGACGTGAGCTGCAAACCGACGTTGATCTTTCCTTTCGAGATGTAACGAAAGCAGCCATATGGTAATGATGGCCTGATGGGTGACTAAAATTATGCACAGCCATCTTCCAGCCAATCATTCCCCACCACCACGGATAAGACCGTAGTTATTTGCTTCATTAGTTGGACTAAGGACCCTACTTTCTCATGTTTTACATAATACATACGCTTTCACTCGTCTTATTAATAATATATAATTGGAAAATTTAAATTATTTGTACTATCTTTATCTCGATTTTTTTTTAATTTCAATTCAAATCAGTGAAAATCTAAATTGGATAATAATTTTGGGATATACGGAGTATTTTAAATTGGATCAACCTGACTTTATATTATTAGTTAGGGTCGTTAAATGACCTTTGTTGTACCCCTTAATCATTTCTTTCCTTTTCTATGTTTTGGGGTCACATACTATATTGATATATTATTGTTGTTGAAATGAAATCATTCACTCAGTCCATTAAACTATGAGTTCTAGAACTTGATCTAATTTGTGCCCATAAAATCTCTGGTTCTACGTACGTTACATATCATTTCTAATGACGAAAAATGTTTTGTGGATTTTCCACTTCACATTTGCATGTAGGTAACTTTCTTTTGCTCTTCCACAAAAGGCCATTTGGTAATTAGTTGATCCTTGCCCCCTCGGGGCAATTTTCTTTTTTTTTTTTTTTTTTTTGATAAAAAAACATAACTAGGGAGGTTGTAGTTGATCCGCGATAATTAATAATCATCCTGATTATCATTATCGAAAATGATTATTTTGTTACTGATTTGTGTATCCACTTCCAGTTGTACAAGTCACTGTCCGATGAATTATTTAAAGTGTTCCAAATAAATTTCTCATCCATATCTTCTAAGAGAAAACATTTCTTTATTACAAGAGGATGCATAGATGAATCGTCATTTTCAAAATGATAAGTTTTGAATTTGAATGCAGCCCATTGTTAGGTTTAAAGATGTTGGATATATCGGTCAAATATACAGTCTATCCGTCCAAAGATGATTAATTTATTTATTGTACTCCCCCCTCCTAGTTCTCATTGTTTGTTCAAATTGTAATAAAAATTAAATTTTAAATTGGACAATAATTTTGAGACAGAGGGAATACTAAGAATTGTATAATCGACCTGTATAATTACATTATTTTGGAGCAAAAATGGAATACATATGGCTAAAGAAATGTCATTTATGCTTTCCAATATGTCATTCACTCATTCCCTAAAAAGATTATGTTTTGTTATACGTATTATTTTAGTTTTATAAACATAATCTTTACGTTGAAATGCAGTAAATAGATTTTTTCCACAAGAAAAACAAAAGGTTTGTTTTCGCGTATGCTGTTTGGTGGAGAAAATATTGCCATTGAAGAAATAGAGAAAATGTAATCCAAGTTCCAAGTTCGCGAATTTCGTGTGCATGTTGTGTGTGTTAACATCCCCCCTTCCTCTAAAATGTGTGGGGAAATATCTTTAGTGATCACACAAGAAAATGAAGCAGATAAGCTTGCCAGCCAAGGGTTTGCACATTTTCTCCGGTTGTAATCTCAAATTTTGTTTTACTTGTGAGTGATTTCTGACTCCTTTTCTTTTCCTTGTTTTGGCAACGAACGCAACACTCGTGCACTCTTTATATTACCTATATTTTATTTTATTTAATACTCTTTTTTCCCGGTCGACATTATAAAAAATAAAAATAAAAATAACATAGTCAGACATTACTACAAGTAGTATACTTGTACATTTACCATTACTCCTAAAAATTTGTAATCTAAGATATGTTGTTACACAATAATTTGTACTTATTATAAATTTCATGTCCTAACTAGAAAAGTGAACAGTGAAAGTTGAGTAAGTTACGAGAATGACGAAGGTGTAAATGATTTATTTCATTTGTGCCAATGAAGAAACTCAAATTTCCAGCAAATCATGAACAATATTTTCATAAATAATAGGAGCTAAAAAAATAAATATAAGAAAAAAATCATATTAAGTACTAGGGGTTTTGCCTATAACCAAGAGGAACTCCAGCAGAGGATCTAGCATTGTTAACCTTTTTAGTGTACTTACGATGCCTTCGTTCTCTAGCATAGATGATCCACAAGATCAACGACATCATCACTGCCGCCGACGACGTTGTGAACCCGACGTACATCCATTTGGTGTAACGTTCCAAATTCGGACAATAATCTTTCTTAATCTCCCCGAATAGTTCCTTCAGGTAAGCTGAGTCGATCAAGTCCACCACAAATGGCATATCCGTGTACAACGTATGGCTCACGTTCACTGTTGTCATCATCTCGTTGTAACCATTCGGCGTTATTCGCCCTCTCGTCGCGCAATTCCCCGACGCTGCTGTCTTGCATACGTAGTTGTTCCACACCTGAAAAACCAACTCTTTCGATCAGTGACAGGAACGAAAACTTTCAAATTAGTGGTCGAAAATAAGGTTATTCAACCACGAGAGGCCGAATTGAGAAAATTTCAGTTACCGGACACCCCTACTAAGGGAAAATCTGGCCGGCCATCCGGGAGGTCGATCGACCCCCTTAACCCCTAGTTTCGTCTATCCGGATACCTCTATTAAGGGAAAATATGGCCGTCCAGGGGTCAATCGACCCCATTGACCCCGCAGTTATCCTTTCGATTTCATGAAACCATTGTTTTTGTGAATTAAAGGACTAATTATAAGATTAGACATGCCTGAGACGCATTGTCGAAGCTAACTTCCCCGGAAGCGCATTTAGTCTCTTTAAGATTTTCATCATAAGGGTTGCAAAGAAGAGGTACCAGAGGGCCAGATTGGTTATAGAACAAGGGTCCTGCATTTGGTGGCATGTCCACATTGGAGACGTTTGATATTTGTACGTTAATCATGGTGATTAGGCCAAACGTGACGCCTTTCGTCACTAAAAAAATGTCTTGTGCAGTTTTGTTATCTACTTTCGGGATTATACTCTCCAGAGCTGAATGAGCATCTGGATTTTGAAGCCATTCTCCCATTGCCACACATGTGTCTGCAACGACACTGATGTAAAACCACAGGAACAACATTATCATTTTAAGGTTGGTGCCGGTAAAGGAGGCAAGTTAATTGAGTAACAGAATAATGACAGAAGCAGTGAATTTATCTAATCAGTTCATTTTAATAACTAACGTGACATGTATGAATATGCAAAATAACGCATTCTATTATTTTAGCGAACGCTCACATCTTTTCTGGTATGCCATATCGGTTATAGAGTCATTTCACTAAATGAATTCGCTGCTGTGGATAATGCAAAAGACTTACTTATGTACAAGAAGGAAGACCCCACTCAATATAAATGTCAATGCTACCAGAATCCATCCAAAGATTACCAGGCTGCAATAATAATGAAGTATGACTTCAGTAAATGGCAAAAGAAGAAACCAAAGCACCTATGTTTTTGATATAGTAATAATAGACCATTTGGATAACAGTATATAGAAACAATGTTTTGGTCAGATCACACTCACCAATGTACAATGCATTGCAGCCCAAATATGGAGCATACTGTCAAAGCGAGTTTCCACAAACAAGATCCATTAGCACAAATATGAACATCGAAACCCGAAAAAAGATTCTTTTGCCTATATGACTGCTGATGACAATTAACAGACTTACAGTAACCGAGGAATGCTAGGACAAGCAAAGCAGTAGAGAAAACAATCAATGTCAATCTCCTGCACCACAGTAAGAAAGTTATAATAAGTGCCATGAAAAGATGAAATTGTTGCCAGAAATCGAATCACAATAACAGAGAAGAGCCAGGATTAGTACAGGGGATTCAAGAATTGTCGTATGTCATCCGAGTTCGTCTGCGTAACATTACGAAATTGACCAGATACGTCATTGATTCTTTTCTGAATATCGTCAATGTTCGCCTGTAGTTCACGGGGCATTATACTTTGTCCCACATTCGAATTCCTTGCTGCCAGAAGATTATCAACCAAATCCTTGAGTTTCACAATCACTGTATCTGCCTGATGCAGAACAAATGCGACTGTGTCCACAATGCTGTCCTGAAATCTCTTTTGTCCCACATGGAGTGATGCAAAACCACCCCTAAAAATCACCAAAATCAAAACCACATCAAAACTGATTCTCAATTTTCACAAAATTATGAATTTAGATTGCAGGAATGGAAAAGGGTTGCATACACTGCTGCAAGAGTGAACAGAGTGAGGCAAATAACGGAGATGGCATAAGCAGTTTTGGAATATCCATAAGTCTTTTTTCTGCAGCAACAGCAACAAATGCAGAGGCAAAACAGGCAAATTCCAAACACTAAAAACCATACAACCGCAACCACAATTGGTCCAGCAGCTGAAAACGCAACCGACTGAACAATGGAAAAAAAATTTTGGTATCAGAATCACAAACAAGACAGATTATTTACTTTTCGAGAAATGGGTTGTAACCACTGACAAATAAATAATGTGGATCGGTAATGTTCCAACCGCCGGTGTAAAAATTGAAATCATCGGAAGGGTCCCTCCGGTGAGTTCTGTCGGCGGCCAGAATCAGGTACGTAGAATTAGTATTCTGTGCATTTTCAGCTGCAATCCTCCTCGTGTTCGGTTCGACATTCCCAGGTGGATGTGGCGTGTTGGCATCAAGAAACTCTTAACGAATTAAAACATCATATCCAAAAAAAAAAAAAAGAATGTCAAACAAAACTAATAAATGTAACAGTTACTTCCAAAAGGAAATCAACGTACGTACTTAAGCACATCAATCAATGTCGACATTGTCGTTTGATGAAATAAAGGGTACCTGGAATTTTCGCATCTTGAAAGTGATCCAGGGAATTTGCGAAGGTGGGATTACATAAGGCTAAAACGATTAAGACGAAGCAGAGAGGAAACAGAGAGATGATGATGAATGGGTTTGTTGATTTCAGACATCTGATCATTGTTTTTTTTTTTTTTTCGTTGGTTAAAGAGAAAGATGTCTGAAATTCTGACAGCGGCCCGCGTGTTTTTTCTGATTTGCTCAAATGAATTGAAGAAAATTAATGTTGAGTTATACATGTTGTTACTAGAGGGAAGCTTGGGAATCTGTCCTGTTTTTCCATTCGGTGCGGGTTCAGAATTTTAGTACTTAAAAGCTTGTAACCGCCTCCGAAATGCCATTCTTTAGCTTGTCAGTTCAGGCTAAAAATTATAATACTAGAAATAAGCAAACCAACTTCAATAGTTTTTACCCTCGGCTCTCAATCGTCCCAAAATAGAGTCATGTTAGTTCAACGAAGGCGATTATTACTATGTACGAATTCAGTTGTTTCGGTTTGATCCAAATTGAACTGTGTCCATGATTTTTCACACTACGTTTTTTGAAAATAAAATTAGTAGTAACTCCTAACTCCAATGATCCAAGGAAATGGGCAAAAAACAAGGTGAAACTTAAAAAGGCATAAATATTAGGCTGTGATTTGGTCACGCAGATTGATAGTTCCCCATTTTCCAGGAGATCCAGGATATTACGACAAGGAATCTTTTCGATTACTTATGTCATCATCTACTTGTCTTGCGCTGTTTGCAAACTCTTTCTTAAGTTTGGTTAGGAGTGACGGGTTGTTGAGTTTTTGCTGCAAATGCAAGAGATTACACCAATGTTTGGACTTAAAAAAATATGAATTCCTCCATCAATGTTGTTGGTTTTACAACCATTGTTACAACTTTCACATCAACTTCCTTTTGGGGAGCAAAAAAACCCACAAAGTTTATCTTCCAAAAGGGATTTATTTCGATTCAAATATGAATTAGTAGGTATAGTACAATGTTAACAGTCGATGTGTATTGTACCCAAATTCACAAAAAAAAATTCTATCCGAAGAAAATGATGATGTGAATGATATAGCCCATTAGACGAAACTTGTATGCATAGTTTTGTATTAGGCCTATTGTGTGACACAGAAGAATACGTCATTGGAGCTTCAAGAATGGGTTCTGATTTGGGCTCTTAATTCCATTATCGAGTTTAAGCTTACTTTAGTAATTGGGTTCATATTCTCGAGTTTTGGGCTCTTAATTCCATTATGGAGTTTAAGCTTACTTTGTATTCACTAAATTCATATTCTCAACTCCTTTTAATCAATCGCCAAATCTCACTTGGGCTCTCTTGACATTTTTAGTTGCAGGATTATCATCTCTATTGGAGCAGAGTCCTCTGTCTCCATAGCAGAATTTTACAATATAGTTTCTCAAGTTTTAAAATAAATAACATTAATCTCAAGAAAGAAAGAAAGAAAATTGAAAAAAAAAAATAAACATGTGTGTATCATTATGAGATCGAGTGAATATATTGTCATTGTCAGTCGTGAAAAATTGTCAAAAAATTATGGTTGTTACTGAGCAGATTTTAATTTTATTTTTATTTTGGTAAACACCCCCAAGCGCGCAGATCGATTTGTTTGTCTAGACAACCTCTCTCCCCCTCCCCCTCCCCCTAATTCCCCCATTTTCCTTTTCCTTTCGTGTTTGGGCTAAATTCACGAACAGAACTTGATCATTAATTGTCAAACGTGCTCCTAAGAATGTTTACATGTCGGAGAATGATATAGCATGAGTACATCCACATGAACATGATCAACAAAACTAGAAGGTTTATTTAAATTCGTACGTGCATGGCTGTAGTTGTTTGCTTAACTCACACGAAAAACATATAAAGAATGTCTGGTATAGTTAGGTCTGTTCTTGAAATCAGAAACAGCAGTGAGGCTGATCATATCATGTAGCTGAGGTAGCTAGGTACCGTACGTTATTAACTTTAGGTCAACGAGTTACATCTTCGTACGTCAATGTATACTACATTAACTTTACCAAGCCAATGCTTCACTTCGAAGAATTAGACCTGATATTATGCATGTGCTAATTAACTTCCTCTTTAACCTCAATGAAAATGATGTCTTCACATCTTTTGAACATTTGAAAAATATTGCGGAATGTGTACAGAAATACATGTTGTGACTAAAGAGTAACGGTCTAAATCCACACACTTGAAAATAATACGTGTATACGTACTTGTCTTCATCACTTCGCTAAGGAAAATATAAGTGGAAATGTTTGTGGCCGTAACTAGTTTCCTTGATGAAGTTTGTTTGAGAATTAAGTATGCATAATTAGAAGATGCCAATAAAATTCTTCACGGGCCAAGGAAAATTACCACGCAAGTGTGCAGAAAGTAGTCTTCCTTAATTTCCCGTAAAAAAATTGAGCAAATTACTTGGGTCTTTCGTCGTTACTAATGACGTATTAGATGACTTAAAGAGTAATGAACTATCACTGCAACTATTCCCATTGGATAGATTCGTTTTAACAGTATAATTCCATAGAATTTTTACGGTCAATAACCTACAACTGCACCCTAGTTCACCCTGCTGGATGAGTGTGTAAAAAGAAATATGTCCGAATTACCTGACTCAATCAAATTCAAAAAAATTAGGGCAATCCAATTGGACGGAGAATATATATACTTAAATATATACCAAAAAGATACGTATAAATTCAGTATTCTGTGGAGGTGTAAATGAACTTATATTTAGTATATCTTGAAGTATGGTAGTATATACTATTATTCTTCATTTCTGACCACCAGCTGGCAAGTTTGTTGGTAAAAGCATGGAAATCTGCAATTACTTGCAATTTGTAAATTGTTAGGATTTATTAAGGACGACAGTTCTTTCACTCGTGTCATACAAGTGTCCAGCTCTTGTTCGGAATTTCTTTACTAATTTCAGATAAAGATGACTACTTACAAAGTTGAACTAAACATATACTTCCTCAGTTTTAATTTTCATTTACTATACAAATAATATTAAAACTAAAAATCTAAATTTAATAGTTATTTCAGTATAAAAGACATATGAATTTTCACTTCGTCTCCCATTTTATTTTTTTTTTCTCTTTTGACGAAATTCGATATCTGTCGCACGTTCAAAGACAGGAGTTTTGACATTTGGTGTTTAATCCCCGGAGACCAATTTGTGCATGAAAAGTAACTAGCTTGGGACCTTCGGCAATGTTTACAATGGAAAAATTTTAAGGCATTATCATTTACAATGATTTCGGACACCAGATGTATAATATAAAAATGCAAAACAGATTTCGCCGCGGTCTCGTACTTCTTCTTTTTCGTAAGTCACTTCTATCAGTTCTTCAAATTAAATACATGCGTCGCTTCAAAGAATTAGAGGATCGACTACCTTTTTTGGCTGCACCAAAATGAAGAAGAATTAGATCTGATATTATTATTTGCTAGTTACAAAGCATATCACATCTCAAACTTCAATGAAAATGACAGTCTTCAAACTTTTTGAACACCTGCAAAATTTTGCAATGTGAAGTTATCTCATGACTTTATCTTCCTAGAGATAGTTAAACTTCAACGTACTTTGAGCTCATCACTTATGTAATAGTGACATAATTACGCATGTTTGCGGCTAAAAAGCAATATATTCCTTAGACAAGTTGTTGGAGAATACGTACATTTTTGCTGCGTACAACTTGTTTACGTGCCTATATACTAATCTACTTGGAAACTTTTACTTCATATCCGTGAACATTGAGCAGATTACGTGTGCATGTGGACCGTGCGTGACGTATCTGGTGCCCCTATCGAACGTGCATCACGGTCAATTAATTAGATACGAGTGCATGCTAGCACGCTAGTCCCTCCTGGACGACTTGGAAATTTAAATACATTTCCATATACTGAAATTGAATTACGTATTTTTGTTTCAACCAAAAAAATAAAATTTACGTCAACGAGCTTATTTAGTGGTATTGTTCATATCTGAGCACTAGTTTGTTGGTGAATGCATAGACATCTGTTATTTCATGCAATTTGTAAATTCTCAGGATACATTTTATGAACAGTACTTTCCATTGTCTTGCTTCCAAATGTCCAACTTTCTTTACAAACGTCAACTCTCATTGACCAACGTGCATGAAATGCTCATTGTTGTGATGTAATTAATCCTCCCAGTTTTATTTTTATTTTTTTTTTAAAAAACTCAATACTACTTTCATTTCCCCGCAGTGGGCTTACTTTTCTTCACATATATTCTCTATCGTTTTCAACCTGCACTTTCTTTATATGTTCATCCACAATGTTAACATGTCAAAAATACGTGCTACGACCAAGACTAGTTTAGTTAGTCATTTCAAACCTAATTTTCAAACGTTGACTTCCCAAACTAGCAGTTCTTCTCTCGGTATATAACTTGATGCTATCTTTACTTATGACCAAATTGCGGCTGCCTTTTATAGATCATTTCGCCATCCTATATAAACAAACCACTTCTCTTAGACCAACATTTTCAAACCAAATATCCAACAAAAAACAAAAGAAAGAAAAAGATGGAACCATATTCATCAGGCACAGTTCCCTTAAGCTCCAGCTCCCAAGGTTGGGTACAACGTATTAGCAACATCTTCCGTACAGAAATTGCCCTAAACATCGACCATCTCCCTCCGGTTTGCGTTTTCGAAGTCCCGAAAACCGTCAGCGTCCAGAAACCCGAAGCTTATACCCCTCAGCTCATTGCCCTCGGGCCGTACCATCATCTCCGGCCCGAACTCTATCAAATGGAGAGGTACAAACTCGCAGCCATCAAAGAACTTTCCACCCCTGAACAAATCTTCAACTTCCAAACCCTAGTGATCAACAAGATGAAGGAGATTGATCCCTACATCCGGGCTTGTTACAACAAGTTCATGGATTACGATCAGGACACGTTGGCTTGGATCATGGCCATCGACGGTTGTTTCTTCCTCCACATGGCGGATTCTTATCTCATACGGGATGAGACAACGGATAAAAGATTACTGGATAATACCATCATTACTAGAGATATTCTTATGCTGGAAAATCAAATCCCGTTTCTTATATTGAAGGAAATTCGTAAGGCACTTCATATTTCTAACATTGTTGATGGTCAAGAAGATGTCCAGTTGATATCCATGTTGCTTCAATTTTGTCAAGAAGTTTCTCCGATTAAATTCTGTACGAATTTCATGGCTTCCAACCGTTTCCATCGCCCGCTTCATTTGCTTGATCTTTTGTACCATATGATTGTTGATGCTCCGGGTTACTTGTCCGGTCCATTACTCGGCCCGATTCGAGATGTCCCCTTGTACAGCGAATTCCGACCCTCAATCTCTTCGTCAGGAGACTCGTCTTCTTCGTCCTCCTCCACGGATCAAGAAGAAGAACCCGAATTGGTTCGCAATAATCTGGACGCGATTCTCGACGTGGTCGAATCCATGGGCACGAAACGCGCGCAAGCGATTGTTACGCCGGTGAAATTCGTGTCCAGCATTCCCTGGTCAAGCATTTCCGGGATTTTCAGGAAAGGGAATTTGAAGAATGGAGAGGAAAATTCAACGGAAGACGAAATCCGGATTCCGTCTGTCTCGCATCTCTGGCGTTACGCTAAGGTGCAGGGCCGTCCTTTGATCGGCAGCATCAATGAGGTCAAGTTTGTTGAACAGGAAGCTACTTTGTACCTTCCGGTCTTAAACCTGAACGCGAGTTCCGAGGTGATATTGAGAAATCTGGTGGCTTTCGAAGCGGCGATGGCGAAATCCAGCCTGGAATTGGCACGTTTCATAAATCTCGTCAACGGGATCGTGGACACCGATGATGATGTGAAGTTGTTGAAGCAAAATGGAGTGATCATTGGGTCTTTAAAGGATGATGAAATTGCTGAGATGTTTAATTGCATGAAGAGAAACTACGTGAAATCGGATCATAAGTCGAACATTGATGTTGCGATTGAGGAAGTGAACCGATATTATGACCAGAAGTTGGTGGTGAGAATGGTGAGGAGATTGAAGAGGAATTTCTACACTTCGTGGAAATGTTTGGCGGTGATGTCTACCGTGGCTCTCATGGTTCTGATGAGCTTGCAGACATTTTGTGAATTCTATCAATGCAGCAAAGTGTTGAGGTTTTAGACCGACGTCATTACAGTATGTCCATCGAAATAACTGGCCGATTGTAAGTATGTATATAAATATGTAAAAATTTCAAATTAGAGTCGGATCGTGTCACAAATTAAAGTAACCATTCATATTGCGAGTTCTGGTATTAAACCAGCCGGCCGGGAGGAATTAGTTTATTATTATTCTTTCATTCTTGGTCCGACGAAATTAAGTTGTAAAAAAAAAAAAAAGCTAGTTAAGTAGTTATTAGTTACATGTTATCTATGAATTTCAGAATATTTATTTTAGTGTCCTTGCCTCCTTGGTATTTTCCGCTTTTTCTTTCCCGCCGCATCCCATATGCAGTATGTTGAGATAAACAGAACATACATAATTGATTTGAGCTCATCATGGATGACGATGATTTCATTTGAACATTGCATTGTCTTCACTTTCTTATGTCTTTCGTGCGTAAGAATTTTTTTTCGGCAAATGTGAAGACTTTTCTTTTTTAAAAAATAAATTTCATTCTCACTTAAGGATTCATTTTCAAAGTCAACAATTTAAGCTCTTGAATATTTATTACTAGAAAATTAATCCTTAAACGATAAATTACTATATTTTCAGAATCGGATTCCTCCTCTCTCTCTCTCTCTCTCTCTCTCTCTCTCTCTCTCTCTCTCTCTCTCTCTCTCTCTCTCTCTCTCTCTCTCTCTCTCTCTTTGGAGGGGGGGTGTTTGCGAGGAGAAAGAGAATCGGATTCGTTAATCATTATTGGGTACATCTCATGAAATTAATACACTTACTACACATATTTGAACCCGAAAAAAAAAAAGAAGATAAAACACTTACACGTATTTGTACCCAAAAAAAAAAAAACACTTTGCACATTTTTCTTTTCTTAAGTAAAAGATTAAAATATTGTCATTGTACATGTTTTACTTTCACCGACATTAGACGATTAAGTTTGTTAGTTAGGAATAGATTGATACTTTTTCTTTAGTTATAATTATCTTAGTTGTAACTTGTACTCACAAGTATTATTTGATGAGTCAAAAATAAAATGTATTGTCGGGAAAATGAGTACTGAAATTAATCTGTTGGGTGAAACTCAATATCAGGTCCCAAAAAAAAAAATCGAATTGTCATGGAAGAGAAGAACAATAAATCTAACAAATTGGAAGTCTTCAATCACAAGTTGCTTAGGGTTATCAACATTAAGGAAAAGACATGATCAATTATAAGGGGTGTTCCATCTTCACCAAAACAGTTAAAAGAGACAAAATATCTACACGAAATTGTGACATTCTAGGTAGATTTCACTGAGAGTGAAGTAGCATATCCGCAAGATTGATGACTTTCGAATGTTACTTTTGAGAGTCTGGTTTCTTTGCGTCGGTCGGAATTCGGAAAGTAAGCTCGCTTTATTCAAAACTCTATCTGACTATATTTTTGTAGGCTGCATCAGTAATGCTAATAATTAATTCACTTTATCATATTATTCTAATTTAATATAGTAGAATATATTGCTGAAACGCTGTTTGTACGTAAGGGGCCAAAGAGTAATAGAGAATCTCTCCCATATCATTTTATATTTTTAATATAACGTGATCATAGATGCGTGGTTGTATGGTATTGTCTATGCGCATAAATTAAAGGAAATATGACCGCAGTTAGGTCGATTTGTGCGTGGGTTTACTTTTTCTTTTTTCTTCCTTTTTTTTTTTGCGCCAAATACCAGTTTATATCAGAATAAGACTATTATCTTTATTAAAAGTGAAAATTCAAAAATTAATTATTTAAAAATAGATAAAATATGTATTTTCTCTTTGGAGGAAGCAAGTTCCCAATTTCAATACAAAATAATCTTTTCGTTCCAAAATGATTATACAGATTGATTTATTTTTTCACCTTTAGTGAAATTTATATTCAAAAAAATAAAAATAAAAAACCAAAAATAAAAATCGGATGGATGCATGGTGTATGATGGATGAGTTTATACTCATTGTCCATATTTTCTAAGAAATTACCAAAAAAATAAAAATGTAGTGATTCGCACGGCACTACAAGTACTAATTCATACGGGAGAACTCGCCGACACGTAAAATTAACTTATTAAAGAATAAACTCAATCTTGAAAGTTAATTAGATATTATATTCTGTTTTATTCTCCATCGGAAGCATTCTCAGTCACTGGGCTTGACGCAGATCTCTATCGGATGCATTCAGTCATTAGCCGTAACGCACAGTTTTGCAACTTGCAAATTGACCATTTCCATTAATAATTCATTCAAAATATGTATACTGCCCGGTATTATTTTCGTAGTAATATCATGAAAATTTCGGTCAAATTACAGTCTTTTTTAATATGGTAATGAAAATTCGGACAATTAAATTTAGTTTTACTTTGATTATCTGAAGTCGGGTTAATTTTCTAATATGAGAATTTTATTAGTTTTAATTGTTCAAGCCCAAATTAACATTTCACATATTAACCTAAGTTAATGATTGAAAGAGTGATTAGAAGCTGTTATGTTCCCTTTATAAATAGTTACCGAGGGAGTACAAAGTTCAGGGAAGTTTTTTCACTGTAAATCATGATCGAATATACTGTAAAAGAAAGTCAATAAATACGGGATGTATATGTTGGAGTGTTGGACTTCTCTCTTGAATTAATCCATCATCAAATTAAGTTCCGTTGGTACAGAAGTTGACAGCTCCATTGCACATTTGCATTTTTTTTTTTTATTATTACTTATTTTGCCACTTGCTATGTAAAATAACTAATTTCGTGGATGCTTCATGCACGTAAATAATATACTAGTACTTTACTACAGTGTTAATTACTTGTCAAGAACCCCAACTAATAGTCATCATTTTCAAGATATTTTCAAGTATTAGTTTATTGAAGTTAGGCCTATATTTTCATTCCAAACTGCTTAATTTTCCACCTTTTTCAACATTCTTCAGGATAAATCTCTCATGATCTTATCCCGGGGAAAATGTCAAAAAGTCAAAGTCTTGGTGCCATCATTTTACTATTACTACATTATTAGTACGTTATTATTACTTCTATAATGAAAACCACATGCACATATGCCTCCCGAAATTTAACATAGTTTGACTTTTTTTACGTAAGATCCAGCACTTTGAACCATCCTAATGCCTTTCCCTTTTCAGTTTCCTATATAAATCACATTCTTCCCTGTTTCAATCCTAGTAGACAAAACATCACACACACATTCAAAATTTCCCCAAAAATAATGTCATTCAAAAACATGGAAGCATATTATTCATCGGGCACTGTTCCATTAAGTTCTAGTGCCCGTGGTTGGGTGGATCGGATCAGCAACATTTTCAGAACTGAAATCGCCATCAACATGGACCATCTCCCTCCCGTTTGCGTTTTCGAAGTCCCCAAAACCATCCGAGCCCACAAGCCCGAAGCTTATACCCCTCATCTAATCGCGCTGGGCCCGTACCACCATCTACGGCCCGAGCTGTATCAGATGGAGAGGTACAAGCTCGCGGCCATTAAAGAAATCTGCATCCCGGAACAAGTTTTCAACTTCAATTCCATCGTGATCGACAAGATGAAGGAGATCGATCCCTACATCCGGGCTTGTTACAACAAGTTCATGGACTACGATCAAGACGCCCTGGCCTGGATCTTGGCCATCGATGCTTGCTTCTTCCTCCACGTCGCGAATTCTTATCTCGTACTTGATGAGACAACTGATAGAAGATTGTTGGATAATACAATCATTACTAGAGATATCATGATGCTTGAGAACCAAATCCCATATCTTATACTAAAGGAAATAAGAAGGGCTCTTCATATCTCTAATATCATGGATGGTCAGGAAGATGTCGAATTGATATCTATTTTGCTTCAATTTTGTGAAGTGTTATCTCCAATTAAATTCTCTAGGGAGAATATGAATTCCAATCGTTTCCACAGGCCACTTCATCTGTTGGATCTTATGTATCATATGGTTGTGGATATTCCGGGTTACATTTCGGGTCCATTAAATGGTACCATAGAAGGAGCTGCTCAGTATAATAATGAGTTCAGGTTATCAGTTTCCTCTTCCTCCTCGGATGATTCTTCGTCATCCTCGAGCGATGATGACGAAGACCCGGATTTGGTTCATAACAACATCAATGAGATTCTTCACATGGTCGAATCGTTCGCTACAAAGCGTAACGGCGGTGGGATTCTCAAACCTGTCAGAGTTGTGTCCGCGATTCCCTGGTCAAGCATTTCAGGGATGTTCAGGAAAGGGAATTTACGGCACGAAGATGAGAAATCTGAGGAGGAAAACGAGATTTCGATCCCATCCGTTTCTTATCTCTCGCGATACGCCAAGGTTCAATTCCGTCCTTTTAATGGAAGCATCAACGCGATCAAGTTTGTTGAAGGGGAGGAGGATCAAGTCGGTGGTGCTCTGCACCTCCCTGTCTTGAACTTGAATGCGAGTTCTGAAATCATACTGAGAAATCTGGTGGCTTACGAAGCGGCAATGTCGAAATCGAACCTTGATTTCGCAAGGTACATTAACCTGATGAACGGGATTGTGGACACTGCGGAAGATGTGAAGTTGTTGAAGCAGAATGGAGTGATTTTAGGGTCCTTGAAAGATGAAGAAATCGCTGAGATGTTTAACGGGATGCAAAGGAATTACGTGAGGTCTGATCATAAGTCAAACATTGAGATTGCAATTGAGAAAGTGAATGAGTTTTATGATAAGAAGTTGGTTGTGAGGATGGTTAGGCAAATCAGGAGGAATTTCTATGCTTCCTGGAAAGCATTGGCGGTGATTTCTTCTGTGGCTCTCTTGCTTCTCATCAGCCTTCAGACATTCTGTGAATTCTATCAATGTGAAAAGTTGTTCAGGTTTTAAGTTTTAATGATAAGGATGCTATCTCTGGCTTACTATTAGACACGGGAATCAATTGTTTAATGATTTATTTATTCATTTATTTTTTTGTTTCTTTGTTTAACTATATGGAAAAGAATGTAAGCAGTTGTATATAGATAGCACAACGAACAGAAGTTGTACTATACTGTGCTGAATGAATGTATAGCAAAGTGTTCTTGTATCTATTCTTAAATGTGGATCAAATTACTGAACGTTTCACTCGTTTTCTCTTCATCACAGATCAAAAACATTATTTATCAATTATAACTGAAAAATGTGGCATGAAAAAGAAATGAAATTTCCAACCTTTAATAAGGAATTCATAAAAAAAAGTAAATAAATAAAAATTAGCTACATTTTGTCATATTAGAACGGCACGGGTAATGGATGTTTTTGGCCAATTCATGATTTTATTTAATTTTTCTTGTTCCACATTCATAACGGAATCATGATTTACACATTGATTTATTTATTTATTTATTTTTTGACGGGGTGTTCTTCAACTACTGTCTATTTAAACTTTTTCTGAATGTTTGTTTTCATAAGAAAGTCATTACTTATCGATCACAATAAAAATTCTGTCATATTATATAAATTTTGAATCTTTCAAACGAAATAAAAATCTAATTAACACTGTTGTCATACTTAATCAGGGACAAGGGATTTTTTTGGACAATCCATGATTTCTTCACTTTTTTTTCCCACTAAATTCATCAAAATCATCCCCACCACATGTAAATCCTAATACAACATTAGATTTTTACAAAAGTTTAAAACTTTAAATGAATATGAATTTACTGATAAAGTATCGGTATATATGTGAAACGGTGTTTTTGATTCTGCGCGATTAGTTTTTCCCCTGCTCCGCATTGACTTCAACATCTTTAGTTATCAATAATAATTCAAATTTAACATACATAGACGAATATTTTTTAAATGTTAAGAAAAGTGGCATTTCCATACCTTTACATCAATGTATTGGACGATGGCAATGGGGCCACGATTATTTTTTTTCCCCTTTCAATGTTATGTATTCATATTGAAGTTGTTTATTTAAAACATTTTAATCCAAGTTCATAGTGGGATCTAATCAAAAGATTCAAAACTGTAAATGACAATAAGTTAATTGGAAAATATCACCATATACTTACTGTTATATTTTTTAATCCATCGGGTGTAATTTATTTTTGAGCGATTATAGGTTTTTTTTTTTCATATTTTCATCATAATTTTATTTATCAAGAATAACTTGAATTTAATTATAATTAGTGAGTTTTTTTTTTTATTATTTGTAGATTAAAAGAAAAGGGTCATATGGTCGTACTAGCTCAGGGTTTCATACTGATACATGATTTTAAAACTTTTTTGTTCTACATTCATATAGAACTTTTCATTAACTTATCATTTTGATCCAAATATGACTTTAGGTCCATGCAAATCAATCTTTATTTTAAATCAGAATGTGCAAATTGTAAGATTTTTTCTTATTATTGTTGTTGTTTTGGCTATGTCTTTTAATTATTGTCTATTCAAACTTTTCCAAAATTCTTTACTCATAAAAAAATAATTACTTATCGATAACAATAAGGATTCTGTCATATGAGAGAAATTTTCTATCTTTCAAAATAAATTAAAATTAAATAACACCACGTTGTCATACTTAATCAGAGACAAGAGTTGTTTTTGAGCAATCCATGATACATCTAGAGACAAGGGTTAGTGAAAATTCTAGTTGTTATGTTTGTGAATGGACGGGGTTTCATTCATTTTCGAGCAATTTTTGTCATTAAAATTTTCATTTATTGAGAATAACTTGAATTTAGTTATAATGAGTAAAAATTTTCAATTACATGGTCGTATTAACTCGGGGGCAAGGGGTGTTTTGACCAATTCAAGATTTTCAAACTTTTTCTATTTCTATATTTCATATCGAAATCTTTACTAACTTATTATTTTAAACCAAGTGTGACATTTTTTCATGCAAATATTTTATTATTTTAAATGAGAATGAACAAATTGCAAGGTTCTACTGTATTATTGCTAATTTTTATTTTTATTTTTTGATGGAGCGTCTTTCAATTATCGTCAACTAATTCCGAACTCCGTATTCATAACAAAGTCATTATATATCGATCACAATAAGAAATCAATTATACGAGATAAAATTTTCAGTCTTCCAAAAGAAATAAGAATTAATTAGCTCTACGTTGTCGTCCTTAATCAGGGACAAGGATTGTTATTGAGCCATCCGTGATTTTTAAACTTTTTTTTTTCAATTGAATTCATATCAAAATCATCAATAGAATATTTTAATCCTAACTCAACATTAGATTTTTTACAAAAGTTTGAAAATTAAATGATCATGAATTGATTGATAAACTTTCACCATATTCTCATCGATATTTATATAAACATGGAGTGTTTTTTATATCTACACAATTTTTCTTTTTCACATACATCATTAGTTACCAATCATAACTCAAATTTAAAATTGATGAACAAAATTTTAAAATTTTAAGAAAAAAAAAACAATTCGAGTACCTTTAGATTGTTGTGCTAGACCGGTGAAGGGGGTACTTTAGGTACATCTATTAAAGTTTCTTTTTCCCCTTTTTGATGTTCTCTGTTTGTATTGAGATTTTATAATTAGTAATATCTTAAACCGAATTCATGGTTAGATTCATTTAGAAGGTTCAAAACATATAAGAGAATGTATTTTTTTTTCTTTTATTTTGTATCAGAACTATCATGTAATTTTAATAATATCTCTATCAGACCGTTCTTCTTTTATTTTGCATTAGCATTGTTATATAGTTTTTAGTAAAATCTTTGTGAGACAGTTATTCTTTTAACTAGGCAGGCACTTCAAATAAGTAAACTTATTATGTGTACATTAGAACGATGGAAGAAAAAGTCTATCAAATCTGCCAATTCGAAGTAAGAATTTAGCTAATCAACTTCATTGATAAACTTAAAGTTGGAAGCCATTCTCTCAGAACAAGCTGTTTCAAGGAATTATGCCATCAAAGTTTGGCAATTCGAAGGCGAAATAGCTATACGCACAAAAACAAAAAAAAAGAAAGATAAAACGAATCACAGTATGTATCTTTTATGATGTGCTTTTCGCCCAACCATTGAGGCTTGGACCGGTCAAGGTTATACGCAGAAGCCCAAAAGTGGAAAGACAAAAAAGGAAATGGAATGATGGAGATGGATGGTCTAAGTCAAAAAAGTCATCGGCAAACAATCATAAAAATATTTCCAAACCATTCCTCTTTTATTTATTTATTTATTTTTTTTTGGTGTTGAAAATTCTTAGATTACATTCTCATACAATGTAGGATTTTTATTTTTTATTTTTTGCAAATTTTCATTTCGAAATAATTTTTGAATCCCCTCAAATAAACTTACTTTAAGATACTACCTATTAAAGTACAAACCTAACTATTTTAGTTTCATAAACATGAATTTTGTTTTTTTTTTTTTTTCCCAATGAACGAGGTCAAGGCCTAAATGAAAACTCCATACTAAATAGTATTCAACTGAGTGAGGTAAAGGAAAATAGCATTAAAAAAAAGCACTAATAATTTTTTCTTCAGAACCAACCCTTGCTTATTATTCTTGGATATCTTTAATGGTCTTGTCATGAATGTTTGCAACACTCTTCTGATCTCAAAGGCTACTCGGGGACCATAGTTTCCAAACTCACCCCCTCATCCACAGTAACACCATCATCAATTGGGATAATTATCACTTTGTTACTCTGACGACTCATCTGAGAAACGATTGGGTCGCCGACTAGTTTGATTGACATCAATCATTATATCATTTTCAGAATCGAACCCTTGTGAACTTCTATCTTAAGTAGAATAACAATTTGACTAATTTTTCTATTAGAATAATCTTAACTGTAGTAGTTTAGAGTGTCAACCGTACTCCATCCGGCTCAATGTAGATCAATCAAGACATTAGGTTCGGTTGCAAATGTATAGTATAACCCAAAAAAATCAAAGACAGACGCCGGGCTAGCTACTACTAGCTAGCTAGTTTACAGCCAAAATATTGACTTGCTTATGATCGTTCAATATAATCGTTAACCCAGATTTCATTATTCGAGAGAATCGCAAATGTTTGGATTTATCCGGGTCAAAATACAATATTTTGGGTGTAAGTTTAATCAAGTGTTCAAATGTTATGATTCAATTAAATTAGTTTCTATTCACGTTAATGGGGTTCTCTAGAAAGTTCATGTTGGTTCAATTCTTTGAATCTCATCTTGAACACAAAAAAAGGTACGATCTTAGGCCTTTGTGTATCCTAGTTATGTACTCCTTCCGTCCTATAATTATTGTCCAATTGAATTTTCATTTCTAGTTTAAATGTATTAAAAGTGAAATCTCAAATCGGATAATAATTTAAGGAATGAGGGAGTATACGTCTATATTTTCATACCATAAAAAAGGGTCTATTTGGAAGATTTTATTCATACACCTTTAGTTTCATTAACGAGTACGTTTCGAACTATTTTTGCATGGACTTTATCGATTTTTCTTGCATCCGAATTTCTTGAAACCGATACTAATATAGCAAATGAAATTGAACATGCGGATATCAGATATCCTCTAAAAACTATTATTCTCCATATCCCAAAATTATTATCTAGTTTGAAATTTCACTTTTAGTACAATTTGAACTTGAAATGAAAATACAAACTGTACAATAATTATGAGACGGAGGGAGTACATTATATTTCGGCTCGTTTCTCAGTGATTATGAGTGGAATTGACAATGAAAATCGCTTTACTGAATGTTTCGAGTATCACTTGCTTTGACAAAATCTCATTTGCGTGTATATAATATATGTTTGTGGTCAACATATATATAACACATTATTACGATATGAATCAAGACCTGAGAAATTGCTACATGCATTTCAGTTGATTGTAGACTCCTCCTTTTTTTTTTTCCTCACACAATTGGGAAGGTTTTCAAAAAAGGGCTTTTTCTTTCCCATTTTATTACATTAGGGTTTAAACATTAAATAAACTTTTTCTCAAGCTAGTCAGGATTTCGACTTATCTTCTAGAATAAGTGTAGAGGTTGCTGTTTAATTAAATTAATTATCAATTCGCTCGCCACAAAGAAAATACGAGTTCATTCCCTCCCCACACCCCCAAATCGAGAGGAGACTGTAAAGTTACTAAATAAGGGTATTACGTACAACAACGGCTCCATACACCATGACTCGGATTGCGAACGAATCGTACAATAAATTTGACAATCTCAAGGAATCAAAAAAATGTACAAAAACCACAAAACTTGGAATTGGGAATCACGTGATGCCATTAAGACAAAACACCCCGACCAAGTCATTACTTTAATTAACCCAATACTTATGAACTTACTACTAGGTAAGAGAGGAACATATATAGTAAGATTTTCCCTTTTTTTTTTCCCTTCAATTTCATAATTGTTGTTTGATTTTTCCCCCCCTATTATTTTTGGGGAGAAGAGAAAAGGTCGGGGGGAAACTAAACTAAACTAATGGGTCAAAATCTCAAACAACATGCATGAGCACTTGGTAAAATGTTACAACTAGATAGATACTGCTTAATATAGTAACCAATAATAATAAAATAATTTAATTATTTTTTTAAAAAAATTAAAATCAAAATTAAGAAAACCAATTTAATTTAGCAAAGAGGTGATCTTTGGGGAACCCTTTTTCGCCTATTACTCATCATGCAGCTGGTAGCCATGTCTTCATCCGCAATTTTATTTACCGATCTTCCACAAACGTATAACCCGCTTCGTTTCTTCCTCACGAACTCGGTGCACACGAAGCTCATCGGATTGTTATTCTCCGATCCCGACGAACCGGAGGATGAGCTCATCTGTTCGTCGCAATCCACGATGGTTGAGTGTGGAGTTTCGTTAGTCATTTCATCATCGCCATAGGGGTAATTAAAGTCTTGAGGAATGAAGAAATCCGGGCCGAGTTGTAGAGTCTTGCATTTTCGTAGAAATGGAGAGAGATCCTCGTAATGTTTCAGCACAAACTCAACCTGATCATCATAATCATCATCATCATAATCCATACCAAAACGTTTATGCTTCCTATATTATGAGAAATTCTAGTACCAATAAAGCATATCTGAAATTTTCAAGTGTACATAAGGAGAATTCTACTCTATTGATCCATCTCAGAAATAGTGTGACTACATACATATGAATCTCTTAAATTCTCTTATTGAATGTCAATAACAAAATTCAAAGGAAAATCAAGGCTTAAGACATATAGTGAATTTCAAATAATATTAATTGGACTTGGAAATTTGTTGTTTTCCTGAGAGATGTAAACTTACCTCTTCTTCAGAATGATGATGGTGTAACAAACTTGTTTGCCAAAAAAAAAAAAAAATGTGGTACTAGAATAATTTGGTACCTTGCAACCAAGGGAACAATGAGTAAAGGGTTCTTGGAGACATCTATCACAAGAGGTGCAGAAATTCCCAGAGCCCTTGAATTGCCGGTTTTGAGGTCTTTTCTTGATGAACACCACTTTCGCGCTGTTTATGGTGTAAGCCTGTTTGTTTCCATCGATCATCAATTATGAAAATAGAGCTCAATTATGGTACAGAAAGCTATAAAAAGTATGTAATTGTGTTGGTGATGAAGTGAATTTTGTAGTACCTATATTACTAATAATAATTTTGAACTATATATTTTACCTGAACGTTTGAGCAGTCAATGAGCTTCTCCAAGTCCTCAAGTCGAACAACATCATGATAAACATAACGACGAACTTGGAGAAGGCGATGAGAACGATGAGCCATGACACAGTGAGGGCAAATACTGGTGCAGCAATCCAAACAGCAAATGTTTTTCTCATTCTTCTTTGCAGTTTCGTGAATCGAACACGCCACGAAGAATTTCTCCGCGTATAGCGCTTCCAACCATGCAGGCTTCTGATGATACCCCTATAAAGAACAAATTTTGATCATTCCCACCATAATTCATTAATTACCCTCAATTCCCTAGCTAAAAAACTGCTAACTATGATATGCTAACTGAATTTTGGTAAAAAAAAAAAAAAAAAGAAATAAAACCATGGGGAAATGATCGATGATCGATTTTGAAGAACGAAAACCTACGTACCATGATGGATCACTTGAATTGTGACAATAATAATGGAGGGAGAGAGTGTTTATGGATGATTGGAGTTGTAATCCCAGAATTCTGATAGAAAGGAAGGCAAAGAGAAGAGAGAAGAGAAAAGGGTGTTTAACAAGGGGGTGTATTGATGATGATGTTACCGTATTTATGGAGTATCACAAGGGAGGGAAGGGTATATATTTATTTCTTGATTGTGGGTCGTACATACAACCTTTTACTTAAGAAGACTATTCCCCTTTGTCCTATCTTTCTTTCTCTTTCATTTTTTTTTCACTTTTTTTTTTTATATATAATAACCTTATATTATTTTAAATGTTTTTTTTCATAATAAAGGAAACAATTGTCTGAAAATATCAAACTATTACATGGTTAGTACGAGAAGATACCAATGACGTCGTATTTCAACCATGCATGGTTTTCAATTTGTAGGTGGATCACTCTCAGAGCAAGGGAATACAGCTAAAGAGAACGAACTCCTGGTCAACATAATCTATATGTTGTTGTTCAATCTAAATCTTTAGGGTGATTACAATACATCTCGCACTATGTTCGTGTTGAAATTTGATTTTAACTAGAACCAATGCCTAAATCGAGGGTTTAACACCCTTGTTAGTGATATACAGTACATGGTTAGTTTCAAGTTAGTTCACTTGTCCTTTATTCAATTTGTGATTGTTGTGTGTATGAGAATGATAATAATTAAAAGAAAAAGAAAAAAAAAAGAAGAAGAAAAAGAAAAGAAAATGGGGCAGGGAGTAAGATATTGAGGGAGAACGTGGTCGCTGTTCCCGTGTCTCCCATAGCCTACTTCTACCCTTAAACTAGTACACTCATCTCCTTGTGTTGAGAGCTTAAATTTTTATTAATTCCTAACACCATAAACCCAGTTCTTGTTTTTTGAGAAACCCCATGAATTGTTTTTATTTTCTTCGTCTTTTATAATTTAACTTCCACCGTATGTACGTTTTTTCTTTTCTTTTTTCATTTTTTAATCTCATTTCTCGGTGAAAATGGGAGGGTGTGGTAAGCTAGCTAGTTGCTTTGCCTTGATTCTTGAACTAATCCAGCCACTAGGAAAGAGGAATTTGTCCTCAATTTACTTGTAACTAGCAGCGGCAAGAATAATATATTTGATGATGATGATAATGACGTTCATGAATTCTGGTCTTTCACTATTTCAAGTTATATGTATGTAGCCTACTTAGTTCATGTATAATAGATTATGTTATAACTTTTTTCATCAAATTCTAATAATTCACTTTGGTATATTACTATTAACATATACTTCTACTGTCCAGTTTAGATTTTCATTTTTAATTCAAATTAAACTAAAACTAAAATCTCAAACTGGACAATAATTTTGAAACAGAAGAAGTAAAATATAATAATAACTCCGTTTTAATTTAGTCCAGTTCACTTGCTAGGAGAAGCGATTTTGTGAGGAAGATCAAAGTAGAGGAGTAGTCCACAGCATCTCTAACTAGCAAGGTCAAAAAGTAGAAGCTGAATTTTGCTAGCATGGCATTGATTAGGGTTTATTAAGTGATGGACGATTCTGTTGATTTCACTGTTGGTGAGGTCAATTACCCGTTAACTTTTTTACAGTCTTGAAGAAGCTTTCAGAATGGAGTTAAAACGAAAAGAAAAAAAAGAAGTAATTTAATGTATAGATTTTATCAAAACACGTTGCTGCCTGGCCGTCCACTTACTGGAGGGTTGCAATTGCATCGTGTTATGGAGTAGAAGTTATAAAATTATGTGGTCGGATTTATTGTTTTATTTCGGCCATGATGACTTTGAATTCTTGAAATTTCACTGGCCATGATCTGTAAGACTGTAACTTGTTCATCCTACATAGGATGGCACAAAAAGATGCATATGAAATATTCTGCCCAATTGTTGCCTATGCATTACATTTTCCATCGGCAAATGTTGAGTTTCCAGCAAACAAATGGAAGAAAAGTGGGGATTAAAGAGAAATGTAAAATAAAATTCAATGCCCTCGAGGGAAATTCATGTATTGATTGACCTTTATAAGAAAAAAGAAAAATGAAATAGTATAGTTCCCGAAAGTGCAGAAAGAAAACGTTTTTTAATTATAGTTTTTCAATCCATTAAGAAGGGGAAAAGGCAACCAAATTTGTGTGTCTTGACTATTTGCAAATTAAAAAGGGTTTATGTATGTTCATTGTATGTGGTGTTAATTAAAATGTAATATATTTTCTCATACATCAAATAAAACAATCATTTTGGGACGTAAGAATTATTTGTATATATTGACTAGATCACTTAATTCTGGCTGAAAGGGGAATGAAGACACAGCGGAAGACATGTACGAGGAAAGTCGGTTTTTAGGAAATCAAACATGGCAACAAAAGCAAAATGCATAACCACTCCACTAATCCTCAATTTCCAGCTAAATTGTTGTCATGCTTTGGTACTATGAATTGGCTTTGCCCAGACAAAAGCCACAGTTCATTGGGCACTAGCCTACTTCCAGAAATTATTAATTAAACTTACGTGAATAAAATAGTTGGTTTAGTGACTCATTTTTTGCTAATTTTGAGGAGCCATTTTTGTTCGTTGCCCATAAAGAATTGGAACCTGCTGAAGGTTCAGGAGAGATTAATTTCAAATTATTCAAATCTTAAACGTCCCTTTTATTTAATTTCAAGGTTATGTACGTACCATTAGATACGATAATTAGCTCTTTTCGAATCAAAGCCTAATTGTTGGGGAAATAATTTGCGCTTTTGAAGACTAAATTCTACATCCTCTTTAGAATAGAAATAAATCAAAGTGATGTTTTGAAGTAGGACGTATCACTTTTTTCATTATTGGAATAGTGGTATAAGCGCAAAGAAATCAGTAAAAAACATGCAAACCCTATATACTTACGAGGCAATCTCAAGGTACGAGGTTCTAATTACTTCATGGAAAATGTCAAATTGTCAATCCACACTGATTCTTAATTACAGGCATGAATGTTGTTGTATACTATATGATTTGGTACGCTGGTAAAGCCGATCAACAAACTCCCAACTTTGTTGCAGTAATTCGCAGCTAAGACAAACCTTCTTCTTATACACGCATGTTCATTTCACGTAATACTTCTAATGAACCCTTCTTCGAAGGTTTGGTTTTCAGACAAAATAGCCAATCTAACAAAATTATTCATAGTTGGGAGTGATTAAGGTACCAAATTAGGATGAATTTCATATTGATATCAATTTAATCACTCAATCAATAATCTAAAGTATAATGAGTTGCATGTTAATAAAAATTGCATTACAATGATTTAGATAGTTAACTAAGTGATTTCTCCATAATACTATAATACCATTCATGCAGTTTCATCTGTCTCATAATAATATTATTAGAATTATTTCGATAGCGGATGTTGTTATACATACACAACATTTTTGCGATACAACAAAAACAAACTGGATCGATGATGGTAGAAATTACAAACAGAGGGCCGGGATTTTGCACATTGCCACCCCATGTGAAATTGGTTTGTTGGGCGTGGGGAAATAGCAATCTTATGATTAATCTCTTTAATTGCCCATTTCTACGTGGTGAGTTTTGTGAGATTTTATGTCAAATCTTACAAAATGGAAGTGATTTTTAAAGTAAATGAAACTCACGTGCAAAGAATCCAATGAACTGACGCTCTCATATGAAAAAAAATCCATTTTGTCTGCCTGGGCATTCGAACTGGGATGGGAGGTGCCCCTCGGATTTGCAAATATTCCCTCTTAATTTTCTCTGTGGTTTATGCATTGCATCATCTTCTTCCTCTTTTTTGTTCCATCTGTCTCACCTCTTTGCCCTTTGAATCTTCCCCTCCTCCACATCATGTACTTTTTAACCATCTTACAAACCGAGTCTTGCAAGTTTAGAAGCTCAAATTGTGCGCTCCCTCTTCAATGTACGATTATGTATATAACCAATGTGGTGTGGTTTATGAGCCAAGCACCAACCACTATATTCGCGAACACTAACATTAGAAGTAAATCACAGGAATAGCTCCCTTGATGGTTCAATTACGTTAGTACATGTAATCTTCTAAAGGTAAAACCTCATATGTAATAAGTGTGTTCAATAGCTCAATTTCAAGATTACAAAACACTGAACGCGGAAAGAAGATCCCAGGACAGCTGGTCTCCGCAGCTCAAATATTCAATAATTTTATTACACATGGTGTTCAATGTCAAGGGTTGAAGCTTTTTAGTATATATGCAATTAGTAGTAATATTTGCTAAATTTAGATGTATTTATCCTCAAATCTCATCAGAATCTTCATGTTTTGGGACAATGATTGTTAAAAATCTGATACGGTTGGTGGTACGTGTAATTCCTACACATATTGAACTGCAGCTTTCCGTAATCTATTGCAAGCATATACTATTGCAGCATGAAGCTGGCGAAAGGTTGTCCAAAGTAATTGAGTTTGGTCGGTCAAAGTCAAAGATGCACGAGGGTGGGAGGTGGAAGGAAGAAAGAAATAGAAAAAAGAAGAGGGAAGAACAAACAGAATGGATCAGCGTTTGAGCCGCACGAGGGGGGATCTTTCTGAGCCCCTCCAAAAAAAAACACTGTTAAAAAGTCTCTGATTTATAGACCCCTTTGTTCTGTTCGAAAAACCATAACCTTCAGTTTTTTATTATTCTTCCACATGGGGGGTGTGGAGGAGGATTCATTCAACCCCCCATTTCTCACATTAACAGCCCCTTCAAAAAATGTACCTACCACCCCGAAAGGTAAAAATCACAGAGAAAAACAATACAATAAATGAGGACTGAAGACCAAATGCTTCGAGAAAGAAGACACTTACGTGACATATTTCATTGGCACTTTCTGCTCATCAATATTTGCTTTCTTAATATATCACTTGAATATATGATGTTATGTGCAGTTTTCGTATACTTATACTTGCATCTAGAGCCTATACAGTTAGTCCATTGATTCACAGGAAAATGAAGTACCTCTACTTGGAAAAGAACAAGAATCTGAAAAGAGATATTTACCGCTCCAACAAAAAAAACATCACAACTTTCATGGTTTTTGTGCAGAAAACATGATGAAAGACTGCTGGATTTTGCTAGTGTAGTTGAGAAGACCGCAAGATGTGCATAAGTCCTCAATCTCCTCAGCGGTTAGGTTGTTATAGTTTTGTGAACCCTGCCACCAATCAAAAGATCAATTGTCATCCTCTAAAGATGAGTAAGTACTGATGAATGATAAGATAATCAAAAAGAGGTTTTATGGTAGCCTCAAGAGTTGCTCCCCGTTGAGATTCAGAATTGAGTTGAAACTATTCGTGGTTTTAACTTTCCACGGAAAATTTCTGCAGTCACTACGTCAGGCAGAAAATGGTTTCATTTCCAAGACAACTACGACTTTAATAAACCCTCTCAACCCCACCTGCAGTCAGATGATGCTAAGTGCAAGTCTACTTGACCTCCATCTAATCCTGACCGAATCACCTTCCCCCTCCATTGTTTTGATAGACATTAATAAATTCTATACCTTCGAAGTTGCACCTGTTCATTTTTTATCTTGTCAAAATCATTGACAACTGCATCCAGATATACTTTCTGAACTTTTGCAATACATATAAAATCAAATTTTAATTTCTAAAAGAATGAAAAACTAATTGAAAGGAGTTAATAGTAAAAAAGTATGAGCTCCCAAAATATCTAAATATAGGTGTATCTAAATATCCAGTTTGAGGCTACAACAGATAATTGTGTTTTTGTGTAGGTTTGATGCTTTTGCATGGATTTGATGGAGAATTTGGAGAATTATTCAAGGACAGTTATTTTGATATGGTAGTAGAAGCTCTGTATCGGGAAGTCCAAACTACCAAAACCTTTTATCACTAAACCTAAGCCGAACATTTAGTAGTTCATCTTAGATCTTACTATCTCTAAATTTGAAGAGAAGTCGAAATAGCACAACAACCCATCACTTGATCTTTGGTTCAAAGCAAGATACCTATGTCAGGTCCTTAAAATAGTACCAGGAAATCATATTCTTTAAATCATTAAACAAAATGTTCCGAATTCTTTATCAACGGAGACCAGAACATTGAGCAAGGAGCAATAATTACCCGTCCAAGAGACCTAAATAGAGCAGGAGTGGATGGACGTAGAAAAGTAGTCCCAACAAATACACCACCACTTCGCAAAATACGATTAATTTCAGCAACCTGGCACCAAAAAGTCATTCATTATGTGAAAATGAAGCTTAAAATCATATTACAGAGGGAATGCTGTTGGGGTTTTAACATTTCCACATGAGTCGCCTGTGCAATTAATACATCCCCGGTGCAGCAAAAAGGGTGAAAAAGAAACATTGATTTTCTGTTTTCTGGAAATTTTTCAAAATTTCAACATCTGATACAGGGAAATATCCAAACAGGAAAAGAAAACAACAATGTGCATAATTTAATTTCTAGAAGACTGTGCAAGTAATATAAAAATTGAAATTCCTACCGCATTTGAAGGAGATGGCCAACAATGTAAAGCAGCACCAGCATGCACACAATCAATGGAACCAGATGAGAACGGTAGTCGAGAGACATCCGCCCTAACAAGAGCAAGATTCCTGGAAATTCCATGAGGAACAGCCCAGATCAAAGATTTTAAACCCACATCCCAGAACCTTAGGAATTAAAGCGTTGAGATAGCTGATATGCCTGAATATTAGCTGCTTCATAGATAAAACTTACGAGTTTAAAATGGTTTCGTCATTCTTGATAAAATCATAACACTGACGAAGCATGTTTTCTGAAAAGTCAAGGGCAATGACTTTTGCATAGGCTCCTGATTTAGCAAACTTTCTGGAAAACAAGCCACTCCCACAACTAACATCAACAAGGACACCACCTTCAGCAGGTTTAAAATACTCCCGCGCCATTTGGAACTGCAAGAAAACACAGTTCACAAATGTAACTACAAGTGAATTTTTCCACATAATTTTTTCTAGAACATTCAAAACAAACAAAGGAAATTGGGACTCAGATTCAGATTTCGGATGAGTGACACATATGTGCAGATCTTCTCAGAAATCTGACGAGAGGAACACCTACCTGCCTTTAATTTCTTCCCCCCACCCCAAAGAATACATCCGACATAGCAGTGATGATAACAAGCCCAAAATAATAGCGAGTAACAAAATGCACTTTGTTACCGGTTTCTTGTTAATGTATAAGCCTCTGCTTTTTCTTTCTATTCAATAAAGAATGTACTTTATTTGGCATTCAGCAGAGGAACAGGAGAAATTTATTCAAGATGGTGATAACAAACAAGAACTTCCAAAACTATCTCACTATTCCAGTTTAATCAACGCATATGATTTTCTATGAACAGAATGCAGAGTATTGTCTCTGTTATAATAACCCATAACTAAGGTACCTCAAGAAACTTTATCCACAATTGATCTAACTAGAAATGGATACTTTTGTATAGGAAGTGGACTCCAAATAGCTCAAAAGTGAAAGTATCAAACGGCGTGAACTATTGAAGGGAGAAAAAGTACCTCTTCGTCGGGGCCTGGAAAACCACTGCGGTTAAAATTTTGGCGCCAGCCTCTCTCATACAAGAAGGAAACAAGTGGACTCCTAGTGAAAGAGAAATAGCACCACAGAATCTCTTAGATCTTTGGTTACAAACAAGTAGTTATAAACAGGAGACCAGATAAATTATGGCGATTATGAGCATGCCTTGTCCAGAACCATAATGTTATGTAGGCAACATAACAAACTGATGAAAACCAATTGTTAATCTTTTTTTTGAGCCATTAAGGTTATAAATTGTAACTTAGTAGCCATTCATTGACATTTAACATTAATGTTATAAGACATGGTTAAAGACTAAGAGCTCAATCCCTTTTTAAGCAGTTAAGTACTGATTATATTCGGTCTATCTCATAACATCGCAGACTTCACCGTGTTTAAGCAGTCTACCATGTACCATAGAATCAAACACCAAGCAATTCCTTAAATCTAATGCGCATTTCAGATGGGAAATAACAGCATCATTACAGAGAGAGGAGCGTTGAATTTTTACCTGAACAGCTCAGTTCGTGCTGGTCTAAATTCATTGTAGTCCTTTGATCCAGCAGTAACAGTGAGATCAAGATATATATTTTTGCTTGAATACGTCTTGTTGCACTTTTTACATTTGAAACCGGATCTATATATTGCTGGCCTGCACATTATCTAACTTCCGTTATCAGAGCAAACCATGGAAAATACAAAATAACAAACTTACATACACTAGAAACTGGAACTTACAGGTTAAATCCTGATGGACCCTTTCTTACTAATGGCTCGTAACATACAGGGCATGCAAACAAATCAACTTTGAAACCCTCTTCTGATTGAGTTTGTGCTTCCTGAATTATTTACTATTATTAGTCTATAAATCATAAATTTCAACCATAAGGAGACAATGAGCCATAATAGAATACTTCAACTCTGGATGAGTTGTTGACATAGCCTAGGTAGGATGAACAGAAAAGGAAGAGCGCATGCACACCAGTACAATCCCAAGTAACCCGCTACAAGAAAACCGGATATTAAAAGCATATCGAATATCTGAACTATGCACCGCAATAGAAACGCAGCAATTCTGAGTCCAGAAAACAGTTATAATCTCATTCATTATGGCTCCTTAGTAGAAAAGCAATTCTGACCAACTAATGTGTTTTCTGTAAATTACGAGTTTCATTTACATTCTACAACCAAATTTATGGGGAAGAACGAAGTAATGGACACCGAGAATCAAGATCATTCTCCAGTAAAACAACCAGCCCGCAAAGTGCCCTTTTATCACAATGAAGAACAATATTTCTGGGGTGGGTTCAATTTACAGTATCACAAATTCGACAGATTAAAACACCAAATTGAGTTACACGATCAATCTAACAACCAACAATAAAAAGCACATATCGTCATACGGAATTAGAGACCCAAAAAACAAAATAAAAGAAAAAGAGAGAGAGAGAGAGAGAGAGAGAGAATATTTAATCACCGGTTCAACAGCAACAGCAGAACTGGCACGAACAATCAATCGATGCTGAACAGAGGAGGATGAGGAGCGGTTCCGGAGTGGGGGATGGAAGAGTGAATTAGAACGAAGAAAAGGGTATCTTGGGAGCAAACAACATTGATCCTGAACAAGCATCGATGAAGGGGGGGAAGGGGCAATAGCCATGTTTCTCATTTATTGAGCTTAATTACTCTGTACTACTTCCAGCACTGGAATGATGTTCTTCTGTCTTCCTGATGAACTCTCCACGAGGTTTGTTGATTTTAGAATAAACATAAACGGACAAAGCTATATATATGGGGGATTTCACGAGGAAGAGCAGAAGTGGAGGAAGCTTTTTCTGATTATTTTGTTGCATTTTTTATTTTTTTTTTGGGTTTGTTTATGTGGACAGAGAAGAAGCTCGTCGTCAAATTTTTGCAGGTTCTTTTGTGTTTTGATTTCACGCTACTTCGATGAATTTTGAGGATGTCTTCTTGCCGCATCTTATTCTTTTTGGTCATTTTGGTTCAACCCGAATACCCGCCGGAACTGATTGACATTCGACCCTTTTGATTAATCGGATTTTACATCCCAACCTTTATATTCCCTCCGTCCATAATTATTGTCCAGTTTTACTAAAATAAAAAATTTTATTTTGGTCAAACTTAACTATATTTTACCTTAAACAACCGGATATACCCCTACATAAGTAATTGTTTAACCACTAAGATTTTATGGATAATGTTTTTTACTAAGGACAAATGTGTAACTTGATCCATAAAAAGTCAAATTGGAAAATAATTTTGGGACAAAATTTTTTGGACAAAGTGGACAATAATTATGGGACGGAGGGAGTACTTAACTTGCGAATTCATCCAATTTTAATAATCTTATATATTATGACGTCATCGATCAATTTTAAAACGTTGGGATGAAATAGCGAATTGGTGTAAACGTTAGGATTTATCCATTAATTCACCCATATTAATTATATGATTCGACATCACACAAAATATATTTATTTTGTCCCAAAATTATTGTCCAATTTAGATATTCACTTTTATTATAATTTGTACTATAAATGAAAATTCAAACTGGACAACAATTTCAAGGCAGAAGTACTATTTCGTTATTAGAATATTTTTATAACCTTTAACATACTCCTTATTAATGATTAGTTCAATTAGCTTTTGGAAGATCTGAATAGATTTAGAGATGATTGCATGTCTTCTTTAGTATTTATATGTTTGATGATTTTTTTTGGGTGGAATTTGGAAGTTATTTTAGCTGAATAGTTCAAATATTGACAAATGACAGCAAGAACAAAAATGAACTTAATTTATAAAAACAAATTCAAAAACTTAATGTTAATCTCAAAACTCAATATGAATTGAGGGACGGGTTGTTTAAGTACAAAAATGTCATTAATATTACTTCTAAATCGGCTCCTTATAATCCGAAGGTCCATAAGCTTGAATCAAATCTAGGATGAATCCTTTCTTTCTTCTAGGATTCCAACCAATGTCTCTGCACAATTGATCATTATACCATGTGTGTACACCTGCAACACAAGAACTTCTGTAATATTTCCCCCCATAGCGCTTCAAATACACCTCCCATTCAACTACATCTTTCTCCATTTCTTTTATGCTAGGCAATTGAAATGTTTCATCAAGGATATTGGCTAGCCATCTGCATTTCATTTCTAGAGTGTAAAGATTGTTATGACTCTGCGCGTATCCAATGATCGCGAGTTGTGGGATTCGTGGATGAACTATCTGTCTGCAAGAATATTAGGGGGTAAAAACATAAATTGACATGTAACTCATAGGTATCTGTTATTATATTAAGTAACGGTACCTAAATTATTACATTCCATTCTATTATATGCTGAATAATGCAACACTCATATGCATGCTTTATCATACCTGTATAACGATATGACTGAGTTTGGTTTCCCTGTCATGTAGTTCTGGAATACAGAAGAAGTGAACATGTTTCTCAGTTTTTCGTCACCTTTGTAACCAGTAGCAAGCAGTACAATATCTGCTTTAACTGGCTGAGCTTCTCCATCAATCATTAAACCTTCTTTACAGAAGCCAATGACTTCAGAATTCTTTAGCACAATGCTTCCTTTTTCTACTTTGTCATAGAAATTTTCAGGGAGCGAGAAGATCCCACAAGTAGATATGGCTTGGAGAAACCCATGTTTTGGTATCATTCTGTGCTTCTTCAATGGGAGTTTCCATCTGAGATCGCTCTCCACAAGTTTTTCAATTCCCCATCTCTGAAAACCATGACATTATCCAAACAAATCAATTCAACTTTTAATGAGTAAAAAAAAAAAAGGTGGGCTGATTGATTGATTATTACCAATGGTGAAAGCAGGAAGGCTAAGGCACTATGCAGGAATCCTTCCCCAGGCTTATGAAGCAAAAGCTCTGCCAATCGGTTAAAGTATAAGAAATCAATCCTGATACCCCAGAAGTAGGCACCAGGTAGCATCCAGTGAACTGTTCTTTGAATCATTGTGCAAGGTTTATCGTTTCCTAACCAGAAATCGGCATTAGTCTAAATCATTGCCGTTAATGTGCAATCAACTTTGGAACATTGGAAAGCAGATCTTGCCAAGTAAATGAAACTGTTACCTCCAACAGTGACTGTGATGCTATTGATTGTTACAACTGCAATTAAGTCACTGTGTTTCTAGTTACTCTATCACGTATGAACTAGATATGAATTAGTCACTGTGATTTGTTATGCTATTGATTGCTCTAGAGTGATTCACATTTCCAATTAGTAAAAGCACAAAGACATCCAAATATGCATCTTTTAAATCATTCCATTTCTGCGGAATTCTTAGCATCAAACTATCATAATGAAGGAATGAACGAAATTAAAGAAGTTTATTAGAACCCTTACCATTGGCATCTGCACATTCAGCAGCCAAGTCCACTGCAGATTTCATTGAGCCTACAATGGCAATTCTCTTTCCTTTGATAAATTCCGCAGCACTTGCATTATCCATAGCTGAGTATTCCATGGCATGCAACACCTTACCACCAAAAATTTCAGGTCCATGATCTTGAGCGAATTCAGGAATATTGGGCAGCCCGCTGAATCTCCCAATGCAAAGAATCACAAATTCAGCTTCATATTCCTGTCAAATGAAAACTAACTTGATATTCAAAGCAGTTAAAATTGTGCCAATATTTTTTTTCCAGCTAGGAAGACTAAGAACAAAATTATACCTTAATAAGACTCCCTTGATCAATGTGCTGAACTTTTATAGTCCATTTTCCTTTGGACCCAAAGGGCTTCCCTGTTCCACTCCATAGATCCCAAGTCTGCATTTCTTCAATGGAAACACCATTATAATCTATGCCAATCACCGTTGAGTTGAACTTTATGTAACGCATTAACCCGAGATGTTGAGCGTAAGATTGAACGTATTGCAGGACTTGTGTGTTGCGAGGGAGTACATCTTGAACTGAAGGCGGCCATGGAAAATCAGAAAACTGGAAACCTTCTTTAACATTCTGCAACCTTGTTGATTCAATGGTGTGATTCCATATCCCTCCGACAGAGTCCTGAGCCTCAAAGACTACCGGATGAAAACCCTTTTCGACGGCGTATTTACAAGCAAGCAGGCCACTGAATCCGGCTCCGACGATAATAATACGGCGGTTCTCCATGATCGGTCAAAGTTGGATGGCTGAAGAGAAATCCTTTTTTTTTTCTTCTTTGGTGCATAACGAATTAACAATAACGGCACTCGGGTTCAACCTCCAAGATCTCTGAATTAGATTGTTAACATCTTTAGATATATTAATAAAAAATAATCCACAAGTTGACCTCAAAGTTGGAAATGTTTATAACTACATTCTAGAAGGAGAGTGGTGCAAGTTGCAATGGAATATTGGAATGGCGCCTTGAGTCCCATGCTACAGTTATAGTACTACGATCATTACATTTACGGTAGAACAGACTATTAAGTTTTTGGGACGGATAGAGTATACATTTTATTTCAGCGCAATTAAAATAACAAAATCAGAATTTGTATGATAATTTTCTTGTTAGTTATGAACATAGAATTGCAAGTGATAAAACAAAAATAACAATAAACCTTTTTCCCACTAGGTGGATCAGTTATATAGAGGTGGATCAGTTATATAGATTATATGTCGATACCATGTTTGATCAATGCACAAATTTAATCCGTTTTTTGGCTTCTCAATATCATATAGATAAGTTTACCAACCAGGAAAGAAAAATTCAGAAATATATATTAGTGATTCATTTTGTGGAATACTAAGTAACAAGAGTGAGACGTTTGTTATTACTTCTTTTGTCCCAATACGAATAAAGAGAGTTTTTTTTTTTCCCTAAGTATCATTAACAAATATTGATGACATGGGACAAAGAGAGTTTTTTATTTTGATTCACTCTAAAATCAATCACATAAACTACATTACACACATTACTTCAAAATTTGTGTAGCAAAACGTTCATCTCAAAAAAAAAAAAAAAAAAAGTGTAGCAAAACGTGACTATGAAATTGGGACAAAGACACAAAGTCAAAATGACATGGGATTTCAGGAGAACAGAACGAGATATGGGCCGTTAACACTGAACCAGAGCCCAATACAGAATTGCCAGACTCTGTAGTCTTTTGTTTACCGATAAGCCATATGGATGGATAACAAGAACACAAGGACACAATGGAATGGAGATAGAATCAGTAAGCACTAAGCAGCCTGATTCATCCCACCACCATCATTTTTTTCCAGTGATTCACAGTGTCAAAAAATAGCCGCCATGGCTGCTGCAATAAGGCCAATCTACCCACCTCCCCTGAAACTCAAACACCCCAATTTTTCCTACCTCTTTGTTCCCTCATCATCATCAGCTCCCCCTGCTTCCAATCCAATCTCTCGCCCTCAAATTCATCACAATCACGGACCATTTGCTGTATCCATTGCATATAATCCATCAGGCAACCTCGATTTTCCTTTGTTCGATGATGGTAAGTAATCACATACAGATTGTTTTTCATCATTGTCGAATTAATGGCTTCTATGTTCCTGCAAATTTTTCTAGTTACGTTTTTAGCTTCGTTTTCGTCTCTGTTGTATTCTTGAACTTGGAAGTTGGAACTGGTTTGTTTTTAAGTTTCTGCAATGTGGTTCTTCTTAATCTCCGAGGCTTATTTGACATACATAAAAATCACTGTCACTGAACGACAGAGCAGCCGGAGTTGCCGGCGCCGGTCCCTCCAACAGAAGGCAGATACGAGGTTGTGATCGACAATGATGTCATTCGCCGGATTGACTTAGGTCCCTTCCACTCTGCAACTGGAATAACAGAGCCTTCAACTGGTAATAAATTATTCAGGGCAGACTTAATAAACTAGTAATTAATTGATCTACAAAGTACTACATTTAGGTTGACCTGTGGTCTTGTATTTTAATAATGTTGTAGTGAAGCCGAAGGAGTTACTGGAACGTACGATTGGCTTCACCATTAATTACAAAAGAGAAGATGAACATGATCTCCGAGAACTATCAGAATTCCCTGATATAAGGCTCTGGTTCATTAGACTTGATGCTGCTTATCCATGGCTCCCTGTTCTATTGGACTGGCGAGGAGGAGAACTTGCACGTTATGCTGCAATGCTGGTACCTCATCAGGTGACTTTTTTTTATTTAAATTTCTCTAATTTCGAACTTATTCGGTTATTCATGATTGTTATGCAAAAGGGTTCAATTCTTTAAAACTTTGGAGTGTTTTTACAACTTTGGCAGATGAGTATGAGAAAGGGATTGATCTTCAACCCAGAGGCATTAGAACTGTTTGTGATGAACAAAGTGTTTGTGGTATATTCTTGGTTGAAGGAACATGGGATTCCACAGCCAAGAGTGAAGGCCAAAGACATGGCTACAATGCTTGGATTTGGAATTGGGGAGGAATTATTTGACTTGATTGACAATGATGTCCAATAACCAATTTCTCCATTTTGACAATCTTAGTCTAAATATTAGAAGCAGTATGTGACACTCAGATAGAGCTTTAATTTTTTTGGTACAGTAATTGTTTAATTGGACATATTAAAGTATTAGCTCAAGGGAAGTAAATTATTAAGGCCAAAACTTCCAAAACGAACCCAAGAGAATTGAAATTTCTTCCTCTTTTTAGTGATTCATAAGATAACTTCTTAGGTACCATAAACAATACTCCATCCTACCGTCCCATAATTATTGTCCAGTTTGAATTTTTATTTTTAGTTCAAATTATACTAAAAGTGAAAGATAAAACTGGACAATAATTTTGAAACAGATGAAATATTATTTTTTGGGACGAAAGAAATACAAATTATATTCAAAGGAATTTGCGGCAAACCTTTAAAAGCCTAATCTTTTCTTCAATCTTCAATCCCTTTGCGTGTGGGGTCTATGTTCACTGCAATACACGTTAGTGATCTCAGAAATAGAATCCAAATAGGAAGGCCAATGTAGAAACACAAGATCAGGAGATCAGAAATCCAAGTTCTGAATTAAGGGTACTTCTGGGCATAGTTTTCAAAATCCCGATCCAAATCTTAGAATTTTACGATCTCGCGATCCGGAATTAGGAAATCGATTCTTGATCTTATGAAATCCTTTTTTATAGTGGGATCTTATGAAATCCTTCAAAATCCTAATCCGGATCGTAAGATCCTACGATCGAACGATCCCATTGATTTTGTCGATACTTGTACAAGTTGTTAATTTTACATCAAAAGAGGGGAAAATAATTAGAAAAGATATAAAAGTTAAAATTTTGATTTAATTATACGAATGTGGACACTAGTCTACTTCTCTTCCATAAAATTAAACAAGAATTGAACTAACAAAGTGAAACTCGCAATTTCAGAATTACTATAATATTATAAATAGTTACGATCCCACCGATCCAAATCCAATCCGATCCTGAGACGCCAAAATGATCTTATGTAAAATCTCGATTTTGAAAACATTGCTTCTGGCCCTTCCCAATAGTACAATGATCCAGTTCGATTAATTTCCCAATGTGTATCAAACAAGGGAGTTTTCTAGTTCACATGGATCTAAGATGGTAAATGGCTGAATGCATCAGAAAATGAGCAGAAAGAATGCCTCTGGTTTTTTGCTATTCTTTTTATCTAAAGAGTTGCCTTTAATGCTTGTGGATTTTTGTGGGTACTAGTTTCTGCGTTCAAGAAGTACTCAAATACCAAACTAAAATATAATCAAAAGAGAGCATTCTATTTTGTCGTTCATCGTTAATTAGGTTGTTTTTTTGTAACAACTTAGATCAGTGATGTGCAGCCGACCTCAAATCCGACATACAACTATTTGGCATTAAACATAGCATAATGTAAGTGATGAATGTGCATTGAATATCCACTGTTATTCCTCTGCCCAAATTTGCAATTACTAACACATGACATATGTTTCCTATACCCCCGAAGCTTCATCACTGACCCATTCATTCGGTAAACAATTTTCAAGTTGGATTCATGTCAGAAGAATAAATCAATAAACTATATGTCTCCTGCAGGTGCATGGAGATTGTACTCTTCTAGCTTACCCACTTGTTCCTGATCGATCAACATTCAAAAAGTTTCTCTATGATTGTTTAATCTTTCTAACAAAAACTTTAGACTCTCTTTGGCTCGTTTTTTCGTTCATTTTTTTTAGAATTTTTAATTAATATCTATCCCATTTCAACGTATCTTTTTACATTCCCAATACAAAAAACCACACTCAAAAACCATCCAAACATAGCCTTAATACTTTTGTTTATAAGTTGGTGAGAAAAGACCACTTTCGAATCACTCGAAATTCATATCACGACAATCTAAGCTAACAAAGTTACAAAAGTTCACTAAACTAAATCCAGCTATATATAACTAGAAGAAGAGCCTATCTTAAAATTAATTAAACATATATGGATCAAGTTAAGGTGGTTTTGTTTGAATCGGACACAACACAAAAGACCCACAAATGAGCACTCCCATGAAAATGGAAGGAAGATCTTCAAAACATCTCCATTTGTTTAATGAAATTATCATCGTCTACTTTATTGATGGATCCGCAAAAAATCTTATAATTATATTCTGTTCGTCTCAAAATTATTATATTGTCGGAAGAGTACTAATAACACACGATGATAAATTGGGGGTTAGTGTGAACTGATTTAGAAGTGGTATTATAAAAAGGGGGGCCTAAAGCAACTTGCAAATTCCAATATTGAGGAGTTAAGAAGACAATGGTCTTCCGGCGGGACAATTAGTCCATGGTGCTGTTTTTATGCCACCTAAAGAAGAAGCAGAAAGCGTGACCCCTCGGAATCCACGTGGCCAAAGAGCTGATCCTAATCACTGTTTCCCCCGGGTAGGGCCACAGATACCGACGTCCACGTGGCCGGCCTCTCCCGACGGGAACTGGTGGAGCTTCTCCTAAAAAAGGACAAGACCAAGCCACATCACACACTGGAAAATGGTTGCGATACCGACGGAGACCGGCGACTGTTCCTACTCCTCGGGTCACCATCTCATTTACTGCCCTTGTTTCCCACTACACATGGCTCCTTCTGCCGTGGCTCCTCCACCTGACTCCCTGCATTTATTTCCACACCTGCCTTCTATCTGATCAATGATCATGGATCTAATCATCTGTATTTTATTTGTCTCAAAATTACTGTTCCATCTCAATTTTCATTTTAACCGATTACAAAATTAATTACTGTTCCATCTCAATTTTCATTTTAACCGATTACAAAATTATTTTGAAACAGAGAAATACTGATTATGACAGAGAATTTTATTTTCCGAAAAAGATATATGTGAAATGAATCCAGATTAATCGTGTACAGGGTATACCAAGTGAATTATTACTTCCGTCTTAAAATTATAGTCCACTTTGGATTTTCATTTTTAATTTAAATTGTATTAAAAAGTGAAATATCGAACTGGACAATAATTTTAGGACAAAGATAATTACTTACTAATGGTGAGGCAAAAAAAAAAATCAAAGTGGAAAGTAATGTGGATTGGACATCTCAATCATATGACTGTAGGGAATTTTGAATTTGATATCCATGCAAAATGCCATTGGTACGTACACTGTAGAAGACATAATTAACCACCCGTCAAATGAGGATTGGGTTATTTACATAGGGAAAAATTCCCAAGAAGTCAATGGTTGTCAATTTGTCATAATGGCTTTAGGTTTCTTCGTCATTGCTGAGGTTACTTAAAAAATTATGCTGTGATATTTCACCGTGGATTTTCATTTCAACTGATGATGTATCTAGTCTAGTACTACGTACTGCCCCAAACTGGTTATGCTGTCCTAATTGATGTTACCCAATCACAGGACTTATAAGACACTGCAGCTTGGCCCTGTACATATATAAATATATGCATGATATGATCGATCATAGAAATGGAAAGATGATTTTTATATATATATATATATATTTGTTGAAATGAGAGAGAGATCACTAAAGCTAACTAGATAGCTAGTTAATTAGTTCAGGCAAATCATTCTGTTCAGAAAGCAGATTCATTATAGATGATGGCAGAGAAGACTGGACTGTCTAGTATAATTTTTTTTTTTTTTTTTTGCATGGATTAATGAAAAGGGAAATCTGAAGCTTTTTGACAAATATGGTGTTTTTTAATTTTTTTTTTTCAATTTCCTTTTTTTGGGTTAGTCAAGTAGTGTTTGACAGAATCAATCAACGCCATAGACTTAGGTCACTTACTTACCCAACAAGTGAGACACTCTTCCCTTGCTTTTGTAGGCCATATGGTGTGTGGAAAAATAATAAGTAATAAACTACAAAAGATATTGTACTTTTGTTTAGACCTTTCTCTTCCTTTCTAAATTATTCAAAGTTGTAATGTTGATGATGTTATGTGTGTGTATAGTGGTATTTTGAGTTGTTTCAATTTCAAGAAAATGAGGGGGGTACCCTGTATCCCTATTTTCCGTGGACATTTTGTTCCCCTTCCAACAATGACCCGAAATCGCATGATTAGTACTGAACTTTTTTCCAGAACAATTCTTTATAATTATGATTAAGTCTAAAAGAGAAAGTTTAAAAGTTGATCCTCAAAAAGGCAAAATACATGCCAAACAAAAGAATTAATTTTGATGGCATCATGTAGGGACCCTCATGAGCCATTCTAGATGTGTGTATATATAAGAAGGCCTCATATAATGTTTCAAGCCAAAAACATCTGCTTTAATGCAAACCTGAAGGTTCAGTTCTTTCAGTTTCAGGAGGAAGGAGATATAGTATAACCAAAGAAAAACTCTTACTAGTTACAGTAACTACTCTCTTTTCTGAACAACCTTTTTTTCTTTTGGTTTTCTACAATGAAGAAGTTCATCTTGTTAGTCTCATTTCTGATTCTATCAACAATCCTAAATGATCATCAAGCCAGTGGTGAGTTTCTGAAGATTTTTGTTTCCTTTTTAGTATTTCCAGTAACATGTGTTTTGATATTTGTGGAATAATGTTTTTTTTCTCTTGAACAGGCATACGCTTGATACAAAGATCTTTGTCATTATCACCCAAAGAAGATCAGATTCATCATGTCCATGTAAGTGTGTGACTCCTAACCTATTCTGAAGATTAAAGCTACTGTTTTTAGTGTTTTCTGAAGTTTGATCATCATATATGTATATATATATCCATAAATGCAGGATGAGGAAAATGATTTGAAGAGAAGAAGTAATGTGGGAATGGAAGCTTCAAACACTGACCATATTTCAGAAGAAACAGGTACCATGATGATGATGATGATGATAAGCGCAAGAGCTACTTCTGATAGAGTAACAAAGCAATCCTTAATGACCCATTCTTCTTCTTTACCAAATGTCCATGAAGATTATTATGGACCTCACATTCACAACCCTAAGCATCACTAAACAGAATCACCCCCCCTTCTCACTTCAGTTTATACTAGCTAGCTACTTCAATCTAGGAGTTTTAACACAAACTCAAAAACATTTCTTGACTTCTTCCTTTTTTGGAGGCCGGCCGGGCTATTATTTTTTCCGGCTTCTTTCTGATTCAGTACTACAGTATTCGTGGGGAAAGATCTCAGTTGAAACCCTGACCAGATATTCTTACTCAATCTTCATGTACTGATATTCATCATCAAATTAAATATTTATTTGATAGATACTAGACCAAATGTATCTAAGTATTGATCATTAATGGAATACTAGTTCTTTGAGTGTGTTTGTTCTTACATTAACTCTTAGAGGAATTGCAATTAAATTCATGATTGCCAACTGCTTTGCAGGTTCAAATAGAAAACTCATGACAAAAACTTCCGCCCCATCTAGCACAAGTACTACCACAACCTCAACCTCAAAGGTTGGTTCTAATTTTCATTAATTAATTAATTAGCACAAAAACTTGTCACATTTGAAAAAAAATAAAATTAAATTAAATAAAAAGAGTACTAAATCTAAGCGGGTTTGAATTAATTTCCTGAGGTTAATTATATTGGACAATGATTTGATGCTTCATGCACAGAATGACAAGAATGTTCACGAAGAAGGAAATTATAAAGGTGAACCAACAACAACAGTACTACAGAAAGGCAATCAATCAAGTAGGAGTATTGAAAGATCACTAGTTGGAAAAGAAGAAAATTTCAACGTTAATTCATCCACAGTCCTGCCTGATCACGATCATCAGCACTCGCAGCCTGATCGGACTAATGTCGACCCCGGTCACTATCCCGACATATTAGACATAGCCGGAATGGACTATTCCCCGGCAAAGAGAAAACCTCCTATTCACAATTAAGCATGTCATGTTAATTTTGATTTACGTAGTATGCATGATTGTTTAGGGGGAGATATATAGTCATAGTAATCTTTTTGTAAATAACATATATAGTAATCCATTTAGACATAATCATTAATTTCTTCTTTGATAGGTTTTGCTACCAAGTAGTTGTGATAGTTTGATTATTCACATACTTAAAAAGTTTTGTTGTAGTTCTTAATTCTTAATTCTTATGGGTATTTCCTTTCTTTGAAGGGTCAAAATTAGTTATTGGATTTGAGGATTCCTTCAAAATAGCTAGCTACCTTATTCGGAAAAAAATGAGCGGGAGGAAAAAGGGAAAATCCTCAAAAGCTCCAAACCACAATTGATTAATAATAATATAATTGGACTGTCCAGTTTGAATAATATTCCGGTAGTTGCACGCACAAACATATGTTGGGTTTGTGAGATCATCAAACCTGAAATTCCGACGAAGTTCCGGGAAACTGTCCGTACTCGGAACAACTATCAACATATCTCCACGATTGGCATTCTGTATACGCATGAAATCACTACAGTATCCCGTGATCATGGAACAACCCGATTTGTTTATTACTTACCGGTATATTACGTAATTTTAATTAGTTAGCTTAAATCAATCAAGTAATAATAGCTAGCCCTAATTAATTGAGCATTTACAACTTTGTAGAGTATGATCTCCATTCCAACACATTTTACACAACGAAATATTGTGTTTGTGGTTAGAAAATTTGCATGAAAAGCGACAAAAAATTTATTATTTGTATCTTACATCCAGTTGATGAAAGAAGTTTGCGCCTTAATCTTAGGACAAGATTGGACAATCTTTTCGTCTTTTAGCCCCCCAACATTTTCAGTGATTAGTTTTGTTTGAAATGGGAAATGGCTACTGTCGCAAAAGCAAAACTTGTACCTTTCATCACATTGGGGACCCAAATTTGAGCCGACGGTGTTATAACTCGTTCCGTCTCAAAATAACAGTCTTAGCGAAGCAGTAATTTTGTTATATTTCATTCAATGAAGTAGGTATGTGTATACATAAATGAGTTGAGGAAAGCAAAAGATGTACAAAACGACCAAGATCTGATCTTTTGGGGTTAATGTGAGAGCAAAAGGGCAGCAAGGAACAAAAAAAAAGAAGAGAAAGAACATGGAATCCTCATGAAGGGAGTGGGTCGCTGCTGACATGTGGGCTCAGATGGATGCCCTAATAATGTTTTGGTTTTGGGTCCAAATTAAATGTGGTGAACCCCCAACAAGTTGATATGGTGATATTGTGGCGTGGTGTGGTGGTCCGTAATCTATGGGGATATATGTTCCAACAATATCTGTTCTTCACACCCTCCTAATTACATTGATTAATCTCTCCCATGGATGATAATAGTAAACCTTAACCTTCAACATCTTAAGGGAACAACAAGACGCTCTAGATTAAATATAACAGAAAGTATCACAAACTTGTGTCACATGTAATTTTCACTCATAGTTTCTTTAGTTAGGCCCTGTTTGATAAATCAGTTAAGCACTTAAACTTATTAATTAAGTACTTAATTGATTAGCACTATTTAATAACACACTATCATAACAACTTAATTGTTTAAGAACTAATTTATTAAACACTTAAATTTTAAGTGTGTTTGATAACTCAAAGTAGGATGTCTTAATAAATTAAGTGAGTCTGAAATACTAGTACAAATATGAGCCTAAAAATAAGTGATAGGCCTATCACTTATGTCTGAACTGAATTCTTGAGACGATTTTTTTTCTATTTACTTATTTTTATGTTTCTACTTTTGATATTTTATCTTGAAATATTTTTATTAATCATGATGTTTAGTTCTAAATTAAAATTTATGTAAATTATTTTTTATTTAATTAATATTTATTTTTATATAAAAATTAAAATCCATTAAATTCCATGATCAATATATCTTTACCATAAAATATGAAATTTTTTTTTAACAATGATAAAATATGACATTATTATTAACTGAAAAAATAATAACATAATAAAATTTAAATATTTTTATTACATTATTTAATACTAATATTATTATTTTTGTTATCATAGTTTCATATACATCAATTATTTTTTCAGATAAAATTATAAATTGAGATACTTTAAATTTCAGTGTTCAAACTTCAGATTTCAGACATTTTATTCAGTGTTTAGATTTTGGTTTTTATCAAACACGACAAACTTAATCAATTCAGTACTTATGATTCAGTCTTCAGATTTCAGACTTCAGACCCAAATTAAGTTTTATCAAACGGTCCTTAATCTTATGAATATAATGAGGATGCAAATAATTTTGGAAGTAGGAGTTTCATGTAGTAGTTACTTTCGCTTCGATAGGTTCAGAAAAGAAGAATGTTTTTGGAAAAATTAGAGTAAAGATCTTAAAATGGCTCAGGAGAATTGAGGGAAGAGATTGCGACAGCAGAATCTCCTCGACTCCCAATGAAACCAAAACATCGCACAGATGTTAATTATGGACTCAAATGATTAAACTCAACACAAAAGAACTTGTAAAAGAATTTTAGCTTTGAAATGCCGCTAATGCCTTGCTTCACTTGTATTTATTTTCTGGTGATCTTTAGTCAGGCTTTTTAATTCTCTTTCAACCCTTGTTGAGCATTATTAGGAAAGTGGAGGAGAAACTGGAATTGTATGGATAGGATCAAAATGAGTCCAATTTCATACAAGTTGGGTGGGTTTAACACTGTAATGAGACCAATGTTTCCTTAAACTACAGCCTTTATTGAATCCATGTACTTGACACATCTCGGCCCAATTTGTAGAAACTTTCCGTACCAATACAGAGAAAAACGCTAATAAATTTTTATTTTTCTTTTTATTTTTATTTTTTTGAAATGGATGTGTGTTATTCATGTGTATTCTAACTGTCATTATACCAGTCTTTTTTGCAATGTGAATGACTCAAAGTGACATTACTTCTAAAATTCCTGCCTATTCAAGTCAAATTCTTATGTTTGTTTGGACAAGCACTCATTTTATATTTTAACTCATTTTACCTCTTAAACACAAAACTCAATAGAAAAGAAAACATCATCCAAATAACTTTCTGATTTACATTTTAAATTCCAACTTGAAATACTTTTTGTTAGTGTAATGACCATTTTAGAATTACAAATAGTTCAGTGACAAATTTGGCAGGATTCCGTTGTTGAGTGATTGTTTTTGGAAAAATTCTTTTTTGCAGTGACTATAATTGACAGTATTTAATTGTTTAGTGATGACTTGTACTTGATATTTCAAAATGTAGTTCAAAATACTTTTTTTCATAACCAACTTCCAAACAACATTTTTATTTCCTATTTAGTTTTCAATTTGAAACACTTTCCACTTTTAAGTGGAAAAATGAAATATAAGTTGACGTCCAAACAAGCACTATCATTCATGGATTTACGATAACATATACTCCATCTGTCCCATAATTATTGTCCACTTTGCCCAAAAAATTTTGTCCCAAAATTATTGTCCAATTTGACTTTTTATGGATCAAGTTACACATTTGTCCTTAGGAAAAAACATTATCCATAAAATCTTAGTGGTTAAACAATTACTTATGTAGGGGTATATCCGGTTGTTTACGGTAAAATATAATTAAGTTTGACCAAAAATAAAATCTTTCATTTTAGTAAAACTGGACAATAATTATGGGACGGAGAGAGTATATACTTGCCTGCCTTATTCAACTTTTTATTGCCAAAATAGAGCAATCCCACCAACCATATTCGTAATCCTCATTTTTTTCTATACAACCTTGTTACCAATGGGTTATTTAGAGTATTGCATGTTGGGCCCGAGTTCTCCTCAAATTGGCCCAGCAGTGATTGAAACCAAATCAATTTGGTTTTAGGAAACAAAACTCACTCCAATTGGGTTTTTGTTTTTAGGTTTTTTTGCTCTATAAAAGCAAGGCTTTGGCATAATTTTTAGGGGTGTATTTTTCAGTCAAGAGAGAAGAACAGTTTGGGCAGCCGTGCATTATTTTTGTACGTGAGAAAAAGAAAGAAAACTAGGGTTTAGTTTTCGGTTTAGCTCTCTTTTGGTTAGATCCTTCCAGTCCTACTTTGTGATAGGTGTGTGTGGAAGAGTATTGTTGTAATCCCACCTTTGGGTGAAGTCCTGTGTATCCATCAGTCGGTGAAGACTGTTTTCCCATTATTGTGATAGTGGAGATTTGACTGTTGTTACAGTCCCGTGGTTTTTCCCGATTTGGGTTTCCACGTAAATTCGCGTGCCTACTTTATTTTATCAGTTCTTGAATCAATTGCTTATTTGGGTGGTTGTCCTATTTTATTGGTAGTAGGAAAGGAGATTTTTTTAGGATTCGCTTCCGTGATGTGTTGTATTTATACCCTTTCCGCCACAACAGCAGAATATCGTAACAGATATGAGTTTACCCACTTTAAGCAGGGGTTCTCGACGTTAACAAGAAAAAAGAAAAATTGTAAACAAAATTTGTGGAGCAAGTGTGTTGTGACAAACTAGAGCATACTTTGGGTGTAAGTATTGTAAATTTTGGTTTTAAAATTGTTGTCATGTTTATTTAACGACGACAAGACTATATCATAAAATTAAACTCTTAATATTATAAAGGACACCAGCTGGTTTGAACTTTGAAACCACACTAATAACACTAGATCTTCTTCTTTTTTCCTATTGCTTCAAAAACTTGCAATCTTCTACGAGTAAAATACTGATATTGTTGTTTGATTATGCCCCATTAAAAAAAAAGTGATCTTAGTATGAACACGTCCCTCGTATTTTTTGGCCTAAAAAATTTGATAGCGATAGCTTAACCCGGCGGTATGTTAATTATACAGCGCCCAATGTCTTTGGATTCATATACAAATTGATGATGTTTCTCTTTTTTATCGTCTTCTTACTTCAATTTTCCTCTTCCGGGAAAGAGACTCGTGGTTTTGAATACGGTTGGCCGATTTATTATTCTAAAACATTTTTATATTACGTTCATACAAAATTTAACACGTATGTGTATATAAAATATATGATTATTCTATCGTTCCCAACAAAAAATAAATAAATATGAGTGTTACTCATTAAACTAATACAAAATATTATATTTTTTTTGTTTCTAAATGATTGTTCAGTTTGAGATTTTACTTTTAGTACAATTTGAACTAGAAAAGAAATAGGGAGTACCTTATAATTTCAGGTTAGGTTAGTGTATATTGCAATTTCGCGTGTGATTATGGCCGTCTCTTTCTGCATAACCAACAAAAAGGAGGAAATATGAGGGAACCAATGAGGATGGTTTGTTTTAGAAATGCGTTGGCAGCTTTGGTTAATGCCATTTTTCAGTAATCACCTGTTTGTCCAATTGTTTAACGTTTCCATATTAAGTGGATTTTGTCATAATCTTATAGCCTAAGCTAGCAATTAGTGTGATCCTTATTGGCTTAAAGCCTATAAAGTTAAAGAAAAAGACCGGAAAAAGTATAACATTTTCATATTAATCACACTTTTTTGGTCCCTCTACTTTTAAGCATCGCAGCAGCTTGCTAAGTTTGATTGAAACTGAGGGTTTCATGTGGTTTTCTCAAGAGTTAAAAACATCAAAAATACAACATTCGAGGTGGAGTGAAATTCATTGAGAGTTGATCGATAAATAAAAATTCAATTAAACATCGATGAAATTGTAAATATTCACTAATCACGGAACTTTTGTTCAGATTTTGGAAATGAAAACACGGCAAGGGCTCCTCCTTGCAGACTTGCACTGCTACAATTTCAAACTATAACAGTATAACTTAATAACAACGCTATGAAAAAATTCCAAGTAAAACGTTATTCTTTGTCACAAAAACACTAGTACTATTAATATGGAAGTGTCACATATTCAAAAGATCGGGACCAAAAAGTTTTACTTTTTTTTTTTTTTTTGGAAATAAAAGACAATGGGAAGACGAATATATTCAACATAATCATTAGTGGTTGAGTATGTAGACATTTTGGTTCTGGTTTGGGTCATTGGGGTTCTGCAATTTTTTGTGGATGGCAATCGAAATGAAATTATGAAAAAGTTGGACCATTTTAGACCTGAAAATTGAAAAACCAAAAGATATTTTGGCACCTTTTGGGGGTGTGTTGGGGACCAGATACTTCTTGCACAGAACAGAAGAAAATGCCTTTCTTTCATCAAAACCTTTTTTCCATCCGAAAAGAGAAAGGGTAAAGGTCATTGTCTTACATCATCTTCCTAATTTCATACTATACCATCCTAGTTCGTACATACGAACCAAGAATCTTTCAGTTCACACTTCACACCATGAATCACCCAATCTAACTATTCTTGTTGGTTGTTTATGCTCAAGTCACCCCTTGCCAACATTAATTTGCTCCAAATATAGTTAATTTGATTTTTTATGATATGATGTAAGAACTTAGAGGTTATTATTTGTTACCACGTAACGTATCTTGTATTATCGTTGGACAAATCTAAATACAGCTAATTAAACTTTAGAATGATATGCAAGAACTCACAAGATGATAACAATTACAAATAGTTAAGAAAAAGACAAATTAATATAATCTTATTTGTTCTTGAATGACTTCAAAGTTCAAACACTACTAGTTAAAGTTATTCATTATATTTAGGAAAAAAGAATAGAAGGAAAATATACACCCATGATGGGCATTTTGACCCTTTTGTAAGATTTTAAACTTACTAAGAAATATCTAATCCACTAAGAAATATCCTCTTAAAAAAAAAGAGAGCTTTGATTTTGTTTTGCAAAGGACAATAAGTGGAACAAGTGCAAAGTCAAGTTAGCAATAGGGTATTGCCACATAATGAAGAAATGATGACAAATCTCTCTACTACTCCTAGTCATGATATTATTATTTTCCCTTAATTCTATTGTACTATAGGTAAAAGCTCAAATAAGAACCTCAAAGTAATGATGCTAGAGTATTGTGGTTGCTTAAGGCAAAGTTCACAAATTAAAAAAAGACCTAGAAAGAACTAGAAATCCACAACCACCCCCTCCAAAGTCTTCAACAACAACCACCTTCACCATGAGGCCAAAGAACTAAGAAGTTGAACAAATGGTGGAAAACTAGTTTACTTCAAAAACTCAAAAAAAAAAATAGAGAACACATCCTAGTCTAGGTTATTTTCCCCTCATCTTATTATTTTTTTTTTGTCCTTTTGAGTTTCGGACCAAACTATATTATGTTTTTTTTTTGTTTTCCTCTTTTGGTTCCAAACCCAAGTCATGAAATGCTAAATATTGGTTACAAAATATTCAAATATATATATATATATATATCATATAAAAAAAAAAAAGGGAAAACAAACATATTGCTCCTAGAAACATCCTAGTAAACGTGCTTAAAATAAGTCAAATCATATATGTGGTCAATAGAAGCGGTTGATTATTCTTCTTCTTTCTTTTTGTAAGATGAATAAACATACTGAATGACTAATTATACAAAAATATGAACAAAATTACTTCCCAAGCATATTACTTCCTTCGTCCCAAATTCGAATACTGTAGTCATATTTTTTACATTTAGTTCACATTAAGTTTTGAAATTTACATATTAATTCTAATAAATTAAAATATAAAATATTTTTTTTAAGATGGAAATGATATTTTGATAAAGCTAAAAATGATGCAATTTGCCGATTCCGGGAGGAAAAGAAAAGAGCACATATATAGCTGAAAGAGAAGTCGTTGGACCGACAATTAAAAAAAATATCAGCATCCAAAGCCAAAAGCCCCTCAAGAAACACCTGTCAGCCACGCTTCCTTCTTTTGCAGCATATATTTTGCATTTTCAGACCAAAATATAAACTGTGAAATTTGCAATCAAATTCCTCAATCTTCCCCCTTTAACCCCCTCAAACACAGGGAAAAATAAATAAAAACCGCATCAACATATATCCTGGGAATCTTCCATTTAGTCCCCCAATCTTTATCCAATTTTTTTTTTTCTGATAATATTATTCTTCCCTCTTTTCCATCCAAAAACCCAATCCGACCCAACAAGTTGTTGCCAGTGAAAAGACACTGCAGCCGTAAAGTTGTATCATTTGGTGGTTGTGGTGGTGATAGTCAAGTGGGTTTTTTTCTGCTCATTCATTAGTGGATTGTGGTCATAGTTTTTTTTTAAAAACATGTGTGTTCAGGATTCAGAGCAAGTTGCAGAAGGGATGGATAATCTGGGTGGAGGCGTTGTTGGTGGTGGTGTTTCTGCTGATTTTACTCCCAGGAAGGATGACGATGATGATGATGAAGAGAATTGCAAGACTTGGGCTTTGCATTCTCCAATGGAATTGTATCCAGCCCGGAATGAAAATTGTGATAATAAGAACGCATCTGCCGATCCAGTTTCTCTCAGGACTTCATTTCCAGTAAGTATTCATCTTAGACCGTTCACTTTCCTTTGATCCTTCAGTTTTTACCTTGATTATGATTCAGTAGTGCTGAATATTTTTTCTCCAAGTTTTGATTTTTGGGCTGTTAGTGTTTCTTTGAGATTTTCATTCTTTCCTGTTTTATTGGAATCTTTGGTTTGCTTGATATGGAAGGTCAAGAATTTTGCTTTATTTGGTATTTAACAAAATGGATTAATTCTTCTTTCTTTTTCCTAATTATTGCGTTGTACAGTGAAGAAATTATGATACAATTATATGGATTATCTCTTTTTGCCATTAAGGGATTTTGCCCTGCCAAATTGAATTGGTAAACTTCTGTAGGTGGACCTTTTTTTTTTTCTCTATTTTTTGCGGGAAACTCTTTCGTTTTCATTGAAGGGACAAGAGCATGCCGTTTAACAATTTATGCTTCAGCGCGTTATCTAAGACTATTCTCTTTGGCATCTCCAGAGTTTGCTTTTTTCCCTTTCCCATTTTTTTGCTTAATTGTAAGTGGACCTAAGTAAAGGGTAAAGTTTGAAACTATTTTCTGTATGCGTTTTCCTTCATATTTTGGCATCTTGTGTTTTTCTCTTTCTACCAGCTAGAAAGCATTGGTGAGGAAACTGCTCTTACAGACAGAAAACAGGTGTCTGTAAATAATTTTGTTCCTTCCCTGAGGGCAGGAGAGTGGTGTGACATTGGGGAGCGCTCCGATATGGAGGACACTCACATCTGCATCGAGGACCTAGCTGAGAACTTTGGACACAAGAATATTGGTGAGGAAGCTATTTCCCTCTATGGTGTAAGTTCTTTCTCCTCAAAATGTGTCATGTTTGTTCAAAGCTGACTTCTTTAGATTATAGCTAAGGTTAAACATTGGGTTGGATGGATCAGTTAGCTTTCCAGGTTTAGGTTACATCTGATAATTTGATTGGTTGCCAGTAGAAAACTTGTTAATTGTTGTAGAGCTTGAACATATTGAAACATGTATGCTGCTGTGGGGCATTGTAGAAACTGTACAGTTTATCTTAAATGTTTTAATGCAGACGCTTGGTGTATGGGGCAAGGAAGTAGAGTGAACTTTGAATTTAGCTTGTTTGGCCCTTTTTTTTTTTTTTGAATGTGTGAAAAGCTAAATAGGATTGGGTTATAAGTAGTTGTAGTACTCGTTCACTTCCATCGTGGAGCTTTATCTGGTTTCATTTGTCTTCCCAAACACTGGTGTGATAAGTTAAAGCCAACCATATAATCTCGCTACCGTAGCCTCTTGTTCGTGTTTTGGAAACCGTTAAAAGTTGGACTTCTTTTTATTGAGAAGATATGCAGTTCATCAACTGAGAGTCTGAGATGCTTGGTTTGGGATATTTGGTTAGTGAATAGAATATAATAATCAGTATTTAGATACTTCCCATATTGTGCTCATATCTGGCATATAATGATGAGTGTTTAGATGTTCCCATATCATGCACATATCTGGATGGTTATCCAGGATTAGCTTGCCTACAAATAGAGGAAAAGTAGCAGCTTGTGGTTTTGTATCTTTTCGGATAAATGGTCTGGGTGATAGATCAACCTCCGCGTCAAAGTCAGGTTGTCTAGCTACCCATGGCATGTGGTATCTGATGTGATTGGCTTTTATTTTGGTTAGGCACAGTAATCGATATTCATATTTAATTTTTATTGTTCATTGCTGTGGATGGTTATGTGTGAAACTGTTAATTAGAGCGGTAACTGTTACCGCTTTTAGTAAGAAATTTATTTATATTGGGGAAGAATGATGGCCGTCGGAGGCTGTGAGGAATTTCTTCTGATTTGATGTCAACTGTTGATACCTGATGCATTCGGTAATTGCGACACAGGTATTTGATGGTCATGGTGGAAAGGAGGCTGCACAATTTGTTCGTGACCAGTTACCGAGGGTCATTGTTGAAGATGCAGATTTTCCTTTAGAACTCGAGAAAGTGGTCAAAAGGTCTTTTGTCAAAACAGATGCTGCATTTGCGAATTCATGCTCTGTGGAGACTTCCCTCTCCTCTGGGACAACTGCACTCACTGCCATGATATTTGGAAGGTGTGTACTGCTGCTTTTGATCTCTGTATTAAGCATGTCTGGGATATTGGGTTTGTTACAGATGTGGCGCATTATTATTACGCATCTGTGTACATATAACCTTGCTTGATGATGATGATACGTCTATCACAATTCCCTTATAGTAATGTTTTGCCATCTAAATTAGAGATTACTGAAGTGCCTCTCTAATTAGTGCTGCCAAGTCGGGTATTATATTACTGGAATAATTAACTTGCACACCAGTTATGATATTTTTGGGCTGATTTGATAGTATGTCAATGGACATGGCAATTTCATTGCAGGTCATTACTCGTAGCAAATGCTGGGGACTGTAGAGCTGTAGTTTCTCGTCGTGGAGCGGTGATAGAGATGTCAAAAGATCATAAACCTTGTTGTATTAATGAGAGGAAGAGAATTGAATCACTAGGAGGGTATATTGATGATGGATATTTAAATGGAATATTAGGTGTTACTCGAGCACTGGGTGATTGGCACATGGAAGGTCTGAAGGAAGGGGACACAGGTGGTCCACTGAGTGCTGAACCTGAACTCAAGTTATTGACGCTGACAAAAGAAGATGAGTTCTTGATAATTGGCAGTGACGGTCTATGGGATGTTTTCAGAAGCCAGAATGCTGTGGATTTTGTGAGGAGGAGACTGCAAGAGCATAATAATGTTAAACGATGCTGCATGGAAATAGTGGAAGAGGCAAAAAAGCGTGGCACTATAGACAACTTGACTGTAGTGATTGTTTGTTTTCACCTGGATCCACCCCCTGCAACAGCAGTGCAAAGGCCAAGAGTCAGGAGGAGCATTTCAGCTGAGGGGCTTCAGAATCTAAAATTTCTGCTAGAAGGGTAGATTCACTGTTGGTTAGCTCCAACATTTGATGGGGTAAAATTATGAAGGGCTCCGCTCTACAATTGGTGCAGCGGATGATAATGATGATGATGATAATTCAATTAGTTCTCGGTCCTTGTATATACATTTTTATTAGATAGGGAATTTTTGCCTTGTAAATGTTCCATTGGATTGTTCAGCTGAGGGAAAAGAGGAATAACGTGGTCACTTTGTTGTATCCCATAATATCATTCATTCCAGCTGAGTGGAAAATGGAAGTTATGTAGACAAGTACTACAATGATTCTTCGGGTTGAAATTTTTATGCCCGCCTTTCTTATCAGATTCAGCATGCTTCAATTAAATCTGTTTCGATAGATTCAAGTTTTGACGTTAATTTGGTATGCAAACAACAAATGAAGAGTAACAAGCCCCAGAGTAAACCTAGTTGACGTATCCTTGCAAACAATCTTGTCATTTCTCATTCTTATGTTTACTAGTTATGAGCTTGTTTTACAGAAACGTTTACTGTTGAAAATTTACATAGTAAAAAATGTAATGTGTCTCAAACATGCATACAAATTTCTGTAACTGGGAACTTGAAAACAAAGTTGAATTGTAAATCTATGTTAGTGTCGGAAAATATGGAGTACAACTGCTAACTTTCACCTTTCCTGTTTATGTGAATACAACAAAGAAACAGTGATACAAAACTTTATGGTACAACAAATTGTATACACGAGTTCTCTTATGTAACTGCTGTGTGACGTATGGCATGATCTTCCAGTCACTACAAAAAATATACGGGTATACGGTAACTGGAGGATCACATTCTATCAATGACGAAAAAAATTGCACTGATGTCATGATACATTCTGAATGAATGTGCATGTTGCAGAAGAACCTAATGAGCTCATGATCCATGTGTTATGAAACTTAACCAGAGCCATTTCCCTTCATTCAGTTTTCCCTTAATCTCATTCCTAACAAGGTGAACCAATAGCAAGCTCGCCATGAGTATCGAAACAATGAGCATAAAGAAGACACTGTTCCATCCTTTAGTCGATATATACCCAGCCAGAAGAGGCCCAATAGCAGCTCCAACAGAACCAGTGCCATCGATAATCGCAGTTACAGTAGCTAAGGCACGGGAGCTTCCCTTTATTATGCTCTGAGTACCAAGATCAGTGGCCACTGCTGTCGTAATAAGCGAGTAAGGTCCATTGACCAGCACCCCGGAAATAAACATCAATAAAATATTGATGAGCATGGAGACGCTTCCATATGTCCGGTAGCAAATAAGGGCTGGCACCGAAAGGAACAAGAATAGTAGTGAACTAACAGCAGGAGCTTCAAGTCTGTCAGACACAAATCCTGCTGAAACACCACCAAGAACTCCTCCAATATCAAAGATTGTCGACAAGATACCAGCACTCTTGTGAGACAGATGCACGCCAGCAACGGCTTCAATATAACACAGAAAAAGAACCTCAGTAAAAACTCTCAAAAATTGCGGAAATTCATCAGCTAGACTGATTTACAACAGCTACTGGAGCTAATTTTCTAGACAAAATGAAGTTACCACATTTTAGTTTGAGAAACTTAAGAGGTTCATCACAGATATCCATACTGATGCCTCAAGATGTTACAAACTCACAAGGCAGGGCATAACAACGGAAAGTGATAAGACGATTCACATTCAACTTCCAAGTGCAATAAAAGAAAAAACTTCATAACCTAGACGGTGCAATTTATTGTTTTCACAAAGAAAGTGTGGCACTAGCTATATCAGACAACTACCAAAGGCTCAATATCTTAATCAATAATTGGATGAAGCTCAATGGAAATTAAAAGAACACTTTGCAAAATTCCAATGATTGAGATAACAGTTAGAAATAGGGAGTCACCTGTGTGCCTTATATAAAAAGGCAACCAGTAAAGGAAAGTATAGGCGACAAGCTTTGAGAAAAACAGGGAGAAAGCAAAAGGGGCCACTCCTGGCAACCTCCAAGCTTCTAGGAATCCAATTGCAACTGAATTACCCTCTTGTTCCAATTCTACCAATGTCTCCCCAGCGTCAAGATCACTCTTTTCTGAAGCCACCAATGCTACTGATTCTATACTCATTTCAACTTCCTTCTCCGGAAATTCGAATCCAAGATTATCAGGACTGACAACCAGGAACAAATACACGAATGTGGCAACAACTATAATGTAAATCCCCGGCAAAATAAAGCACCATCCCCACCCAAATCCCAGGACTGATGAAGCCACTATAGAGCCAATTATATTACCTACTGAAGCATGAGAATTCCAGATTCCCATTATCAATCCTCTTTTTGACTTCTCAAACCAATTTCCCACCACTGCCACCACGCAAGGCCAACCAATTGACTGAAATAACCCACATAGAATCTGAACTATAACATAAAAACTGAAAGAATGAACATCAAGAAAGTACCCTAAACCAAAAAAGATTACAAGAAACCCACTGCCCACCATCCCTATAGTCAAGAAAATCCTCAAATCAAAGCTATCACCAATATGCCCAGCAAAATACATCCCAATTGAATACGCCAACAAGAATGCAAGGTCCAACTCCCCAAGGCGATGCGGCCCACGCTGGCCGTTGAACGGAGCCCATCCAACGGCAGTATCATCAACTGGGTTTTTGCTGGATTGGGATACATTAGAGTTAGATCCTGCATCCGAAGCATGAATGGTGGTGTTCAAGACCAGGATTTCCGGGCCCAGTACGGATTTCACAATACTCGGAGGTTTACGAGAAGCGTGGAAGGCGGAGTAAGCGGTGAAGGTGAGGAGAAGGACCAGAAATTGGTGGAAAGTGAGGGTTTTTTGGGGTGGCCGGAAGTTGGGAAAGAAGTTAAATCCCGGCGGCCATGGCGCTGGAGCTAGGTTTAAGGTCTTGGGCTGCATCATGGTCGCAGCAGAACATGATCCTCTGAATGTTGTCTGTTCATCAAACGCCGATCGACCCTTTTTTCACATCATTGAATACATAGTGCTTAGCAATTAATCCAATCGTAAAGACGACGAAAGGAGGAGTATAGATCCGACTGCATGAGACTTCTTTGAATATTTCAGACCGTATTTCTTAATCGAAGGACTTTTCAGCCTCGCCTTTGTTTCCCTTTCCTTTCTCATGTGTTTCATTTTCTTCATTGTTTATTTTTTGGGCGAACTACATTTTCCCCCTCGAGTTTTGGCCCCTTAACAAAACAAACCCCAAGTTTTGGCAATACTACCATTACCCCGCTTTGACAAGTTTAAACACAAGGTCAATGACGGCAAACTTTGAAATGACTAAAAACCACACCAACTTCCGGCCAGCGAACAACTGAAGGAAAAAAAAAAAAAAGGATAAATGACCCCATCTTCTCTTAACCTAAAAACAAATACTCCCTCTGTCCCATAATTATTATCCAGTTTAGATTTTCATTTCTAATTAAAATTATACTAAAAATGAAATCTTAAATTGGACAATAATTATTGGACAGAGGAATACAATAATCATAATTTTGTTCTTCTTTTCCTTCCTCCCTCATGGGCTCTCCACGAGCCATCATCATCATCATATTCCTCTGCCAAAATTTTCTATCTTGTCATCTCATTTCTCTTCGTTCTTATTTACACCATATTTTCATGCTTTCTTGAACATGTCCCAATTTGAGGGACGAATGTTTTAGTGAGATTTATTTTTCTTGGAACTATCACAATATAAGAGGTCCGCTAATTTGAAGTGGGCCTTGATGGATTTCTAATTTTAGTTCTTTTTTCTATCTTTTGCGTTATGTTTTGTATATTTGATATTTGTTTTTTTTAATCTTGGGTGTACTTGATTTTCATTATGAGCTAAGGATTAGCTTTTCAGAATTTACGATAAATTTTGATTATTTGTTAATGGGAATGAATTGACGGTCAACGGGATCGAATAAGACCACAAATTTAAGCTCAAATATGGGAAAATCGTGACTCCGCCGCCGGCTATTGCAGAAGGTGGATGAATTTTTTTCTTGTCATTTAATTTGCAGAAGGTAATTAGGTGTAAAGAAACAGGTTATGCATTGAAGACTTGAAGTTATGCTGGGAACTACATGTCGCAGTATTGAAATTATGCTTGGAAATAATTTGCATTGAAATTGTTGGTTTGCGTTCTTTCCTCAGGCTTCGGTTCTTCTCAGTCGTCATTTGAATTACTACTTTTTTTAGGGGCATATTTGTCTGTTCACACAGTTTTTGATGACATCAGCATGTTATATCCCGTTTCTGATCAGCAAAGGGTAATCGGCAAGTTGACTGTTGGTAAGGGGGGAAATGGTAGTAGTGCCAAAACTCAGGGTTTGTTTTGTTAAGGAGCCAAAAGTTAGGGGTAAAATGTAGTCTTCCTTTTCTTAAAAAAAATAAGTTTTCTTTTTTTTGTTCATTGGTATAAATAATAAACTTTATTTCTTACCATTTTAGGTTATTATTTAAGTTTCACAAAAATTTCGGGTATAAATGTAAACCAGCTCCAATGTTTAAAAAAGAAAAATTCCATTTTACACCGTAGTAGATCACATTAATAAAATTCATATAATTAGTTGCAAAATTTTGCGCGATTTATCTGTGTGAATTCAAAACTTGTAAATTCATTGTAGCACGTACCGAAGAAATATATTGGATTGTATCCTTCTTATTTTTAGTGTAACAAGTACTAGTAACTCCACAATCCTATGTGGTAAAACAGTAATACCCAATATTTTCTCCCTAACAAAATTCTAGTGACTTTTCCTTTATGTATATACTTGATACTAGATTTTTGGCCCAGGCAGATGCCCGGGCGTCCCTTCTAAATTATTATTTTATTAAAATCTAATTGAATTACTATTTTTTGAGGAATTAATTTGGCGTATATATCATTTATGCTATGGTTTGGGGCTTAAAAAAATATACCTATAAATATGAGGTTATAAGGGAATAATAAATAATTAGTTTATAATGCATTATTCTTAATTACTGGATTTAGGTTTTTTTTTATTTTTTGTTTATATTAAGCCTGCAAAACTATACGATTGGACATTTGAATTTGAATTAATATATCCATTCGTTTGAAATGTAACTGATTCTTATTTGTAGAATTTTTTCATTGGATAAGTGTCACATCTAAAACATGTGTTTTTTTTTAAAAAAAATAATTATATAGCTTCTAATTAAAAGAGACTTACACATGGTAAAAAGACTCCTGAAATCTGAAATATGGTGCATTGAAGCCAAAACAGATGCATACGTAATTGCCACATAAGCTTCATGTCTTCTGCTTTAATAGGGTAAAAGGGATTTGTGACCTTTTCCATATAAATTATACCTAATCTTAGCTATTGGATGACACCTTTATATTCAAACTAAACACACATGGAAAACCCCCTTTTTTTTTGTTTTGTGGTGAAACACGTGTCAAAATCTAATAAGTAATATAATCTGTACAACAAAAATATTACCATTTTCCATAGATCTTTTGTATTTTCTATCTGTAATTCATCATCAAAAGGAGATGAGTTATCCGAAAGGAAATAAAGAAAATCTAAGTTTTAGGAGAAGCGGTTCATTTCTTTTTTTTTTTTTGAAAAATAAAAAAGAAAATTACTTATAAGTTATGAATATCATATGAATAATAGTGTCTGTAGAACTATTGAAAAATTCATGTAAATATTTTTCATATCCAACAAAAGACTGGTTTATCTAGACGAAAGAAGTACGAGAAGGTTTTTTTTTTTCCTCCCATTTTTAATGTGTAAAAATTGTTTATTTAGTCATTTAATTTATAAAAATATATAGTACTCATGGAAAAGTTTTATGAATTTTGATGATGTGTGGTGGTATCAGGTATATGGTAATTGTATATATTGACAAAATAATCCAATAAAATCCGATGCTTTTTCCTTAAGCAACTTATAACGTGGTAAAAAAAAAAACATGGTGAAAAAAAAAAAACAAATAGGAAATTGATGGACATTAGGTAACTTAAATCCAAATCCAATCCAAATTGGAATTCGAATTATTTGTAACCCTAATCCCTATATATATAAACTGCCCAACACGGCCACCAATTCCTTTGCACGCATACGAGATATCATGTAATATGTAAACAATGAAGTTCCCTGGCAAAGCCAAAAGCTCCGATCATCATGATCGTTGTTATGGTGGTAGCGTGAAGGTGGTTCCAACAACAATGTCAGAAAAACACAAGGCTCAAGATCTTGATTTTACCACCCATTCAGCCGATCTTTCCAAGCTGTTTATCGGGCCAAAGTTTGCCCGGGGAGCCGGCAGCCAGCTTTACCGCGGGACTTACGACGGCCAACAAGTCGCCGTAAAAATAATCCAACTTCCTGGCGGGGGAATCCAGGAGATTGATATATTAGACCAAGAAGATGATGCTGAGGAGGAAAAAGACCGACAACAAAAAATTATCTCAGATCGCTTATGGAAGCAATTCAAGAACGAAGCCGGTTTGTTATCTCGTCTTGGCCACAAGAACGTGGTAAAACTGGTGGCCGCCTACGAAAAAGCGCCGGTTCTCGGGGTCGTCACGGAATATTTACCCGGCGGTTGCTTGCGGTCTTATCTCAACCAACTCCTGATCAAACCGGTTTCCTTACCCAAGGTAATCAACATGGCGCTGGATATTGCGCGCGGGATGGAATACATTCACTCGCAAGGCGTCGTTCATAGGGATCTTAAGCCGGAAAACATACTCATCGACGCGGAATTTAACCTGAAAGTTGCTGATTTTGGAGTGTCATGCATGGAAGCTGATTGCATTAACCTCGTTAAGGATAAGACGGGTACTTTCCGATGGATGGCTCCTGAAGTGATGATGGGAAAGCCCTTCAACCGAAAAGTGGATGTGTATTCCTTTGGACTAATGTTGTGGGAGTTGGTGTCCGGGAAGGTTCCTTTTCGGGGCATGACCCCGGTTCAAGTGGCTTTCGCCGTGGGGACAAAGAATCAGAGGCCCCCAATTCCTCAGCGGTGTCCAAAGGCGATGAGGCTCCTAATCGAGGCGTGTTGGTGCTCGCGGTCCGAGAAGAGGCCGGAGTTCTGGCAGATTGTCAAGGTTTTGGAGCACTTTCGGGGCGGTGGCGAGACGCTGGATACGGCCATTGAGGTTCCCCGTAGGTGTTCGGATGATCACCACAAGCAAAGGCACTGGCACTGGCGCATGCATTGGATCAAAGTACCCATGCCCAAATTTGGAATAAGTTTATGATACATTCTCTACATCTTCATTTGGGATTCCAAGCATTGTTCATAATTACTAATTAGTTGTTCTGGAGAGAACTTCCTCACCCGTAATTTGTACGTAAGGAATACCAGGCATCATAGAGTCCATGTAATGTTTTGACATATAATTTTGTTTTTTTTTTTTTGAAAAGTGACATAATTTTGTTCGAATGAATGGAAATAGATGGAGTTCCCAAACTGATCAAAGCACACCAATTCAATCGGCCAAAATCATCATCCAAGATAGCAGTGGTTGATTTAATGTATTTGTGAACATTGTGGCTTTGTAAACATATATAATGATTGACCTCTAGCATCTGGATCCAATCTGCAAACATATGATTTTTTTTTTCATTATCTAAAGCTGCATATCTCCGGCCGATCAAGAACGAAAGGTAGTAGTATTGCTTCCTATCTGTTTCCTAGCTCTCCAAAAAACAGATGCACAAAACAAGTAAATGTTGTGCTCTCTATGCATGGGTTCATCTCGTGGTGCAATATTCCTACAACATTTCCCCCTACACATTAGAAACTACGTACATCAACTTGACTGCACAGAAAAGAAAGGCTACACTCATACAAGGCTTTCATATCATTTGTAGATGAAGATCGGCAGCCTGTTGAGCAAGCTCCACCACCATAGCCTCATCGAAAAACTTGTTGATGCTGACATCTTCGCTCATTCCCTGAAAAACAACACAAACAACATATCCATTTTTAAAAATGTTGTGTTCACTGCTCTTGTTTCGCTTTCCTATTTCTTCCTTTTTTACTTGATAAGGAAAAGCGAGGTCGTACCTTTCTACGCCGTGTCTTCACCATGAACTCTCGAGCCAAATGCTGAATGGGTGCAGGTTCGAGAGGCCTCAGAACTATGCTCTTGTCAAGAGGATCCCCAGGGACAATGGCCCAGTGATCAAACACAGATACGCAGAATGCCTGCCCTTGAGTGTGGTACCTCAAGTCTGTCTCAAATCCAAATGATTCGATCACTGGTAGAAACGCCTACAGGCCCCACAAAGAGGAAAGAGAAAAAGATAAGCATTTGTCCCCCAAGCAACAATGTTCAAGCTTCGGAATAACCAAGTGCAAAAGTGAGCACCCACACAGAAATAGAGAACTAAAAAACTACTTAAACCAAAAATAGCTGTTTTTATTCATGAAGAAGACTGAGGCATGCAAATCTTAAAGAAAAGCTAGACTGCTAGAAATCATAACCGGGATATGAGTACTCATCGGATACTAAGAGCTCAGATGAACAATATTGAAGAAACAAAAAATGACTCCCGAGACCAGCAACGGTAAGGGAGAATGAAATCTAAATAAGCATCAATACATGCCTCAATAGTACCACAAATCGTTAAGGTACAAAAGCTGCTGTCATTAGATTCATGCCATATATTATCCAGTTCATGTTAGCCTTGCTCATTTACCAGGATGATTCTTTGTTAGACACACTCATCCAAGAAAGCAATCATAATCTAATTTGGGAAACCAACCTTTACAATATAAGCTGGGGTCCCTGGTTGAGGAACATCTGCTGTTACATGCCCACGGCGGCGTGATAAGACTGTGTATATAGCAGATACACAGTCTATTGGAGTTTGAATCTGAATAGTGAAAAAGATAAAAAAGGAAATCAGTCAGAGAATCACACTAACTGATACGAAAAACCAAACCCTTTCTCCAATTCAAAGAACAAAAACAAATACTAAAATCATTAATACTTAAAAAAAAACCTCATCAACTTCAACAAGACTAAAGTGTCAAATTCTAGGCACCGAAATCCAATGTCCATCACCACTAAAATGACCTTCTGAAGCAGCAGATAACATTACGGGGTGCAAACATGCCGTAGCTTAGATTTGCTTATACAGTTAGCTTATTTGCATTCGAACTTTGTTAGGTTACCTTAATAATAGCATGCTAGTAAAATGAAGAAAGTATTACCTCCACATAATAAACAGGTTCCATAAGCCTCGGAGTTGCCATCAGGAAAGATGAGTAGGCCACACGACGGGCTGTCGGAATTATCTGACCAGTTCCACGATTCAATGGCTCAGGGGCAATCTTTGCATCAACTATTTTGAATTTAACGTTTCGGATGGGTTCATCACAAAGTGGACCTTCTCTTGCACCCCACTGAAACCTGATAACTAGAGAAATCAAAACCAACCAGAGGCATGATTGAATCCAAACAAAGAAAAAGGTATATTGCAGTGAAGTTTACCCTTGAACAATAGAGTCTTTCACAGCATTCAGTAAACCCTTGTCCACTTCGGTTGAGAGTGTGTCATCCAACAAAATATTAGGACCCTGACCATCATAAAAAATGGTGAAAATCAGATAACTGAGTGGGATGCATGTTAACATACTGTCTATAGTAAAAAAAGAAAAAAAATCTGCAATAAGGTGATTTATTGGCACAGTTGTCAACAGTTGTTTGTCTAAACGGTGATTTAAGAGTGTCTGATCTGATCCATGAACATAAGAAAGTACAATGTTTCACACCTACAATGTTTTCCAATAACATAATCAGGAATGCACATGCGAGTTACTGGTATATCTGATCATAAGACCTAAGATACTTCTATATTAGGGCAATGGGATAAACATTTGATAATTACTAACCATTAACTGAGTCCAAAAAATAAATAAAAAAGATACCTCCTTCCATATTAATACCTTTAGGGGCTTGGAAAAGGAGCTTTCACCCAAAAACTTAACTAATAAATTAAAGACAGAAGGCTAAAGTTTCATGGCATTATGAATTGGATCAAGCCTAAATACTATACCTGTTTATCTGGACCGAAAGCCCATATTGACCTAGCCGCTAGCAAGTCCCAATCATATTTTGTCTGGAAGAAATCTCCAAGTTTCTTTCTAGGCCAATCAATGCTTACAACACCATTTTCAATATCCTCTGCCAGTCCTCTCTCAAGTGGCTCAGCAATCTACATTTTCGAAAATGTTAATAAGAAATATGAATCATCAGCACATGTACAATTTCGATGAAAGAGTTCATAGACCAGTTGCCTACCATGGTAATTTTATTTTTCTTGTTTGGTGTTTCAGCAAAACATTTCATTGAAGATGACTCCACCACAGTTTCACAGAATGATACTACAGGATCTGCAACCTACATAACATATAGCAAAAAATTGCAACTCATCACTGGAAGTGCAAAAATACTGTTAAGAGAGGATAAGTAAAACAGGCCCAATAAAATGCAACAGAATGCACCGAAATAATACCTTCACTTCAACCTCAGAGTAGAGTTCCCTCAAGTCTTTCATAATTGAATCGAGGTACAGTTCTCCAGTACCAAGAATCGTGTGTTCCCCTGATTCTTCCACTTTTGTGATAGCCAAAGGATAACTCTTGGAAATCTTTCTAAGACCATCAACCATTTTAGGTAGCTCACTTGGATTCAGTGGCTCGGTTGCTGTTTTCACCACGGGGAGGGTATTAAATTGGAGAGGCCGAAATATATACACATCTTCACTGTAATCTTGGTTACAGAGCGTAGCAGTCTTCATTATGGATGCATCCACACCCTCAATAAGCACCCAAGAACCGGGAGGGGCCTCACTAATGGGTATCCTGTAACGAGCTTGATAAACCCAAAGTTTTGTAACTTCTTTAACAGTCATATCCTCTTCATCATCCGGAGAATACCCTTCTCCCATAACACGTAAAGTCTGACCAGTCATTATTTTACCACTGTACACACGGCCAAAAGCATCAAAAACACTACAATCAGCTTTAGGATAAAGCTTGGTCACATTGACCATTAAGGGACCATTCGGATCACAATTTGCCATGGCCTGGTATAAGTTTGATTCTTTAGGCCCAGTATATATGTGTTCTACCTTCTTGGCAGCAGCATCTTTAGCAGAAGGAATATGGTGAACCAGCATATCCGTAAAGCCCGTTGCAGTACCAAAAACTGAGCTACATGCCAGCCTCAGAAGAGGACGGACATTTAATTTGTAAGCAGCATTACTCAATGTTACACCAAGTTCAGCAAGAGTGGCCTCCACACTCTTCTTGTGTTCTCCAATAACTTGGCTATATATCTTGTACAGAGGTTCAAGGATAAATTGGACAAAAGACCTTTCAGCTCCACTGGCAGGCTGTTTCCTCTTAAACGTTCTGGAATCTTGATCAAAGTAAGAGTCTCCCCAGAGACGAGAGGCAAACTTGTCTGCGTCAAAGGGAATCCCATGGAGTTTGACATATAGCTTTGCAAATGATTGTAGGGTAAAGGACCATCCGGCATTTGCACTTGCAAAGCATACGTTGCCAAGAGCAGGATCCATGACTTGGACATTCCCAGCAGTTGAGGAGGCAGCAGCGATGTGGGTATTTACAGTTTCAATTAAATGCCTTAGCTTATGGTAAGCATCTTTTGGAGGCAACTTGAGTTCGGTAATCAATCTATCAACCTGTAGAAAATTTCAAAGAGAAGAGAATAAGATTGCAAATCCAGATCATATATGTATAATCAAATGTAAACGATCTATGGAAGTACCTTGTTTATCACTAATACTATAGGCAGCCTCTCTTGAGTTGCATGTCGTATTGCCCTCTCCGTATTAACCTGTGTGCAGAGGAGAATAAATGTCCAGAAATATCCATCATTAAACAATTACAGATAACCAATTCATTCAATTATTCAACTTCTAAGTGCAAGTGGTGAAAGCTACCTAACGATGGGAGTATTTTAAGCAGCTCAACACATTAATAGGAGCAAAGAGAAAAATCCTATATCAGGCAAATGACAAAGATAATTAAATCATCATTGCCGACAATAAAGATACATTACAGCGATAAAACGTAAAACAGATACTAGAGATTGAAGGGCTACACATTGCATGAATTCATTAAAAAGATCCCAGAATATATATATATATATATATATATATAATGGACATAGAATTAATCCTATTAAGTTGAGATTTTACTAGATTTTTGATAGCATGGCCCAAGTTTCAACATTATTTAATAAGCAATGAAAAACAGAATTTACCATGACACCATCAGCAGCATCTACAATCAGCACTGCACCATCAGCAAGCCTCAGAGCCGCAGTCATTTCATCAGAGAAATTAACATGACCAGGAGTGTCCATGATGTTACAAAGGTAAGATTTTGAATTACTATCCTCGAGCACCAACGACATGGGCATCGCCTTGATAGATATTCTTCTCTCCTGCTCATCAATCCTGGTATCTGTGTACCTGATGTGCTTCTCACTTTTCTGGTCAAAAGTTGAGCTATGGTGAGTCTGCTCAACCAGCATGTCCATAAACAAAGTTTTACCATGATGCAAGTGGCCCACCAATGCCACGTTCCGAACAAGAGCGGGATTTGACATCAAACCCAAGAGAAATTGAGTGGAAACATATGTTGAGGAGTCCTTGACACCCAATTCAAACTTCAAATTCTTAACAGGTTTTATGATTGGCTGTTCAAGAGGCAGCTCATCCTCATCCATGACCAATGTCTCAACTTCTTCACCATAAACCTCTTCAGCTGTTGGATAGTACTTTTTGTCCTCTGCAAGAACTACCTGGTTGTCCATATCAACGTCATCGGTGGTAGTAAGCCAGCCATTTGAAGCTCCAGGTCTGTGCTCTTCATCAGATCCAGCCTCATCTTCAGCTCTATCAGGGAGTTCCTCATCTTCTTCAGCCTCCTCACTCTCCTGGTCAGACTCAATTTCTGGGCCAATATAGTTCCCAAACTCATCGTACAAACTATCATCCATAGTTGAGTAGATTCTGCAAATCATATCCCAGTAACAAGATATAACACAGCACAAATAAACTCTTTATTCATAACAATAAAATGGAGGCTATGCGTTTTAAAATCCAGCTACCAACACGTCCTCCATAGTAAGGACACAAGTCCCACAATCCCACAACCCCAATAGCCCCCGCAACTCTCAATTGAACCCCATAGCTGTTTAAATAAATGTACCAAATACAACTAAAAAAAACACTACCGTCCTAAACTACATGGAAATGTATCTATCAAAACCTACTAAACTGCAATTCACCAAATAGGGTTCACTTTAACACAAAGTGTACTAAATTACCTCGAACTAAAATAACATAACTAGGGTTTCAGCGTCTAAGCTCTTAACAGTAAACAAGCTTGAATAAAAAGTGGACAGAGACTCAGATTAAAACTACATTCAGCTTCTGAGAAGCAAAATTTTGAAAAGAATAGATAGCCCTACTCGCTAATAATAATCCACCCACACCCTCGCTCCAACTAACTAAAATAAACGAAGAGTGCAAGCAAATATAATTAGTTAAATGGTTTAAGAGATTGAGAGAGTGAAAGTAACCTTGAAGTAGAGAAAGAGCTCCGAAGTCGGAAAAACCAAGGAAGACCTACGGCGGCGGAAGGCGGTGGACGGTGGGGTTTTGGGGAGGTTTTGGGTGCTCCTCTGAAACTCTTGAATCGCGGTTTACAGATGTTTCCAGCAGTCTGGTTTTCCTTCCAGACTTGCGTAATTATTTCTAAATAAATTCACCGGGAAAATGTCTCCAGTTAAACTTTGTTGTGAAAAAAAGTATTGGGCTTCCAGGTGAGCTATCAGCTGTAGGCCTCCAACAGAAACCTTAAGGAATTTTTTTGGGCTTAATATCCGAGTGAAGTATTGGGCTTCCAGGTGATCTATCAATTATACTTCCCAGTTTTAAAATACCTTTTGACGTAAACCAAAAAAAAAAAAACCTTTTGACAAAAAACAAAAAATTCATGAAATACTACTTTCTTTTTTCTTTTTTTTTTTTGAATTAGTACTACATATTTCAATTTGTTTCAAGTCCCAACTTTGCGTTGTAATCTTCTAGTTTTCCAAAAATTAGTAACATAACAAATTTGAAAAGCATATAATATCTCCAAACTAAAAAAAGGCAAAACTCATTTTAATCTTTCGATATCATCTGCAAAACGAATAAGAATTAAAAATATATTGAATTCATGTAAAAGAATAATGAGTCAGAATATAATTCCACGTAGATGAAAAATGTAAAGCAAGAGAATCAAAATCCATTCATATTTGTTTTTAATCTACATGACATGATTATTTCAGTCTTTATAATTAATTATTCTCATCATTCTTCACAACAACAACAACAACAAGTGATTCCAAAATATTCATATCATAATATAATATTAGTTCTTTGATGATTTGGTGAGGTACAAAAATCACAACCTACCTAGGAAGTCAAATCAAAATGCTCTCCTCTCACGTTTTTATTAAAGAAATATAAATAATTATTATTATTTTTTGAAAGAAAATTAAAGAGAAAAAAGAAAGTAGTTTCTAAAAAGTGACATCTCATCCATAAACCCGGCCAAGCACGACCGAGCAAAACAGCCGGACATCATAATTCATCACCATTCTCTCTCTCTTTCCTTTAAACATTACCAATAAAAAGGCCCAAAAAAAAATAACAATAAAAATGCATAATTTGTAAATTATTACGATCAAAATTACGCTCTCACAAACATCTTCTTCGTCTTCTCTCAGATTTTTTGAGATGAGGGAGGAAGAGGGTGTTTGTGTTTCTTTTGTCATCATCATTTCTCAATAAAAATCCCCCTTCATCAACAGCCGGAAATGGGCACCGGCGGCAGCCGTTTACAGGGCTCACGCCGGCCCCTTTCTCGCCCCCACCATTTTCATCATCATCGTCCCTACCGTCGTTCTCGTCCCAAGCTGAAACGCGTCCTCTCTTCTCTCCTCATTTGTGGTTCCGTTCCTCCCTCCAATCCACATCATCATGAGGTGCTTTTGTTGAAACAATTTTTTTCATTTCAGATGTTGTTTAATTATAATTCGTTCAGCTAACATGTCCTTATAAGATTATGTTTTTTTGGTTAAACCCTTTTGAATTGGACTCACATTGGGTGCTTTTGTGGAATTTTGTTTATTCTATCTGATTAACTCATTTATATATCTAATTTTATTCTGTTGATGGTCTGGGCACATGTAGTTGTATCATTTGTGGAAGACTTGGAGTTTGTCCGACGTCGTCGTCCGGGAAAAGGAATATCTTTTGTGGTTGAATTAGTATATGAAAAGTTTTAGGAAGTTTTCATTTGGACAAAATAGTATGTAGTGGGCTCTTTTCGATGAAATGTCTGTTATTTATTGAAGCAAGGAGGATGTGCATTGGACTGAAGCTGTGTCTGTTGTGATGTTTTTTATTGAGTTATAATGCTTTATTAGCTTCTTGAATTAAATGCTTAATGCTGAAGTTCAAGGGAATTGAAATAAGCAGTCGTCTCTTTATTTGAACTTTCGTGTTGTATTTTCTTTTATTCAAAGAAGGTATGGACATTTATATCTCAAAAGTTTGCATCTTCTATTGGTTTCTGTAGATGGAAGATGATCCAGCTGAAAAACTGGTAAGCTCCTCTGAAAAAGATGCAGAAAAGATCCATTTCCCAGACAAGGTGTCTTCTTTCTCCAATGGCACTATACCTCATTCAATTGAGAGTGATGATGGAACTGCCATGAGCTCTAGGATTCTCGAAAACTGTCATGGAGAAGATATTCAGAGGGAACCTGAGGTGATTGATAAAGGAAAGAGCTTGTCCAAGAATAAAGAATTAGTTTTAGATCCAGCATCGATTGCTACAGGTAGAGTCGATGAAGCTAGTACATCCTATGAAGATCAGCATTCCTCAGAATCAGAATCCGCAAATATAACAGGAAATGCAGATCCTACAGACAGAGGAATCTATGCCATGGATAGCGATGTACAACAAAATCACGCATGCTCTTTAGGGTCTAGTTTCCAACCTCACAATGGGCAGGTAGAATCATTATCCGGTGGAGTTTCAATTGGGAATACGATGGATGAAGTTATGGTCTTCCATGATTGTGAAACTAGTCCTGCATCTGCTCTTTCACCATCTGCAGCCAGTGATATTTTTCAGCAGGCATCGCCTGCAAGTCTGTCATTTCTTGTGACAGAGAGAGATCAAGTCAATAGAGATACGGACGTACTCCAAGTTGATGTGCTTAGTGTCTCCTCTGATGTTTCAAGTATTAGTGCTGCTGACTTGAGCTATCATGAGGCAAGACGCAATAGCAGAAGGCTTTTTTGGGATGCCTTCTCAAGAAGGGGTTCTAGAAGACATGCAGATTCCAGATCATCTATATATACCACTGATGATTCTGATGGTTTCGATTTTCATGACAGACGGCTGTTTGATTTTAATTCTGATTTCTTAGATAATGCGTCTGTGGGTAGTTCCAGATCTAATGGAAATAATAACCAGCATCCAAGTGAGCATCGATGGCACTCCAGTTCTGAGGTGATTGCTTAGTCAAACTGTAATTTAACTGATTATTACTGAAAGATGCGGATCTACTTCTCTTTTTGCTGTTTTAGCTTATTCTTCTTCTTTCCTTTTATTTCTCTTTTCTTTGTTCACTTTTCAATCTGTGAGACTGAGTAATTTCCCATTCAAAGTTTTTGTTTTTTTATGAATCTGATCATGCTATTTACTTTAGTAACAATATGTCCATCATCTTTGGCATTACTCCGAATTTGGAAACACCGTGTATTGTGATTGAATCTCTTTTGATTCAATTTTTACCAGCTTTACTCTCATTTGAAGGTTGCATATGAATAATTATAGTATTATTCTAGTTCTTGTTGATTGCTTTTTTTGTTTATGAAGTTTCATGTATCCTTTGACAGCTATGGGAAAGATTTCGTGATGCTGGCCGAAATGGTTTGGATCGCCGAACAGCTGCCACTTGCGCATCAGGTGTCCACCCAGATGGTGCTTGTTCGTGTGGTTCAATGATCAGGGCTGAGGAGTCTGGTGCCCGTGCAAGTATTTCAAGAATAGTCATGCTTGCTGAAGCATTGTTTGAGGTAATTTTTTAATTTACCTAGACTTAAATATGATATGTCTCTTGAGATTCTTTGGTTGGTGGTTATTGATCTTCTTGATTATTTCAAGTCAACTGCATCCTCTTACATACAATTTCTGCTATGTTTTAGCAATTCTACTGCGAAGTTTCTTAGAGCTTTCTCTATTTAGATTCAACGCTTGGAGAAATATGACATTGTTTAAGCTCTCTGTAAAGACTTAAATGTTTTCTTTCTGTCATAATTTTACTTTCTAATTTGATAGGAAATTGGGTTTTGTTTCACTGTCACATATTGAGGTTCTATTTACCTTCTGATTTTAATTATTCAATGCACTCTTCTTATTATGCAACTTCTTCTCTTATATAACAGAGCTAATGATCACTTTAATGCACTATCTACAGGTATTGGATGAAATACATAGGCAACCAATGCCACTATCCTTGTCCGTTGCCTCACTTCCGGCTCCGGAATCAGTGGTTGATTCTCTTCCAGTTAAGGATCACGAGATTTCAGAAAGAACAGAAAACGGCAATGATGTTACACAGTAAGTGTCCACTGGCTTTCTCAAGTATGAATGAATGCTGAGAATGGCCGAAAGCTGACTAGGGTTTTGGTGGGTGGTGTGACTAATAATTCTTCTGAGTCTTACACTTTATATCTACATGATCTTTGGGTTAGAGCTGCATATACTTAGATAGAATATAAGTTTGGCTATCAACATAAAAGAGGAACAGGCAGTAGTTCTGTGTTCCATATTTTTCATTATATCCTCTTCCATTGATTGTCTCAAAGCCGTACCGTATGTAATTGTTTACAAATGTTATCTGTGTCATATTTTAGTATTTAGTACTGGATACTGTATTTATGACGGTATCACCGAGTGATTCTTCTACTTATAATGTCATATAAATATTTAGGTGTTACATTTGCCTGGCTGACTACGAAGAGGGAGACAAAATACGCATTCTTCCATGTCACCACGAGTATCACCTGGCATGTGTAGATAAATGGCTTAAAGAAATACATGGGTAAGTTTCCCATCTTCTTCTAAATCCTCCATTTTATATTGTACCTCTTCCTTTCAATTTAGCTGAGTCCTTTTATTCATTGGTCGTTTGTCTGTTCTGATGCTTCAGTGTGTGCCCGCTTTGCCGGGGAGATGTCCGCGGGGGTTTAGATATGAGAGAAGGTGCAATTTCAGGCACCGAAGTCCATTGATTTTGAGATACTTTGTATGTATTTGTAGATAAGGCAGTTCCACTCTGGAGTCTGGAATGTGGACATGTTCCCACGTTATCTTTTGAGGAATATGTAATCTTGTCTTGTTGCTTATATAGAGAAATACGTAGTAGTCCTTACAGACTTCCTGGATCATTTTTGGTTCACTAGTAGTGAGGGTCTGTATATATAGCCGGGTATTTCAGTAATACCCTCATGAACTTAGCTCGGACTGGGGTGTCATGTTTAGATGACAGTGCACGGTCATGATTAATGAGAAAGCATATTTTTGGCTGGTTTTTAGCGGAAGATGCAAATTTTGCGCTGTGATCTCGAGAGTTCAGCCTCATGCATGGTTTTGATGAGTGGCATTTCGATATGCCAAGTAAAAACTATTTGAACATGAAAAAGGAAAAGATTGTGGGATAAGAAATGTTGGAAATTCAAACTTGTGTGTAGTATTGCTTTCACTCTCCAAGTTTCTGTTGAACCTTAATGACATTAGAAGAATACTGCAAATTGGCAACGCAATCAAGAATATTTTTTACTCAAAGGAATACATAAATTGGTGTTCTTTCTAATTGTATATTACAGAGACACCATTGTTACTCATTAACAAGGTCCACATTTGGGCATTGGCAATGCACTTCCAAAAGCAGCACCACTCATAAATCGGAGTTTACAATTGCATTTTTTTCTTAAAGCAGGGGGAAGACCCAAAATCCAGTGTCTGGTGGAGCTGCAAGCCAGGCAAGGCCAGGAAGGGACTCTGGCCTAAACACCGTATATAGTTCCAACATGCTTCAGCACCATTTTTCTTGCTACATCCAGCGGCCTAAACATCAAAGAAAGGATTATATTTGAATCCCTTCTCAATACTGATATTGGTTGCCGGAGCAAAAAGATTTGGGTGATAGTTTTCATCATCGTCAAACGTTGTCCATCTGTTTGAGCTGTTCTTCTCCCTCCTGCCAGCACTCATTTCTCCGACATGGTCCTTGAATTCCTTTCTCACCACATCCAAAACGACATCACCATATGTGTCGCACCATGACCTTAAAAAAAAATACAGAACGACAATTCAGTTTCAGTTTTGCTTGTGTGCAACAACATTTTACCTAAACTAGTTGTAACTTCTACTGAATGGATCACTGGAAAAACAGAATTCAAGAATTGGACCCGTACTTGGGAAAGAACATTTTCAGGTCAGCCTTGTCGACTGGGAGCCTGGTTGAAATAGCTTCAATTTGGTCATCTCTGAATCATCACACATGAAACTTTATTACGCAACCTCAATATGGAAATGAAGTGAAATTTGTAGACAGAAAAATGAATTCCTTACGAGAAATGAACATTAGGATTTTTTGCACCAAGTTCTGACTTAATTTGTGACAGCTTCTTCTTGATGTTCTCCCCTAAAACCTGCAGCATTTATCCCAAGGAGAGCCATTCTGATCAATATGAGTTTGTGATTCTGATTAGCAGGCAAGTAAAGGGGATTTGCTAGATAAGCGCTATAATACCTTGTCAACGAAAAAGTCTGAAGCTGCTCCATCAGGATGTAGTTTCCTCTTGATTTCCTTGGTGTTTGGTCCTTCTCCAACGGGGCTTTGGACAAGGTTTCCTGAATGGTTCTCATTGTTTGACTTCAAATTTAAAGCCAAAGGAAGATTTTCATCATCCGAATCATTCTTCTTCCATTTCTTGAACCCTTCAAATCCCCATGGCTTCTTCCCTGATTTCAATGTATCCTCAGCAACATGACCATTATTATTATCATTGCTCCGATTTGCATCATTTTGCACTTTCTGAAACAAATTTCTAAAGGGTTTCCTCCTAGCTTTGTCACTTTGTGTCTCAATCTTTGCCGGTTCATGTGGCAAACTCTCTGGCATTAGGATCGACTTTGTTTCACCTTCTTCATATCTGTTGTGACTATTCCAAAAAGGGTTCTCCGTGGAAACTACAACTTCATTCCTTCTGTTGAGTGGCCTAATGTTTTCGCCCCCAGGATCAGTTAAGCCCTTTTCTTCCTTAGCTTTTGCATTTTTGCTTGATGAACCAAAGCCAAGGACTGATGCAGCCCCTTTGATTTGCTTTACAGCTGAACCTGGCTTGGAATGATTCTTTGAGTTTGAACTTTCTCTGGCCTTCTCATCTTTCAAATCAATCACTGACCACTCCTCATCCGGGGAGGTTTCTTTCTTCTTAGCACCAACATATACATCTTTTGCATCAATTTCAGCTCCTTGAACTGCTAGCCTCTGTAAAAGAGGCCTCTTTAATGAATGATACTCATCTTCCGATACGCATTTTGCATACAGCAGCTCCTATTAATGAAAATTCAAGAACCATCAACCAAAGAAAAGCCAATCAAAACTACAGCTGAAGCTAGAGATTAACCTTGAGAATTGACAAGAAGATTTAAGTTAGGCCAAGTACAAAAGATCAGTATATCAAGCTAGCGAGTTATTTCATTCTACTTTATTCCCAATTCGGACCAACTGCAACCCAAAGCAACGACCGAATTAATCTTAAAGATTGATTCCAGATTTTCAAATGAATATCAAAACCATACAAAACTAGATTCGACAAATTGACTACTTAAAAGGCGAATAATGCACCGTAACATCCAATAAACACAAAAGGAAGTTGGAAAACTGACCTGAAGGAAGACCAATTTATCCCTCAAAATGGTGGAATGTTCGTGATCGTGGGGCGAAGCGATAAGGGTGTCCAGCAAGTAAGACTTAAAAGCAGAGACCTCTGTTTCAGGCACAATCCCTTCCTTGCAAAGGCCCATCAATTTGAGAATCTGGTGGAACGACTCTTGCTGCCATTTCAAGTTGTCGGCTTGCTGCTTCGAAAGCCGCTGCTCGGCTGCGGCGATGGCGGTCAACCGCTTCTTCTTGTTGAACGAAAACGGAAGTAAATTCTTGCACAAAGAAGCTATGGAATCTTGAAATGAACTGTAATAAGTGGGTGTATATGTGGAAACCATCTTTATTCTTTTTCTTTTTCTGGATTCTGTTGTGAACTTCCTACTGGGAATGAATCTGGGTCGCTATGAAAGAATGTCTGTTTTCAGAATAGGAATTGTGATACTATCATATATGGGCAGCTAAATGAAGAAGAAGCCTTTCTTTTAGTCCCTGTGGGTGAAAGAATGAGTTTGAATTATTTGGCTTCTAAACGGTCATACTAAACTAGCCGTTGGTTTTTTAAACGTTAGTACTCATCAAAACGACAGCGAATCGTAGTGAACCTCCGTTATGTATTACTAGTAGCTAATTAATTCTTCAAATGTAACAACCTATATATATACTGTATATAAGAAAAACCTCATTTTTCTTACTTTTCCTTTTTCTTTCTTTTTTTTTTGTGCCTATGTATAGTGGAAAATTACCCTCTATTCCAGAAAAAATAGTTCAATTTATTGTACAATAGAAGCATTATTTTTGTGGCACTAAAAGGAGTAACTTAATTTTTTTTTCATTGATTACCTATTAAGAATTTGTCTCTTTCACGTATCATATATTTTGTTTTTATTATTCCTTTTTTATATTATTCTTTTTAGTCCACATAATGAAAATTTTAAAATCAGATATACAACATAATAATGATGATAATAATATCAATAGTTAATAGCCTTTTGCGCTTTATCATTAAAAAAATACCATTATTGTGCTTTTCTCGTAGGCATCTTGGTTTATTATAAAAAAAATAAGTAGAGTATATAATTAAAATTTACAATTTATAAATAATATAGTTTACCTTGTTGTTGTACCATTTTAATTTAAAATAAACTATTTATCTTGGATGGAGAGAGTAACAATTACCATTTACTATGGTGTAATATCAAGAAAAAGAATACATGTGATAGTATTATTTTGAAATGATTTTGTAAAAGATTTTTAGTCGGCACTTTAATTTTCCTAAAAGTTGCAGAAGTATTAAAGGACCTTGACAGGGCATACCAAAAAGGTTGAATTTTTATTTCTTATTTTTATTAGTATTTGGTTGACTCGTAGTGAAAAGTTTACAAATCTCTCCTATTTACTAACCATAAGACTTGTAGAAAGACTTTACAAGTTTAATATACTTGTTGAAAACTTTTTCCATTTTACTAAGGATGGTAGTGATTGTTATTATTATGCTTGATATTTTTTTGGGGGGTAATTTACGTGTGTTATTATTTTGATAATATCTACTTTTAGCAAATTAGAGCGTAATACGCTGACGCCGTGGAAATCTACATCTACATATAGTAATATTAGGTTTTTCTTGCTCGCCCGTTGAGAATATAGAGTTGAAACAATAAAAGTAACTAGATGCTTGGCCCAGGCAGATGCCCGAGCGCCCCTCTACTTTAATTTTATGTTAATAAATAAATGAATTCTTGATTTGGAAAAAATAAAATAGCTACACATTTGTTTTTTTTTCTTTTTAGCAAAAAATAATTATAAAAATAAAAAAATTATCTGCCAAAGGAGAAAAAATATTGAAAAGTACAACGATTCAGAAATCATACGAAAGAATATGGAGTAATAAAGGGGATAAGTTTATGGACAAATTTAAATACTATTTTAATTTGATTGATAAATGATAAATGTTAGGAGTTAAAATTGTGTAGCTATTTTTGTAAAGTAGCTTTTGTTTTTCTGGATAAGAATTTTTTTTTTCTTTTAAAAAGAGATGACACGTGGCAGAATGGTTAATGCAATATGGTGCATTTGGAGCCAAAAATTTTTAATAAGAAGTTGCCACATCAACATCATGTATTCTGCTTTAATAGGGTAAAAGGGATTACTCTCTCCCTCGTCCCATAATTATTGTCCAGTTTTGTTAAAATACAAGATTTTATTTTTGGTCAAACTCAACCAAATTTTAGCATAAACTTCCAAATACACCCCTGCACACATAAATGGTTTACCCGGCCAAAAATTTTGGGAAAAGAACTTTCTTTAATTTTTTTCATTTCAAGTCCCAGATCCAAAAACTGAATTCAAAACGCAAGAACAAATCTTTCATTTGTTATTCGGTCAGCTCCTAGCCATAATCGAACAATGTGAAGAACTTTGAATTCGGAGAATCTATTTATTCTAAGTTTTGATCTGGTACTTAGGAGGCAATCTTTCTATTTCATCGGGGAGTTTTTGAATCGAAGAGTCTTCATCTGGAGACCATCGTTTGTGCCAACAGAATCAAATTTTCGGATGAATTGATTGGAATTTGGAGAAAATTCTTACTCTGACTTTCAATTGGATGCTCCTCCGATCCATATGATTTTTCCACTTTGCGGGAAACGTCCTTCGAATCCACGGCCGGCGGTTGGAGTCGTCGCAATTTGTTGTAATTTCTCCTCTGAATTCCTATCCAAGAACCCACGACCGAACTCCCCCTTTCCTTGAGATCTTCATCACTGCTTGGAGTTGTCGGAGAAATCATTGCTGCTACTGTGTGTTGTCTGCTGTGCGTAGGAAATAATGGAGAAAAATATTTCAGTTAAATTGATTTTTTTTTTTACTTGAAAGGGTATATGTGTAATTTAGATATTAAAAAGTCAAATTGGACAATAATTTTGGGACAAAATTTTTTGGAGAAACTGGACAATAATTATGGGACGGAAGGAGTATTATTTTAGAAAAGCAAAACTAATGAAAACGAGATGATATGTATACTTGTTTTGAAATCTTTTAGTATCATCAAAAGTTCTTTAAAAAAAATACAATAATTACGAGTGAGATATTGTTAAAATCTCAGTAAAGTGTTTGATAGTTTTATATTTTTTTAATATGCCAAAAAAAAAAAAAAAGAGTTTATGATATGCCAGAAATCTCATTTAAGCAAGATTCCGATTAAGAAACACATATGAGTTTATGTTTGAGGTTTCGTAGCAAGATTTTCAACAAGGTTTCATAGCATTTTTTTTTTTTTTAAGAAACACATACGTATTGGAAACTGTGGGATTTTTCTCTTTTTATTTGACATCTTTACATTGTTAAGTTTAATACGATTTGTTTTGAAAATGAAAAAACGATTCGTGTATTAAAAAAAAAATAGAGAAGAAAAGACGATTCGTATTCCTTTAAATATTACTCCCTCCATTTTGAAATAATATATTATTTTAGGGTTTGGTGAATTATTTTTAATATATGTTGTTTTTACAAATTGAGGCACATTTGATCACTTTTTTTCAATGTTACCCTTTCATTGGAAATGAAATAGTATCTATAATGAATTTCTATTGGTTTGTGATGAGTTATATAAAAAATAAATAAAGGTGTTTTTGTATTTTAACTACATTAATTAATGTCTTCTTGGTTTTAGTAAATTCTCTAGAAAGACATATAAAAAAAATGAAGGGAGTAGTAGATATTGGCAAAATACAACAAATTGTAATGTTTTACTATCATATTAGTCTCATTTATTTTTTTTTCTTTTATTGAAAATATTATTTTACTTTCACCCAAAAGTAGAAGAAGAAAGAAAAATGAACTGAAATTGGACACGGGGGTAAGCCCAAACAGTTTACCACTTAACATAATAAAATTGGCTGTACTCAGTCCTGAGTCCTGGATTCAACCTGTTTCAGATGTTATTGCAATAGTCGAAAACATCATCTTGTTAAAATCATTTTTGATAGTTGTAAATTTTTGTATATCCGTAAGGATTGGAACACTACTAGTCTCAGTCTTGCTAAATTAGGTTGTCTAACAAAACAATACAAAGATGGAAAATCAATTTTCTTTGTGGTTAGATAAAATGTTTAAGGCGGATTGTATTATTACCTCTGTTTTTTTTTATGTGCCGTTTTAGGGTGAACTTAAAGTGTTTTTTCATCTATCGCACTTCATTTTCAATATAACATTAAATACAATTTTTAGCTACCTATTATTTTACTTCAATTTCAAATTTTTTAGAGTTCCAATACTTTAAATTAGGAGCAAAAAAGACAATACTCTTTATAAATTAAATTCTCAATTAATATTTTTTTAATAGTTGTGAAAACCCTATATTGAGGTAGTACTTGCTTGTAAACTTTGTATATTGTTCTCTTTTTTATAACAGAAATGAATATCGCTTTTGAGGAAAAAAAAAAGTCGTGAGTCCTGACAACTGGATTTTGTAAAATAAATCTTCCACGGAGGCAGGTCACGCTGCCACCTCTCGGATTGTTAATTCCATGAGAGGTCAGTATTACATCCGTGTCAATGGGGCTTTCAACAAGGAGCAGAACAAGGGTGCGGCTGCATGGGACATCCTATCAAACCAAGGGGCGTTTCATCATCTCGGGCTTAATGACTTTCTTTGCTAGTTCTGCGGAAGATGCTGAAGGTCGGGCTTGCTTGTGGTCTTCGAACTGCGATTACTTGTAGAAAAGTTCTATGTGGATGAGTTTGTAGAGACTATGGTATACATTGTGCACAAACCAATCAAAACTAGAAACTAGAACTGTTGTACCTAAATAGTGACTATAAAGAATTGAGGAGAAATTGTACTCATTTGTAGAGCAGTTCTCTCACTAGGAGAAATTCTTCCAGGCTGCACAATCTTGGTGCACCTGTCACCTAATAATAAAATGGGCATGTATTGAATTTCATTTTTTTTTTTTTGTCTTTTCAAATATTCTTTTTGATTATAAGCTATCCAATTAGAATTGCATATAGTTGCCTTCCCCCATCCGCCCGTTTCTATCCCAACAAGAAAAGAAAATACTAGAATAAAACTCCGACTGTGTATTACTCTAATGGTGGTTGTCACTTTTTTTTGCTTGTACGGCTTTCAATCACGGTTAAATTTAACCATTATTAGTGTTCCAAAACCAAACTATATTTAACAGCTCTGAATGTAAAATTGTTGTAGTAGAATTATGTTTTCTTCTCATTAATTTTTCTGATTTGAAAAAAAAAAACCTTCCCAGCTATCTGTGGTCGATGAAGAAGTTGCATAGAATCACAGAGGTGCAACTGCTTATGAAAGAAGGAAACATTTTATTGTTATGATTATGGGCCTAAGTTGGAGAGAAATACTCTCTATTCAGTGGCTGAAAACTGAAAAGAATAATTACTGCACTATGTTAAAATTGAAACTGGGGCAAATGATATAGAATGCCCACTATAATTGGCCTATTTGCCTTTTGTCAGGGAATTGAATGGAACGTAGAGTCGCTCGTATCCCGCAATTATACAATCGACTCCTCCGATTCAAAGCAAAATTCGATTCAGATCCTCTCGCAATTTTAACAACTACCTAAATAACACAGCTGAGCTTTCAAGTTTATGCAGAGAAACGCGACGAGCTTGCTAAGTCCTTTGGATAGATCGCCTTTAGAGTTTAGGGATATATGTAGGCGGCTAGTTACTTCTATGTAATTTTGTTTAGGACCATAATGTATTGGGGGTAGCCAACCTAGTCACCAAAAAATTTTCACAATCGATTTTAGTCTCCAAATACTTTTTTTTTGTCCGATTTTAATCTTTTAACAAGTTTTTTGTTCTAATTGACGAAAATTTTAACCCCTAGATTAAGTTTCAAATTTTTTATTCATTTCCAGCAGGTGTTGGGTTCTCACGTTCGTTGACCATGAATATTTTTTTTTTGTTAGCCTTTTCTTATTTTTCTTTTCAAATAAAAAAAATGCAACAAAGGCAGTTAGTGACCAAAATTCTATCCCGTCAAAACCAACCAAACAAAACAGATTCAGGATTAATGTATACACAGCAAGTACTGTTTCACTCCAACAACATAATAATGCCCATATTTTATTTTCGACATAATCCTAAGACACAAGAGACAGAGATGTCACCCAAAACACGAATCTTAAACTAAGTCTGAAACTAATGCAATAGACAACTTTTCTCCAAACGACGGCTGACCAAAACCCAGTTCACTCCCATTTCAATTATGAGCAGACCCATCAATCCCCAAGTCAAGAATCTCATTCCCAGTACATCTTCGAATAGCCTAGTCATGAGAAAGAAGCGATTTTTGGGCAACAAGCTCAAGAAGCGGAAACCCAATACTATTTTGACCAAATCCAGGTGCCAAAACCTCTAGAAACCGAAACTTATTTCGTTTTTCAACAAATCCATGGAGAAAATGTTCAAGAAAATGGAATTGGTTTCGATTCTGAGCAAGCCCCTGAAGAAGTTCCTGTTGAAGAAGATGAGCCGGTTGAATGATGCTGGGGGAAAAGGGACACAATTGCTTTGTTCTTTTGCGGAGCTTGTGTTGAGAAGGTAATTGTGATTCTGAGTTGATATTTTGATCTGTATTTATGGAGAAAAAGAAGGTAGCCGACTTATTTGTTAATTCCTTTGACGAAGGTATTTGGAAATACGATTTTGTAGGTGATTAAGAAATTACCTTTTAATTACCGGATGAATTTTGGTTTGATGACGGTAGCAGAAAACTGAAAGGCGTCATCGGCAGTAATCTTCTAGAATTGCAGGTGAACTGCAATTTATGGGCTACAATCTCCGGTGCCGTCATGATCCAAAGATGTGGAAGAGGAGGTAGAAATTTTCGGTGCGTTATGAATCGGATATGAGGTGCATGTTTATTTGTCGCTGGAGATGATTTCTGCCGGATGTTACCAAATTGTCGCCGAAGACGATTTCGCTGTCGCTGGAAAAAACTAAATGGGATGATTTTTTCTTCTGGACTAAAAATAAGAAAAGGCTGGAAAAAGAATTCATGGTCAACGAACGTGAGATAACAAAGAGGTTAAAATTTCCGTCAATTTCAACAAAAAATTTGTTAAAAAAAAAGACTAAAATCGGACAAAAGAAAGTATTAGGGAACCAAAATCGGTTGTGAAAACTTTTAGATAACTGGGTTGGGTTACTTCCAATACATAGGGACCAAAACGTGCATTCGTCCTTTCGTTTAAAGTTAACAGAGTACAGGTGGAAAGTGTCAATCAGTCTGCTAGGCGGCTGAATATTTCTATGTAATTTTGTTTTCATGTTAGTATGAATTACTTGTTTGGTAAAAAAAAAATTATAATAATAATAACGGTTAAGAGCATTTTCTAACAACAATTCACGATCCTTATTGAAAATCACGTGACAAGCACGTACCCCAGTTGAAGCTGTAATTTCGAAGTCAAGGACTTGATTAATTTTATTATTATTATTATTATTATTTTTGGGTAAATAAATATGATGGTTTCGAATGAGAAAGAATTGGGGGCCCAAGTTAAAGGTCATCCACCGCCATACCATAATTTCTTTTTTTTTGGGTAAAAACCGCCATACCATATTTACTTTCCCCAAATTTCTTCCCGCCGCGTATAAAACCGAGTAAACCAGGGGAGTCGAGTTTCGTAATCCTTTCGATATTACAGGCTATTAGTTCGTCTACATATACACAACTCCAATCCAGGATCATCACCAATTATCTGTCGAATCACAATCAATCATTATCAGGAAGAAGAAATTGTTGTAATAAGGATGGGCGTAAAAGAAAGAACAGGGCGGTGGTTGTTCTGGGCTGAGAGAGTCGGATTCTTGATTATGGCGTTTTTATGGGTGGCTATCACTGAGTGGCGGTGGTTAACGCCTGAATCCTATAGATTGTGCATCACCAATTTGAAGTTATTCTGGAAGTGCACTAATTCCCTCTACTTATTGGTGTTTGCCTCACAGGGGCTATTTCGATTTTGGACGAAACTTCATAACTCCTCCTCCTCTGCAAATTCCACACCCAATCTCATCATCAATAGACCAACAGAAGAAGAATCCCTTTCCCTGGCTGCTGCAGCTTCATTGTTGTTTGAGCAGTTGGCGGTGTTGATTTGGGAGACTGGTATCTGGGTTGTGAAGCATCCGGGTTTCTTGTTGGAAAGATTAGCACTTTTGATTTGGTTCTGTGGTGCAGAATACCGTGATGATCTGCCGGATTATTGGATTTTGCAGTCTTGCCATACCATATTTTTCCCCTTTTTGAACATATACTTTGCTTGGAATGGATATTCAAAGGAATTCCAACATGATTTCCATCATCATCATCATCAGAAGAATCATCATCCGAGCTCAGAACAGGTTACTTACAGAAGAGCAGAGCTGGTGCTATTCTGGGTTGAAAGGCTTGGTTTCTTCACTTTGGCTTTGGGTTGGCTTTTCATCAGACCAATAACTGAGATCCTGAGGCAGGAGGATTTATGGGACACATACATTACCATCATTGGTTGTTTCTGGCAGGCCACCAACTTGATATACTTTACCATGTACATTGGGAAGCTATTAGGATTAGTATCGCGCAGGGGTGGCAAGAAGAAGAAGGGAGTTTTGTTGCTGCTGGTGAATAATTTCAAGAGGCACCCAGGATTTTGGTTGGAGCGACTTGCCATTTTGATATTCGTCTATGCACTCCATCGCTCTGTTGGTCCTAACAATGAAGGGAAATATGTGGTGCTGGACTCCTGCATTTCGGTGATTTTTCCACTGTTGCATATATACTTGGCCGGGTTTGGACCCAATGAATTCCAACTCGCTGATGATATTCATGATGTTGAAGTGCCGGTGCCGGTGCCGGTGCCGGTGAACTTGACCTACAAAGAGAAAAAGCCTTAGTTTGCATTCTTACTGTGGGGATGAGAACACCTTCAGCAGAACCATTTCCATACCGAGCTTTTTGCTTTTCTAGAACAGTATATTTATGGGTTGAGAATCCAATTAAAATGAAATTCTTCCAAGTTAAAAATAATTTTGTTTCCCTCAGTTATCCAATTACAAATTTACAGGGACTATTTATTTGTCGGCATATCTTGTAAATTGCTACATCTTTTATCTCACTTAAATCCAAATCCATCTCTCTTCTTTGTTGAGATGCAATATTCGCGTACAAAACTGTAGGTACCTACGATGGAGTATCCACTATACATTTGAATTACCATATTGTCTGGCCATTAATGTATATTCCCTTCACCTCTATGAGATTTTACACAAATGTATGCCTCCTACTATTTCAAAAATAACTCAGTTGAAAATTCAACACCCAAAACTTTTAAGACAATACAACGATCCTTTTATGTTCCAATGACACCTGGATCCTAAACTCTTTCTATCCCTTATAAAGTTGTCCAGTGTCCCTAAAGTTACGTGGCAATCACACGACTTCTGGATCCAAACTTCAATGTCCACCTCCGTAAACAATCACTTGCCTCGTGAGGGATTGTTTGGATGTGAGTTTGCATTTACCAGCAAAACGTACATTGTTGACAAGGCTCCCAAACCACCATTTCCTTCAAACATAATGGGACATAAAGAATAAGCATTCACAACTCCACTATATTTTTGTTTTTTCAACAAGGTTCCACCACTATGTTGTCAGTGAAAATTTAACAAGAAAGCCAACCCACAGAATTCCAAAAAATTTAAGAATTCAATAAACATCTTAAGAAGCACCAAAATAATGATAGTCCAATAGGGAAGAACAATAAAGCAACACAATCATATTACTGAAGTTGTTTGAAAATATGAAGCTGGTCAAAACCATTACCTTTGGCAAGCTCATGTGCAGAAGAAGATACAGAACCATGAAATGCAATAAAGGATCTAAGAGACAGTGACATTACAAGGAAAGCTAATGAAAAAGTACTGCCCAATAACCAAGCACCTCCTTGTAGGAAAAATAGTTCCTTTTAACACCATTTCCGCAAATTCAGGCAAATAGAAATCAATTTTCAGGAAGATAAATATTCTCTCTGTCCCAAAATGATTGTCTTGTTTTGAATTTTTACTTTTACCACTCTTTGAACTAAAAATGAAAACCAAACCGCACAATCATTTCGAAACGAAGGGGGTATATTTATTACCGAAGTAAATTGTCCAAAAGAAAACCTCTAACAAAAGATTAAATCACACAATAACTTCAACTTCATTGGTAATCTCTATAATTTTTTACATCGATCTTAAGTCCCATGTCTAAGCAACTAATGTGGTTCACCAAACAACACCTATTTTCTAAATCCACCAATTCCTCATTCCAACAGTCTACTCATGAAGCATGTGAAATAGAAAAGCTACAAAAGAGATCAAACTGAATTGAGAAGGAAACTCCAGAAACTGGTGTCAAACATGGTATTAGGCATTCACCTGCAAAATGGAAAATGCAGCAGCCTTAACCACCCCCATCATTGGGTTGAGCCTTTTGTAGGAGGAGCTACTTCCTTCAACTTTTCCTGCAAGCACCTGATAACCAATAAAACTTTTAATGACATTTCTGACAACAGAAAAATATTAATTGAATTGTTCTATGGACATGAACACAGTAAAGCATTATTCTGGCTGCCAAGTATTGCCCAACTATTGGTTAACATTTTCATGATTCAGGAATGAACAAAACTGCCATGGAAGTTAAAACAAATACATCAAGCAAGGAGGCTAACATAATTTTGGAGTTTACAGATAATGATATAGGCAATGAGCTTAGTTGCACCGCAGACAAATTAATACAAGGCCAAGTTTCTGGAATGACTAAATTCAGGAACACGAGCCAGGGTACCAGGCACTGAAAATCAAACCACACATATATTTCAGCTTTCAATTTTCCATCATAATGCGCAAATTAGTTAATGAGGGCAAGACATAATATGATTAGAAATATCATTTAGGGGAAATGATCTTAGACGGAGAAGGTAAACAAGATCCCTTTTATTGCAATCATCAATTAGACTATCCCAAACATGGACCTCATTATCATTAGTTTCAAATTTACAACAACAAAACAAAATGACAAAATGATATAAACATTCTGTGCAAGAAAGAACCCTACCTCGACAATAAGGTTCGGGAAATAAACAAGATGCACTAGTCACCACATAAAGGAAGGAGATTAACTACAAGACAAGCATATGCCGAACCCAAGTTACAATACAAGTTATAATAATACTTGTCATTGCATTGATCAATACGTTAAATCCTGTATTGGTCGATACGATGAATCATTATGCCATGTTGCTAATAGGGCCAACTCTAAGAGCCTTCCAGGTGCCTTTTGCCAGTTTCAATGGCTATTTACAGTTCCATCTTAAACTTCAGGGTGCAGTAGAATTAAGGCCAAGTGTCAAATTGAGATAAGCTGTTTCAGCCCCATCACACCTGTTTTCCCCTTCTTTACATTACCAACTAATTTACTTTCAATTTGTACCGATTTCCAGATTGGGAAGCAACTTCACATACCTTATTAATAGCAAGTACAGAAAAAGAAAAAGAAAGAGAAGATCCCTTTTAACAGCCAATAAAGAGAGCAAGTAAAAAGGTAAACATTAATTTTGGAAGCAGAGATGTGATATTCACTTCTGGTTTAAGCATTTTAGTGTATCACAGGGAAGTAGTTTATGAAGTAAATGTAGACATTGGTAACATGAGTGATTTCATCTTTCAGGCAGTGATGCTCATATTAAAGGTACACGTCAATTTTGGTGGAAAAAAATATGATAACAGATACTGGCAGCACGAGCAATTTTGATTTCGGTAGAAAGAGATGTGATACAGATATTGACAACATGAGCAACTTTTTGGTCGAAGAGATGTGATACTGACATTGGCAGCAAGAGCAATTGCATCTGTCAAAATATGATAAGTGTAGGATGTATAGCAATAAATGGATCCATAAATATTAACAGAAGGAGGAGTAAAATTAACTACAATCCATCATGAAAAATTGGAATGGCGTAAAAAAGACATCTCTTTCTTGTCCCACCAGCACGCGCTAGAATCATCACCGAAAACAACCAAGCAACACAAAAAAGTACAAGGTATCCCTCGCAAACAGTTTATCCAGGAGAGGAACTAAAAAACCAAGTACGTACACAAAATGGGGGTGGAAATAAAGAAAAAGGAGAAGAACAGAACCATTAAACAGGAGCTTCAAGGCATCACTTCAAATCTAATAAGGAACTTCATATTGAGGTGGAGGCCAGGTTGAAGCTGCCACGAGGGAAAATTGTCAGAGCCTCCTCATCATCACAGATGCAAGCTGTGACTGTTTAAATCAGAAATAACAATCATCATCACAAGGCAAAGCAAAATTTCAGACAACGTTGTGTTTCACGGAGAAAATTATTTCCGAGAGATAGCAAGAACAAAAAAGCAACTGACAGTAAATATTTGGACTATTCTCGTAAATGGAACCAAAAAGGGAGCAAACTTTAGCAGTTCATTTGTTTAATTACACAGCTTGTTTAGCAGCTGAAGTGGGTGATAAAAGTTATTAATAATTTCAAACAAAAGAGAAAGGAATTATTAAATATACCTGAGAGATGAAATAATCACCACCATCAGCATGGAAATGACTGGGAGATAACCCACAGGAAAGCATAACGCACAGGTAGCTAAGATCATTAATGCACCAAATGAATTACATATCTTAGATACTAAGATAGATAATGCACAGGTAGCAAAGATCATTTGTGCACCATATGAATTTACAGGGAAGGGTCATGAGATTATCGCAGAAAAGGATGCCTTGTTGCTCCAATTTTTCCACAGCGGAACAGGAAATCTTTTTAAGTTCGTAATAACACTTGTCACTATGCAAATACATTTTATTACTTTTTGATATGAAAACCACCCAAACCCAGAACTCCTACAGCAAAAATCCAAAAACAAAGAGAAGCCACAACACGATGCTTCATTTTTCCCTCACAACTTAAGAAGAGAAAAAGACATACTTTGAAGTCTTGTTTTGACTACCCAAACAGGAATTGTGGCAATTTCTGTAAGCAGCTCCAGCACCCGATGCAGCTATCACATTGGCACCGATTGAGAGTTGATGAGCATCTACAGCAGCAAGAAAGCAACAATGTACTGAAGCATTTCGACACCATCAAGGGAGTGAAATTAAGCAAGCAACTAAGGAAGAAAATGACAACACAGAGAAACATGTTTATCCTATTTTGAATAACCCTAGTGCTTAATTGGTAAAATTTAATCAAATCTCCTTTCTATCCGTGGTATATTTTTGACATTGGAGGAGCTAATTTACTCTATACATGGCAATTCAGAATTCTTTGTCGCTGCTCATTCCAGGTTGTAAATACTAAAATCCACATAATTTCTCAAGAAACAACTTAAAACAACTAACCATCTGAAAATAAAAAAACTATTCAGCTGCCATAAATTATAAAGTAAACCTAACCAGGATCAAACAAAAAATGCCAGGTTATTAATGTTAATAGTACAAGAAAATTACGCCACCCAACTCAGATTAACAGAAGTAGCATCATCAGAATTATGATTTTGAAAGTTAAAAAAGAAAGTATTAAGATGAATGATCACCTCAATTTCGGATTGAAGGAATCTGATATACCCCATGGCAGCTGATAAGACAGGAGCAGTGTCAGTCTGCAAAAGAAAAAACATGCCCACAGTACTCACAAAGTTTTCTTTAACCAAAGGTTTTCTCAATCTTATAATAGAAAAACCAGATGGGAAAGGGAACTACAATAGAGTGGGAGTAACATTTAGCTCATCTCATCGACATTGTTCTCTTAAAACTAAGTAGCAGATTATTGTACTACTGGGAATTAGTTCGAGTTGTCTAAACTCTTTTCACATTATGGCCTTTATCCTAAAGTAATTAACCTTACAGCTCTTTTCCCTTACTTCTTAATTTTCCCAATTCTTTTTGGGGTTTGCAGCACAGATATCACCCAGTCATGGGTTATGCGATCAGGTTTCAGAATAGAAATGATAGTTTTTGGAGAAACAAAGATTTGTTAATAAGTATGCAAACATTTCCAAATGGGGAAACAAGTTGATGGAGGGCTGTAATCCTAATCAACCAACAAACCCCGGCACAAATTCTGCAGAACGGGCAGGAAACTGTTTCCAAATGGGTAAATGCATCAAAGATGATACAATATTAAAAGTACAGGAATTCACATGCATAATGTCAGCTTTTTATTTTTACTCATCACCCTAGTCGACCAGTAATTTCCAAACTCCCCTGGCCACCTCAACCCCCCTAAAAAGCAAAGGAAAGTCATCTTGTTATTAGTTTTAAGCATATAATTTGTAAAGAAATTTAACTAGGATTTCAAGTTGAATAAGGAAAATGGGACAGAATCACAAAATCCACAGGTCCAATAGAAGGAATTTAAATACCTCTATGGGATTGAAATCTTTTGATTTTGGACGGATAACCCAGGAAGGAATGGAAACACAATGACTCCATTCGGTGCGAGGATCAAGAGGCAAAACAGTTTCCTGCCCCTTCTGCAGAGAAGAAATAAATATCAATGAAATCACTGAGTGCTGATTTGCTGATGCTAAAGCAAAGACAAATACAAATGTTACGTATGTAAAACAGATTCTGCATTAATGAAGCTGCTGAATGTTAATGTTAAAAAAAAAAAACATGAATAAATGAAAGGAAAAAAGTTAAGCCGTGCATTACACGTAATTATTCTCCCTACAAGCATTATCAATCAGTGATTACAACCCCCTCCCAAGTCCCAACAACAACACACACAAAAAAAATGGAAACAAGAGAAAACGGGGAAAAGAATTTGTCTCTTGTACTGTATGTCAGTATGTTTTTCACACTCTCACATGTACTTATTTCAGGATCGTTGAACCATACCAAATAACCAAAAGAAATAAAATAAAAAGGACAGCCACGAACAATCAGCCCACGATGGAGGCCTCCAAAACTCAATCTTCACTCTATGCTATAAACTCAAAGACTTCCCATGTGAAAAACCTACTTTTAGACAACAAAAGTGCTACAATTTAACCTCCAGGCCATGAAGCAGGAGCCTTTCCAAGTGATCAGTCATTAATTTTCTACTATAACAAAACCTTCCAAGACAGAGGCCAACACAGAGTAGGCAGATTCAGAAATCATACACATTAATCATGAATGTAAAAAGGTTGTGAGCTAAAACTTCAGTTCTACGATGGAGACATGATCAACTAATTTACCAAAAGCCAATATGATTAAGCAAACAACTGCATTGATTATGGCATGCACATTCCAAATCAAACATATCAACCGTGAGTTTTAAAGTGGTTGGAGCTAAATCGTCAGCTCTATACAATGAAGTTGGAGACGTTCTTCCGATAGGAACCGCCTTCTGATGAACTAATTTCGTCAAAAACCAAATACAAAGTAAGCAAACAGGTTCAAGATCAAATTCAAAAAAAAAAAAAAAAAAACACACACACACACACAAAATCAGAGTGATGGAGACAAGATCTTTATTCTACTGGGGAATTTAAAGGGAAAGAGACTGTCAATCCAATCACAAAGAAAGAGGAGAAGTTCCATCATGCCTGTGCTTTGGAGGACTCTGCATCTGCTTCTGCCTCTCCAACGTCCTCCTCCTTTACTGGGATTCTTTCAAGCAAACGAATGACGCCACAATTTCTCAGAGATTATAGGTATAATGAGCTGGATTGAGGATGGATTGAGAGGATTTTGATTTAGGAAATTGACGACCATCAAAAAGGGGAGATTGATTCTGTCTCGACTTGTAGTCTTGAAACGCGGCGTCAGATGAAGATTAAAAGTGATATCATAGTTTGATGACCCATATCCATCCATCCCCATTCCCAAGTACAGACGGTATATATACAAACCGCCTGAGGGAGATCGAAGTTAATCGGAGCCAATTATTATTATTATTATTAGTAATATAAGATAAGATTTGCTCAGGAACATCACTTTAACCGTACCCCAAACCCAATTATTATTAAATTTCATAGTTAAAATTACTATCAATTACGTCCGCTCTCATCAGTTCACCGCCTCACCCGATCCAGATCCCAAAGGCCCCATATATATTATATATATCTTTTGAACAAATCAACACCTTACACGTCCAAACCTTCCTCATTTCTCTCTCTGTCTTTTTTGAAACACAAACAGAGCGCGCGAGTTACGAAGAACACCTCCAATGGCGGTCAAGTTGATTTACTTCCTCTTTGTTATCCTCTCTGTTTCTTCTTTGGCTGCAGCTGCAAGAAAAGGCGGTGGACACACCAGTCTCAACAGCACCCAGCTCAAAGATGTTGCAAATCCTTTCGATCGCTCAAAGCCTGATCCAATCGTTAAGGATGAATCCAAAGTGAAGAAGGAGAAAAAGGAGGAAAAAAGAACCGCGCTGAATGATACTCCACAGAAGGCAATTGGAGCACAACGAGGACAAGTAAAGAATGGAACGACTGAAAGCAAGTTTACCAGTTCAATTCCGGTTAATACATCATCTAACCGGACCAAAAGGACCTCAGAATCACCACCGGGAGTCTTTCCGGCGCCAAATACCACAATTCCGGTTACTCAATCATCAAACGAGACCAAAACATATTCAAATCCGCGACCTCTCCTTCTGGCGCCGCCACCTGCAAATACCTCATCTCCACCTCCGGTGTCGATCGAAGCGCCGGCATCATCACCAGAAATCGCACCTGCGCCAGCGATCGCAAGACCGGAAACCTCATCTCCGCCGGCGGAAAACTCCTTTGCACCTACAGAACTAGGTTCCTTTGCCACTCCGCCACCAGAAAGCTCGCTTTTACCGCCGCCGGAAGAGACCGATAAAGCACAGGAAACATCACCGCCGCCGCCGGAAGAACCGCAGGGCGCATCTCCACAGAGCTCGTCTTCTCCGCCGCCGGAAGAGACCGGTAAAGCACAGGAAAAATCACCGCCGCCGCCGCCGCCGGTACAACCACAGGAATGTACATGTCCTCCGCCACCACCACCACCACCACCCTCAGATGAAGATGGCACAACACCATCGGAGGACACACCGCCGACGGCAGGACCATCCCCGAGGGCGGATTCACCTCCACCACAAACAATGTCTCAGGACCGCTATGAAAGGTCCGTCGTCTCTTCTTCGCCATTAATATTTTAGTTTCTTTTCCCATTGTAATCCTTATCATGATGTGGTGATAATTTTGTTCGAATTTGTTGATCATTTGATAGTGAGATTAATTACTCTGGGTGATAATTATGTTCGATTTTGTTGATCAAATTGAGAATAAGATTAATTCTTCTGGGTGATAATATTGTGATAATTATATCGAATTTGTTGGTCAGTTGACAATGAGATTAATTATTCTGGGTGATTATATTCCATTTTGGATGCTATAGCCTATAATGGGGGAAGGACTTTGGTCTTGTCTTTTACTTTGAGTTTCTAACTGTCGAGTTGGTAACAGCTTATAATGCTTAATTGTAGTAAACTCTTCCATTCCAAATAGTACTCGCTCCGTCTAGTTTGAGTTTTCAGTTCTCGTTCAAATTGTACTAAAAATGAAATCTCAACCTGACAGTAATTTTAGGACGGAGGGAGTATATGTTCTTCTAAATTTGTACACAGTTTAAGAAATGAGTTAAGTAAAATAGTAAATTATTAAAATATTTTCAACCAACCCCACACCTAATTTGGAAATTTTTTTATCTTGTTAGAACAACACTTAATATGGAATTAGAATGGAGGGGAGTAATGATTATGGATATGTTGATGATTATGGATATGTTGATATTGATACAGATCAGAAGTGGCGTTGGAGTTTGGGCTGTATCAATTTGCGCTGGGTGCTACTGAAATCTGGACTAGAGCCAAGTCTTGGGCGTACGCGGGTTATGTTGTGCCGGGCTTATTGATGCCATTCGTTTTGGGCCTACTCGCCTCGGCTTGGGCATCTGCAACCCTAATTACGTGGAAAGTCTTCAAGTTTCTCTGGAACCTTGGCCGTGTTAGAGGTTCAGTAGAGGTCGGCAGCGGTTTTGAGAGTCGTCTGCAGGTGGGTACTTAGGAGTGGAAGAAGCAGATAAATAAATAAGATTGTACATAGCGGTTTGTATTACGATTCATCCCAAACTGTTGATTGGACAACCAGGCTAAATATACTGCTATTACACTACAATTCTTCTTTACAGGAATCAGGAATCTACTTTGGTCTGTTCTATTATTAAGCTAACCCATGCAGTATAAAAGCAAGTAGCAGAACCATATATACTAGCAGTTTGATGTGATCTCCCTTTAGTTGAAGCCATGATAACTATGCCTTGTTCATTGATTATGAAGTACAAACCGAGGCCTCCGCCTTAGGAGTTAGGATCTACCTCCAAGCCTTCTGAACAACTTCCAATTCTTCTTTCAGCTATCTCTGTTCTCAATTTCATTGAAGTGTTGCCTATTAAATTCTTTCAGTACTTTCTTCAACTGCTTCTGTTTCTGAGTATCTTGCTACCATGAATTTTTATTTTTATTTTTTCCTTTTACTTTATAAACAAAATCATCAAAGCAATTGAGATTCTAAACTCAACTCTTCCAGAATTGACTCTTTTTATTTTAATTTAATCAGTATCACTTGTGACAAAAAAAAAAAAAAAAACAATTGAGAATGGAGATGTACAACACTACAACATTTTCTTTTGAATGTTAAATTAATAAAAAATAGAAAATAAAATATCCGGATCATGTAAAGAAGAAAGGTAATCGGATTTTAGGAAAAATTGGCGGATCTACCCAAAACTTTACATGCATCGTAAATTTTATCCTATTCTTTTTCGGTTAGCCAATATTATCCTAAACTATCTAACTGTTAGCCGATTTTGTCTTCCGTCTAAATTAAAGGAATTCTATTAATTTTAATTACAAAAATATCTTAATAGTTTTAAAATTTTATAAAAATGACCCCAATAATTTATAAAAATTATAAAATAGTCTCTTTTTAAGTTTTTATTTAAAATTTTCTGTTTTTTATTTCTTTTTACTTTTTTTCATAACTATAAAAATATACTATATGATATTTAAAAAAAATATTTATTTTTAAACTTTAATGTACAAATTTTTAATTACATATTTGAAAGTCATATTTGATTTACATAAGCATATTAATTTTTTAATAATATAGTTTTACAATAATGATATTATTTTTTAATTCATTTTTTTAATCTAAAGAATAAGTTTTTTTTTTAATTGAATGGCTCCAGCGAGAATCGAACTCTCGACCTCCCGATAATAACAATCCTCCATCCTAATCCTCTAACTATCCCACCTAACCCTCCCACCCTAAAGAACAAGATTATTTAACTAATACTAATTTTGCACAAAAAAAATTAAACAATTCACATAGATTAAAAAAAATCTATTGGTATACTTTAATATATTACAATTTAATTCAACAGATTTAGATTGTATTATAAAATTTAAAAAGTAATCAAAACTAAAATATAATATTCTTTAAAAGGACAAGTACGAACATAAAGTAAAAAAAAAACACCTATTTCGTTTCTACGTTGGCCCAACACAAGAATATAGTGTCGTGGCATTTACAAAAATGGTACAAAATATTTTATAAAAAATATGTATATTTATTACTGCGAGGGTCTAACATTTTGTGATAATGTTTTGAGACATTAATATATCTAACTTTAGCAGGAAGTCTTTTTTTAAAAAAAATAAAATAAAATAAAAAACCTACTCCAGTACTGGACTCCACCTTTTTTTGCATAAAAAAAAATTGAATTTCTCTAGTGAGAATCGAATCTCGAACACAGTTTTAATCATCTCATATCTTAAATCACCTGACCATCCAATTCAACCCTCTTACCTTTAGTGGACCCCGCTTAAACGTGGGTAAAATCACTCTCCCGGTTAAACATCCTTTGGTAACAATTAATCTTATATCTACTCTCATGAAACTTAACACCCTAAACACTAGACAGTATCCTATATTTTAATTTAATAATTTTTTTAATTAGATAATACAATCTATAGTCTGTTTAGTTAATTTGTAATAAATTAAAATGTACTAATATATATTTTTTTAATCTATGCTAAATGTTTTAATTTTTTTATAAAAAATTAGTTTTAGTCAAAAAATCTTGTCTAGCCATATTATTAAAAAAATTAATATGTTTATGTAAATCAACCATGAGTTACAAAATGTATATCTTTAAATTTGTACTGTAGTGTTTAAAAATAAATTATTTATTTAAAATATCATATAGTATATTTTATGGTTATGAAAAATAGTAAAAAGAAATAAAAAAAAAGAAAAATTTAAATAAAAACTAAAAAGAGACTATTTTGTAATTGTTGTAAATTTATTTGGTCGTTTTTATAAATGTTTAAAACTATTAGGGTATTTTTATAATTAAAATAAATAGAATTTCGTTAATTTAGACGGAAAATAGCAAATTGGACAAAATTGGCTAACAATTGCATAATTTAGGGTAATATTGACTCACCGAAAAAGAATAGGGTAGAATTGACGATGTGAAGTTTTGGGTAGATCCGCTAATTTTTCCTTGGATTTTACAACCACATTGGAGCTCCATTCTTTAATGGAGCAAAAAATATTAAACTCGGGCTATGGTATATTCCCTTATCTCCCGAGAGAATTGTGAACTGTGAATTGTGATTTGTGATTGATTTATTAAGTTCTCATTAGTGAGGTTTTGGGAAATACGCAGGGTGAGGTTTTGGGAAATACGCATCAGAAGTATTAAGGAAAATTTTGGCAACCGTGATATCCGTGTGAGAGAGCACTATAAATATACATATCATATCAGGAGGATTGATCGCAATACACAATCAAACTGGGATAAGAAGGGATGGATGTTAAAGCAAGAACAGAGCGGTGGTTGTTCTGGGCTGAGAGAGTCGGATTCTTGATTATGACTTTGTTATGGGTGGTTATCACCGGCTGGCTGTGGTTAACGCCAGAATCGTATTTATTGTGCATCACCAATTTGAAGTTATTCTGGAAGTGCACTAATTCCCTCTACTTATTGGTGTTTGCCTCACAGGGGCTATTTCGATTTTGGACGAAACTTCATAACTCCTCCTCTGCAAATTCCACACCCAATCTCATCATCAATAGACCAACAGAAGAAGAATCCCTTTCCCTGGCTGCTGCAGCTTCATTGTTGTTTGAGCAGTTGGCGGTGTTGATTTGGGAGACTGGTATCTGGGTTGTGAAGCATCCAGGTTTCTTGTTGGAAAGATTAGCACTTTTGACTTGGTTCTGTGGTGCAGAGTTCCGTGACAATCTGATCGACTATTGGATTTTGCAGTCTTGCCATACCATATTTTTCCCCTTTTTGAACATATACTTTGCGTGGAATGGATATTCAAAGGAATTCCAACATGATTTCCATCATCAGAAGAAGAAGAATCGACCGAGCTCGGAACAAGATACTTACAAAAGAGCAGAGCTGGTGCTGTTCTGGGTTGAAAGGCTTGGGTTCTTCACTTTGACTTTGGGTTGGCTTTTCATAAAAATAGTTATAATGACTGTTATAGAGAATGTCATAAGCGAAGATGATTTGTACTTGAGTAGAAGCATAACCATCATTGGTGGTTTCTGGACGTGCCCCAACTTGTTATATTTGGTGATGTACATTGCGAGGAGGAGGCTGGTCGCATTGCAACTTGGACATGGCAACAAGAAGAACATGGGATTCTGGTTGCTGAACAGTTTCAAGAAGCATCCGGGTTTTTGGTCGGAGCGACTATCCCTGTTGATATTTGCCTTTGGGCTCCATAGTTTTATCGATCCTCTTAGAATTGGAATAGGATATCAGGTGTTGGACTTGTGCTTTTCGATTATTTTTCCCCTATTGCATGTGTACTTTGCCTGGTTTGGTTACTCCAACGAATTCCAACTTCACCACATTCATCATGTTCTTCAGGTGCGCGATCAATGTCATATGCTTTCATTTTATCCCTTTGAATTAAAATCATATTACTCTCTCTGTACTAAAATTATTGTCCAGTTTGAGATTTCACTTTTAGTACAATTTGAACTAGAAATGAAAAACTCAAACTGGACAATAATTATGGGACGGAGGGAGTACTCAATACGACAAACTCTTTTTTGAGATGGAAGGAGTGCGTTTAAATTACACTTGTTTGTAGATTTGTTGTGTGTTGAAGTTGCAAATTAAAAATAGCATGGGGTCTATACAATAGTAAGGTATTGTTATGTGGTTTGGCTTGACTTGTTTGAATTCATACAGATTTGCGAGACAGTTAACCAATTAGTTGCTAAAAAGAATGGCATTTTAGATAAAGAACATCTTCTAATTATCAATCTCCAAACTACATGCGCAGGAATCAGCCAAAGTTGAAGAGAAAGATGTTCAGCATCATCGGAATCTGGCCCTAACTGGAAGCTGGATGGCCGAGAAAATACACCACCAATGCGATCAGGAAGAAAATCGAAACTTGATGGATAAAAAGGAAGACTTGGATCAGGAGATGATGTTGAAAAGCGTTGATGAAAAACTACATACATTGAATGTGATGCTAGAGCAATTGCAGGCTAAGGTGGTGAGAATTGAAGATTCTTTGCAGACTAAAAAGGTGGTAGAAAAATACGAGGAGGAGATCAATGAATTGAAAGCGAAGCTTAGTGCAGCAACTGCATCCTCTCAGCTCTATCGCACTCTACTTCACGAATCTGGTTTATGATTTCTCTTATTGTTATAAATAGTTTTTCTGTCTCATTTTAATAGTTTAGTTTATTGAATTACTGTAGTGCTACAAACTACTGTAGTATTAGTATTTACAACTCGGAAATCTGATATTTTAGTATGTTTGGTTTATTTTTTTAGTGTGTGTTTTTAGGTTTTTGTATTGAGAATGTAAAAAAGTGTGTTGGAAATATAAAAAATTATGCTGGGATGGGACACTTGTTAATAAAATAAACTGAAAAAACCATAAAAAAAAAAAAGCAAACAAACAGAGTGTTAGTTAGTCATGTATAGGTTCTACGGAATACTCTTTACTTTGTCATATAGTCGTATTGACAAACTAAACTCATTTAACAAATTATTGATTTAGTATGGAAAGAAACATGAGATAGCTTGTAGTTGGGGTTTGACCCAATTCTCTAGCGGTACTTACAAATCTTGGGGATCGATTGAGTTCAATAAGCTGATTTGACGATGAAAATGGCTAATATAAATCTCATGGAGGAAATTAAAGTGGTTGTGGTGGAGTGGAAGGGATTCCTCTACTCTTTAACCATTATGTTGAAGGTTTGAATCTCGTTATGGGTATGGAGCAACCTTAAATACTTTGGTTAGTTGTCCCACCCATCGAGGTACCTACGATTTAGCAAGAGGAATTAGATAACGGGATTAGTCACTGTTGTCGACGGTGAACACCCTGCAAATATGAAATAAATAAATAAATAATAAATCTCATGGAGGAAGGTGCAATAAATTAATTGTGATTCATCGACTTTGTTCAATCCACTTGTTCACTCAACCACACTATACCCATCCAATCAGAAAGGGACTCGCAGACAAATATCATTGTTGAGTGTTACACATATTAAATACTAGCAAGCTACTAGCTACCAAGAATTTCATGTCCATGAGACTATGAACATAATTGTAACTTTGTAGACAATGAATGATTTTTACTGTTTAATTTGAGATATTTTGTGTCCACAGTTCATCTGAAAAAGAAACATACGAACGGTTCCACTTTATAATCAGTTTATATTAATTTTGTTCATTTAGAAGTACTTTGCAATTTGCATTGATTATAGTAATATCATACAGTACAATTTTACACCATTCATCCCTTTAAAAAAAAATTGTATTTGTTAAATTAAATTAAAAACTTTCGTTTCGAATGCTTCAACATTTTCCTCGAAGCTTCAAAAGGTTACATCAATATTCCTTTGATAATTCATCAAAACGTAAAAAACCGCTAGTACTTGTTGGTTTGGAATACTATTATTATGTACAAACTAATAATATTTAATAGTGATACTCCTTCTGTCTAAAAAAACAAAAAAAAAAAACTTCATCTTAAATTTTCAAATTTATATTAGCTTTAGATAAAAAGCTACATAGGTAATCTGCTATTTCAAATTTGAGAACTCAATACGAACTATTTTTTGATGACAAAAATAGTATAATGTAATACTATGATAATTAAAGAGATTATCAATTGAAACATATTCTTCAAACTTGTTTCAATAACATTCATTAAAAAAAAAGACACTATACAAAATGGTGAATTACACCAAAAGTGGTACAAATTTCGTCTTTCAACCAATAACAACACCTCAATACATTCACTAGAAAGTTGGGCTCCCAAATTACTAACGCATAGATATTGATCTTGATAGTTTCATCACGAATATTGTTATTGATTCAGACCAATTCCGTTCTGCAACAAGGACAATGTGATTTGTTTTCGAGCCACGGGACCAAACACCTGGAATGATACCTATGACCACATTGCAACTGCATTAGGTTCTCTCCTACTTTATACTTCTCCAAACACACCGCACATTCGTCCTGTTCAGATGTTTTCCAACCAAACTTTGGCCAACCAAACCTCTTTGATCCGCTTTTTCTCAGTTCACAAATCTCTGCACTTGGCGTTACTTCCACCTCCTCTCTTTCTTGTTGTTCTATTGGCCTCGTCTCTAATTCATCTCTTCTGGGTCTTTGCGAATTGTTGTTCCTCAAACCCCTGAAACCAATATCATACAGGACATCAAAAAAAAAAAAAACAGAGTTGGGAAAAATCTGAGAAATTGTGTTTTTATTACCTTTTGGATTCGGGTTTCCATTGAGCTCTGAGTCTCCCATCTAGCCTCTTTTTGGCTTCTCTAGCTGCGTCAACTAGTTTCTGATCATTACAATACGCATCAATCATTGGGCTCCTCTGCTGCAATTGTGTTTTTTTCTTACATTCATTAGTGTTAAAGAACTACAGAGTCCCAATAAAGGTTAAAACTTTTCTGTAATTTTAGCTAACTTTGATGATGATTAAGACTAACCATGGTGGGGATTGAGCTGATGAGATGGGATTCATGGTTGCTGGGATAGAGGCAGAAGGAAGACCTTCTGGTTGAAGTAGTAACAGATGAAGATGATGGGGAAGGAGAATCAAATGTTCCATTTGCTCTGCTCAGATGAAATCTTCTTCTCCTTGCAACTTCAACTCCAGGAAGCATTCCAGCCATCGATCTTCAATCCGTGGTTGAATAATTTGACGTTTTGAACTGAATTTGGAGAGATCTCAATATTTGGAAAAAAGGTTTCACTGTGTTCAAAGATTGAATATATATGATGAGAGAGCAGGGGATTGATAGCCACAGCTGAAGTTTCTGAGAAACTTGTGGAGAGAAAATAATGGTGCAAAGGGCAGTGTTTTGGAGGTAAGATAAATATGGTGGGTACCGCTTTTTTGAAATTATTGGGAGACAAAAACAGTGACGGATCCTCTCAATTGACCATGACTCAGAAAATCACTTGTGAGCAATCAATTGAAATGTCAATAATTTGGAGGAAAAAAAAAGAGTAAATTTTAGTCCCACAAAAAAAAAATAATTCACGTATAAATTTGAAAATTCAATATGAATTTTTTTTTTTTTTTTGGAGGAGTGAGGAAGTACTTGGAATGTTGGTTTTAATAATACCTTCGTTTTAGAAACGGAGAGTTTGGATCTTAGTATTTGATATGAATATTGTATGATGAATTTTTTTTTATTTTTTTCTATCTTACTTTGACACGATAATAAGCGTTGAAGATAGTGGTAGGAAGTAGGGGGAGAAACTTCATGGGGTGTGGATTTCCAAAGTGAATTTGGGTGTCTTGATTTGGGTATGATATTTAAATGAGGGAAGCAATAGTTTCGTGGTTGCAGCGGGATGACGAGATTGAGATTCATGTGATTAACCAAATCGAAATCCACTTCCTGTAATCTCCAATCGCAATGAACTTACTTTACAGCCTAATTTTGAACCACAATACCTGCAACTTTAAGGTATCTCTACTTGATTTTCTTTCGATTGGACGTCACATTTTCACAAAACAAAAGCACATCTACACTTTCTTCTTCTTCTTCTTCTAAATTTGTGTCGCCACATCCTGGATTTTTTTTGTAAGTCAAATTGAAATGAACACAGTCACTAGTCTCCTTTATTAAAAAAAGGAGCAAAAAATCCTCCCTGTTTACTATGTACAGTTTGATTTTTTTAAAAATTTTTTTATTCAAATAGTACTAAAAGTGAAAATTGATGGACAATCATTTTGGGCACATTTACTCGGTCGAATATATTGGCAATTGGAATTGGGTATGAAATCTTAAATGCAAATTCAGATCATGACGGGCCTAACCCATGGTGCTACCCACAGATTTGTATCCCTTCTTCTCTGATGATTATCCATTCAAAATGTATCTAGAGAACCCATTAATTTCCAATCACATTATTGATTGGGCATGACATCTCAAATTCTCAAGTGAGAGTGCATTTTAGGACGGGCTCAAAACCTGAAACCGTCCTAAACATTATTTTACCTTTTAAATTTTTATTTTTCGTTTAAATTGTATTATATTTAAAGTGAAATGTCAAATTGGACAATTATTTTGAACAAATAGAATATTTTTTAATCTAATGCTTGGACCAACCAAAATGGTTTTATATACCAACAAAGGCAACAATGATTTTCTGGTGGATTTTCAAAAAGTTTTTTCACTTTCGGAGTGATTTTGAAGTGGACTCGTCGTACATGAAGAACACATCTCTTGTACCCAAAATGTCAAAATTGAAGAGATTAATTGCTAAAGCTATATTATGGAGTGATTATAAAATGTTGTTACTCCCTTGTCCTAAAATTTCAATTTAATAAACTGAACAATTATTTCATGATATGAAAAAACATCAATGTGATGAGCAACAATTGTGTCAATTGTATGCTAGCTTAAACAAAGAAATTATACATAGCATCGACGTGGACCAATCACTGCAGCTAAGACCTGGATATGGATTGACGATGCTGGTGATGTCAGACGGTATCACGATAATCATGCTCCGCGATTTTTTTATTTTTTTTAAAAAAATCTCACTCAACGTTCACTCATTCTAATTCATCTTGTTTACATTTACAGAACTGTAGGCAGTGAATTTGCTGTTAATGTGATTATGAGTACATGCTTAAATGACAAAAAAGGACCTGGTAAATCCAAAATATCCGCTCCAAATCCGGTCATTAAAGAAAACCGCTCCAAACTCACATTTCCCACGTCCCACACACGGACCGTTAAACAACAGTCGCCGCAGTATCCGAGCTCCCCTCCAGACCTATTTCCGTCTTTTCACTCTCCCCCCCCTCCCCCACATAAATCCTTCTTCCCTCTCTGGCAGAACTCACACACACATACACAGACAGAAATGGACGACGACAACGCGCCACCCTCTCCTCCTTCACTGAAATCCAAAATCAAGAATTCACTCTGCTTCTCCTGCTGCTTCCGCCGCCGCCACCACTCCGACCACCGTCAAGTTCCGTGCTCGCCGTCGGATGAGAAGCCCAATTTGATATGGGTGAAGACAAACGCACCGCACGACTTGAAAGACGAAATCAAAGACAAGTGCCTTGCGATTCTGGGCCGGATTGGGAATAACGGAAGCGGCGGCGGCGGTGGTGGCCGGCACAAAAGACACTCTTCAACTGAGTTTAGATACGACCCGTTGAGTTACGCGCTGAATTTCGAAGATGGGTTCGATTATGATGATGATGAGTATCCGTTGAGAAACTTCTCGGCAAGGCTACCGCCGCCCCCTTCTTCTCTGCCTGTTGATCAACCGGCGGTGCCTCTTAGAGGAATTACCGCTGTTTAAGTTATGAACAGTTTGTCTTTTCTCCCTTGTTTTTGTTATTTTATCGAATTTGTGTACAGAGGAATGAATTAGGCAGGGGTTAAATGAAGGAGGAAAATTATTGTTTTATTGTTTGTATTTTGTCCAATTTTGGTTGGTTTTTTGTTCATATTTTCTTCTTTTAGAATTATAGAATGAAGTTTAAAGCCTATTTCTTCTGTTACCACCGTATTTGAGTGTTTTTGTCAGGGATGTTTTTCTTTAGCATTCATTCAATTCAATTCAATCCAATTATGCCCACTTTCACTTTGTACGGAAACCTGGATACCATAGGTTTGTTTCATCACCAGTTCACAAACTGTAAGCATTCATTCATTCAGCTAGTATTACCTCACAAGAATTACCTCAGTTGGTCGGAATTAGTTGTCCATTGATCATAAGTGTAGACTGTGGAGGATAACAGTGTTGAGAAAATGATATGATGTTAGGAAAATGTCCCTGTCATCATCTCCAGAAAATGTCCCTGTGATTATCGGTGCCAATTTGAATTCATCTTGTGAAACGATTTTGTTTACAAAATCCTGAACATATGTTTTTTGCTCTTTTTTGGGATCGTTCTGAAAGTGCGGCATATTCATCACTCACAAAAGGAAGAAAGCTACGTGATCATTGTCTTTAGTCTTTACGCCTCTTTTTAGTCTAACGTTATCTTATCAGCAGAAGGTTATGAGTTTTTGGGTTTTGTCTTTTTGTACTTGCTAATCCTAACACGAAATTAATGCAACCAAAAAAGAAAGAGAGGAAATGACGTTGGCAAAAATTGACGCTTTTTCCCTAAAATGGTGAAAAAAAAGAGAAAGGAATGCACAGAAACCGACAACATTTACCCATGTTGATGAGTGGGAAAAATAGCTTTGAAAATCACAACCTTAACTTGGTCCAAGTAGGAGGATTACAATTTACAAAACTTGGGAAGTAGTAATTTAGGGTCTGTTTGTTTCGTTTTTTCATGGTTTTTTTCGGATATTATCCTAACATATTTTTTTACATTTTTAATACTAAAAAAATGAAACAAACATGCCTTAGTGAAAGGTGATTGGAATATTTTTTGTTTTTTTTAGTACTGTGACTTGGTGGTTGCATATTCGAGTGAGTCTATCGGCGGTGTTTCCGTGGGTTGTGTGTAGCGTGTGTGAATGTGTGTGTGTTTTTCCAGCGTCAGGTGACTCGAGTCTTTGTTGTAAGGTGGTGTCACCGTGTCAGCAGTCAAATTTGTAGTAGCGCCCACCAGCCAAGTTGGAGAAGAGCCGTCATTTCTGTTCCTCCAGTATTTTTTTTGTTCTTCAGGGGTAGTGAATTATTGATATCATGGAATAATGAACATATTGCGATTTGAAAACAAAAACTAAAATAAAATAACTAGTATTTTGCTTGGATTCGATTATTATTTCATCAAATTCCCAATACTGTATGTATGTGCTCTCTAGCTAATGCCATTTTTTTCGATTAAAAATATTAAGAAGTAACAAAACATCACTCGATAGAGTTGCATAGCCAAATTCACAAATGGGAATATCATGGTAGAAGTGTTTGTAATACAGTACTCCCTCCGTCTCATAATTATTGTCCAGTTTTAGTTTTCATTTCTAGTTTAAATTGTACTAAAACTAGAGTCTCAAATTGGACAATAATTTTGGGACAGAGAGAGTATTATTTTAGCTCATTTCCATGGAAAGACCTAACGAAGTTTTTCTCCAAGAGAAAAAAGGAAAGCAAATAAAAATTCTCATTATGACAATGGGCTACGGAAGGCCTTCCATGAATAATCCTCCCACTTAGTTATGGATTGTCAGTGAAAAATTGGGCCAAGTTTAAGACGCAAGCCCCATGGGAAAATTTTGCACCGCGCCAATTACGAATGAAGAATCGAAGCTGAGAACTTCCAAATCAAGTAAAAGTGGCAGCAATAGGGAACTGGAGATTGGAGAATAATTTTTTGGCACAAAAAAGAGAGAAGTTTCGATCAAGGCTAAAACTACTCACATTGGAATACTTTGTAGGTAAGAAATTCCGATCATGTCATGTTTTAATCAGTGTTTGACACTCTCATAAAAAGATGATACTCCCTTTATTTCAAAATGTAGGTCGTTTTAGGTTTAGAAAAATGTTTCAAAATGTAGATTGTTTTAGGATTTCAAGGCAAATTAAATGTTAACTTTCCAATTTTACACCCAATAAATAATGCTAACTACTTTTTATTCAGTCTTGGTTATAATTTCAAAACAATCAATAATGGGTAAAATAGAAATTTAACACACAAATTAATTATTAAATGATTGTTTCTTTAATTTACCTGTAGAGTCTAAAACGACTTACATTTTGAAATGGAGGGAGTAGATTATAACCTCCTAGACACAAATCCAGAAAGTTGACAAATTTGTATATAGAAATTCACTAATGATCTACTCCATTTTCTTCCCATATTCAGTCAACGAGAAAAGTAAAAAAGCTCAATCTACTAGTTTTGGAATTATAATATGAGCCGAAAGTTACAATTTTTACAACTGAATTAACTAACCAAATCTAACTGCACTTTACACCACACGCATAGAGATTGGATTTTTTGTCCACCAAACTGCTTACCGTTTCTGCAATTCACGCGGTGTTCCAAATAGAACATCAAGTCTCCATCAAAATAACCAAAAATAACAGCATGAAAGTATCCTAAGCGCGGACACCAACGTACAACCACTTAGTCCATATTTTTTCACATAAGATCGTGAGGTGTCCCAAGTGTCTGAATCAGTTCAAGGTGAAGTGTGGTATGTATAATTGGATCAATGGTCACATCTTTAAACTTTAGTTCCTCCACTCCATTTTTTTGTAGGGTTCAGAAAATTAACTTCTATCAAGTAATAATCACATGGGTCTATGTCCATTGTCTAAGACATCTTTCTGAGTCGTTCCCTTATTCTACAATGGTAACATCATTTGTTTCATTAAATAGTATTTCCAGTATTATAAAATAGTAAAATACGAAATTTATTTGTTATATGAAGGGAGTACCACTGAGTTATGAGGAGTTATTGCAAGAACTACAATATGCATGAGAGTTTGGGACGCATAAAAGTTGATAATCCGAGTATAATTAAATCAGATCGATGGTTGAGAGAAAAAAAAATAGTTTATTAACACACGGAAGTGTAGTTTGATTCATTTGTGACATGTTTCTACAAGAGTGGGTGCATGAGTACAAATTAAACATATTTTCTGTAAATTTAAATTTTTCACAAATTATTTGACATTGCAAATTGTCCAATTAAGTACAGTAGTTAGACGATCCGCCATCTAATTAATTGGAGCATGATTTCATCTTAATTTTTTATTATCAAAATAAATTTAATTCAATTTACTGTTAGATTCAAGACTTTTTTTCATTAATTAATAAATAAATAAATAAATAAAATCATAACACCATAGGGAATTCCCTAGCTCGAAGAGAACTCAATAAGCGTTGCCCAGGCCATTCCTATTTGATGAAGGCATTTAATACTTAAAATTATTAGATTAAATATTTTTTCATTTCTGCATGTTTGATAACAAAAAATGAACCTCTGTATAAATTAAGTGGTACCGAAACTGTAGTACAAAATATAATAAATAATATAAAAGTTAGCTTATTCCTTAATTGCTTAATAAATTCAGTATTTTTATTTCAACATTAAATATTTAGAATTAAGTATTAATTTTTATCAAACAAGCACTAAGTTAAAAGGAAACGACATATTTAATGCTAAATGGCCGTTCCTTTAATCGGGGAAGCATGTGATTTGAGTAACGTGGGTGTACATTTAAACGTTAAAAACCGTACACATATGCGATTTCATTAACTTGATCGAAGAAATGTGTAAAAATTTGGAAAAGTTTTCAGATTGGCGATAGATCGGTCGATTTTAAAGCATTCATACATGGTCTGTACCAAACAAAAAGTACAAACATCTTGAAAGTCAAATTCATTATAATTTTCGCAACTTGCTTTGATTCGTTCAATAAGACCTGTTCTATTCAACTTGATATTGACTTATACTACTATTACTTAGATATTATTTTCTTTTTATTTGGCAGATGGATTTTCCCATCTCTTCTTGATAGAAGCCACATAAAAATTATCAACGTGAGTACTTTTTATTTTTATTTTTTATTTTTTAATTTGGTGGAGGTTCATTTTAGATAAACTCGTGGAGCCTACTCACACGCCTTTTTGTTTACATATATATATATACTGGTGATGTCTGGTCGCGCAATGCGCGACCCTGGCCCAGTCTATCTGTAGATCTTAGAAATGTTTATATTTGAAAAAAATAAAATTTTGTATTTGAAGCGATATATTTTAAAAATTTTTGAAGGATTTAGAAATGTTTTATAAGTGTGATCATAGAAATATTTGTATTTCGCAAAAAAAAAAATAAATTGTATTTCGCCATGTATGTTTTAGAAATGTTTTATAAGTGTTACTTATTAAATATAAATAGCTTAATCGAATATATGTGTTGAAGTAAATGTTAGATAAAATATAAAAGCATCCTAATAAATTTAAATATTAGTAAGATGATTTATTGATGTTCTCCATTGGTCGTGCCAAATCAATACTTAGTTTTGGAGATTTTTAACAGCTTTGTAATAAGGTTCATTCGAAGGGTATACGCTTAAAACAAAATTGACACTTTGTAACAAAAAACCTAATTGATCAATTCAATTTAAAAAATCACTCTAGTTGAATGAAACATAAAGAAAAAATTTTTAAAAAAAAACGTGTCACGTAAAGTGCAAAAGGAGATTTAGTAATTAAGGAGATTTAGTAATTTAATTATGGTTAGACAAGAGGGCAATTTAGTATTTTTTACATGCCACGTGGCAATCATATGAGGTGTTTGAAAGGGAGGTTTTTGTTTCTAATATAGTAGGATATATATTAGGTGGCAAAAAATAAAAATAAAATAAATTGAAGACTAATTTACGTTATTAAACAAATGACTTCCTTATCTCTAATTCTAGATTTTTACGTGCGTGACAAACTAATACGCTTATTCATTCATCCATTCAAAAGGAAAGAAAGAAAGAAAAAAAAAAAAAAAGAAGAAGAGAAGGTTTTCTAAGTGCTATTGTTAGTAGTAGGAAATGGAGATGTTACAGAAGAAACGACGACTGATCGAAAAAACCAATGCGGTAAAGTTTCACAATTAAGGAGATCTCTGTCAAAGGCTTAATTTATGTAATGTATCCTTTAGTAGGAGGAAGTCAAAGATGCCAGTTAAAAGACAGTTGTGATCGTCGTTAAAATTTTGCATAGTTGTTGGTTTAAGCAAAGCACGATTAGCCACTGGTTTATTATTGCTTACCCCCCCTTACTAGCTTATTTTTAGCATTAGTTTAAGATCACTATTCGGTTTATATTCATTATTAACAAAGATCCAATTTTCATTTTGTCAGGTATTTGTATTATGTAGTTATAAAAAAGTTCAATACCGAAAGTATTTTTCTTTTTTTTTTTAAAAAAAAGTACATGTATATTAGTTAAGAAGAAGTACCTACATTATTACATTGCATTATATGGAATGTTACATTATGTAATTCTACAATATCTTCCTTACTCACTTTAATTAGTGAGTAAGACTGAAACGAGGAAATACTATTTTTTTTTTTGAAAAGGTTCCTGTATATATTAGGAACCTGGTTTATTACAACGCATTTTGTTATATGCTAATTTATGAAATTCGTCTACATCAAGCCTACTAATTTTAAAAATTTTACAGTACGAAAAAGTCGAAATTAGAGAAGGTAATATTACAAATCCAGTTGAAATGAGATGCAAAAATAACGAAACAAAATTGGGTGAAAATGAAGATTTAACTATAAGAAACCTCAGTTTACAAATCTATACTCAGCAACTACATTTTCAGCTGCAAAGTTTACTCAAATTTATTGGTGGAATTAAGATAAACGTTAAAGAATAATCAGGAAATTAAAAAAAGAACCGGTGGGCATAGCTGATTGCAACAATTCCTTGAAAAGTTGATAATAAATTCACCAACCGACCCACGTATGGGCTATTTCCAAATCTATTTTCTTTTCTTTCTACTACAAAATTAATGACTAGTGGGATTTGTAGTCCCCAGCCATGGGAGAAGAAGGAGAAGAAAATGACTTGTAACTGACAAAACTGAATTTCAGATGCTCCATCTCCATACTATATTACTACCCTTCTATTTGTGGGTTAATCACATTCACCCCCCAATGTTTGTAGAATCTACATGACCGAACTACAAGGTTGTAAAGCTTACCAACATCCTCGCGGCATTTCAAATATTTCACGTTTATAGTAAAAATGCCCTGAAATGTAGTAGAAAATGCTCGTAGATTAGCAAAGTTTAGTTTATCAACAAGTTTGGATATGTAATTTACTTATGCATATGAATGAATCATAATGGTTTTAAAAAAATAATAATTTATGTTCTGTAGAATTAACTCCTTAATCAATAAGAAATTCGTTGTTTTCTGCTTGTTGTCTTTGTTCCATGTTTTGGACATATTGGTGTTCTTTTATTTGTTTGATGATATTGGTTTAAAATTAGAATATCAAAAAATTAATAATAATATATTAGCATCTAATAAAAAATTGGAAAAAAAAACTTAAGAAAAGAAAGCTGTCAAACCCTCAACGGATGACGTTATCCTACAAATCTAATCAATAGGTTGGTTAAATATTAGGGAATTGAATACAACCTAATGGTTAGGTTGCTATCTTTCATGATAATAGACCATGGTTCGATTCCCACCAGGAGTTGTAAAAGGGGTTTTACCAACATTTAAGTGCGGTTCACTGAAGTAGATTTTTGATTTTCACTAGGAGTTGTAAGGGAGTTTTACCTACATTTAAGTGGGGATCCACTGGATGGATTTTTTTTTTTTAAAGTAGGGTTATATATTAAAAATGTTCAACAGTTAAATATAGGGATTCAATTGATAGTTTACATAAATAACGGAGAGTTGAAGACAATACACACTTTAATGAACTAAAGACTTCTATGAATTTTTTATTGGTACTACTAAATAAATAAATATTCTCAAGTATGGTGATCATGGGTCGGACGTTATGACTTATTTTACTCATCTTGCAAATTATTCACTAATTAAATAGTTGAAGATAAGTATTTCATTATTTTTAGTGCCCATATTTGGGAAGCAATAAAAAAAGAGCTCCTTTACTACAATTTTTTCCCCAGAAGTGATGAGGCGCCCTTTTGGGTTTGAGGGGGTCAACGATAAATTTCTCAAGTCTCAACCACTTTTTAACAAAATCTAATCCAACCCAATCAAAAGAACAAATAAATTTTTGAACTTTTGCACTTTTGGCACCACAAGTCCCACTAGTTAGAGAAGAATATATCAAAAGTGAAGATCTCATGACCATTGATTAAAAAAAAATGTATGCTCATCCTAAATAAATATCCTAAAACAATACATAAATCGTAAGCTTAATTTCATATAATTGTTATACCAAATCGGCATGTTTGATCTATACATTTCTTTTTTCATCAAAATTTAAAATGTCTGATTTCACCAACACAAAACTGGTATATGATAACGTAATGGAAGACATCCAAATTTAACACGCCGACTTCAGCGATACAAAATTAATATAGGTCGCGAGTTCGAATCAACTAAACTGCAAACTCCTTTTCATCCATCATATATGTATGTATTATATTTTTCTAAATGGAAACTAATGTAGTAGTAATTAAAAAGGAAAAAGAAAAGGAAAAGGGGAATAAATATGTCAAAATAGGCATCGTTGAGAGAACAAAAAGGAAAACTCTTTGGGGGGGGGGGGTTTGACTCATTGCCCGAGCTCTGCATGCACCTCACCACGTGCCCCTACCCCCTCTCTCACAAACACGCACACACACACTGCTGGGCAGTACTAGTAGTATTCTACTGCTTCTAGCCTAAGATTTCCCCCATCATCAAATATCAAAAATTCCATCAAATCACAAACAAAAACAAACCCACCTCAATCCTCTGCTCTTTTCCCCATTTAGCTTCCCTTTCCTCCAGCACTGCAAACTGACATTTCCCCCCTTGGAAATCTCCAGTGAATAAAAACAAATATTTCCCGATATTCGAAATTAGGAAAAAAGGGGAGAAGAGATATAGAGAGAGAGAGGGGTGAGTTTAAAGAGGAGTTCTTCTTCACTTCAGCCAAAGCACCGCCGGTTTCGGCAATTTCCGCCGTCTTTTTCTTTTTCCGATACTTCTTCTCCTCCTCCTCATCCCTCTCTCTCGATTTTTCAGGCTGAACCCTGGTATTTATTATCTTCGCTAATTCTTTCCTTTTATATCTATTTATTATTTATTTGTTTGAAACCCGCTTGTTAATTTGAGTTCCCTAGGGTTTATTAGTGGTTCATTGCCGGAAAGAGTAATTATATACTTTCGATCAAAGGAAACGATACAATTACCTGTGGATTGAATTGCTAATAGGTGGAGGCTTTGTTTTTCTTTCCCCTGGGTTTGTATTGGAGTTTGAATTGTTTTCCCCCTTTTCTGGTCTTTGGATTAATAAATTACTAGAGGTACATAAAAAAAGTTAGATACAGATGGCTTTCGATCAGAATTCAATCCCCAAAGATTTGCGCCCATTGAATATTGTTAGAGGTGTGCCTGAGGATCCCCGCATTGCTACAGTGGCCTCATCAGGGAGGCCTATTGAGGCCTTTTACGGAAACCCTCATCGAGACGGCAGCCCTAGCTCTGTAGTTTATTATCCTCCAGCACCCGCGGCATCAGAGCCTGGTTTTGTTAATCTTGGTTTTGCTGGTAACGGTGCTATTCCAGTGCCTGCACCCGGTACGATCCCGTTAACTGGTGTTGCCAGTTGGGTCCCCCGAGTGGCGCCGCCTCAACCCACGGGGATTGTGGGTGTTCCTGGCGTCAATGTGGGAAGTGGGACTTTCAGTAATCAGAATATCCAGAATATTGGGGTGCGCTCTGTGGGTAGTGCTTCAGAGGCTAGTGACGACGGGGGTGATGATTCAGTTTCAGGTAAGAAGGTGAAGTTTATGTGTAGTTTTGGAGGGAATATATTGCCAAGGCCGAGTGATGGCGCATTAAGATATGTTGGTGGGCAGACTAGGATCATCAGTGTTAGGAGGGATATCAGTTTTGGGGAACTGGTTCAGAAGATGATGGATATATACGGCCAAAGTGTGGTGATTAAGTATCAGTTGCCGGATGAGGATCTTGATGCCCTTGTATCAGTTTCTTGTCCAGATGATCTAGAGAATATGATGGATGAGTATGAAAAGTTGCTTGAAAGGTCTTCAGATGGGTCTGCGAAGTTGAGGATCTTTTTGTTTTCGGCAACTGAGGCTGATTCTGCTGTAATGGTCCATATTGGAGATTGGCAGGATAATGGGCAAAAGTATGTTGAGGCTGTTAATGGGTTTATGGATGGCAGTGGCAAAAGTGTCATCAGTAGGAAAGAGAGTAACGCCAGTGCTGCTTCAACTCAGAGTTCAGATGTCAATGGAACTGAGGTGGTTGATAGCCGCGGGCTTTGTGAGATCACTAGTCCTACTTCTGTTGGTGTGGCGTCCCCGAGAGAGAATATAGTTGCTTCTCAAGAAGCTGTGGCAAGAGTTGCTGGGGATCCAAGTGTTCTTGCAGAAAGCTCCAGTGCCCCCCCTGGCATCCCATTGAGTACCTCAGCTGCTGTTCCATCCGGTTATCCCCTGAGTAGCTCTGGTCATCCACAATTGTCTGTTCATCTCGAGAATGAATTGGAGAGATCTGTACCTGGTAGTGGTCAGCATGAGAAGGGTATAGAATTGCAGCATCCTGGGGTAAGTTACCCTGCGGCTTCACCTTACTTTTATGCATATGGAGATGCTCAGCAAGAAGCTTTTAGCCGTTCTGATTTTGTACAAGCTCCTGCTCAAATGGGCTTCCCGGCACAGCTCTTGGCTCCTGTCTCGCCTATGATAGCCCCACAGCAAATGAATGCTACTGGTACCACCCATCAACAGTTCGTTCCTGCAGTTCACATGACAATGGTTCCCTCTTCTCATGTTAGCATGAATCCCAATATGATTCAACCACAGCAAATTGTGTTGGAGCGTTATCCTGGGGATAGTCCAATGGGTCCAAGAATCGTCCATGTCCCAACTGACCAAGGATACCATGCATATCATCATACTCAAGTTCCTCATGCAATGATTGGAGGCGCATATGGGTGGCCTCAGGTTTCCCAAACAGAGCATGTGGTGTTGCCTGATGGTTATGTGCCTCACCAGCAGGTAGTAGCTCCTGAGAAGCTCTCTCAGTTTGAGGATTGCCATATGTGTCAAAAGGCATTGCCTCATGCCCACTCTGACACATTAGCACAAGATCAGAGGGAAAGCCCTCTAAGTACTATTGCCGACCCAAAGTCATTTTACCATAGTCTGAGATTAGATGATAGGGGCCGTCCAGTTAATACGCCTTTAACAGCAGCAGCCTTGGCAGAAGCTGCTGGTGAGCAGCAGGGATCTGGTTCTCAATTAAAAGTAGTAGGTAACGATGCTGGAAACCCCCATTCTGATGGTAGTAGACTACCACAGAGTGTTGAAGTGTTCTACGTTAATGATAGGATTATTCACCAAAGGGCAGAGAATTCTGAGCATCCTAGGGTGCCAGTCCCGCCGGGTGTGATAGGGTTCAATGGAGGCATACCACCAACTCCTTATGGTGTCGTAGTTGGTACTACGCCTCAAACTTCTCCTGAAAGTGGAGTGTTGCCAGTCCCTATTCCTACGCAATACCTACTTAGACAGGATCCTGTTATGAGCAAACCAATTAGTACTGAAACCCCTGCAACTGGAGGCATACCCGTGCTTACTTCTGATTACCTCCCTCATGAATCTCCTAAAGGTTATTCTGGGAATTTTCCGGTCTCAGTTCCTGTTGAGGAGAATGTGAAGCCTGCCTATGATCATCTCAAACAGATTGATGGGAGGATGGAAAACCTCCGGGTAAGTCCTACAGGAGTATCAGCAAAAATTGAGCAAAGTACGTCTGCAAGTGATAATGTCAAGAGGGAAGGGACATTGGAGGGAAGATCCCAGCAGGTTGGTGGAAGGGAGGCATATTTAGAGGCCTTGAATGTGCCTAGGGCTGTTCCAGTTGTGAATCATGTGAACCTAAATGACATTTCACCTCCATCGAATGAGGTTCTTTCAAATCCGAACTTACACCAGGCAGAATATCACGACGTGGCACAGCTTGCGCAGCCCCCTCTTTTGGTTGATCCTGGCATGTATACTCAAACAAAGCTTGGCGTTAATTTGGTTCCGGATGATATTTCTGGACAAAACAGTTCCTCTGCTGTTGACAATAGTCATTCATCTGAAAGAATTCCACCAGTCATTGATTGGAAGGATACTGTTCCTTGGCACCAGCCGAATGTTGTTTCTGCTGGTATGGAAGCAGTTCTGCCTGATGGAAATACCCCATCTTCTGTATCTCCATCATATATTGGAGATGTGCAGGACAGCTCAAATTCCCTTTTCAGCAACCAGGATCCTTGGAATTTGCAGCACGAAAACCATTTCCCCCCTCCTAGACCTAGCAAACTTCAGTTGAAAAAGGATTCTTTTGGTACAAGGGATGCTTCTGGGGAGAATCGGTTTGACAATGTTGAATTGGTTACGGGGAATAACAATGGGTTAATCACAGATGACAGAATTAGTCATCCATCGGCCAATTCAAATATAGATGTCACTTCAGAGCACTCCCGGCGTAGTAAAGGTTTTGAAGCTTTTTCACTCTTCTGGATTGAAAACATACTTGTGGTTGCTTTATTTTTCTTGTTGTTTTGGGTTGCACTAATCCTGTTTAATCTTTGGATTGCCTTTCAAGGTTCATCTGAGGATCTGATTAAGCAAGAACTCCAGGCCGTTGCCGAGGGTGTTGCAGCTTCTGTTCTTCAGACTTCCGCGAATTCTAATACTGATTTATCTGGGCATGGGAGGAGCAATTCAACTTCTAGAAGCTTTCAGAATATTGAAGTTCATAATATTGATAAAGGAGGAATGAATACTGATAAATTTGAGGTTTGTAACTCAATCTCATCAGTTTCGTAATGCATATTCAGTTAGCAAGTGAACTTCTTATTCGAGACTTCCTTGTGGCGTGTGCACTAAGCAATTTTTTTCTAACTTACAGGATGTGAAAGCAAGAGTACCAGAAAAGACAAACATTGGTTTCCCTGTTTCGGATGGTCGCTTACAGGTCGAAATTTGGTTTGCTATGTTTCTAAGTTTGTCATGGAGATATAATCTTTCATTTGTTAATTTTTTCAACTTGCGGTTGCTTTGTGGCTGTTTGCAGATTATAAAGAATAGTGACCTTGAAGAGATAAGAGAATTAGGTTCTGGTACTTTTGGCACTGTTTATTATGGTAAATGGAGGGGTACAGATGTTGCAATCAAAAGAATTAATGATAGATGTTTTGCGGGGAAGCCCTCTGAAGAACTAAGGATGGTATGTCTGTTGTTGGTTAATTAGCTTTTCCTTCTTTTTACTTGCTCGTTCTTCTTGGTTGACCTGGGCCTTACTTGTGTTTGAATATCTCAGAAAGATGATTTCTGGAATGAGGCAAACATCCTGGCGGATTTGCATCATCCAAACGTTGTTGCTTTTTATGGAGTTGTGCTTGATGGTCCCGATGGTTCATTTGCAACTGTTACAGAGTACATGGTCAATGGTTCCTTACGGACTGCTCTGCAGAAAAGTGAGAGGTGATTTGCTTGCACTTCATTGATTTCTTTTGATTTTAAGGGGCCGCATCACCCAAATTAGTTGTTTCAAAGGCCTAAAGAGTTTCGTACACTCCTTATGGTTTTCTAGTCATTAATATTGGTGGAAACTGAAATTGAAGAGGGATAATGGTGTACATAATTTGCTTGAAAAGTGATTGCACTTGGTGGTGGTGCTTGAATTAAATGAAGAAACAAACAAAAAGTTAAGCGCATAATTATGGGTGGGAATTTTGCACTTATATGGTAACGAGTATAGGAAGAGTATGCATCCATCAGTTTTACCATTGCGTATTCACTGCCATTTTTTGCGTCAGTTCTGACATGATTATTTTTGTCAGGAATCTTGATAAGCGCAAGCGTATCTTGATCGCTATGGATGTAGCATTTGGAATGGAATATCTGCATGGGAAGAAAATTGTGCACTTTGACTTAAAAAGTGATAATCTGTTGGTTAATCTTCGTGATCCACACCGCCCAATTTGTAAGGTTAGTATGTAAATGGATTTTCAATCTGCCGCAGTGATGTTGACTTCAATGTTAATCACATGGCACCCACACATGAACAGTATTGATCATCTGTTGATGTTTACAAGTTCTGTTTCTTCCTTTCCCCAATTTTTACATGCTCATCCAGTCTATTAATTTTCTCTATTTTTATTGCTGTTGGAGTTCATTGTTTGCTAAATGTTGGCAATTTTATTCAGGTTGGAGATCTGGGGTTGTCAAAAGTGAAATGTCAAACACTCATCTCAGGTGGTGTGCGTGGTACCCTTCCTTGGATGGCACCGGAGCTTCTTAATGGTAGCAGTAATCTTGTATCAGATAAGGTATTTATTTTGATATCTTTCTCCTATTTTTCCGTGTCTTCAGTTTCAACTCCCATTCAAATAACTCATCTGACTACAACCATCTGTCAATGGTTTGATCTTTAGGTTGATGTATACTCCTTTGGAATCGTGATGTGGGAGCTACTTACCGGAGAAGAACCTTATGCAGATCTGCATTATGGGGCTATCATTGGTAATGTTTCTCCTCGTTGTGATGGTCTTTAAATAGAAACTATTCTCCATCATAGTAGTGTTAGTTTCTTAATCCCGTAACTGAATTTTCATCAGGTGGTATCGTGAGCAATACATTGCGGCCCCCTGTCCCAGAGACCTGTGATCCAGATTGGAAATCACTGATGGAGAGGTGCTGGGCTGCAGAGCCATCAGAAAGACCGAGTTTTTCTGAGATTGCGAATGAGTTACGAGCTATGGCCACAAAAATTCCCCCCAAAGGACAAAATCAACAGCAAGTTCCCTCCAAGCAAGCTCAAGTTAAGAGCTGAATTTTTCTGTTAATCCAGTCATCCAGATGGCTCAGAACTAGTTTAGTTAAAATGATTTTAGGCCGGAATACGCTGCAAAATGTTCGTGCCAATATAACATAAGTTGGTTTTTCAAACTTAAATTCTGACCCTCTGTCGTCTCTCTTTAGTTCCGGTGTTGTTACATTTCTCATTTTTATTCATCACTGATCTTCCCACTCGATCAAGTATACCTGGGGATCAAATATACCTACGTATCCCTGAAACTTTTCGGCGCTGGTCTTCTCTATCTCTTGAGCGGACTTCTCTATCTTTTGAGCGGACACTCAATTCGGCTTCGAAATACTGTGGCTGCTGCTGAATCATACAAATAGTCTTTTAATCATTTTGTTTCAACATTTCTGGTAAAGCCAAGCCAGTTCATTCAATGTTCAAACTATAATACACTCTTCTTTGTACTTATAATCTTTCTGCAATACACTCTAAATCTTACTACACACAAACTCATATTTTGAGATGATACCATGGTGAGATAGGTTAAAGATAAATCTATGACCTGCGTGGTTGGGTAAATGCTCAATTATTGCCTAGCATTCTAAATCTTCAACTTGTTCGGCAAAGAGCAGCATAATATGCTAACAAGACACCATAAGGATAACTACTGAGAGTCAAAGTAAAGATTGTCAGCATTCTGTGCTTGTCTAACAACATTCTGACGACAACTAAGAAGTTCCAACTCCAAGAGTTAAAAAAGGAGTTCTCGTGTATAATAAAGGCATCAGCTCAAGTGCGAGGTGCCCAGAATCTGAAGACCATAATCCCTAATTCCTACAAATTAGCATAAAAAGCTTTAATGTAATAGACGGGCAATGGAATACATTTTCATAAGAGTGGTCATTGCTGCTATGATCTTTTCTTTCACTAACTTTGCTACCTTGTCTTCTGCTGCCTCCGTGTGATTTTTGCTGCTATTGTCTTCAAGGGGACAGTGATATCCATGGGCTGAAGCACTGCTTCCAACTCGGGCCATTCAAGATCTTCAGAATCACCATCTTCATATGCCACCCTATACCATCCTGTATCCTGATCGAATTTGGTGACTTTTCCATTGTAAAAATGTCCCCCAAATGATTTCTGAACCTCTCTTCCAACCAACCATTCACCATAACCAGTAGACTTTTTTATTTTTTCAGGTGGTTTACTGTCACCACCGGGAAGAACATCACTAGCAGAAAAATCAGCAGCATCTGTGGGAAGCGGAGGCAACCCATTCACCACAATTGCAGGCTCTCCTGGAATACGATAGATCGCAACAACAGGTGTCTCACCATCATCCATTTTGCACTCATTATCCATTTGTCATCAACTAGCCAAATCAATGTCAAATCGGCAAAGATATTCATCATTAGCAATGGAGAAATAACCCAACAAGATAAACTGCAATCAATGTCAAGTAAAAGAAGTTCGGTTTTACATTCAATGCACATTACAGCAACCTACAGAACACCATCAAAAACTTATAAAAAAAAAACAGTTATATGAGGGGAGGCGTTCCAAAAACAACATTTATGCACCTGCATTTGAGTATTGTCCCCTAAATACAGCCAAATAGTTGTATCACAATCCATTATGGTGAATAAGCTTGTATTTTGTTCTAAAGAGTCAGAATGCTTCACCTTTTGTTAGCTAATGAACTTAATAATTATAAAAGAGTTCCGAAGAAAGAAAAAACAAGATAGGGATGGATAAAGAGAGGGGTACTCTATCCACAATCATTACCGATAATTCACCAGGGATTTCAATGTTCTTTTACCACATATCATCAGACTTAATTACCTTCTAATCCACACCAGTGTAAGCTAAAAAATAACCTAGCCAATTTGCTAGAACTAAGACATTTCCAATCAAAGGGACAGCATTTACAGTTTAACATATTACATAAAAACACCATACTCCAGAAATCCCAAATTTAAGAAGCACAGCTAATTATTGACAAACAGATAAACAAATATTCATCCTCAAATCAGCATTTTATGTTGGCAAACAACTTCTAAATTCAAAACATGTTAAAGCAAAACGGACCTAAACGTCCAACTAAACGCTAATTCTTCCTGGGAAAAAGCAAACTTCTCCTCTACCAGAAAACTAGGTATTCAACAATAATTTAACCCTTCCGTCATATTCAAATATTCAGACAGTATACCATGATTATGAATCACTGCTAAGATTTCAGAATGGATTCAAACGGAACCAAAAACCCTTTATCATAAAAACACTCACAATTCAGAAAATAAGCAAAAGAAGGTAAATTGCGAAAAAGCCAAGAGTTGCAAGAGATAAACCTCAGTAGCAAGAGTGCTTTAGCTGGCGTGAGCTTCAGAAAATTAAAGGGTTTAAAGGAAAAAAGAACAAAAATTCCAAAATTGTGGTACCAAAGCCATATATACTTTCCCAATACGACCCCCAGTAAATAATGTCAAAGAGATCCTTCTAACTTGATTCTATTACGAAAGAAACCCAAAAATTTTGATAATTTTGATAACTTTTTTTTTTCACAAAATTACAACTTAAGTCATACATTGATTGCAAACTAAAAATCCTTTGAAACTTACTAGTGTGAGGCTGTGAGCTTGATCAACTAATTAGTGATGCCAAAAAGATAGGAAAAAGAGAAAATAAGTGTAATTCGTGAAGTAAAATTCCAACAACAAGGATGAAACTTCCAATACGGAATCCCGAATTGAAAGAAGTCTAAGTTGACTCGCTAGTAAAACGAAACATTACAAATTTGCGTTCAGTTTTAACTGTTCACGTGTGAGTCAAGTTATTTTCCATCTTTGGATGTTGAAAACTATGTCCGCAGTCAAAGTTTGAGTGGGATTAATACAAAAGTCATCTATGGTTTTCAACGATAACTTGTATAGTAACTTTGAATCAAGCATGGTATAATTTGGATCAACAGTTGCCATGTATGGCTTATTCACAAATTATGTGCAACCATTCGACAATGTTGTTATACAACAATAATAAATGTCATCAACGCTCCATTTGACTCTCAAAATTGGATTTGGTCTTCTTTATAAATAGGGTGAAGTTACATGGTGTTAGTCTCACTCACACTGTGTTTTACTCCCAAGTTTCAATCTTGAAGTTCTGAAAGCATAATGAAAACCCTTCCCATTCTACTCATTTTTTGGTTCGTTTTTGCTGTAGGACAATCCAATGGCAAAACCAACACAATCGACCTTTTTCCATTACTGAAGATGTACAATTTCAACATCACTAATAAGCTCCCAAACAATTCGACCCCTTTAGGAGTTGACTGCCATACGGCCGGAGAAGACCTCGGAAAGAAGCTTCTCTACGCGACCGAAAATTTCCATTGGGAGTTCATGATGTTCTCTTGGCAATCCCTAGCGTACTTTTGTGACTTTTGGTGGCTTGAGAAGAAGAAGAGCTTGCTAGTTTTCCACCATGATGTGGCTTTCAAGTATTGCATCAACAGTGGTTTCTTTGGTTTTGTAAATGAGTGCCGTTGGTATGTAAAAGAGGATGGTTTTTATGTTGATACTGGAATCATCATAAATGGACTCCCTGAAAAAATTGCAAGTTGGTGATCCGGAAGGAGAAATATTAACACAAAATGGTACCATTGCGTGTTGAACCATGCGGTTTTAACAAGTGTTACATTCATTTAATAAGAGTTTGTAATGTTTTATCATTCATTTCATATTTTCATTCCAGTAGATGTCCTGAGGAAGTACTGATGTAATGTAAGTATCGAGAAGGAAAAAGGCATAGATTATTATTAGTCGGGTTACTTTTATTTGATTTTTGCATATTGAATTATATTTAAGTCTTTTATGTTTTAAACTTTTGATACTTACGAAAAGTGTCCACCGTCGGAAACAGTCTACTATTACATTTCATTAGTAAGATATATTTAATGTTACGTTAAAAGGGTACAAAAAGGGAAATGCAAGAATGCGACATTCATTTTTTTGGTCAATTGTCTTCTTCCCACATCAAGAAAGGAAAATAAGAAAACAATAATGACAGAAATCAGAATGATTTGTTTGAACCCATTTACATCACGCTGATCTGTAAACACCACAAGGAATCAGCATATTGCAAAATCTCATCTCTTCCTTCTCAAAAGGCTGAAGCAGGGTGATCCTTTCAATATTAAATCAACTTGGCAAGATATCTCATTTTAGTCCTTATTATTCCTCCCATCAAGTTCCAACCATAATATTCTCCCCCGCATAGCCAAAGCATCGTTTGGTTTCTTGCTGCTTATGTTATATTTCGTCCGGTGATGGGCTTTGGTCGGAGGAGTAGAGATCTTAGGAACATATAATGACATTGGAATCGCACATGTGTGGAACGCTCTCGAGGAAGAGGACGAAGAAGGAGGCTGAACCAGGTTATGAACTGCAAGGTTATTAGAACTCAACCCTTCTTTTTGCTTTCTGTTCCCATCCAAAGATGCTGAAGTAGAATTCTACAGCCAGCGAAACACAAATGATGGTGAGCAATATAACCCTTATATATATGTATTTATTTTGGATATGATGAGCGAGAAGCAGGAGATGAAATCAATATGAAGCAAATTAAACTGAGCCGGCAAACACATTCTGCATTACATTAACACAAATTTCACAAGTGTTTTCAGGGCTCATCTCGATCCATGAAATAATTATTCTTCTTAAAGGAGTCATTTCAAGATTTACCACCCCTAAAGCTCCTGTTTCTCATTTACATGTCACCAATTCCGGACACAAAATGTCATTCTTAAGACTAAATTTCCTAAAATGTCATATCTAGACACACACACACACACACACACGCACAAGTTAGGAGGAGGATCTCACTTGAATTTGCCTTAAGTGCAGTATCTCATCAATGGAGTCACGAAGTTCTTCAGCAAAAAACCTGGAAAACAGTGAAGCATTTGGATGAAAACAAAAGTGCTAATTCACCCTTTCTATACAATTACGTCATACTTTCTATGAGTTCTCCATTGTATCTACATATGGACAATAAAAATAGATACCTGCGTGGCTAGAATCCATCCCAAAGCGAAAGCTTCTTACGTCACCACATTAACAGACTTAGTTAAAAACCAGTATGATAAATAACGAATGAAACTACAATTTTTTAGATCACTTGTGTAAGGAGAATATTACAAAAATGCGTAAAAGCGTACCAGGACATGTCACTTCAGTTAGTGTCTTCTCTCTTCAAAGCAAAACCGAGTTGCTTGAGAATGATTATAGTGCTTCTTACCCCTTGAAAATTTGGAGTCTCTAGACCCCATTTCTCCTGCAAGATGATAGATAAGGAATTCCTTTGCGAGTTTCCAAGTGCGAAATTTGAAAGTCAGAGAGAAAGAGAAGAAAATCACCAAATGTAAGTTTCAAAGTAGAGTTGGATCAATTTAGGTTAAGATAGAATGCTGTTTGAAAGCATATGTCACTCTGGAAGCACAACAGGCGATATTTGTCAAGAACTTCACACTCCTTTCGAAAACTCTGAGCATCAATGAGGCAGAAGCCATGATATTTTGCATCTTCCTGCACTCAACAAATCTTGGTTTCTGCTGGTGTTAATTAGTTTAACACCACAAGGCAGATCAGTGCGAGCACCATGGCGCAGAAACACAAATCTGTAAGGCGAGAGCGTAAGTTGCGAGCAGCATGGTGCAAAGGGTATAATCCATCTGGAAGTGGAACATTGATAAGATCATCAACAACAACAGCAGGGAGTCCAGTCTCTCCTTCCAGGAGTGAAGTGGCACAACCCTCCGCAGAATGACAACAAATCCACATCATTATTTCATCCAAAGGAGGCATATTTTCAGTATGGCTGAAACTGCCATCCTCCGAAAAGCTCCGGATGAAAGACACAAAACCATTCTTGTCATCATTACGGATAAACTCCTCCAATACCTTTTCTACCTTAGTAGTTCCATCACTAGGATTACTACTAGTACTACTTTTACTCTGTTCCTGATCAGAGTCAATCAAATCAAAAGCACCAGCATCAATCTACTTGTTAATTTTTTTATATGAATTTAGCCAAAAAATATAACAACATATGCAATTTATTGAACCTCAAACTTCAAAAAAGGACACTACTTTACAAGAAAGAAAAAAACAAACCAAACATAATAAGAGGACACAGTTCATACCTCAACCATCTTTACAGCCGCCTGTTTCTGCCGGAGTAGGAGATGTTAAGAGCGCCACCAGGAGGAAGAATGTGTTGAGAGATCGACCCGTCAAACTCTCGTTTACCCTCCGAAGAAACGAAAGATTCGGCCTTTTCTAAAAGGTTTAATTAATAGTAAAAAAAATAAATAAATTTGAAGTTTCACCCCAGCCCACTACCATCTGTACAGAGAGATTTCTTGCCCTTCTGTTTTCTTTCACTTGGAAAGAGGATTTAGGTTAGTGAGAAAGGGGGGCGGAGTAAAAACTCTAATTTGGGGGAGATGGGGAATGTATATGAGGCGGATTGATTCATCCCTCAATCGGGATTCGGATTTCGAAGAAGAGATGCACGATGCCATGCTTATTCGATAGAAGGGATGTGTTTGTGTGCTTGTTGAACGACCTTACCCGGGAAGAAGTTGAGATCTTGGATCCTTTAGTTTGGATACTTCGTTATGATTCTGTGCGCTGTTTGGAAGCCGTGCTGAATGGAGAAACCGCTGGATTGTTCGAAATCGATGTCAATTCTGTTCCATTCGAAAGCTCTGATGAACGATTAGAATTAGTTCCCATATTGCACGCCGTTTGTAGTTATGGTCTTAGTGTAGCCTCTGAGATAACCAAATTCTGTCTGCCTGCAAATGAGTCTCAGGTGAACCTTCGAATCGATGTTGATGGTATGAAAGGAATGCTTCCCCTGAATTTAGCCCTTCAGCATTTACGGTAATCATTTTTATCTGCTATGCTCTGCTATTAGATTCTGTCTTTCTTCTCTGCTCTATACAAATTGACTTGAAATATTTAAATTAGAGGGATGATTTATGTAATGATCGAGCAAGATGGCGACATATGATCTATATAGCCGACCCATCTAGTGGAAAAAAAAAAAAAGCTTCTTGTTGTTGTTGTAAATTTTAGTTTGGTTTGATCTTCCTTTTTGGTCCCATTTCGCATTTAACAGGTATGTTATTGATGAGGAGTCTCAGCAACAGGAACCCTTAGAATAGATATCGGAACCTAGTCCAGAGGAACCAGAGCGGCTTTTGTTCAAGTTGATTTTCCATCTTTCTCGCCCATTTCATGTTAGTCCCTCCTCCTCCCACATGCTGTTTTGTGAAAATCACATTGATGTTTGATGGAGAGTACATTAATGAATATGCAAATGAATGTGGCACTATATTATCTCGTAGTTTTTGTTTTTCCACCACAGAGAGAGGATGGTGAAGTTGTGAGTGTTGAAATCGAACAAGAATTACTCAAGTACGTGAACGAAGGAAAACTACTTGAATTGACTGCCTTATTGATGTTTGCTCGCGATATCGTAACGCCTAGTTTGGAAGGGGGCTCTAAAATTCGAGACTTTGTTCTCCAAGAGATTGCAGCTCTGAAAATATCCACATCGTGGGAGGATTCTTACCACAGTGCATCTCGCAAGGCAATAGGTAATAATGAGGTATGCAGTTCCTAATTAAGGAGGATTAATTCTTACTAATCATGAATATTTCATAATTCAATCTTGCAACTTACTTATGAAGTTCACATTTTTGTCCCAGTCTACGCCAGGGTCATCGCTTTGGTTGTTGAACAAGATAAAATTATTGCACAGTATAAACTGCCATATTGAACCCAACTTTTCACTTCGATTATATCATACGCATCATTTTGTGCGAGGCCGGCGTCGGTTTGGTACTTCAGTAATGGGAAAGAAAGTTGGTTCGTCCTTCCACCTCAAACATCATTTTGTGAGAGCTAGTGGCGGTCTGGAATCAACCACAACAGTAGTATAAGCTTGGACGTGCTCTTTGCAAATAACATGTAATATTGGTGGTGGTGGCTAATTTGTTTTCAAGCATTGCGTTTGATTTTTACGTGTATATATATATATATATATATTTTTTATTTTTTTCAGTTAAGAAGGTAAATAACATTACACAAGTGAACCATAAGGAGAGTACACAAAAGGTAATCCAACAAGGATGCAATTCATCTGGTCAGTTGTCATCCTCCTCACCTATTGAACCCGTTTTTTTTTTTTTGCAAATTAAGAAAATGCAAAGTGTAAAATTTTGTGTGAAAAAGGTTCAAAAGATGTGGATAGTTCCAGAGGAGTTGGGAAGGAAAATACGGGCAATTTGGCCTTGGTCCAAAAGACAATGGAAGAGGCAATTATTGGGCATTTGAGGACATAAGTGTATGTGAATAGGTCATAATCACATATATCAACAGAATGACAACACCCAAATTTGTACATTTCTAATAATTTTGCTGCGTTACAACATAACATTGTTAGTAGTCACACGAGATTTCTTTTCTTTGGAATGGACTCTACTTAATGGTGATCTTATGCATGTGGTAACCTTATATAGTTAAACTTGATATTATTAAAAAAACAACTAATTATTTGCCTGATTTAATTTTGTGTTTAAAACAATATATTCCTTAGTGATATAAGGTTCGAATTCTAATTTTATACTTACCAAATTCTTTTTATTTTATTTTTCCCCTTTCTAACATGAACACCATAGTAGTCAACAACTTGAGTCATTAGTAATCCAATGTTGAAAATTTGAACATTCAGCTTGTTTGCTCAAAGCAGACGTGGAACTTACTTACGATTTTGTTTGGTCAATAAAATTTATCATTTATTCTTTTTAAATATATATTTTTTTCCCGAGGCAACCGTGTCTTCTAAATCAAATTATCAGTACATAAATAAATAACATAAATAAATAGCGTGGGGAATATGAAACGCTCTAGATGTAGGCTCTATTTGGACAGGTGTTTTGAAAATTTGTTTAGAAAAGTCTGTTTGAACCAAAACTTAGAAAAATATTTTTTGGAAAACAATGCATTTGGACAAGAATTTTTCGAAACCCTTTTAGTAATTAAAAATATTAAAAAGTCATTTGGACTAGATCGTTTTCAAAATTACTTTTTCTTCAAAATATTTTGTGAACTTTTTTTTTAAAAAAATTATTTTTACACAAATTGTCATTTTCATTTTCTTTCACTTTTCTTTCCTAAAGTTTTGTTTCCTAAATTTCCAGTCAAATTACGTTTTAAATCATCTCTCAAATTCAAATAAAAAATGTGACGTCTGTGAGATTTAACCTACTTGTTATTTCGTATAGTTTTCGAGTAGCATGATAGATAATGAAAATTGTATTAGATTGAAAGCTAGTTAGGTTAGCATTAAACTTACAAATAAATAAAACAACAATAGAAACAGGAAAATTTAATATTTTTATGTTAATAGATGCCAAGATAATTGAAATGGACACATTTGATAAACTAGGACAATTTTTTTTGAGAATGCCAAAAAAAAAACAAAACGGGAAGAGATCTAATACTAATCTAAATGTTATTAATTTAAATATATTATTAATAAAACAACAAATCAACAACAATTTCCCATGGCAACTGGAAACAAACCCACTTCGAATATGATTCAATAAATAAAACCCATAAAAAAATTTACACAAATCCCTGTTAAGGTAACAAGGATTTGGGTGTAAATCTAAGTATTAGAAATGATGATTGGAAGCTAAACCTTATCTAATAAAAAAAAAGAAGAAAAAGACGGGAATAAGCAAGATTACCAGAACAAGGTGTCGCCCCTACTTCGCCGTTGCCGTCACGGGGAGTTTTGCCGTCGCCGTCGCCGTCACTGGGGTGCCGAAGGAGAGAGAGTGTGAAAGGGGCGCGACGGTCTAGGGTATGAAGACAAAGAGAAAGGACTTTGTTTTCCTGTTATATTCATTACCCGATTTTTTCATAACCCGACTTTGACCCGGTTTAGACCCGCGAACGGAGAAAAAAGCTCTGTTTCAAAAAATTGAAAAATACCCCCTACTTATTTTCTAAAAAGTCTGTTTTAAATCTTCTTTTTTTCAAATTGATATTTAGAAAAGACTTTAATTATTTTGTCCAAACGCATTTTTAAACTCTAAACAGACTTTTTAGCCTTAAAAGTCTTTTTAAAACTCTTGTCCAAATGGAGCCGTAGTTTTCCTGATTTTTTAGTAATTTTTAGCAAGGTTTGATTTTCATTTATTAAATATAGTTTTCATCTAATGCAAGCAGTCCTGATTATAAACTCCTTTTATTACTCTGTATTATATCCCAAAAGAATTATTCAGTTTATGTGTTTATTTTTAGTACAAACTATACTAAGAATAAAAATCAAAATAGACCAGAAACAGTGATATATAACGATTAATTAAGATACAAGTGATGATTTCTTAATCTTGTACTAAGTTTTTAACTCCTCGATTGATTATTAAAATAACACTTTTTGTAGCTGAAAATGATTATATAATTCAACAAACTGTCATCTAAACAATGACATTTCAGCCATCAAGCCTAATTTTCTTTTTCTTTTTTTCTTTTGAAAACTACCTGACTCTTAAGATCCAAACAAATACATTTGGTTGCATGTTACTAGAGTTTTGGCATGTGCCTTATTTCCGTCTCAAAATAATTATCATATTTCTTATTTAAAAATAATATTATATAATAAATAACAAAACATTTTAATATAGAGGGACAATGTGTTAATTATATGTCATTTTGTCGTCATGACACGGACTTTGATACGCAATGTGATATGAAATATTTAGTCAACTCTACGGACCAAATAACTGCCTTCAATAAATTTTACTGATTTGAAAAATCTTTTATACTCCCATTTCTTTCAAAGAAAGTCTTTAGTTGCCAAAGATTTATTCTCAAATTGGTCTCTCATGAAATGAAATGGGAAAATTTTTAAAAGGGGCATGGGAAAGATCAAAATTATTATTAAGGGCTTTAGCATTTTTTAATTCGTTTTAAAGTACAACTAATATTTTGTGACAATGTTAAAAGACTACTTTATTCTTTTTAAGATCACATAATCTTTTTTTAATCCTTTCTTCTTCTCCACCAAAACAGTAACCGGAATCAGTTATCTTTGTTCTCATCTCAAAATCACGACTAAAAGCTTCAATGGATTCTTGAATTCAACTAGTTTTATCCAAATCGTTTTTTGTCGTTTTCGCCTTTCGGATCTTAGCTTCCATGGTTTCTGCTCTTAAACTTCAATAGTGAAAACATGAATCCAGTGATAAGCCCTAATTTTCACAAAGAAGGGGATTGCTACCGGAAATTCAACGAACTTCCGTCGGAAATAAAGTCGTCAAATCAAAATAACCTTCCATTTCGAATATGAACATCACATTTCGAATCCAGTTCTTACCAAAATAGAATATATGTTTTTGGCTATACAGGCTCTGTTGTTTGATTTAAGTTAGACAGTCTCATATACTAAAGCATGAACGTCAAGTTGTCGGCAAAATTAATAATTAGAGTAAGAATAATACCAGTCAGACAGAGGGAGTCATGTGCAGAGTCTGAAAAAGTGACATGGAGGAGATGGCGATGGAAAAAAAAATTAGGGAGGGGAAAAAAAAAGAGTTACAGTGGTTAGTTGGAAAAGGGTAAATCAGCCTTTTCTAATTTTAAAAGATATAAAAGTTATTTTAATATTCATGTTAAAAAATAGGAATTACTAGTGCCCTTAAAAAATAATTTTGATCTTTCCGATGCCCTTTTTAAAAATTTTCCCAAATGAAATTGATAGCCAAACTATTTATGTATATACTAGGGCTGGCAATTTCCGACACGACCCGAAATTTCAACACGAACCCGATATGAAATAACTCGATACGAACACGACCGAATAATAAATAGGTTGGGTTAAGGTTGGGAATTTGGACCCGTTTATTATATGGGTCGGGTTAAGGTCAACCCGACGGGTTACCCAGGTGACCCGTATATATGTAATTTATATATTTTGTAGGGTAATCTAGTAATTTTTTAACAAAGTAACCATAATTTCACCCTATATATATACCCCTCTTCCTCCTCTTCAGCTCTTCTCATCCTCTTTTTTTTTTTTTTTTCTTTCCTCTCTTTCTCTCCCTCTCGCTGGCCGCCTCTTCTACTCTCTCTCTCGTTTTTTTTTTTTTTTTATTTCTTTTTCTTTCCTCTCCCTCTCGCTCGGCCGCTTCTTCTCCTCTCTCATTTTTCGTTTCTTTTTCTTTTTTTTTGTTTTCTTTTAATTTTTCCTTCAATTGAAACATTTCCTAAAAGATCTGATAGATGGGGCATCTGATCTGTGAGTTAAAAGGTAAAAGGATGTCGAAAAGCTCCGACTTTCAGTGCTCTAATTATTGTTTTTATAATCATTGTGGTCGGCGGCATTTAGGCGGCGAGTTGCAGCAAGAACGCAGTAAAGAAGAATATGATTTTAGTTTTTTAGAAATTTTAGGATTGATCCCCGTATTTTTCTATAAAGTAGAAGGTTGTAATTTGGATTTAATTTTGTTATTTGAATACTGGTTCTTTACTTGTTTGGACTTTGGATCAAGTTGGTTGTAATTTGTGTCATTTGAAACTGGAATTTTCAGATTTTTTTGGAACTGCAATCTTAGTTTTTCTTGATTTTAAATTTTTTTATTTTAGAATTTCGGATTAACAGGTCGGGTCACAGGTGACCTGAATATTTTCAGGTCGGGTTAGGATTCTAAAACTTGACCTGTTTATTTATACAGGTCGGGTCCGGGTTGGCTGAATATTATTCGGGTTCAGGTCCGACCCGACACGCCAACTCGGCCCGACATGGATTGTCATTCCTAATATATACTTAAATTTGAGACCTCGTCATATTCTTACCCTATGCGATTGGGAAGACCTAAACGTACAACTCCATTTTAAAGTAATGAATGATGCAACAAATAGTTTTTTTTTCCTTTTTTTATTTAATTTGGATGGCCAGCAAGAATCGAACTCTCGACGTCCTGGTAATAACCACTCCAGCGAGAATAGTATTCTTTATGATCCATTAAAATATTTTATTTCACTAAATTAAAATGTTACAATTATAATTATTTCTTATATAATAGAAAGACTATTAGATAACAAAAAAAAATACAATATGTAATAAGGAGAAAATCTTATATATATATATATATATATATGACCATAAAATTAGTGGGATGGAATTAAGAACAATTTTATGTATACATTTGGAACTATTGGCGGTTAAAATGTAAATATGTTTTTTGTTTACCCAAAAGAAAATTCGTTGAGGTAAACTATGACGTAATTTGAATTTGCAAGTACATACCAACACAGAAAATCTGGATGATGACAGGATGACACATTTTCTGAATTTACAACAGTAAATATTCTTTGTAACAGATCAGTAACAACCTTGTAAAGATTTCAATTTGGGATCTTATTGCAACCTCCCACGAAATTTAATAAAATTACAGATCAAACATTAGTACTTGTGAATGCCTTAAATCATAGGCGAAAAATACCCTATGGAAAAAATGTATAAATGATAAAGAAATATCTTTCCTAATATTTAATTAGTTTTTCACCTAAAAAAACGTTTTACGGTAAAAAATTTACTTAAAAGACATTTTTCCCTTAATAATACCAATGAATTTACAACTGAAAAATAAGCGTCAAACGTCAAATAATTTGCCTATTTTATTCAATCATTTTGAGAAGTATTTTTGGTTTTTCAAAATTTTGGTTATATTCTAAATTTTTAGAAAGTACCATAAATCATAAAGGGCCTATTTTTCATCAAATATGAAGTTTAATGGAGAAAGTGTACTTGTTAAAAATTTGAGCGAACGGAATATAAATTGTCAAAACGTTAGGGGCGATAGTGGCGATTAACGGTATTTTATTTTGTTAACATGGAAAATAATAATTTATGCGCCATCTCTCTCACTCATCTTCTTCAGCCTCAAAAATGCATCTCGTTTTCTCTCTCTAATGTTCATTTTTACAGTGATTTTTTTTCCATTTTAATTTTATTTATTTATGGGGCAATATATATAATACAAACAAAGCAAACCCAAATCTCATCACACCCCAAACCCCTTTCCATCCCTCCCCACAACCCTTTTTCCCCCATATATCTCATTTTAATTTTATATTTTTTTCATCTAAATTCTTGATCATAAATCCTCGATCTTACTCAATCCCAGGAATTCGTCCTCAATTGCCGATTTCGGGGAAAATAATGGAATTGAAACGCCAATGGATATGAATTTTTAATCCTGCAATCCATTTTCGGATCTGAATTGAATTGGTTGTTTCTTTTTTATTTATTTATTTATTTTTTTTTGAATTTATGTGGAGGCAAATTCTGAATCGGTTGTGTTGAAAGTAGAAGCTGGGTTTTTGCGGGGTTCATTGTATTGGGTTTTGAATGAATGCTTTGGGTTTATTTTCTTAATTTAAAGGAATCTGAATGGGCAGATTGGGATTGAGAGAATTCGATTAAGGGGAAATTTGATTAATTTGGAGGAATTGAGATAGAATGCCAGGGATAGCATCTGCTGCTGCGGCGGCGGCCGCAGCAACAAATGATCATCAGTTTGGAAATGGAACGGTGTCGTTCTGGTCAAAGCATCGTGATGATGTTGTTAGCTTTAATCAGCTCCAGAAGGTACTTAAAAGAAAAGCTAAAATTCATTTCCGGGGTTGTTGTAATGATTTTTTTTTTCCCTTTTGGTTTAGTTTGATCTCACTTCACTTAGATGTGTATAACGTATGCTTTATGCCCTCAGTTTAACTTGCGATTTTGTTTTCGATTTGGTACTTAATGTCAAAGTACCTTATGTGTAATTTAAATCATTGCTTGTTCGTTTTCATTGTGGCAATGATAATATTCCATGTAGAAGTTTAACCAATTAATAATGTCACCCAAGGCGCTATAAGAAGTAGCTCTGTAGTAGGTGAAAATGTTGCTGTTTGTCAGTTGATGCAAGGTGTTTTGTGGCATTTTCTCTCGTTTTTCTGCAATGATGTGGTCAAAGGGATATCAAAGCGTCTTTGGTATTTTCATTTGTTTTTCCTGCAATCATTGGATCCAAAATGAATGTTATTTCCCTCCAAATTAATAGATGGTGTGATGATACTCGTGCTTACACCATAAATGGAATACTGTGTCATCTATAGGGATGACACGTTTAAACACCACCTTCGCTGCAAAATACGTTAAAGAATGGTTTTCTGTTTTATTTGTGCCACGTCCGTCTTCATCATAGTTTCACCGAGAATATAGTTTATTTTTGTGGGGGTATAGTAGAGTTATTAAAGCTTGTGTGAAAGTTATTTTAGTTACTATATATAGATCAGGTTGATCCTTTCATTTAAAATTTTAAGATCAATTGTTGGAAATACTGGTGAAATCTTACTTTGTGATGTTTTTTCCCCTCATACGATGGCTGTGATTTGATATACAACAACTGAACGAAATGGTTTTGCTGTCATTTGTGTTGACCCTGTAAAGTATGTAACGATCCTTTTGAATGCTAGTTACTTATCTATTCAATAGTTTTTTAATTATTCCTATTCTGGCGTATATGCCAATATTCTGCTTGCTTCTGTACTGAAGGCATTAAGTATGTGACGGGTATATTCGAATATTTCTCCTTTTGCTGTTTTTATATGGCTGAGAATGGAGAAGTTCTGCATTATTTTATATCATCGTATTAAATTTGTTTAGATTGCATTAAAATGTTTTATTTTCCTGGCTTATAAATTCAAATTACTCATATTTGGGGACTCTGGATTTTGGATTCTATCATCTCTTCCTGTATAAGTGGTTGATGACAGTGATTCACTTTGTTGTCTCGCAGTTTTGGAGTGAGCTGTCCCCACAAGCACGGCAGAAACTCTTAAAGATTGACAAGCAGATGCTTTTCGAGCAGGCCCGTAAAAACATGTATTGTTCTCGATGTAATGGGTTGCTCCTGGAAGGTTTCTTGCAGATTGTCATGTATGGAAAGTCTTTGCAGCAAGAGGGAGGAATAGGTAGTCATAGTTACCATCCTTGCGATAGATTAGGAACTCTGAAAAGTCATCAAATTGATGGCGAGTTTTGCTCAGATGGATGTGAAGGTGATATTCAAGATCCATCTGTCCATCCTTGGGGAGGTCTGACTACTACCAGAGAAGGGATGCTCACTCTTTTGGACTGTTACCTGTTCTCAAAATCTCTGAAGGGCCTCCAGAATGTATACTTGCAATCCTGAACTTTTTGCTTCTGCATTTCTCTGTCGTTAGCCACTTTTGATTGGTTACTTTGTATCTGAAACAGGTGTTTGACAGTGCAAGAGCCCGGGAACGGGAGAGAGAATTGCTTTACCCTGATGCGTGCGGTGGTGGAGGTCGAGGATGGATAAGCCAAGGAATGATTGGATACGGTAGAAGTCATGGAACGAGAGAAACGTGTGCCCTCCATACTGCCAGACTTTCTGTCGACACATTAGTAGATTTTTGGTCAGCCCTAGGAGAAGAAACTCGGCTATCTTTGTTAAGAATGAAGGAAGAAGATTTTATTGAGAGGCTTATGTACAGGTGTGTGTTTAGGTTCTCTTAACACCATGATCTCCTTAGAAAGTAGAATTAACTCTCTAAGTTACTGTTTATTTGTTATACAAGGAAAGTTACATTTCCTGTAACATTAACCAATTCATGCCTTACTGTATTCGTTCCTGGCAAATGCAATCATATTCAAGTTGAGCTCGGATAGCTTAGAGTGCGAGGAAAGGAACAACATAGCAATGTCGATGATACTTCTCAGTAGGTTATCATGGCCAAATTGGAAAATAAGCTATTTTGTTGAAACAGAATAGTAGTGGAAATAAAATGAGGGGAAATTGGCCTTGATATTCAAATTAATAGGGTTAGAGCGATATTGAAGAACTCTAGTATTGATTTTTGATCTCGTGATTATTCGGTTGTATGGCTGAAGCTGTTTCTCAGAGTTATTTCTCAAATTTATACCTCAATATACTTAGAATCCTTAATGTATAACATGTTTTCTTGGCTGATGAGTTGTAAAGAAGGTAAAACTTTACCCGAGATGCATGTATATTTAGTTGGAACACCTTCTTAATGTATAACATTTTTCCTTGGCTGATGAGTGGTAAAGAAGGTAAAACTTTGCCCGGGATGCATGTATATTTAGTTGGAACACCTGTAGGCTATATACCATCTATGTTGGGTTGGGATATTGATCATATGTGGTCATTAATCTGGCTATAGTTGCATTCACAGAAATTGGTTTCTGCTTGTGTGAAACTTTTTCGTGTACTTGTTCTGCCTGTTCAGTAGGCAACAAAAGGGAGTTTATGTGGTATCTTCGTTGTTTTGTCTAATTAAGGTAGTCAAACTTTGTTACAGGTTTGATAGCAAGAGGTTTTGCAGAGATTGCAGAAGGAATGTGATACGTGAGTTTAAGGAGCTCAAGGAACTCAAAAGAATGAGAAGGGAACCTCGTTGCACCAGTTGGTTTTGTGTAGCAGATTCAGCCTTTCAATATGAGGTTTGTGTTCTTCCTTTTTTTTCAAGTGAAGGCAAAGAATTTAATGGTTTATGAATTTTCCTTAAGGACGTAAATTTGTTTATGTTATTCTTCCCTTGGCTACTCACTTAGCTGTTGTTATTTGAATTACTGGGTATGTTTATTTATCTTAAATATCATGCCCTTGTCCGTATCACATCCATAAACCGTGTGTAATTTTTTCTCTCAGGTCTCTCATGACTCAGTGCAAGCTGATTGGCATCAAACGTTTGTAGATACTTTCGGCACATATCATCACTTTGAATGGGCAGTCGGAAGTGGTGAAGGGAAATCGGATATTTTAGACTTTGAAAACGTTGGGTTAAGTGGAAGAGTTCAAGTAAAAGGTCTGGACTTAAGTGGTCTAAATTCATGTTATATTACCCTCCGGGCTTGGAAAATGGATGGCCGCTGTACTGAACTTTCCGTAAAAGCACATGCTTTGAAGGGGCAACATTGTGTTCACTGTAGACTTGTGGTTGGTGATGGTTTCGTTACAATTACGAGGGGGGAAAGCATTAGAAGGTTCTTTGAACATGCTGAAGAGGCAGAGGAAGAAGAGGTTGTGAAAAAGTTCTGAAGCTTTTGTTTTATGACTTAGAAAATCCTATTGCCGCAGGGCAAAATAGGCTCCTGAGCAGCTTTTTGTCAAAATGTGTTCTTGATCTATTCTTGCTATGGGAATTGAGGATCCAGTGACATATATGACAGCTCTCAGTTCTCTTCCTTCCTTCGGAATTTAACTGATGTCAGTATTTGACTTTCTCAGGATGATGATTCCATGGACAAGGATGGAAATGACCTTGATGGTGAATGTACCCGTCCTCAGAAACATGCGAAGAGTCCTGAACTTGCTCGAGAGTTCCTCCTGGATGCTGCAACTGTGATTTTTAAGGAACAGGCATGCATCTTTGTTTAGTTCTAGTTTTATTTGAATTATGTCAGTTACTTCAGCCATCATTGCAAATTACTCCCTACGACCCACGAAATAGTCCAGATTGTATTTTGTAAATTGTTCTACAAACAGAAAAATTTACAACTTACAATGTACTAGTTTTGTGGGACAGGGAGTATCATTTTCTAGAATTAGCACAAATCATCATTATTGTTTTCTGGGTTATTCTTTTCTTCCTTGCCTTGGTTTAATTATCGCATTCTTGCATCTTGTCTGGATCTGTTTTTGAGCACGTGAACCACAGAATAAATTCTACTTGTGGTTCTGGTATGCCCGGAAATCCATACCAAACTGATAAACTCACATTTGTTAAGATATTTATCAAGGCTTTTTCTTGCTCTTTTACTTGTTCATGGATTTTGTAAATGAAAAGATAATTTAAGATATGCCATGTGCAGGTTGAAAAGGCATTCAGGGAAGGAACAGCACGACAAAATGCTCACAGCATTTTCGTATGTCTTGCTCTGAAGTTGTTAGAGGATCGTGTGCATGTTGCATGCAAGGAAATCATCACTCTAGAAAAACAGGTGTTTGAACTTGGCCACAAAATGGTTCTTTTTCGCGTTTGTTAATTGAGATTGATTATTCATAGCTCCTTTGCTGGAAATTTTCGCTTTAGGAGCTTAATGTTTTTGGTCATTTGTTAAAATTGTTCTTCAGATGAAACTTCTTGAGGAAGAGGAGAAAGAGAAACGTGAAGAAGAGGAACGCAAGGAACGAAGGAGAACAAAAGAGAGGGAAAAAAAGCTTAGAAGAAAGGAGAGATTGAGAGAGAAAGAAAAGAAGTTTTCCGAATCATCAAACAAGCAAGCTGAAGTTCCTGAAATTTCAGATCAGCAGGTACCGACTATTGCTGCCGATGAGGAGGAATCCGACGGTGTCACCTGTAATGTTGCTGACTCTGTCAGCGAAACAGGGGAGGCCGGAATTCATTCTGGTGGGTCTGGGTCCTCGTCCTCATCCCCTGATATTCAAGATGAGCAACAATTTTTGGATGAGGAGTTCATCGCTTCAGACTTGCAAAACCACCATTATGCTGATAGTTTTGAAGTGGAATTCGGAAACACAAATGATGATGGGACAAGAAGCCCATTGCCTTTTGATCACTCGAAATATTCACGACATAAGCAGCAAAAGTTCCGTAGTAAAGAGTTTCTGCAGGGCGGTGCTTACTCAAAATGGTTTGATAGACGGAGATATAATGTTGTTGCCTCAGAGAATGGGAGTATGGTTGGCAAATATGAACCAAGACAACAATCAAGAAACACTGCTTCAAAATCTAATGTTAGAAATGTTGGCTTCAATTATGGTGAGAGGTTTTCTTGTCCCAGCAATCGGATCCATGACAGGCATGACTCTCATGGATGCAGCTGTAATCAATATAGTGACTATCGACCAAAAGCTGAGCAACCTTTATCTAGAGTAGTCAGGGAGAATAAAGCTGTGTTCAAGTCAGAATCAACTTCAGACATGTCTAAATCCTACCACCACCGTGTGAACCACTTCCAAGTTGAATTCATTCGTGAGAATTGTGGTAGATCAAAAAGTAAGCCTGTCAATGCAATCAATCACACCAAGAAAGTCTGGGAGCCGCTGGATTCGCAGAAGAAGTACTACACCCGTAGTAATTCGGATTCGGATGTTACATTGAGAAGTTCAACGACAACTTCCAAAGGTGAAGAAGCATCGGAATTTGTTGAGTGTTCTGAATCTTCTCTAGCTAGCAGTTCCGATGAAGTTATTGGCGTTCAACTGACTCACGATGAGAAGGAAAAAACTCATGAATATAAGATTGTAACAGATGGGACGTTAGATTTATCAACGATAAGCAGTTCATCTAATTCTGATAACTGCTCATCGTGCCTTAGTGAAGGGGACAGCAGTAATACATCATCATCTTTGAATCATCCGCAGAACACTGAATCTTCTTCATCGTCATCAGATTCTGAAGATGCTAGCCAAAACTCAGAAGGAAGAGAGATCACTTCAGTCAGCCTTTCAAATGGCTTGAAAAATGTATGTCAAAGTCAAGAAGTCGAAATAGCAAAAGGCGAGACTACAAGCCAGACAGTCATCAATGGTGCCGGCGGTTTGAATAACGCCTGTGGGAGTTTGCCATTGCCTTCAAAAGGTGGCCCTAATGTCTGCGTGAATGCTGTTCAGCAGCAAGGTCATCAGCCTCTGCCTCATCATCCGCAATTGCAGCACAATCAGGGTGTACAATATTCATTTATTCATCAGTCTTCTCCAATGGGTTATTACCATCATCACCAGAGTCCTCTCCCTTGGCCGGCTGCTGCTCCTCCTAATGGGTTCATGGCGTTTCCCAATGCGAATCAGTATGTTTTTGCGAACCCTTATGGGTATGGCTTGAATGGAAATACTGCACATTTTATGCAGTATCCTCCTCCTGCGTTGCTTAATCGTAATCATGTGCCAGTTTACCAGCCTATTGCTCAAAGCAATGGTATCATTAATGGAAAAGATCTGTCCAAGATCTCTAATCTGGTACAAAGGGATCCCGGGCTTGCGCTGAAGCCTATGGATATACCTGCAACAGCCGAAAAAAGTCAGCAAATGCCGAAGGCGGCTGAGAAATCTGAAGTTGGAGGAAACACAGGTTTTTCCCTTTTCCATTTTGGTGGCCCTGTGGATCTTTCAACTGGATTGAAATCTGAAACACCAGCTGCGTTGAAGGACGAAGTTGGCGGGAAGTTATCTTCAAAATTATCAGCTGATCATAATAATGAAGGTGGCGATCAAAATTGCGATACAAAAAGTTCTATTGAAGAGTATAACTTATTTGCTGCAAGTAATGGGATAAAGTTTTCTTTCTTCTGATGATACAAAGTTCCCAATATAGAGGAGGCCATTTTTAAGATTCCATTCCCAATATATTTGTAACCTTGCAACAACAATAATCCTCCTCTGAAAATTTTAGCGTCTTTTTCTTCTATTTATCGTACTGTTTAGTTGATTGATTTATTTTTGTTTGATTTTCCTTCAGAGTTACGGTGTGTAGAGAGATCTGAGAGAGATAGAGATACAGAATGTGAGAGAGTGTTTCTGTATGAGACCAAACATTTTTGGAATTTAATGGAGCAATTTTGCCTTTATACGTCACTTCTTCTTGCAGCTTTCTGTCATAGAAACCACCAATTTCATCTGTGGAATTATCGTGTGAAGCAGAAATCCAGAATGGTGAAGGAACTTCATGAACCAGCGAAAAAGGAAACACCTGAAATTACCTCGTAATAAATCACTGAAAAGCCATTGTACAACAACAATTGTTTTGCACCCAAACTCAAAAAAGGAATTAGAATTCAACCATTTTTCGCTAGTTTCAATACTGCAAGGTAAAAATCAGGTTCATCTACAAATTTCACCAACTGAAATGAATTGTCTGTAGCAACATCTTGCAGTGTAATCTTGCCTGGTAACTCATCGCCTACTACTATGTCCGGGTGCCGTTTCTTTTGCTCTTGAACCATCTGCCTCCCTGACGGATGACTGATAACAATTCTAGCACCTAGATAATAAACCAGAAACGTTAGCAGGAACTCACAAAGGAAAAAAGCTATAAATAGCCAATTATAAGTTGTTGATTACGTAAATTCGCAACAAAGGTTACAGTGAAGATAGCAACACATTGATCTACAAGTAGCTGAACACATACGGTGATGTACGATCCCATATCAGACATTCATTAGTTGCCCGAGCACAGTAACGACTTATGAGATATAGACTCCAGAAAGTGGGACAAGGGTATAATAGAGTTCTTGTTATGTGATGACTTTGTGAAAGAATACCATCAGAAATGACTGCTTTATCACACCCAAAAAGCGTGTAAGTTCAAGAAGCAACAATTCGGAATTACTTGGCTATCGACTTGACAAATTAATTTGATTAAGAAAGGGTAGAAATAAATTCTTTCTGAATACATAAATCTATTAATAAGAAGCATGAACTAATCTTTTAGGGTTTCCACACAGGTGGTCGAATGAAACAGATTATCGTAACATTTTAGTAGATAGTATACTATTACATCGCATCCTATTATAAGCTAGGTTATTTGGAACCTCTTATACGCCTCTTAGTACTTCCCAGATTATCCTAACATTTTTTACAAATGAGAAACAGTATGTTGAGTGGAAAAATTATCTGGCCAACAATGTCTGAAAAGTGTTTCTTTAACAATATTATGTCCTTCTAGTACTTCCCAAATCATCCAAACATTTTTAAAAAAGGACAGAAAAGTATGTTGCTTAGAATAATTACCTGGCAAACAATGTTTGGAAAGTGTTTCAAGGATCTGGGTGAGTTGGAAAGGCAAAGCAGGGAGGAAATACAAGAAAACAACATCCAATGCCACCCAATCCTCTGGTAAATATAGCATTTCTCCTTGCCAGCATTTGACATTGTCGTATTTCTCTTTGATGCATGCTAGCGTAAACAGTGAGTCATGGACAACAAGCAACTGCTGACAAGGTGAACATTCAACAATTCTATCAACAAAATGTTCAGAACTAATTGAAATTAGAACTTTTGAAGTCTCGGCAATCTCCCCTGCTGAGATAATTTGATCAATCTTCTGCTTGTGTTGCTGCTCAGAATTATTGTCAACGGGCTCGAGAAATGACCAATCTTTCTCAATTAGTTCGTCAAAATCCACCACAGAAACTGTTCCTTCATTTGCAGGAGTTGCAACTCTACAAGTTGATCGAGAGTTGGAGACATGATAAGACATAATCGAAGCCAATCTCGGCAAAACTAAAGAGTGTTGACCACCACCAAACTTATGTTGAGTAATGCCACCATATTTAAGCCGTCGATGGCAATTATGTTCTACTGCCTGGAACACCGGCATCACTGGGAGACAAGAGGGTGGTGATAAAGTAGAGTTCATGGGATACAACAGAAGGTTTTACGTGGGCAATCTTCTTAGTGTCTGGGACTAATAACATAAGTCAGTAGTTTAGCATAATGCTGATAAGAGTCAGCGGTAGAACGACACTACATTCTTTTTCCAAAATTTGCATCCATAAGCTTGAAATAACCTTCAAATTTATCTAGCAATTCTGCCATGCATACAAAACCAATTCATGAAATTAGTAAAATATCAATAGTAACACCATAGAAGCCAATGGCAAGATATGATACAGCCCCATTCCCCTCATTTTTGGAACATGACGAGTACGATTTTGAAGAAACAGAGGAAAACAATGATCAGGGCATTACAAACATGAGGAGCGAAGCTGCGAAGGAAAAATCATTAGGTTGCTTCAATGAATCTGGTGGAAGAAATAAATCTATAACCCAGTTACAAGAACTACGAGGGCGACAACAATTGTTTCTTTGTCTAAAACAAGCCCTATTGGTTCACCCAACCAAGGAGCTGCCAAGCTCCCTTTTTATCTTCCAGCTAACACAATAAACAACTACAGCAACAACAAAACACCAAATAGAAAAGAAAGATTTTCCTATGACTTGATTCTCCAAGAGCACCTAAACAAGAAATGTTCCCAAACTTTAAAGCTTTTCCAAGAGTGACATCCGAATTCCAACCAAAATTATTTCCAACCAAGCCATAAGAACCTCCAAATGAGAAATTAAGGATGTTCTAACGTTTTCAACACAACCTATTAACATTTCTGCGGCAAGTTTGAATCTTATAACATAAAAAATGCAAATTAGAATGGAAACCCTGTATTTCTGTTCATACAACCCCAAGCTTCTCCATCCATACCGGAATTTAGAACAAAAAATGATCAATCTAAACCCTCACGGACTGAAAAGTCCCACATTCAGTTGGAACTTCTTACTTCTACAAGGCAAAAACCAGAAATTTATTAATCATAAAAAGAGTGAGGAGAACCAGACCGTCTCAAACAGCAGTAAAAAAAACATTTACTCCCTCTGTCCCAAAATTTTTATCCAGTTTGAAATTTTACTTTTAGTACTATTTGAACTAAAAATGAAAACACAAACTGGACAATAATTATGAGACGGCACGGAGGGAGTATTATATACTAAGGTAGGTAGGGAAAGCAACGCAAAATACATATTGAGCTAAAAAAATAGTTCAATATAACTGGAGAAAATAAAGAATTCCACCATGAACCCACCAAATGAAAAGCACAGAAAATATATTTCACCATATACAACATCAAAATCAAAACTACAGAATCAACGGTGACAAAATAGAACTCAAAATCATCTAGCAAGTTCTCCAAAAAGAAAAAAAGAACGAAAGAAAGCAAGCTGACCCAGAATGAACACAGGGAAGGCGAAAGCTCTTACCTTTCTGGAGAAAACAATGGAAGACTTCGAACAAACGAGTTTGGTTTTGGTTTATCTTCTTCTTGGCGGAAAACTTAAATAGAGAAAAAGAAAAATAAATGGCATGAATGAAAGAAAGAAACAATAATAAGTACAGAAAAAATGCGTACGGGGAACAGTGGGCTAGACCCAAATACGAAAGGAAAATCTAGAATAAGCCCAACTTGTATAAAACCAGTCCAATTTAAAGAAAGCCCACACAGTCCTTTTTCCATCCGATCTCCGGCGGCCCCCGAATCGTCGTCGGCGCGGAATTCAATCCCAGAACAGAAATTCCTATTTGACTGTCTACAAAATTACTTCATATGAACCCCCAGATTAGTTTTCTTGGAAGAATCATTATCAATAGGGTGAAAGTTCCAAGCTTTTTAACTGATTATGCTCATCAACGGCAACAAATTCGAACATTAATAACGAAAGTCCGATTGAAATGGGTGAAGAACAGATCGCTGGACCACATAATCGACGTCCAAACGGACCTCAAAGCCGCCTGCCTCCTCAAGGACGCAATTGTCCGCTCCAAGACGGGGTTTTTGACCTCGAAATCACTGGAGGGCACCCACAAAACCCTAGGGCTCACTGTCCAAACGCTGCGTTTCATAAGGAGATATCCAACTCTGTTCCGTGAGTTCCCTCATCCTAAATGGCCTTCCTTGGTTTGTTTTGAGCTCACGGATTTGGCTAAATTGCTGCACGACCAGGAAATGAAGGTGTTTGATCAGTGCCAAAGTGATGTTGTTGAGAAGCTTTGCCGATTGCTCATGATGTCCAAAACCCAAATGGTACCTTCTTTTTTCCTTTTTTTTTTTTTTTCTTAATTTGAAGAATAATGACAGAGTTGTCATTTATAGTTCATTGCTGAAATGATATGCTTGACGTCTCTCGTGTGTGTGTGTGTGTGTGTGTGTGTTCTCTGAGTGTCACATACTAGTAATCTGTTGCTTGAGAATGTGTTTCTTTGTTTAGATATTTCACCCTGAGACCTGATTGAGTTTTATGAGCTTTTCCAAAATTGGTTTATGTATCCTGAAAGTAGTCGTCTTGGCAAATGATTCCTTTTTTTTTTTTTTCCTGCTAGTTGGAGTAGTTAAGCTGGTTTTTCATTCACATGTCGGTATGATACTCAATGATGATGTTAAGTAATGTTTACTATGAAACTGATGTCAAAGATTTGGAATGTGATGGTTGTATCTAATGTTGGAAGATTTGGAATGTGATGCCTGTATCTAATGTCTCCAACAGATGCCTTTGAAATCTTTACTCCCTCTAAAATGGGATTTGGGTTTGCCTGATCATTTCGACAAGAAATTGGTTGAAAAGTTCCCAGATCATTTCCAGATAGTTAAGGGAACAAATGGATTGGCTTGCTTGAAGCTTGCTAAATGGCGAGATGAATTTGCTGTATCTGAGTTGCAAAAGATGAATCAAAAGGTGACAGGATCAGACAGTGGCGATGGCGATACTTATAGAGAATTCAAGAGGGGAAAAGCTGCGCTGGAGTTCCCAATGAGTTTTCCCCGAGGTTATGGGGGGCAAAAGAAGGTCAAAGCATGGATGGATGAATTTCAAAAGCTCCCATACATTTCTCCCTACGAGGATTGCAGGAGGATTGACCCAGATAGCGAACTTATGGAGAAAAGGGTTGTTGGCGTATTGCATGAGTTTTTGAGCTTGACGATCTACAAGAAGACAAAGAGGAATTACTTGAGATCACTGAGAGAAGAGTTGGTTCTTCCCCAAAGGTTTACCCGTTTATTTACTCGCTATCCGGGTATCTTTTACTTATCGCTAAAATGTAAGACAACTACTGTTGCATTGAGGGAAGGGTATCGCAGGGGAAAGCTAGCTGTGCCGCACCCTCTAGCGCGGCATAGGGACAAGTTCCACCACGTGATGAGAACTGGTTTGGTTTATCGAGGCAAAGGCATTGAAATTTTACCTCAGTTAGACGCTTGGGTTGATGATCCAGCAGTGCGTAAGTATGGAGGCGAAGATCAAAGGGAAGAAGAAGAAGAAGAAGAAGAAGAGATTGAAATGACTGACGACGAAGGGGAAGGTGAAACTGATGATGAATAATTGAACTTTACCCAACTTAATTAAATGGTGGCTTCTTGGTGAAGTGCAAACAATTAAGAGATGCTGAGCCGTTGAGGACTTTCAGGTGATCAACCTATTTATCCCTTCGAACCAGTCTGGATCTTAATATTGTTGTTCTTGCAATCTTGCTCACTGGAAGGAATCACATTTCAAATGAAAACAGAGGGAGAGAGAAAAAAACTCTAGTGTCTTTGCTTCTTCTTTCATCTTTGTTCATACTCAAGCGTTTATAATATGGAGATCTAAAAATGGAACAGGTAATCCGAGGATGTGGCTCCGCCGCAGATTCTCATGGGCGGATAGATGATTAGATTCCTTTGGATGTAATTTTTTTGATGTCCAGTAGCAGAAGTAATGCGTGAGTTGGAAGAACCCGATAGTTTTGAGTGAGTTAATTTTGTGGTTACCCAAATCAAGCATCATAAGCAACTGAACTAGTGCACATTAGGGAACAAAATTGATTGAGACTAGATACAATTTATTTATGCTCTGTTGTAAGTATACTCTTTATTTATTTTTTATTTTAAAAATTTTTTTGATGCTCTTTTTTCAATTCAATGTGTTAGGTGTAATGTACTCCCTCCATTCCAAAATAAGTGTCGTTGGCAAAATGAAAAAATTTCTAAAATAAGTGTCGTTTTCGGATTCTAATATATTTTTTATCAAAAATTTCCAAACATACCCTCAAAAGGAATAATATTATTGGTGAACATTTATTTTAATGGGGTTAGTTGAGGATATTTTAGTAATTTAGTTACTCTATTTAATGTTTTCTTAAACTGTGTGCAAACTTTAGAATGACACTTATTTTGGAACGGAGGGAGTACACTCTTATTTTTTGTGCAATCTTAAACAATCCACCTCTGATGATTCCATTTAAGCACTACAGCACTAGGCACAAATAACTGATTTGTCAAAGCCAAAAAAAAAAAATAGTTTTAAATTGGTTTTATCAAATTTGACCTTAATTACTACTATCTCTATGGTAATAAACATAATATTCTTTCTGTTCAAAAAGAAAAATGAACATTGAGTATTGAGATTTGTACGTAAAAAATAACTCAAAACTCTCACTATTTGAGGGAGTGAATGGAATCGATACTTTTGCTAAAAGAAAATAAACAAAACCTAGGAATTTAAAGAGGTTCTGGATAGTGTAAATAAAACTCCGTGCATATTGAGCAAACATAAAAAGGGCCTTACTGAAATCATACAAAATCATATGGGTAATTTTAAAAGTTACTTCAAACTTCGAAACCAAAATGGAAAAGTAAAAGACTTCCAATTCCAAAAGCTTCAAAAGGAAACGTACTTCAAGAAAATCACAGACCATAGTATCTCCGGCCACAGAGTCTACCAATTCCGGCATGGCTTCAGTGATATTCTCCCACCTGAAATACTCCGACAGCTTGACAGTGGTCGGAATCTCACTTGTCACCGCCATTGTCTGCGAAGCCATATCTTGGCTATTCATCTACCGAACGAGTTCCTACAAAACCCTTAAATCCTCCATTGATAAAGCCTCGAAGAAGCTCGAGACCATGAAAGGACCCGCCGGAGCTACGAGCGAGATCACGAGGAAGTCTAAAACCAAAAAAATCGACCGAATCGAGACATCGCTTAAGGATTCCAGCCGCGATCTGTCGCTGTTCAAGTTCAAGTCCGGCTTCGTTGTCGCGGTTGTGCTCTTCGTCGTTTTCGCTTTCCTAAATAGCTTGTTCGAAGGCAAAACGGTTGCGAAGCTGCCTTTTGTGCCCCTCCGCCTTGTTCAGAAAATGAGCCACCGCGGCTTGCCAGGGGACGACATGACGGATTGCTCTATGGCGTTTTTGTATTTGTTGTGTTCTGTCAGTATCAGGACCAATCTGCAGAAGTTCTTAGGATTTTCTCCTCCACGTGGCGCTGCCGGTGCTGGCGGTCTTTTCCCGATGCCTGATCCCAAATCCAATTGAACGGAGAAATAGCTTTGACTTTGGTATTAAAGTTGCTTAGTTCTATTTTTTTTCCCATGATTTTTCCTTTTCAATTTATGTACTCCATGTACTCAGCAATTTTTCGATTAGAGAAAACTTTCTCCTCTGATCACATATCGGATTCATATTCTTCTTGTTAAATCAAAAGTTTTAGTGGAATCGTTGGAGTTTCTTTTTAATGCGTTGATTGTTGCTTTCATTGGCGTGTACTCTGAGTTAACCTGGATTGAAAGATTTGCCCCTTGTTGCTTTAGAAAGTTCCTTCTTTCCTTAGATGTTAAACTAAAATTATTTGTTGCCTAGCTGTTTTAGTTTGAAAGTTGTACTCTTAATGGCTGCAGTAAGTTATAAAGCCTTAATTTTTCTGCACAGTGATAAATGGCATGAATGTGTTAATTCTTGTATTATATCACTTGAATGTTTCATGTTTTTTGGACTACCACCTGATTAATACGATGATGATAAGCTGTCAATTAGTGCTCTTTCCTAGGCCAGCATTTGCATTGACCCTCTCTTTAATGTTGTGTCATACTGGTTAAAACACATTGCTAGGTCTGAATCTCTTGTGATTCGGTTTCCTCAAATAGATGCCAATAGGACTTTGAAATCATTTGGATGCCTAGGTTTCCTCAATTAGTTTCTAGTGTACAGCTTCAGATGTATGCTTAGTTTTGATATCAGCGTTCCACTTTGGTTGGTGTATTGATCAGTAGTAGGTGTTTGGTATATTTTTCTAGTTTAATTATGAACCTAAATCTCGATTATGATTGAGAATCTTTGACCTCTAAAATTTGATATCAACTGAAAGTACTTCTGCTGTTGCATGTTTCTGTACTTTAGAGATGTCCTTTTCAAGTAAATATATTAATGGAGCTCGATAATAGTGTCAGGAATCAATTTTCATATGGATTGAATAATTATTTGAAGTTGGCTTAGTTAACCTGTGATCCCTTTGTATTAGTATCCTGAAGAATGCTTTTTGTTATTGAGGTAAGTTGTGGAATCCAGTGGCAGTTTCCATGGAAGTTGGATTCGGGGATTCCTCAAAATGTGAGTTTTTATCTATGTGTAAAAAGTGATTTCAGGTGAAAAAAGGAAAAAAAAGAAAAGAAATAAAAAGTAATGAATCTGTCAAAAGTAAGTAAATGAAAATTAAGATTAACTTCTTTGTGAGTTTGTACCTGAAAAAGTAGGGTCTATTTTGTGGAGAAAATGGCGCGATGAAGTTGATTTTCAAAATTTTAACTGATTCCAGAAAATCTGTCAAAAGTAATGAATTTTCTGGACTTGACGTTATCAGTCAATAGTGACGTGTCTTCTGCTGGGAGCTCATGCTTTTTCTTTCCTATTGCAGTGATATTATGTCAGAAACATTAAGTAGTATTTGTCGCATATTATTACGTTGTGTAAAGCATGAGTGGCACATATGGTAGAAGGCTGCTTTGTTTCCATAACTGCCCCGTTTTCCTCTTAGATATTAAGTGTTCCATTACAGTTTTGTCTGATTTTAACTAGTTGTTGGGTTGCAAGTATAAAAACAAGTTTGGGGGGATATTTAGGTGATATGCAATGAAAGGAAGACGTGTTTATCTTTCTTAGATATCAACGACCCTCCTATTGGATGGCTCCAATCTCATTTTCTCACATGAAGTATTCAGATAGTTTGAAAGTGGTGGCAATCTCAATCTTTTCAGCCACACTCTGTGAGTTCCTATTATGGCTGCTGATCTACCGCACCATCTCCTATAAGTCTCTCAGCTCCACAATCACCAAAGCCTCCAAAAAGCTTGAGATCATGAAAAATCTCAAAACTAGTGATCATTCCAAGAAATCCAAGATCAGGAAAATTGAAATGGCAATAATAGGATCCAGTCGTGGGTTGTACTTGTTCAAGTTGAAGTCGGGGGCAATTGTCATATCGGTCTTAGTGATGAACTATGGAGTTATGAATAGTTTATTTGAAGGCAAACCTGTAGCTAAATTGCCATTTGTGCCCTTCCAAATTGTTCAGAGGATGAGTCGCACGGGTTTGTCTGGTGATGATATGACGGATTGTTCGATGTTCTTTTTGTACTTTCTATGTTCATTTTGGATTAGGACAAATCTACAGAAGCTTTTAGGATTTTCCCCTCCCCGTGAAGCTGCTATTACTAGGCTTCCTCATTTTCCTTATCTGAAACCAAACTGATTGGATTGAATCTATAATCTATGAATTTAATTTCGGAGAATTTGAGTTTAGAAATGACTCAAAACTTGATTGTTGCAGAATATGGATGACGATTAATGCTCTCGATTTTTTCTGTTTCTGCCTGCAATTATTCTATTGAATTTGGTGATGTTGATTATTAAGTTATGACTCCCAGGTTTATCCTTTTCTTTTGTACACATACCAGGCTTGGATCCGGAAACAGTTTTGTACATTTTTTTGTTCTAGTTCTGTCGATCCTAAAAGTTGAAACATCAGTGTTGGTTTATACAGTGTTGGTTTATACAGTGTTGGTTTCAGTTCTGTTGGTCCTTCTAACTTGAAACAATCACTTTTGGGGGTGGGGGTGGGGGGTTGGGTTCCTCACTTCATATCCAACACAGGATTCCCATCTTACTAAATGCCCAAAATTCGGATGCTCTAGTTCTATAATTCTTTGAGTGCCATGAGGTACTACATCTCTTTCTTGATTCTCTTCACAAAACTTGTACCTTTTCCATCACCTGAACCCATCACCACCGCAGAATTTGGAATTCAGGGCTGGCTGATTTTCTATTTTATCTCTAGCTCTTCTTTACAGTTTCTTTGCTATCGAATGATCCTTCACAATATTTTTTTTTTAAAAAAAAAGTACAAAAGAACTTCTTTTTTTAATTCCCGCATTCTTCAAACGTTAAAGCTCTGCAGCTGCTAGTTGCACGCAATTACTTCTTGGGACATTCGCCACCAAGTTTGGTTTAATTATTTTGAGTTGTCTATGAACTATTTTATCCCATGTGAGATCTCAAATTCGTGTTCTTTTTTGAAGGAAATAGTGTAACTAAAGCTACACTTACAAGTCCAACCATTAGAATTTCGTAGTCAATCATTGCTGTTTCATGCATGTTAAGCTACTAACCTTTCACTATATCATATATCATTCTGATTCAGATCAGTGAGTGCATGTGTATATACTTTTTCGTGCATGAACGTGTGTATGTGTTTTGACATTCATACGGCGTGCAGGAGATGGCTTTATCAGCAACGAATGCTGCGACAAACGTTTCTGTTGGGAATGACGACGATGCAACACATTTAGCATCATCGACCAAAGATAAGTTCCCAATGCTTTCTCCAGATAACCTGAGTTATGGTTGTAGTGTTTGTATCTATAGAGTACCTGAAAAATATTGTAATAAGAATCCAGAGGCTTTTACACCTCGATTAGTCTCCATAGGTTTCGTTCATCGTGGTGAACACCAATTACAAGCCATGGAAGACTACAAATTGAAATACCTCAATTATTTCTTACAAGTTAATGCTCCTGTGTCTTTAGAGGAGTTTGCTAAGTTTGTTCGTAGTGTGGAGAAGCTTGTTTGTGGTTGTTACAAAGATATATATCTCATTATCTTTCATGGTTAAAACTATCTGAAGTGATTTTGTTAGATGGGATTTTCCTTTTTTTGAACTCGTCAATAGGAACTGTGTTGATTATCCTCAAGGAAGCAATCTGATATTTGATCATCCTTGGATTTCGAATGATATCTTACATGCTCTTCTTCTCTTTGAAAGCCAACTTCCTTTTGAGTTCCGTCAAGAATCGCACACCACTTTTGTCAGACTCGCACCTTACAAACCTTTTTATCAACTAGCATTTGACTACTTTACGATTAAGAGTGTGGGTAGAATTAGGAAAATATTTGAGGGCGCCTCTGTATGACGGCGCAAGGGATTTGGTCGAGTTCTTATGGACGCCTTCAGATGCTGCGTCCATAGCACCTTGGGTATCTTGAGTAGAAATAACCAAGGTGTTCGCGCAATATCTGAGTGCATCAGAGCTACATGCAGCCAGAGTTTAGTTCCAGCCAATAACGGGACATGGTTTCTTGGGTGTAAGCTAAGATTTGACAAAGGCAGTGGAGTGTTGAAGATTTCGCCACTGAATGTAAATGATTCTACGGAAACCTTTTTCCGGAACCTAATAACATTTGAGCTATCTGGAGCATCTCTCATGGCCATGAAGTTTACCAGGTCTGAGTCTGACCCATATGGATGCTATTTGAAATGTATCACCAGCTATGTTACTATGTTGAACAACTTGATAGACACTTGTAAAGATGTTGATCTTGTTCAAGGTGGTATCATTAAGAATGAGCTTGGTAGCAGTAAACAAGTTGCAGAACTTTACAGTGAGTTTGTGATTGACGCAAGGGAATTCTGAGTCTTTCCAGAGTGCAAGCAACTCAATGATTACAGCCTGAATTGGTGGCGGAAGTGGAGAGGGAAGATTGTCAAATTGTTTGCAATGTTGGGATGTGATCATTTCGGTAATCCGTGGTCTATCGTCGCTGTCATTGCTGCCTCTGTTGCGCTTGGTCTTACAATAATACAGACGGTGACTGTGTGTACAGTGCTTCAAGTTCAAGATGGCTGTAAGAAGCAGCCCCTAACCACGTACCAGAGTATGTGCCCAATTTTTTGACGTCTGTATGAATGAATTCTACCACACCTTGAATGAGATCCGATATCTATGTCTTAATAAGGTTCACTTAAAATCGCACCACACAGGCTATGATCATTTTTCCTAGAACGTATGATTCTTTTTTCTTTAGCTTGAGCTTATCATTTAAAGTTTTAGCGCATGTATGTATGGTTTGCCTAGTTTTACAAATAATACAGGCACTGAACAATGTGTATTAATCTCCTTATTCTATTTGAGGCAGGTTTTATTTCAATAGAAAAACAGTAAGGGATGTGAGGAGAGGAAAACGATTATAGATTTTTTTGTTTTTTTCTTTTTTCCTTTTTCACCAGAATCAATTCTTTTTTTTTTTTTTTTGTAAAAGATCAATATGGAATAGAAAGAGGATTGTGAATAGAAAATGTGAGGGATATACTAAGTAGGGATTGGATATAGTGAGGGATGCATAAGAAAAAATCGATTCTAAAATTTTTTTTTAAAAAAAAAACAAACCTAGAGTTATGGACTGTGACCTTTAATTACATGTCATTTGATATTTTACAGAGACATTCATTCGTTTGATTGTGATTATTTTCATCCCAACTGAGAACTAATAATAATTATTATTAAAAAAAATACTCACCCTTTTAACGACAAACAAGAATATCATCCCATCAGGAGGAATTCTTCAAAACATTGCATGGATGTTTTCTCCTTTGACTAAATGCAGTAGTATGTAGCAAGAGACAAACACATAATATTTACATAGGAACACCTCACACCGATACAAATGTTGAGGCAATTTCATTGAGATTAATGATGACATTTTACCTACAAAAAACCGCAAGAACAACCAAGACAAACCTGATTTTTACAAGCAACATCTGAGCCTAGACCAAATTCAGAATCAGAAGTGGACAAAACTCAAAAAACCCAAACAGCAACAAACTACAAACACGGATTTCATTGTCTTTCTTTTCCCCCGTCTTCTCACTCTATTTCCGGCTAACTATGAATGTGTCATAGATGTAGGTTTCTTTTTTCACCGATTCCACATTTCAAGAAGATGGTTCTGACTCTCTGTGCCAACCGCTTCACTAACATCACTTTCAGCACCACCTTGAGACTTTTTCAACTTTGCCACCAGAACCCACATGTTTGCAAGTTCATTTTCTAGGTATGCTTCTCGTTGTTTCGACTCTTCTACTTTACTCTGCAACTCAGCCTCCCTTTGATCCTTTTCCACTAAAGCGGCCTCATAAGCGAGTTCCCTCTCACGGGCCAATGCCAGTTCTCTCTTCAGGTGATCAGGGGGGGCCACGGCACCTTGTTTGCTGAGACTATCTCTTCGGCCATTGCGAGAGGAGGATAAGCTGTTCCGGCGCTGCTGTTGCTGGCTGGGAGAGCTTTTCGGTGCTGTTGCTGCTGCCAACTCAGCAGTTAATCTCTCATTCTGGTTCATTAATTTAGCAACTTCCTCGGACAGTGCCTTTAACTCAACTGCAGCAGCTGACGCTAATCCCTTGGCATATGTGCTTTCCTCAGCCAATTTCTGGTTCCTAAGTTCCAGCTGCTCGTTTGACTCAGTCAATTCATGCACTTTCCTTTTAAGCTCTTGAATCTCCATTTCCTAAGGGAGTTGGTATGGAAGTAGAGCAAGCATTCTTACATAGCACAATAACGGAAAACCAAACAATAAAATGATGACAGAAGGCTAACAAATATCCTAATGCACCCCTAGTTTTTGGAAAAACAACCCCACTGGAAACTTCCATGATCCATCCAATGATGTGTGTTATGCTAATTAAAATTGAACAAGCTTAAAAATTAGATGTAGTAATTACCTGAGCTTGAAGAATCAAGGCTTCCTTTGTTGTCGTTTCCAAATTTTTAATTTCACCATGATGCCTCTGGTGCTCTAAAGCATCAGATAGTTGTTTATTCAAGGAAGTTATCATTTCCTCCAATTCTTTACATTCATCAATCTATTTAGAAAAATAAAATAAAATTGCATTAACAAGAATTGTTCCCATGATGTGAGCTTTCCTTGCAGGAATTATAGGATTCAGGACCCATACCTTTTGATTTAGCTGTTCTTGAATAATTCGGTTATCAGCAACTTTAACCTATAAAATAGAAATAATATGAGTTATAAAGATACTGGAACAAGGAAAGATCAAGATATTCAAATTTCCATCCCTACATTTATTGAAATTTTTGTACAGATTCCAAATCTTAGCCAATTCGTAATCTCTTGTGGGATAGCCAACCGAAGTCCTATAATTGCCAGATCCATTGAATAACTTTCAAACACTAAAATATTTCAGGGTTCAGGGTCCCTGGCTTAAAAAACAACAATTTGATCAACCAGATAAAGTGACGATGTTTCTCTGGCCAATTATAGACCTTCCCAATTACTCTATTACTGCTCAACAGTAAAAATATCAAAGTTTATAGTGGATCAAAGTCTTTTACTTGGGGCGTAAAAGCTGCATTACCTCAAGTTCAAATGATTTCTCATTCAATTGTGCCACAAGTTCAGCAACAGACTGCATGCATCATGAAAAATCGGTTAAAGGAGTATCATGTGCAAGCAACCATAGCTTTTTAAAAAGAACAAACTTACTTGTGATTCATCCAAATTTTCCAAATTTTCATCAGAAGAAAGGATCGAATCTGCAATTTGCTTTTGCAGCGAAGCTATTTGTTCATTCTTCCTCTTGATTTCATCATTCAATTTCCGGATCTCATCCTAACATTATTGTGAAAGGATGATTATATATAAAGGAGCATAAAATAAGAAAACAATTCACACCAGTCATAAAAGGGGCTTACTTGAATGTGTTCCTTCCTAGGTTGATGTGTCAACTCCTCAGACAATCTCTTCAGAGAACTTGTATGAAGTGCCACTTCACCCAATAAGATCTTTTGCTGCTCCCGCAGAAGGTCAATCTGATCGATTGTCTTCATGCTAGTCTAGTAACAAATAAAAGAAGACATGAGGCAGCAATATGAAAAGTTGTTTCGTAATCTCTTGTGGGATAGGCAAACTGGACTTGCAAACTATAAGGAAAGCAATAAGTCTAAATTAAAAGTTATGTTTCAAAATTCAAATTTCAAAAAGGGTTTAGATGCCCATCTCTTACCAGGGGAGTTTCCTGTGCAGAAAAGTTACCCTCCTGCACTTCTCTATCATGTATGGCTTCAGGTAAATGCTCTGCGGATGGGGTGCTTTCAGAGGGCAGAGAATGAGAGAGTCTTGATTCCATGCGAATGTTCACACTCTCAGCCTGCGGGGTTGAGGGTGTACTAGTAGACTTGGCTCCTCCACTGGATCTCTCACTTGTGCTTGTCAATGTGCCCATGCCATTATCTCGCTTCTGGAAATACAAAAACCTCAACAAATTTAAGACATTTAAAAATACAAAAAGCTCAATCAAGGTGTAAAGTTACAATCATTCAGCAAAGAAGTGCGCATGACCCAAAAAAGCTGCCTTTCTGAAAATTTTCAGAACATATTAGAATTTGCTAAAATAGAGGTGGAAGTATGGGAAAAAAGATCACTAGAACAGATGTAAGTTAAGGTAGCAAAGATCATTACAATAGAGTTCAACTTTTGTCAAATGTAAGAATTAAGCAAAACAAGGATATTTTACAAGGCTTTCAGGTTACAGTGCAATATGTCCAATCTTTTTGGTTGATAAAGTTGAATTTAATCTAGATAATTAAACCACATACCAGCCAGTAGATCACCAGAAGGGAAATTTTAATGAAAATAATAGCTCATTACCTCTGTATATGAAATCTAGGTGGAACTATGATAAAAGAGACAACTGGCAGAGATTCAAGTTAACTAAGGACACAAAGATCGGCAGTACTATAGGTCTCAACTTTTATCAAATGTATAAAGCAAAATCACAACGCTTTCAGCTATGAGTGCAAACATGTCCAACTATTTGGTTGATAAGTTGCATTTTATCTGGATAATTAAATCAAACTCCCTCCAGTAATTAATTCAAGAAGGAAAACTTAATGAAACTAATTGCAGTGTGTCCTCTGTATATACACATATCAATTTTACGGCTTCATACATATACAGGTAAATATATAATGAAAGAACAAAGTTTTTGGTATATGATGCAAGTAAAACCCTCCCCAAAGACAATGAAAAGTCATTTGACAGCGTCTGCGGGGATAGTTGTCCACCAAATTCCGTGACAAGTCGGGGTAAATTATTATCACGAGAGGCAATGCAATATCATAAGATAGAATATCCCTTTCTAACCAAACAGAACCCAGCATGACCAAAACAAAGTTATCACCAACACGAAATGACGGAAATTAGAAACAAATTAGTGTAAAATGCAATACTAATCTAGCACACCCAAAGAACATGTGCTAAAACAACAATAAACTTCATCACTACATGCAACATACCCGTAGTTTTAACCAATTCAGCAATCCATTTTTCCTCGTTTTTTTCTCCTCCTTCAGTGTCTCATAAGGAGTTTCGGCATTGCCATCAAGAGATACATACAAATCAACATTTTCATCATCCCAGATCAGATCCCGCCTTTTGTGAGGAAGATAGGCAAGCTACATGATTATTTTAATAAAACAGAAAAAGAGCCAATCAGGGCTTAGACTGGTAGAAAAACTTGAAAAATAGCTCAAAAGGGAACTCAAGAATTACAACCCCACTCCCACAACAACTGAGCCTTTAACCAACTATATGTGATCAGGTAATGGATTACACAAGGATCATGTTTCATCTTCATGCTCTGTCACAAGACCACTTTAATACACTTCATGTTTTCCACCAAGGAAAAAAAATTCACCTTTTTTTTTTTAATCAAAATTGGATGGCACCAGCGAGAATCGAACCCTCGACCTCCTGGTAATAACCATCCCCTATCCTAATCCCCTAACCACCCCACCAAAACCTACCACCCCAGGAAAATAAAAATAAAAATAAAAATAAAAATAAATCACCTATCTCCCCCACCCACTGAAAGAAAAGAACTACCTGGCAGGGTGCATAGGAAAAAGAAATCTAATAATTAAAGTGTTCAAGAATAGCACCTCTTCTTCTCCAAAAGAATGCCGTCTCCTTGGACCAGGGCGCTGAGGAAATCTGGACGATGGAGCTTTTGTGGACACTAAGATTAATTTTGTCAACCGTTGTATTCTTCCCAATAAAGCAGCCTTTGCTTCTTCTTCTTGTTCCAACCTTGATTGCAGCCTAACCTGACCATCTTCTAGCTTCACAAATTACACATGCAGGGTAGAGTAATTAAAGCCTATGCAGAGCATTTGTTCTCCAAATAACAAAGTTATCAAATGTTGTGCATTTTTAAAAATTCTTTAGCCACAACACGACCGAACAATAAATAACACCAAGTAGGCCCCATCACACGTGCATCTAAAAACAGCTAAGATGAAGCCTTCAATTTTTTGAAGCCATTTTAAGAGTTCATAATAAGAAAGCTATCTTAGAGAAAAAAGAGACACAAAGAAGCAAGAAAACTTTGAAACGAGCAATTTAGAACAAGCATAACATTTTAACCCATTGCAAAAAATACACGGCCCATGTATTCTGGCCATTCAAACACTAACAATCCAAAGAAAAGAAAGGGACATAATAGATCATAATCTGATTGCATTCAACAGGTAAGATGGATGAGGAACAGAATTTCATCACTCCATACCGAAAAGAGAAGATCTGCTTGAGAATCAAATCAATGATAGAGAAATTCCTCTCTATGTTGAACAACCAAATGGTTTTGTCTCAGCCAAAAATCAAAATATCCTGGACATACTTCATCCATACAAGACACAGCAAATTAAATTCTTATAGGAACTCCACAAGTACCTTCTGTTTTAGGAGCACAAAATCATCTCCACTGTCCTTCACTTGAGGAACCGTAACAATGCCTCTCTTTAGTTGCTCCAACTCTTCTTTCAAACAACGGATTTCATTTTGGTACTTTTTGATAAGAGATTTCTCATCGATTATCTGCACATGTAAACAAGTGCTTTTTCATTAAAGGATCACATGCATGACCTTTCACAGAGGATGTATTTGGCAGGACATACCTTGTTTTGTGCTGCCTGAACTTCAATATGTTTTGCTCGGTGTGCAAACTTCAGTGTGTTATGTGTCTCTTCAGTATTGCTTGATGACGGAGTAACAGTGCAAATAAGCTGTCAATTCCACCAATAGAATAAACAAAGAAGAAACTTTAGACTAGGAACTCATATATTTATCCAACTTAAGTTACAACAGATTGAACGTAGTTTTTCCATTTTCTTCTTGGTAAAGTAGACCGTATATAAACTTATGGGGGTAATGAAGTAGATTCAATACTTCCTCATCTGTAAGAGTTCTATCGAAACAGACCAAGTACATGTACTCCTAGCCAAATAGAATAGGTCACTTCCTTTTCACACATCTTACTCCTTCTGTCCACATTGAATAGGTCACTTCCATTTTACACATCTTAAAAACAAGTAAAAATAAGTGGCTAATTAGTTTAACTAACACATTCTAAAGAATCTGAACTAATCTACCCTGTTAATGATTACAGTTAATAGCAAACACATTAATTAGCACGTGGAGGCGAGTGAAGATTATTAATATTACGGAAGATGGTTCATTAAACATATAGCGACTACATTTTGGGACATCCAAAAAGGGGAAGGTGGTTTATCTAGAATGGAGAGAGTAATATCTAATCAACAATAAAAGAGCTAAGATTGGCTTGAACAAAAAAATTAGAATAAACTATTGAAGATGCAACAGATGATGGAAGTTCATACCGATACACGACCATGGCCACTTAATGAGGACTGAAGGAGCCTGGTCAGTTTGGAGTCCCTGTATGGAATATGAGTAGCTTTCCCATCAGTTAACTTCGATATAACCTGCCACAAGCAACAGTTAGCAAGTACATAGATTGGCCGACTGAGCTAATAATGAATACAAGTTGAAAAAGTATACGAATTGCCTCTGCATAGTTAGTTTACTTTTACAATATTAGTTCCCGACAGTGGAGGGGATCATGATATCATCTATTCATGTTTTAGAAACCAGCCAAGTGTAAGTGTGTTTTGGGGGTGGACATTTTAAGTTCAAAACCATTTGATTAGAGCAAAGTATGTAGCCAATTGAATTCAGGGGAGGAAATATATGTGACTAAACAAATATAATAATGGTAGAGCGAAACTATTACACTGACAAAAAAATCAGAATTATGGAGGCCTCACAGTTCCAAGAGTTAGCAGGCTTTTATTGATATAAGAGCCCTCTTTTCGTCGTACACCTGTAGTTTCAGCTCTAGAGCTCTCAGAGCCAGCCAAGTCAATGAGATTCTGCAAAAGAAGAGAGATTAGTATGAATTGTCAATCACCTCCAGTTGTCAGAAGGCAAAAGAAGTAATAAAAATGTGAAAAAAAAAAGTAATGAAAATGTGAAAGAATGTATTCAACACATGGTTGATAAGGATTACTTTATGGGATGACGATAATACTAAATAGTTTTGTCACCGGCTCTTTTTATTGTAGGAACATTCTATATTCAGCAATCTTACAAATCTAAAATAAATTGACAATAATGCCGAGAGACTTGATATGTACAAGGAAATACATAAATGGTTCTGATAATTAAATAACCAAGTCTTCATCCCACTAATTGGGGTCAGTTTCATGGATCATATGGCAACACAGTAAGCAGCAAACTCATTTCGTTAAGCTTCTTTCTTACACTGTAGTCAAAATTTCAAAAAAAAAAAAAGAAAAAGAGTACCGATTCATCCAGTTATTTTGAACCTTACCACCATCTCAACCCCCACCCAGGCCCATATTGTCTGCCCTAAGCCACCCACAAAGGAGAAGAAAAGAAAAAAGACAAACAGTAGTGACCAGACTGAATGTGATCATGTTAGCATATGAAAAGAACAACTGTTCGCGTGATTGTTTACCCTCAAATTTTATTTCAAGGAACTCTGAAATAAGAGGGTTTCAGTCACCCAAATATTCATAATAGCAACAAAAGGAGGAACCATAACTACCAATAGTGAATTAAAAACGAATAAAAAAAAAAGTTAATTTCTCGAATACATACTAGTTGTGACAAGGTAACAGCTTCTCCTTCGGAATTTTCGCATGGGCTACTCTCTATAGTCTGCAACCAAGACAAGCAATTAACATATGTTTCAATGGGTAAATGCCTTGGAAATGTGCCAGGAGCAAATAAGAGCGGAAATTGGAAAGATGAAAAGTAAGGTAAAATTAAAATACCAATGTAAATATTGTGTGGCTTCTGCTGCTAAGTAAGTTGAAATTTGTAGAACCAACGTGCCTGTGCTCTGTTGACAGCAAAATGGTATAAAGGAAAAGCACGGTGGCTTAAGAAGGAAAAATTAATGTCTGGCTAAACTTGTTAACGTGATTGACCAAAGTAATGGAAAACTAATCATACAGAAAAAACCCAACTACTTCAACCATACAAGACAGCCAGCTTTTGTCCTAAGTAACATATTAAAAAACTGTTCTCAACACAAACACCTAATCCTTGATTCCTCAGACCTGCTCTAAACTGTAAAGACGATAAGGATAAGTCACTAGTAACATTTCCAAAACAGTTAATCAGTGATCTCGCATGAATTTTGGGGAAACTACTGATCAACTTCAAGATTTGGTAAAACTACTAATAATTTCTGGATCAGTAAGTCAACAATCACATAATCCATGATACTTTGAACAGTCACTAAAAGATAAAAGTGTTAAAGCGGATTTAGCTTTTCAGAAATGTTAGCAATTACTATTGGTCTTTTTAGACTTTATACATATTTCGATGGCTGACTTCACAAAGCAATTGTTCAGGGGAGTTGTTGGAAGTTTCCACTGACCTTGGACGTTAAGGAAATTAACCGATTAAAAAATTTACATGTTGCCAAGACAAACTGGTAAAACAAAAATCAAAAGCACACAGGGGAACAATTACAACTCAACTGCTTGGCACCTACATAGGCTAAGTGGCAAATAGCTAGCACTTTACAATGCGGTCTGACATAACGGATACACATATTTCTGTGAATTTCTAATGGAAGATATATAAAACCAACACCAATATCAAGCTTGTCAAATAACTATCGCTGACACCCACTAGCATCAGAAATGATAACTACCTAAGAAGAATGCAACAGAATAAATGCTGACCTTCCCCGGCAGCAATTAAAGATAGGGCATGAGCTGGTGATAGAACAACTTCTTCTTTTATGCCTTCGACAAAAGTTCCCTATAAATGGAACAAGGAAGAACACTTCAGCAATTTATCGACATTTTTAAACAGCTATTTTCAGGGCTTTTGCCAAAATCAATGATAAAAGCACCTGAGCATCCTCTCTAATTCTTAAGTTCTGGCCAGCTGGATTCAGCAAATCGTTGACAACCTGGTAAACAAGTAAGTCAGCTGAAGAAAGCAAGTAACTGCATAAACACTGATAGAGATCAGCTCGAGAAGGTATCGGAGAAAATGCATGGCTGGATCATTGATAACAAAGGAAGCATAGAGCTGAAGACAACTTGCACATAGAACATAGAAGAAGATGGAAAACAAACCCTGGAAATTCGAAAGAACGAAAAAAAGGGGCTTGGATTGAAATCCCAAAATTAATGAAGAAGTTCTATTACAGGTTTTTGAAATAAATATTTTGGAAGTGTTAACACTGAATTTAAGGATGTATTATTGAAGCCGCATAACAAATTCAGTATCAAATAAAACAAGGAAAAATGCGGGCATCGAAGCAATAAAAGTTAAGAGAGAGACAAATTAAGTAATTATATGAGCAACAAGCAGAAAGTAGTTAACTGCAAGGGGAAAATAAAAAATAACATTTTCGTTTACTCCAGCATTTTCACTAGGGAACAAAAGCATTGATAAAAAGTCTTAAGAAATTCTTTACGAATCTCAAAAAATAAATTTAAAGACTTAAGTTTTCATATAGCAGCAGGAATGCAAATCTAGGTGAGGCATTTCCAGAGAGACCCCTATCTTATTGGAAGATGATTACTTCTTTGAAACAGGTAACACATGAAAATAATATTATAATCATTCTGAAGTTTTGTATCAATGCTATCAGAAGTATTATTAGCAGATTACCTCGTTATAAATTTCCAGATATGATACACGGAGGAGGAATTCTCTGCTCGGAGTCTAAACCATTCAAAAAAAAAAAAAGAGGAAAAAGAAATATATAAGAAAACAGCTTCTTGATATCAACAATGACTTTAGGTAAACACAGCTACTACCTCCTGGATAATGCTGAAAGCGTCCTTCACGGCCAACGGTATAATCCCAGGAGATCTCTGATCACCCTGTAAACACAGACAACAGAAGCAGGTAGGTCAAATTAGTACCTCGACAATCCAAATAGGATTAAAGGCATCACAGGGATCAATTTGCTTACGTGCATTGTATGAGTCTTCCCACTGCTAGTGACACCATAAGCAAAGATTGTACCTGTGAAATAAGTAAAAGAAGATCAGAACTTTTAGTTAACCAGCAACCTGTACTTTCAATTATCCTTCATATTATTAAACAGCAAAAATTGACAGAAAACCGGCTAGCCAAAAAATAAAAAGAAATGGCCCACCCCACCCTGCGGGGGTACAATCCAAGAATTCTTGTAAGTACCAGTATCTAATTGATAAAAGCACAATAACATATAAGACAAACAAAGATAGATTGGAAATCAGGAACCCATAGAAATTTAACATGTCAATCAACAACCATTTGAAAATAACCCCACATTTTCTTAGTAAAAAAAAAACCTAAATTTTATAAGTGCAAAAAGTTTGAGACTAGCTAGTAGTTGCTGAAAGCTTATTCGTGAGTGGTCATGAGAATCGCATACTTGACAAGTAAACATCCATATCTATCACTGCTACCACTACAACTCTAGCACACCCGATTGTTGGTATATATTATTGCCACTAAAATGCCACGGGTACACGGAAATGAGTTGAATAAACTAGATTTGTAAAAGGAAGCCAGTAAAACTTATGTCTCGGTTGCATTCTTTTTTAAAGAAAGAAATTCGGTAAGTCGTGATACACAATAATTTTTACCACTTTCGTACCAAAAATGATGAGAGGACAGCAGTACTGCTACTTTCTTAACAGTCTTAGGGGGGCTTTAATTTCAAAAGCAACCAAAACACCAGCAACAGTGATTTAGTCAAAAGCTACAAAAGAAGGGATTAAAAGGGGGGTCTTTACCATTGATTCCCTCCATGGCACCGCTAATGACATGCTGAGCAGCAACATCATAGACATGGCGTGTAGTGGTTGTAGGGCCAAACACACGATCTAAATCCATTCAAGCATGTTTAAGGATCAAGGCAAACAATGATGTGAGATGATAAAACATTGAAGGGATGACATGGTTGATAAACCAACCACTTTAAGCAACTTCATCAGTGAATAATACAATAACAATGTGTAAGCACAACCTACATTGATCAATCCAAGGACAATGTAGCAGTTTAAGATAATAAGCCAGGCAATTTATGGACATTCAGATTCACTATAATAGCCCGAAAAGCACCATCACAGCTCATGTAGTGATCTATCCAGAACATGTACATTGTTCATGTAATTACCACCATTTAAACTCAAAACCTCCAAGAAGAATCAGATTGAAGTGACAAAGGGCACGTATGGCTTCATGATATTGTTTGCATCTTCATATTCTGAGTTCTAGATACAACATTTTATTTTCTCTTATCAACGCAACTTATCTTCATAAAGTGAAAATTCAGGGGCATGAAGACAGAGAAAAAAGCCCAAAAACAAAAAATTCTTTTCGCCATTTCCACTTACTTTCCAGGGGCAACTGTTATATCCCAAAATCGAATTGTTTGCAATTACAATAACCCTTTAACCTCCTAAATGTTTTACCTTGTAATTTATTTTTTTAAAAAATGCAGCAGGTGGGTCTGGATACCCTATCCTAACAAACTGATATGAGGCAACCATGCCCAAAGAACATTGTCTGATTAGCAAAACATTCATAAACCCTAAACAATGTTTGAATGTTATATTTCGCACACTAAAAAAAAAGGCCCAGATTCTCGTACTAAGAAATCCTGATTCTGCATGAGCCTAAGAACTAACTGAACAATGCCATTCCTTTAGGTATATTATCAGTACAGGTCAGAGCACATTAATTAGGACAAAGATCCATTTACCAAGTAGCTCACCAATAAAACCCAACCGAACTAGTAAAATTGGAAGAAAAAGAAATAAACATACCATATGCATAAGCAATAGAGGGATTGTGCTCATTTCTAACAATGGTATCACCATCTGCATACCATGCAATCTCCTCCCCTTGTCGAATTTCTCTAGGGCTACACTCAAAATTCATCAAAAAGCAAAAAGTAATCAGCAAATAGTAAAAGGAAACCAAAAAAATCCTCCAACAAGGAAAAGTTCCATCTTCTAAAAGTTAACCTTAGAGGCCGAAACCGAACAGTGACAGTAACATTCTCTTTGGATCTCTGGACCACCACCTCCTCCTCCAATGCCACTGCCGAACCATCGGAATACAAGTAGTGCGGGGCCGCCGCCGCCGCCGGAGGCCTACTACGGGCAGAGGAGGAAGCCGGGGAGCTCAATCCATCACCTGAAGTGGTCTCAGGAAAATGCTTTGAAGACGATGTAGTGGAAGAAGCAGGTGAATAATTAGTCTGCTGCTGTTGCTTCCTCCCATTGTTATTATAATTAGTTAATTTATTATGGGATTTTTGGGGCTTTGATCCTCCGGACCTTGTAGCCATTAATGAACTACTTGGCAGCTTCTTCCTAAATTAGTTAAATTGAACACGAAGAAGAAGATTAAAATTCATCAGCAACAAAAAAAATTGCAAAACAGACAAAGGGTGAATTGTTTCTATTAATATTGCAAACGTACATTTTCATCATTAATATTGCAAATACGATAGAATGACTGCAGAAATCACTCGAATTTTGCAGAAAGTACAGAAAAAAGGGAAACCTAAAAAGTATCAGAAAAATGGGGTTTAACTGAAACAAAGAAGAATAAGAAATGGATGGTCCAAAAAATCTAGCTCGAAGAAAGAAAAATCCCACAAATTATCCCTCAACAAAAATAATTTGGTACCCAAAAAAAAAAAAAATTAACTCATTTTCCAATGCAGCTGAAGAAGAAGAAAATCACACTTTTATTTTCTCTAACAAGAAGAAATCGTCGACATTGAACGGTTCCCCATGTTTCCCGGCACAAAGTTCTCAATCAGTGTCCGAAAAGATTCCCTCCATTCTAGTTTTCTGGGAAAATGAAAACAAAAAACAAGAAACCCACCTCGAATCAGTCGAGAAGCAACCCAAACTAGGAAGACATTGTCGTAGATTTTCGAGTTTCAATCATCATCAATGTGTATATAAATGAACAAAGAAGGAAGAGAAAAAAAGGGGAGAAGAACAGAAGGAAGATATGAATCGAATCTGTGTAAGTATAATCTTAAGTTAGGAGGAAAGCAAAAGATCGAGGGGAAGAGTGGATGAAACACACCATCATCATCATCATCATCATCATTATCTCACTATCATCGCTATTCACATTCCCCCACACTCCCAACACACAGTCACACACTCACACAGCAATGGGAAAGAAAAAGAGGAAAAAAAAGAGTAAAAGTTTCTTTCTTCTCTCTAAAAGGTGTGAGTTTGAGATAGATTGTTCGTGTTAGTGTGTGAGAGATAAAGAGAAACCAGAAATGGGATTTTACTTTAGTGGGAGAAAAGAAAGGGGAAATAAATAATTAGTTAAATAGTAGGAGTAATTGTGCTTCGATTTAATTGTAAGAAATACGTTTTCCAAAAATGTTCGGTAATTATTACAACTTGTCACATACTACTACTACTACTACATCGATTTTGAAATTGGTCATTAATTAGAGAATCTAAAGAAAAATGTGTCAATATTATATTGAGCTAATAATATGATATTTACTGAGCTTTTTACTAAACTTTACTCAAACTTGTTTACGAACTAGTATAAGTTTCAAATTTTTATGATGAGCTAAATATCGAATTAATTGATTTTAGATCGAAGTCAGTTCTATTATTTATAACGAGTCAAACTCAACCAAATGATATATATATATATATACTGATTTGATACTACTAATCAAATATGAGACAAAGTTGATAGTGGCTTAGGTGAGGGAATTAAAGTTGGTGTAAAGTGGCCATGGATAACATTGAGAATTTGGAAAAGAATTTGTGAGGGCGATTGTAAATGCAAATGATTTTTATTTTTATTTTTATTTTAAATAAATAACAATGTTGAACTGGAAATTTCAATTAATTATTGTTAATTCCTTGCCTTGAAAGCGATACGCTTTCATGTCCTACCTGACTAGTTACTCAATTACAAATCATCTCATTCTCAGTTCCTACTATCATCTTTCTTTTTTATGTTTTAATTTCTTCCAATTTAATTTTATTATTGTAATAATTAGTTCACAGGCTAAAATATCATGTAAAGTATCATGTAAAGTACAACTGCTTACGTTTGACAGTTACATCTTAGTTGAAGAAATTGCCATTACAGGATTGAAAAAAAAAAAAAGAAAAAAGACCCAAAATGTTGCTTCAAACCCAACGAACGAAAAAACAATTAGACATAATTATTTCAAAAAATTGAGAAACCAAAATAAAATCCAGAATGTGTTCGGTCTAAGCTCTTTATCCCAAAATAAATATCTTGTTTGAATCTTTATTTTAAGTTTTCTTAAAAATAAAAAATTTTTATTAGACAATTATTTTAAGACGGATAGAGTATTAGCTTTTGTTTATTGATGTTAAGGTTTTCTATTATTTGACTTTTTCAAAACAATTTTTTTAATATACATTTTAAATAAATATATAATAGAACTAATACATTTTTAATATATATTTTTTAATTACAACATATATATATATATTCCTTTAGTGTCACTTATACTACATTTTGGTAACATAAGTAAAATATTCTCAATAGGAGTTGAATGACAGTTGAGTGGTTAGGTTGTTGTCTTCCTTTCGATTCGCATAAGGGAGAGTCTTTACCCACATTTAAGTAGGGTCCACTGAAGTGGGTTTTTTTATAAAAAAAAAAGGTACCCGCGGTCCTTATTATAAGGCATTTTGATTTCGTCCTAGATTTAACCTAAGATGTCTTTTTAATTGTTAAAAATTTTTAAAAATATATTTTCACATTCGTTGTATTTTTCTTATTATTATGAAATTTTTTAAAATTTTTATTCCGATTAAAAATACATTATATGTGAAACTTATGACAAAATCAAAATGCCTTATAATAAGGATCGGAAGGGAGTAAAATATTCTCAATAAACCTAATTGAAAATAGGGAGAACTTAAGTGTACAGTAACTGCTGAGCTGGAACTTCAATTTGGTGTGTAGTACTCATTTATTAATCACTGTGTGTTTATTTATTGTTCAGAGTTTCTGGTTGACTCCTCTCTGTTTGGACTTTGGACTTTAAAAATCCAACGAGGACCAAAGAAAAAAAAAAGAAAAGAACAAGACAAAGCCAGGTAAATTGCAATTATGGTACTCGGAGTTAGACACACTTCCCCGTTTCAAAAACGATTTTGTGATTTTTATCGTTATAAAATAGTAGTACTAATATATACATTGGATAATAATTCATTTAAGACATTAATTTGATATTATCAAAAAGAGTACTCATTATTCAGATTCAGGTTAGCTTGCTGTCCTACTACACATTTTGTTAAAATTACGGGAATTGTTTGAGACATTGACACTTGGGTAGGAACTGATAGCAGTGGTCAATCTAAGTATTAATGTATTATAACTATGATCAAGAGAATGGAGAATGCTTTGGGTTTTGAATTAATGAGCATATGATTCATATGATGGATTGTGAATGGAAAGATGAGCTTAAGCATGAATTTTTATGTGCAAATTTTGTACATAATTATTTACCGTCGTTAGTACAGTTCACAAATTTGTAGCAGTCACACTCTATTATCAAAAATTATTTTATCGTTGAAAAAGGATTTTACTAGAGTAGCATACTAGCATATTCCAAATCATGTTTTTTTTCAAAAAAAAAATCCTCAATTATTACATACATATATTAAAAAAGCAATCCTTCCAATTCCACCAACCCAATTTAGCACCCCCTTAACCTCCCAAATCATGTAGTTATTCCAATTAGTAAATTTAATAGCCCCAATTTTTATGATTTAATAATTATCATAACTTGATATTCCATACTTCGGATTGAGCACAAAGTTGACATTAATAAGATCCACGAACTCATACCCTAAATTTATTTGAGAAATTAGAAAAAAATAAGAAGAATTCAGTGTTAAAAAACAGTATAATTTGTAAAAAAAAAAAAGAAAAAAATACTCATTATCCTGAAAAAAAAAGTCTATATTGAGTTTTCGCGCTAATATCAAATGTAATATATTATGTAGGGAAAGTCCATTTTTTCCGCTTGATGAATGGATGGGGTTGGGAACTAGGGCTAATCTGTGAGTCAAAAAAAATGGAGAATGAACACAAGAAAATGAAATATAGCCCCAGAAGAGTCATATTCATCACGAGAGTCCTGTGGCAAAAAGATAGAAAAAAAGACAAGAAATTAACCCCAAAACCTGTGGGGCTAATAAATTATTTTTTTCATATTTTTTCTATGAATTTTATGATAATATAAGACATTTACATATTTCTTGAATCGTTGTGGGACTACCATGGTTCAGAAGGTTGTCATTTAATTTTAGGGTCAAAGACAATTATTATATTAATTGATTGAAATAATTCGAGATCATATATTTTGTCATTTGATTCGAATTTCAAAGTCCATAATTATTCTCAGGTCCTTTCTTTAATTAGAAAAATTTAATCCTTTGCTGAACTTAAATTTATTACATGCATGATTTATGCAGAAGACTAATGACATTGATAGTTTGACGTCGATGTTATTTTACATCACCAAACGGCCCGACGAAACACGCCAAATTTATTCATAAAATATGATATTTAATAATTAGGAATAATAATGCGTTAGCTCTAAAGACATACTTGAAAAAGATGAACAAAAAAAAGAAAACGTCTTTTTCAGCCTCTGGAAGACTTTACGGCGGCGTAAGATGTTCCGACTATTTTAACTGAGGGTTTTTTTTTTTTTTTTTCTGTTTTGTAATTGGCGAGGCATTATATTATCTCGGCCTAATAGATTAAAAACAGTCATACCCGCCATTTTGTCTGTTTGTTTGAAATTAGAAATAATGGAAAATGATTGAAGTCTTCAATTCATTCGATTTCAGACTTCTTGTCTGCGCTAAATGTTAGACAATGCATATGTTTTCATTTCTTTATTATTAAAAATCCCTTCCTTTTCTTTTTTGAAAAAAAAGGAGATGAAATAAATGTGAAATAAAAAGAAATTATTATTTTCATTTGAATTTGTTAATATTTTTTGTTATATATCTGTAACCTTGTTATTACGTTACTTCAAGAAATAGTTCTACTGAATAATATATTAACCTCGATTAAATTGAAGGCAAAGAAAAACAAATTGTCTAGCTAATAAATCATTAAACCAAATTAATGATTATATCTTACTTTATTATATCTTTTGATGAATTGAAAACTACATAAAACCAAATTAAATTGCACTTTGGCTTGTCCCTTCTCCAATTTTCTCCACAGACTCTTCATTATCCTTCAATTACTTTTACCAATCGAGAATTAGCTTGAAAATAGTAAATTTTCGGTTAAGAATCTGATGTAAGTCTTTCGTCTCAAAATAATAACTTATTTCTTGAATTATTTAAGTATAAATTAATTTTGGGATAGAGAGAATATTAAGAAAAAAAGTTAAATAAAACTCACTTACTTTAAGTGTCTAGAATTCAGTAACGACAGTAATTGTTGTGGTTGACCTTGAAAAAAAAAAGTGTTAAAAAGAATGGATGAAATAAAACTGAAAAATGAGATAATAATTCTAATCATTTTGTAGGTATACAACTTATATGAACTGCCAATATGACCTACATACAACAAAGCAGTGGAGTTAGTTGTACATGGAGACAATTCACCTAACAGTCATGGCCTCGAATCGGCCCCATGCAAAAAACTCACTTATTTGCACAAATTCATGATCAGATTAATTGATAATGACAACATATATAGATTATTATTGGGGGACTTATTACTTAATCAAGGTGCTTGCTATCTAAGATTCATCCGATCTAGCTACGTCTATCACTTCAAAATTATTGTTTGATTTGGCGGTATGTTGTTTTTAGCATAAATTCAGATAATGACAACATATATAAATAGGCCTAACTAGCTTGATTGACGTACCTAATGAATTAATTATAATATTTTTTAAATGTATAATAATATAGAGGTAGATAGTTAATGTTGCTCATGTATGATGTATCTTAGTTTGCTCAAATTCATTGTTAAAACTTAAAACCCTTAACAGTCTTGGGTTATTCTTTCCCCTAATTTTTTCCTCATTACTGTCGGTTATTACTAAACGATAATTTTAAATCAATTAAAAGGATTCTTAACTAAAAAATAGATGTAGATATTGCTTATGAACCTAGCTAGAAGCTAGTCCGATGAACCCAATATTGAAAATTACTTAAAAACTGCCTTGGCGTTTTTTATATATACCATTTTTTTGTGGGTTGAGTTTTCTTATTACATGTTTGGATTAAATAAAATAAATTTGGTAACGTTTGAGGAGAATTTGTAAAACTCGGGGGATA